AACAAATAATAGGACCGACCGATCAGATGCTAGGTGATGGATGACACCTAGGTGTGCGGCGGCAATCGAGCAGAAAACGCGCACGCGCACAACTTCGCACGCAGCGATAGGCTATTCAGTTGTGCTGTATTCGGGACCTGAATATCGCTACGGGGCAGATGCTGGATCGCTGATATCTCGCCGGTGATGGCGGTCATGGACAACGTGCATGCGGCTCGCGATAGAGCGCTTGTCCGCTCTGGCTTTGGTTGCCATATTGTGGACCGCGACCGCCACGACAGCTCTGTGAGCGTTTTAAAATGAACTACAACGAGCCAGATGCGAGGCACCGGCGCTCTCTATTATAGGTAATGATATATACTACGGCTCACCACGCCCTGAGGAGTTCAAATTCACGCTTGGTCCTTGCGATAAGCGTCTTGTTGACCTTAACCATCCATTCCGTGTCCATCGCCTCCTTATATTCCGGAGTGTCTGACTTCCCGGATGCGTTCGATGTCTCCCACTCGTGAACGGCAAGGTACTTGGCCGGACGTCCGGTGCGCTTGTGCGGACCCGTGTCTGTGCCAAAGACGCTCTCTTCTACGAGGACGAAGCGCCGACTGCGCAGCCAACCAGGAATACGCGAAAGCAGCGGAATGTGTTCCTCGTCATACCACTTATTGAAGTCATCCTCCGCCTCTCCTGGGACCTCTTTCTCCACCACTATAGTGTACGCGCCTCCCTTGTTCTCGTCGAATCGCGGCGAGGGTGGGATGGACGGACCAGCGTAAGCCTCATAGACGCGCCTGTCGACAACCCCGATCCTCGCGAATATATCGCGCTCCCGCTCGCTACGTGTCTCTGTGAGGTTGCTGTATGCTGGCTTCTGCAGCGCCGCGGCCGATTCGACATCGTAGATTGCGGCAAAGGCAGGCTTCGAGCCGTCGATAGACTTGATCCGGGAAATACCCCCTGTGAACACCTCCGGGATGTTCGCACGAAGGGGGACATGTTCATTATCGTACCTACTCGGTGGTCGGCCAGTTATTCACATCCCGGGATCTTGAATCCATACCAGTGATTGAAATCTGCCTCATCGACGTTCGCGCCGGGCTCAGTGTAGACGAGCAAGAGAGCTTTCGAGGTGGAAGACATGACAAGATGGTGTGTGGATGCGCAAAGATCTGCACGGGATTTCAAAAGCCAGAGTTGGCCTTATGAGCATGAGCCAATCCCCCACGACACACGACTATGAGACGAAGCATGCTCAGCGGCCTGTGAGCCATTCGGGGCTATCTTCAGCCGACAGTAGCACGCGGCGCCGGCAAATGGGCTCACAAACCCTTCAATGTTCTTTCTGAATGAATGTGTGCTGCAATCCCAGAAGGAATGTCGTGCTTTTATCTTCGCCGGACTGTCTACCAGGTTGCGACGCGCCAGACACGAATGGAGGAAGACATGACGCCCGTGGTGATGGTAGAGAACCACAATATGGAACGGAAACATACCGCCATCGTCTCCATTGACAGCGTCCGACTCTTTCTCTCGAATCAGAATCACCACTGAAGCTATGAAGATTTTCACTCATGATGCGTCGAGTAGCGCGCAAGGCGCTAGAACCACAATAGCTTGTATATACCGGTAGCTCACCACATCTTGAGGAGCTCGAACTCGCGCTTGGACTTCGCTATGACTGTCTCCTCGATCTTTGCCATCCATTCCGTGCCCATTGCCGCCTTGTGCTCCGGAGTCTCCGTTCTCCCAGACGCGTTTGATGTGTCATACTCGTGGATGGCAAGGTACTTAGCTGGGCGGCCCGAGCGCTTGTGGGGGCCTGTGTCCGTGCCAAAAACGCCTTCGTCCACGAGGACATAGCGCCGGCTCCGCAGCCAACCTGGGATGCGCGATAACAGCGGGATGTGCTCCTCGTCGTACCACTTGTTGTACTCGTCTTCCGGAGCACCCTCTGGGATGTGTGTCTCGACAAGCACAGTGTACGGGGCACCCTTCTTCTCATCAAAACGCGGCGAAGGCGCATATGCCGGACCGGGATACACGGCGTAAACGCGCCTATCGACCACACCGATCTTGGCGAAGATATCCTTCTCCCTCTCACTGCGGGTCACCGTGAGGTCCGTGTACGCTGGGTTCTGCAGCGCAGTGGCCGATTCAAGGTCGTACGTTGCAGCAAAGGCAGGTTTCGACCCGTCCGTGGATCTGATGCGGGCGATGCGTCCGGTAAATACCTCGGGGATATTCTTACGCAGCGGGACGTGTTCATTGTCGTACCTATCCAGAGATGAACGGCTGCATGTAACACAGACGATGGAGATCCTTACCAGTCATTGAACTCTGTCTCGTCAATGTTCGGACCGGGCTCGGAGTATACCAGCATGAGAGCTTTCGGAGGCGAAGACATAGCGTTTGCGTGATGAAAGGATTTGCAAGGATGGGTGGCGTAGCGCGGACCTGGGGCTGGTCTTATGAGCAGACGACGGACCCACAGCATGCCGCTACGGGTGGACGAACAAGTCCACTTCTGAATTCGATGCCGTTATCGTTACCCGATCGGGAGCGGCAGATGACCAAGATAAAAATTCCCAGGTCTTCGTAGAGGCTAAAAGGGTACACTGAGTACAGCAGCTCTGGAAGAGTATGATACAACAATTGTAAAAAAGTCCGTGCGTCTTCAAAGTCCGTGGCAGGATGGAAATGGCGAGGAAACACGAAACAGTGCGAATCAGACGTCAGCCCAACCACCTTCGTCGAGCTTGTACGAAGCTTCTGACTCTGGCTTGTCTGGACTGTCAACGAGCTTGGCAACGCGCTCCTCAGCGCGACCTGAGCTGTGCTCAGAAGGACGTCTCATGTAAAATGTATATGGCCGCACCTTTGCGTAAGAACATGCGCGTCGCAGAAGCGTGAGACATGATGTGGCCACCGATAGGCTTGAGAGCACCGCCGGCGACGAAAGTCATTGTAGCACCGGGATCAGCTAACGTTATACGTCAGACAATGAGAAAGCACACAGTGGCATCGTACGCACATTGAACTTGGTTGGTGATCAGGATGCAAATGTTGAATTCCTCAGAGAGTTTGGTGAGTTTAGACAGCATCTACGTAGAGTCAGCAAGGCGCGAAGTTATGATCGGCGGACTTTGGCATACTTGAGCAAGCTGAGTACGGATAGGCGTAAGCAATTGGTCAACCGCTACGTAGGCTGCACTGACCTTCTGTTGCCTTTCACTCAGCTCACCGCGACCGGAGAAGTCAACTCGAAAGAGCGCCATGATGCTGTCTACGATCTGTTCGGGGTTGAGCAACTCACTCTCAGGCATTTACAAGAGTAAGAGGCGCACAAGCAACCTGAAGTCCTTATCCTCCGCAAACCGTAACGAGCATTCGTTGATGAGCTCCATCTACGTCACAATGAACGAACAGCACGCCGGTGGTGTAAACTCAAGCTCTTACCTGATGTTCGCTGTTGAAGGCACGAGCTAAAGTATATGAACTACATCAGACAGGAGCGACATGGACAGCATGCTACTGGTCATACCGTATAAGATGTTTTCCAACGCCATGTCACCGTTGACACCGAAGCGGTCGGCAATGGATCGTATGCGATCGGGGCGGAAGGTTCCTTCAGTGTCGATGTAAGCCACCTATGAACATTGATGAGTACGGCTGTAGACGGGGCGAGGTATGTATGGGTTTGGCTGACCTTGCCCGATGCGCCGCCCATATCTGGGGGCAACTGAGCGATTACAGCCATGGTGTGAGCGCATTGCGTTTTCCCGGTGCGGTACTCTCCGTATACTAGTTCGGATGAGAGATGAGAGAGTCGGGGAAGAATATACATCGCCACATACTCTCAGTAATGGACTGGGACATGACACCGCCTTTACGGAGGCGAGATGAGCGCTTAGTATGCTAAAACATCTAAAGAGGAGCGTACCGCCGAGGATACCGTCAACGGCCTTACTACCAGTGCTGATGCAGAGAACACGTTTGCGCTTATCTTGCATCTCCAAGCCAGTAGCGAAGGAAGATCCTTGGATCTTCAGCGCCGCTTCCTGGAGAGCGTGAGTAAAGGTTGCATACAGGCGCATTTGGGGGATCACCTTGATCTTCTCTACCTTCGCCTCGGATAGGCCCTGAAGGGAGTGAGGGACGACGTGCACGAAGGGGTGTGTGACGCACCTTGATCTTCAAGAGTGACCTCCTAGTAGTCATGGTGACGCCAGATATTGTAGTGATAGAAGCAGACTGAGGCAGTTCAGCGGATGTTTGATTAGAAGAGGATAAGGCTGACCTTGAGTTTGAGGATATCCTGGACGTTGATGCCCTATATGTGCCTAGTCAGCTACGGAAAAGGCGTGATGAAGAAGAGAATAGATTACATGCGACTGAAGCTCATCGACAGAGTCGAAGAAGGGCTCCTAAGCGTGATACTAGATGAATACAGGCGCATATAGTCAGCTTAGTGGCGAGCCCGACCTCATCCACGTCGTCCTCGGGAGGTTGGCTGCCTGCGCGAGAAGGCGAAGATGTGCTGGCAGCTACTGAGGGGCGTCGGCCAGGCATGCTGTTGGGTTATGCGTAGATAGAAGTGGTGGAGGGAGGAGGGAAGAGAGGATGGGGTGACAGGACCGCGCTCAAGAGCCTTTTATGGTTTGAGAAAAGCCGCTCGCGTGGGTGCGCATGGAAGCTGTCAGGACGCGTCTCCCTCCCGGGACGTCACCTGAGGCTGCAAGTCGCGGGCGCTGCATATACGCTATGTATGCGCCATGAACGGCAAGAAAGGATGTACTGATGGCTACGCCGGGGTAAGCAGACAAATACGCTCTCTGGCCGAGTCGAACACCCAACTTCGGGTTAACAACATGCCGCTGATCCGTCTGCGCTAAAGAAGCGGGCGCGAGGCCGTCACCGTCACAACTCGTACGCTATGTTTACAACCTGCTTCGCTCAGTCCGAATCCCAAACACCATCTGCAGCACCAAGGATCTCCACACCGTCATCAGCTTTCGCGTTCGCCTTCTTCTTCCCGCGTCTGTTGTTTTTCTCACCGGGTCCCGGCGTACTGCTCTGCTTGCGCGCAGTCGATGGGTCTTCGGCGACGACCGTGACGCTAGGGTCCATCCCAGAAAGATTGGGCGGTGTCTTGGCACGGATGACTGGCGTTGGGCCGGAGAAATCCTTTCCCGTCAAGCGCGACAGCGTCTCCATGTCTGTAATGCGTTCAGACATTTTCACAAAGAGTCAATACGCGGTGCATACCGATAGATGTACGATTCTTCAAGCAATCGTCAATTCGAGCAGAGTTCTTCTTGTCCTCGGCTTTGAACTTGTTCTTGCATTGCTTGCGGTCGCGGCCGGGGAGCACGTAAGATATGAGTTCGTAGTTTTCCCCAAATTGCCGTAGCGCCTGGATTGTAATGAGCACTATTAGACTACTGTCAGGGGAAAAGACCTCACATCGAAAAACATCTCGGTCTCCTCGGCACTCCAGCGTGAGCCATGAACCTTCTTCCCGTATGTGGCGGAGTTGGTGAACTTCGTCGCGTCCGACTCTTCAACGTGCTGGTACCCCGCCGTTTCAGCCTCTTCGTCGCGGTCAACATGCAGCGATGTCTCGTCAATGATAGTCTCGCCGTTCGGACCGATACGGAAACGAGGCGCAAACTTGCTGCCCCCGCCAACCGCTGAGTAGTCAAAGTCGTCGTCATCTCCTCCTGCGTCTTCTTCATCACCGTCCGCGTCAAAGAGGCCAGCTTGATCGTCCTCCACGACGGCCGGAGGCGATCCAGGCACAACGACCTCTTCCGGCTCGCCCTTGTTCGCCGCCTGCTCTCCATCCCCTTCGCCGTCCTCCTCCTTGAGTCCGTACTTCTTCCTCTCATTCAACGCACGCATCCGGGCACGCCGTTCCCGATTAGCGCGCTTCCAATTCGAATGGTTCTCAAATATCTGCGCCGCCTTACTACTCACACGTCCCTGACCGGTGTCCTCGCAGATATCGGCCATCGTGACGATGGTGGGATCAAGTTCCTCTCCTGGATCCGCGTCGGCATCAAAGCGCATTGGTGAACGCGCCTTGCGCCCCCGACGCTTCTTACGCGACTCGCCCTCTTGCTGGTTTTCGCCGTCGCCGTCGCCTGTCGTAGTTGTCGATTTCCTCCGACTCTTCCTGACTGCACGTTTCTTCACCTCCGCGTCCTCGTCCATGTCATCGGACCTCTTTCCTGAACGTCGCCTTTTGGCATGAGGCTCGTCATTGCCCTCGTCTGCCGCATAGGTAGTAGCCACTGCCCTCTTGCTACGACGCGGACGGGTAGACTGTGCGGCTGCTACGTCGACTAATGCACCTTGCGGTCCAGGAGTGACTGGTAGATCGCCATTAGCAGCCCGAGCGGCTTGTGCTATGAGGGCCACGAAATCCATGCCAGAGGGTTGCGAGAAGGTGTTAAGCGAAGAATCGGATGATTCCGCGCTGGGAGCAGTACCGGCCGGCATAAGACTGGGGTCTATTACATGAGGTTGCGCGGGCTCTGAGCGAGGCGGTGGATGGGGCATGGGAGATGGTGTAACAGGACAGGCCATAGCATGACTGCGAGCAGAGATCTGGGGCGTTTCAGAACGCGGCGCGTTCTTCACGACTGAGGAAGACGGGGTTGGGGCAGATGCCCGTGTGGGGGGCACGATAGTTGCCGGTGGACGAGTTGGTGGGCCGACCGCTAGGCCAACAATAGGTGCAGAGGGACCAGAGGTACGAGTTGCCGGCGGTAGGGCGTGTGGCGTAGATGATACAGGGTCGTCGTTGCCTGATTCCGGACGTTGAGGCTGCGACGTAGAAGCGACAGGATGCGGGATAGTCGGTGCGTTGGATCTTGCAGCCGGAGTAGCGTGAGCGCGTACGGGAGAGGAGCTGAGGGCAGGCGCAGCTGATTGAACGACAGTGGCGCGAGGATCGGGAGTGGACGAGGGCTGTCGACCATCGTCGGGCCCTGCGCGCGGCCGGGCTTTCGCCATCGGCTTGAAAACAGTCCCACCCTTCTCTAGGAGTTTGTTCAGGAAGAGACAGGTATAGCTACGGAAATTTAGACTCACGAACGCGTAAAGACATTTAGAAAGCACGTGTAGTAGCAAGATCGTCAAGAGTTGTGGGTGTTGAGAGCAAAGCGCGAAGAGATCATCTGGCGCGTGCGAGTGCGTTCTCTCGCGGCGACGGTGCCACTCGACTTGCTTCCCACTATCATGGCTGCCACATTTCAACCGCAGGACTTCCCTGTCGGCACCAAACCTGTCTGGGAACTAGATACTAAACTCGGTAAGCTCGAAAGTGTCTTAGGGAGGTATGCTGTGCACCGTGCATCTTCCTTCATGCAACTCATGACTGAATCACGCGCAGTTATGTGTTAGCTGCCTCATTACATGAATGTCAGCCTACGGTTCGACGTGCAGGAATATGCGCGAGACTGATGAAGAAAATTAGCCCGGATTGCCTGGCTGAGTCGCCTTCTACCCAAGTCCGTGAGCCGAGGGCCGGACAAGGAACCTACAGTCGACAGTCCGATTCCGCCTCACCATAGCACCGAGAGACTCAGCACATGTACTCTCGAAGTGGGCCCGCATACTATGCCTGACCTTCTCGTATTGAAGGTCACCTATGTCGATTGTTCCGCGTCACCTACAGACCCCTTCTCCAAATTGACCCCCGAAATCGTCCCGCATTTTAATGCAGCAGCACAGAGGGACTCGCATCTGATGCACTGCGTTCGCGAGGCAATGGCCGGCAAAGGCACGCCGGATCAAAACCATTACATCGCCTCGACTATTGACCAGCTCGCTGCAGCTGACCCTTCAAGGCAACCTTCTCAGCCTCTTCTTGTACCAACTCTGGAATCCTCCATGAGCTGGGATATCATCTTTCAGTTCAAAGAACACCCTAATGAACAATGGATTCTCCCTCGGGGCTCAGCATTCATCGAACGCGAGCCGCCGGATGGCGCGTGGGTGGACTTGATACAAGTCTCCATGCCTTTCTGCTCCCCGGGTTTAACAACAGAGATGGCCTCTGGCGAACCTTCTTCGTCAAATCCGCCGCCTCAGTCGGACATCGCTACTCTGCGGCTTCTACAACCAACGCCAACGCTATACGATTCGCTCCTTGATTGGGTCGGTGGTAGCCATCAAAACATGAAGAATCGAGATGCCTTGCGCAGTACCGTAGGTTTATATATGCTATCCTCTGTCTCATACTGATGAACTTTCCACAGCTCAAGAAAGCGCGCGCTCGACAGTTCTTACAGTATCGACTTCCCCTTAACTCCAAAGCTCTCAAGCGCTTCAAAGCCGCCGCTGAGTCTCCTTTTCCTATGAAGCCTCTCAACCCCGACTCGAACACTTCGGGAACGCGCAAACGTTTGCAAGAAACACCCAAGAAGACCATTTCGGCTGGCCCTACTCCCAAACAGAAGGGACCGAAAACGCCAGCGACGGCCAAACTAAAGCCAAAGAAGCAGCGGACGAAGTCAACACCGAGTACTTCAGCCTTGACGACGAAGCCGAAACATAAAATGGAAGTTTACGTGCTCATGACTCGGCGTAGACCGCCTGAGGCCAAACCGCCTGGATGTCAGCATTGCAAAGTGACTGGCGAGCCCCTGCATTTTGGAGGAAGTGCGTTTAGCTGATATCCGTCTTTCAGTAGCATGCAAAACTGACTATTTGTAGGGTTCTGTCGGCCGTGCATTGACGCCGGCCACGCGACCCCTGTACCGGGTGTTACACACGCTCCGATACCGGCCCCGCCGGTCGTCAAAGCGCCGGCGACTTTATATACGACTACAGCTTATCATTCAGTGGCAGAGCAGGCAAGCCCGAGTTCTGAAATCCGTCCACCGAAGCCGTCGACCTCCCACACCGCGACTCGTTAGCTCTATACTTAATTTTCTGGCTGCTCATTGTTCTGACCGTACGGCTTGATTTCCGGATCGTAGTCTCAGATATTCTGCACACGACCTTAGAATCGTATCCATAGAAGACACAAGGAATGTGAGGAAGTACGTGAAAGGTATCGCTGGAACTATGGACAGGGAAAGGGAAAATTCTGAACATCAACGATAGCAAATACGAAAGCAATATCGAAAGAGATGAATAGGCGTCGCATAAACGTAAATGCGAAGATAAAGATAACGAGAGATGCGGAGATAAGTTAGTCCACAATACGACAGTACCACGCTATCCACCACGCCACTACCGCCAGCTGCGCTATCACGACGGCAGTCTCGACGATGATGGCTATAATCTGAGCCAGGACGCAGCCCCAGAACATAGGGACAGACACTATCCACAAGAAGTGATGCGCCAGGTAAGGGAGGTTGTTCCATCGGATGCTGATCCAGATACCGCGCAGTTGCAGGCCCAATAGCGTGATGGTGAGATCATATAGTAGCGCGAGGCATATCCAATGTCGAAGCGAGCGCCGGGGAAGATGTGTGATGGGGTAGCGCTTGGGTTCGCCCGTGAACTCGTTGCGGTACCAAGGCACGATGAGGAAGTCTTGTACGTCGACGCCGATAACTTTGCCATAGTTGCGCCAGAAGGGGACTGCGGCGTCGAGTATGAACGTGAGCGCATCTTGGGCGAACTCTTGAAAGTTCTGAAAGCGATTGTTGTAGCTATCCTCGAGCGTGAGAATTTGAGATAGCTGTGATGAATCGCGTAAGCATCCGTGTAAAACGAAATGGGAAGATGTGTACCTCGGGGTAGACGGCCGAAGTATGCTGAGTGGCGGCATAATACTCGTCTTTGACCTGAGCTTGTAGCAGCTTGACGCGGGCCAGAGACTCGGCGACGTCTGCACTCTTCTGTCCGATCCCAACTTGTTCTTCCTCCAATTTCCCTAGCGTCAAGGTGAAGTCCTGTATGCCACCCTCCAGCACGCTGCGCTCCACCGTCATATTACCAGCACCTGTCTCTGCATGTGCGGCAAGAAAACGGGCAACAACTTCTTGCTGCGAGTGCAAGTTCTCGTGGATACTGTCCACCGCCGCATATCCGCGGAGAGTTCGCGTGTGGCCGGTGATGATAGCTGGATCATGAGAGACAGCGTCCAGAAGATCCTCTGGTAACGCCACGTAGGGAAGGTCGAGCGTGCGTGCCATGCGCGTGAGGACTTGCTCGTACTCTTTGATACTATTTGCCACCCGTTGTAGTAGATGTCGATTGCGCTGATTCTGCGCGATGGTGTTATCAAGGAGTCTGTTTTCGGTCAGTCGCAATATACCGTTATGCAAGCCCTGGATACGTACTGTGCTCTGCGGTCGTACTCCGCGATCTCGCTCTCCTCATCGGCGTCCGTCTTTGCACGATCTTCGCTTAGAGAAGGTGGTCGTAAAGAAGGCAGAGACGTGCGGTAGCCCCTCATCTGCAGGATGCGAGAGTTTGCACGATACGGCCCATTGGGTCGTGTTGGCGAAGCGATATCATCTGTGGAGACGGCCGCAACGGCAGTGCTCTCACCATCTCGAGCGGTCAGCGCCTCTCTCAAACCGGGCGTAAGCCCTCCATCGCTGACATCCTGACTCAACGGTCGAGATTGGCTGTCGTTCTCGCCTAGGTCTTCACTGATACGTAGTTCGGGCACAGTGGCTGAACGACCAATCAGGTCGAGTCCAGAAGGTCTGAAGCGGAACGTGCGCCGGCGCCCTGCTCGTCGTTCGCCGTCGGAGCCTTCACTCTGTGACTGATGTGGAGATGCGAGGTCATCGCTATCGTGCGTGTTGCGAGTGAGCTTCGCGACCTGAGAACGCACACGCGCCCGGGAGCTCGACGGCGAAGCGGCGGAGAGCTCGGGATGAGATGATGCGCTGTATATGCTGCTTCTTGGGCTCTCTGTGCCGGCGCGGAACTCCCTGTCCCACAATTCCCGTCTATAGCCGTACGCGTTCCCTTCAATACTCCTTCGCGAATCCGCTCCGAGTGATCGCCTCCCAGAGCTGAGCGGCTCGAAGGAGACATTGCCATCGAGACTGCGTCGACGCGACAGACTGGCGCCTAAGCTGACGATAGGACTCGTATCTCGCATGGACTCCAGGCTGCGAGACGAAGGGCTGATGGGTTGAGGAGGCATGGACGAGCTGGATGCAACGCCATGTTCAGGGATGGGGCTCATGTAGTTGATGGTTTGTCCATTCGGGTCTGGAGGACGCAGGCGCGCGCGTACGAACTCTTCCACGAGCAGGGCGGAGATATGCCAGGGTACACGCTTTCCCGTACGAGCGAGCGTGCGATCACGGAGGTGCTTAAGCCAAGTGAATGGCTCAGCAGTGTCGAGCGCGTTCTGTACGTCAGGCTCGAGGCGAGTATACCAGCCAACGACCTTCGTCAAGGCTAGCGGTTGCTTGCCTGGCTCAAGTGTTGCATTCAGTACGGTATAACGCCGCCCCAGCTGAGAGCGCGTAATCTCCGCTTTGCGAAGTGTCTGCGCAGACATGCTCACACGAGTTCGAGTGGTACGCTCTGTGGTGTATTCAGTACTTGGCGTCCTGTGACATGATGGAGACGAATTGACGCACCGTTCCACCGTGCAACCTGCCGATCTAACACCTCCTTTCCGGGCGTTGACTGATGGCGTTCTCGCTTCCTCTTCGGCATGCTGATCGGCCATTTCCGCTCGCTCCCCTCCTCCTGGGATGGATCCGGGCCCCAATCGAGAGTGCGGCCGTCATTGAAGGACAAGGGCACGGGATGCAGGTGATCCAAGCCGACCCGCGGGGCAAAATCAAGCTCGGACTCTACGCTGGCTTTGGCGAGGCGAGGAAAGTGTGCGGGTGAGACGGGTGCGCGAGTGGGTTCGGAGGGGAGGGATGAGGCGCTCGACACGGTGCGCATCGAGTCGACCTGCCGGGCTTCTCGGCGAGCCTTGAGCTTGAGCGCATGCTGGACTTCCTCCAAGATCTTCGGGTCTGAGACGCGCGTCAAGTAGTGCAGAGGGTAGTGTTAGCGGTATAGCACACCTTCATGGGCTACGAATACTGTCAGTATATGATGCTCGGGGAAGTCACGGGCACGCACATAGATCGTACTCGTCCGAGAACACGTTGGGCTCGTACTCGTCCAAGCCAGCTGGTGGCGCGTTGCTCATCGTGACTCTGCGCGGTCTGAGCTCGCTGTTGCGGTTATTGTCCGCGCCGGACGGTCTCCGGGGCTTGGAGTTCGCGCTGAGGGACTGCTGGCCGGCTAAAGCTGGGCTGGCGATGCGTTGTGAAACGACAGCCGAGCGCACGCGGCGGCGACGATCATCCTCGTAATAGCCAGCCGACGCAGCGAGCTGAGCGTGATTGTCCTCAAATAGCGTTTTACGGCCAGGAGGCTGACCCAAGCCAAGAGAAGAAGCCTGGGAGAACGACGTCTGCCGGGAGGAAGTTGACTCTGGGAAGCGCACTGCGCCGGACGACCCGGGCGTCCGCGACGAGGACGCCTCGGTGTCTGCTATCTGGATAGATCCTTCCACATGAGCCACCATAGAGCGGCAGAATAAAGACAGAGGTGGGGGTGGCAGTCAAGCTCGCTGTTCTCCTGTACGCCGCGTTCATGCCGCACTCCACTTCTTGCGAAACACGTGCTACCGCACATCCGCCTCTGATCTTGATGGCGTATGTTTCTACATTCATTGTGCATCCCTTCTAAGTACTGTAAAGATAACGTAATGGTAGCGTACGCAGTCAACGGTGACGATTGATAGCCACACGCCGGAAGTCACAGAAAGTCACAAGAACCAGAGGCTTCAGTACGTTTTCCCACATGCTCTGCCATGCCATCGACTGGTCCACCACCAGCTCACGTAGGGGTCTCTTCATACGGCGTCTCTCCTTGATGATGTTCACGAGCGCCTTCATTTCGCGTTCGGGAAAGTTGGGTTGTTGTTGATCACGACTCTCCACGTGGATATGGATGACCTCCAGGAGAGGGAGTAGCTTCATCTCCCGCATGCGCTCATCGACAGTCGCGAGGGCCTTAAGTAGTTCGACACCTCCACCGGCGTCGATTCCAAGTCGGCGCACCGCAGAAAGTGACTTGACAAAGTCACCGTCCCAAAGATGTTTCATGTCGGTCGCTGCATCGCGCGATATCGACAAGGCACGCACGTCGTGCATGGCCGGCAGCGTGAACAACATGTATCGGCTCAAAGATAGCGCTTCCTTGGGTTTACGATAGTCCTGATAATGCGATGAGACGCCAAAGTAAGTTGATCCATCGTGTTCAGGCGAGTGAGGCTCTTCCCGCGGAAAGCCTGTATAGCCCGCGAACGTTGTCCACTCGGATCGTGGAAGTTCGTGTTGGTGAAAGTGTAGACCGTCGGGGGATACGACGAGCTCCTGTGGAGAGCATATATCCCGCTGCTCACGTCCCGAACGATATAGGTGCTTCACTGCGACTTCCATAGCCTGTTGCGTGTTCCACTTGCGCCAGCGAGCCATAATAGCGCCCTGCTTTCGCTGCCACTTACTCCGGCGATGCTCACGCCGCTGCTTGTACCAGTCGTCGAGCCACCTCGACTCCAACTCCTCTTCTGTAGCGTCTGGATCATCCTCGTCGAACAGCCCGTACTGGCGCCGATGATCCTCGAGATCATATCGCCAGTCGGCCAAGTCCTCGTCAGAATCATAGTCCGAATCGCCTGAGTCGAAGTCCTCTGGGTCCCAGTCTGTATTGAAGCTGGCCGTGCCGGGCGCAGCAAAAGAGTACTCCTCTTCAGAGTTAGAGTCCTCTCGTGCCAAAACGACGGCATCGATTGTGCACTCCAGCGGCACGGTGAGATGCGAGAGTAACCGCAAGCACTCCATTTGACAGTATTTGGCCTCAAACTTTGCCATGCGACAGCTGCTCGGCAACGACACAATAGACGGCCTTACGTCCGAACCGATTGGGAAGACGTCGACGAGCTCGAGACGCTGCAAAGAGGTTGTGCGTGCCAGGACGTTTGCGAGTTGTTCAAAGGAGGGAAATGCGGCTGGCGGCAGGTCATCGGGACCGTATCCCGATAGCTTCAACTGTGTAAGGGACGAGTTGAACAGGCTGTGGTCCCAGGCCAACGCACAATTATTCAGACCGAGCCGCAAAAGCCGAGTCTCGCAGAGGAACTCTGGCGGTAGGAGAGGATCTTCGGATGTCTCCAGAGAGATGTTCAATTCCTTGAGGCAGTCCATCTTCGGCACCAGATGACGAGCAAGCTCGTCCAACTGGTCTCGCTCAGATTCTTCGAGGGAGAGGGAAGAGATACGGTGAAGGGTAGAGGGTTGTATCCATGCCGAAATGTTAGGAAAGGCGTTGTAGCCCATGAAGTGAAGGTCGAGGGGGAGAGTGCCCGAACGTTGTATGAAGGTTGGCACCACGTTTGACGAGTCGGCAATCTGATAGTGGACACGAGTCCAGAGCGCCGGAGTAGATATGGCGATCTGACAATCAGCATCAGTAAACACTGTAAACTCATCCGTGGGTCAAGACACAACGCACATCATACCAAGTGCTGCATATGAACAGCAGTTTCGCGTATCCAGGATCGAAGACAGAAGGTTCACGGAGGAGATGGCGCCACGATGGAGGCCATATATCCCTCACGGCTAGGAATATGTTCGACCATACATCGGTTGGGAGGCGAGACGCCGTTGAAAGCATGTTGCGCCGCTTCTTCGCCAGTGCCACAGCGTTTTCGAGGCACACAAGCTCATTCGCAATCCGTCGTTCATAGATGTCGAGCGACTCTCCGGGCCGGAGAGCAAGATCAGCCCCGAATCGCACGCCCACTAAAGAGGCCCAACGGTCGGATTCCCTGTGGCTTAGGTGAGTACTCCGGTACGCATCAGCCTCATATGCGGCCGGGTACCCACCGTGACGGTATATGGTGTTGCTCTTTGGCTATAACGACGGCTTTCTCAAGTTGTGCTAGCTCCTCATCGAGTTTGGCGACCTGCTGCTGGCGACTGGGCCGCCCTGGCTTGGGCACGACATCGACCTGGAAATGCAAATCGATCATCGAGGTCCAGAAGTCGCTACGTAAGTCATCAGTATACGAGCAATGCTCCGGGAACGTCGAGCTTACCAGTACTGAGTATCATTCAGCGGTGGCACGAGATCCGTCATCGCCAGTGCTAAGCGGTGGCGAGAGGGTGGTCAAGAGTGGAAGGAGTTGGCGGATAAGCAAAGCGGCCAGTCGGCCTTTTATGTTCGACTCTGACTTCAAAGGCCGGTGGCACGTCAAGGGGACCAGTTTCGCCATGCTGCTGCAACACGCGAGCGGCGCAAGGAAGGATATAATGGATCAACACATTCCGATGTAGTCAATGCGACAATGGACCTCCCATAATTAATAGATAGATACTTTCCAAAGAGAACAGAGATCACCCGAGCTCGGCCCACATATCCTCGTCATCTCTATTCTTGTTCGCGGCCGCGGCATGCGGCATATCGCGCTCCCCTCCCCATGCCTCTCGGCCTGTAGGCCCCGCATCGAACACGACATCCGCGGGGGCACCGTTCGATGCGCGCAGTGGTGCACGAAGCTCGTCTGACTCGTCGTCGGACGGGAGATCCATATCGACGCTGAAGCCTGCACGCCGCGCCGCGTTGAGATCGATGGGTTTGGGACGGGCCCATATGCTTTGACCGGATCTATGGAGGGTTCGCATCAGCGCATTGCTCAGCAAATGAGACGGGAATATGATGGTCTGTATTGAGGATAGGTACGCACTGTCTGACGACGCTCGCGAGACGGCCGAACTGGAGGACGTTACGCGCCACAAGTAGCAGTGTGTCGAGAATCTCCTCTTCCTTCGTTGCTGTGCCGCACCCAGCGAAGAAGATGACCATCAAGGTGACGACACTGAACACGGTCACAATCGCATCGAACACGTTGAAAGGGTACTTCCAGAACGCCTATACATAGAGTCAGCACCGGAACGACATACGCGGAAACAGGGCGCAAGATAGAGTACGCACGCGTCCGAATGAGAGGAATCGCACGGCAACCTCGCCAATCATAGTGACATTGACGATGACCTCGAGGATGTAGAAGGGTACACCAGGGCAGCCGTCCTTGAGCGAGAGCACGACGGTCGTTGCACTAAGCGCTGCCGTACACAAGTACAGTAGAATATAGGCGCGCGAATGCACGAATCTGTTCGCCAGTCCCCGCGTGATCTCACTCCGAGTCAAGGCATACATGGAGCGTCCCGGTCTGTCGTACGAGCACGAAATATGAGCACGCGAGCGGTATACGCGTAACTGCCGGAATACGCACCGTGCGCCCTGCGGAGAGCCATACTCGTTCGGAGGGAGAGTGCCGGCCTCGAGATCGTCGAGCGAGCCGTTCCCGGCCGGTATTCGGGACATGTTTCTGCGACTCAGCCTTGGAATAGAGCGCGTCGGGCGACGCGGAAGGGGTGCAAGTCAGACTCGGCGTCGGCGCGGATCCCGGGCGCGGCTCGGCGTTTGCCGAGCCAACTCTCATGCGCCGCGCGCCATGCTGTGAAGGCGCCTTGTCTCTCGCGGTCACCTCCTCGACCGTCTCTTGTTTTCGCTGCGGCGACACCGAACAACTCTTCTAGTATCTGAACCCAGGGCTATTATTCAATATGGGTGGCGGAGATTTGAACATGAAGAAGTCATGGCACCCGGTGCTCATGAAGAACCAGGAGAAGGTGTGGTTGAAGGAGAAGGAAGCGGTGCGTTTACTCTACCATGTTCTTTTCAACGGCATACTCAACACGACTCATCTCGTTTAGCTCGAAGAGAAGAAGAAACTCGACCAGCTGCGCAAGGAGAAGGAGGAAGAGCGGCAATTGCAGGAGCTACAACGATTACAGGAGGAACAAACGGGGAAGAAACGAACAGAGAAACTAGAATGGATGTATACGACACCGGCGGCGGGGACAACGACAAATGAAAGCGAGCTTGAGGATTACCTACTTGGCAAGAAGCGTGTTGACAAGATCTTGACTGCCGACGAGAACGCGAAGGTGCGCTCTGCTTCTTGTTTATCCATATTGAACCAGACTGACGACTGCTCACGGTAGCTCGGCGCGGCGCACAAGAACTTCATCGCCGTCCAGAATGCCAACAACGCTCGTGACATCGCGTCCAAGATCCGGGAGGACCCACTGTTCGCGATCAAGCAGCAGGAGGCTCAGGCGTACGAGTCGCTCATGAACAACCCTCTGCGTCTGCGCGAGATGCAGGCTCGCTCTGGCATTGTGCCGAAGGAGAAGAAAGATAAGAAGAGCAAGGAGGAGCGGAAGCGGGAGAAGAAGGAGAGGAAGGAGCGCGAGAAGGCGGAGCGGCACGGTGGCTCGCATGAGCGCAGGAGGTCGCCCAACCCGTACGAACGACGACGCTCGCCAAGTCCGCGCGAACGACATCGTCTGCCCAGTCCGCACGCACGACGCGATTGGCCCGACGAAGACCGCCGCAGTAGCCGATATGACGACGACCGCCGTTCTTCTGTTCGTTATGGGGACGACAAGTATGCACGCAGTGAACGCGATGAACGCCGCCCGCCATGGCCTCGCTCAGACGAAAGCGAGTCGCCGCCGCTGCGTGGCCGCAGCCGTAGTCCTCTTGGCCGGTCTAAGCGCGATCGCAGCCCTACTCGCGAGCGCTCGCCCTACGACTCGTACAGGAAACGCCCTCGCATTAGCCCGCCACCTCGCCGTCACAGCCCACCTCCCCGTGAACGCTCAGGACCCCCATCTCGCGCTGCGCCGTCGAATGCAACTGCATCGCGCGCTGAGGCGGACCGCGCAGCCCGTCTCGCCGCCATGCAGGGCAATGCAGCATCAATGGACGTTGAACGGAAAGAGCGTTTGAGCGCGATGCTCGAGAAGGAGAAGGAAGAGCTCGCCCGGGAAGAGGCCGCCCGCGCGAAGAGCGGTGGCGTGGGTAGCTTCTTGAGTGGCGAGAGCAGGAAGGTCTTTGGCGGACACGGTGATCTGGAGGATAGGTTGAAGAGGGGACGGGCGGGATTGGTCAGTGAGCGGTATTAGGCGCGACGACACTCGACCGGCAGTCCACCTCTGTTACAGTGACCGTGTATTGTCCGAGAACGTAGACGGGCTTCTCACTGTCTTGCCTTCTTCCCATCCACGTACTCGGTTTCTGTGGCTCGCTCTCGTGTTATTCTTAGCTGTACTGGCTGCGACTGTATTGTATGGGATCCCGTAACCATGGATCGTCCGGATATTGGATGCGGGTTCCGAAGTCGGAATCGAGCGGGGACCGTTGTATGTGGCCAGCTACTGACCGTCCCCACACCGGTGTGGCCCTGGCGCCGACTGGCATATTGTTCCTGTGTTCTCAGCGCCTCTCATGACGGCTTTTACGACCGAGTCTTGCGAGCCTGCAAGCCGCTTCGGGTGTGCTCAAACACTCTTTCGGCCCCTTCTCTTCGCGCAAATGCGGTAAACAGACCGCCCAAGAAGACAAGAAGACCGGGTGAAAACTCCGACTCGACCGCCATCGTTCAAGCGCATCATGTTCGTCCCGGAGATGACGAGATGGAAGATGATAGATGGGCCACACCGACCCCCTACACACTGCATTCATGTAGCCTCAAGCTTTCTGTTGGCAGAGCGCGGCATGGGGATGCGCGGTGTCCAAGCGCGGGTAGCGGGTGTGGGTCCGCGCTGTGGCTTGACAGGCCGCGTGTTTTTTAGAGTGGACAGGACGTGGGAAGGTGCCAGCGGAAGGGATCAAGAAGAGGTGATGGGATGATATGGGCTTTGGCGCCGGCGGCGGCTGCCCGATTTGCATGTTTATATTCCATTCATAGCAGTGCCCCTGCCTAGAGCAGACTGTGGTTGAGGTGTGGCCCATGAATGTTCATAGCGCCCGCAGATGGGCGGCGCCAGAGGGATTAACGGCGAGATGAGGGACGGATGGAAGCTGGAGATTAAATGGGTGGATCCAGGCACGGAGTCGATTGATGGGACCGAGACGGAAATGAGGGTAGAGTCGAGGTCGCCGGACGGGTTCGCTGTTGCAGCCAACGCTGATGCACAGCTGAACGATGCACTCGCCCCAACAGCCGCCTCAGAGGCCATGGTGGCAGCGCTCTGCCTCGTCCAGCAAACTCAACGGGTGAGTGTGCCTACCCCGCCCTTCGTGACGACCTTGGCTGAGGGTGTGCTAGCGAGAGCAGCGGCCGGGGCAAAAAGCTGACGAGCCTGGCGAGCACGCTGGGCTTGAAGAACCGGAAGAGCGGCAATCTGCGGCCGCCCAACAGCCCGCCGTCGCCTGTGCTGCCGTTGCACACGGGTCTGATGGAGCCGCCGTCGCCGCGTGCGCGGCCGTCGATGCCGAGCAGCTCGTCGCGGCCGACGACGCAGGCGAGCTGGGACGAGCCGCGGACGCCGAGCGACGCGGCCAAGCACGCGTCGCTGACGCAGTCCGTGCTGACGACGAGCGAGATGGACCCGTTCGCGGCGCAGTACATCCCCTCGTCCGCGTCCATGCTCGAGTCCCACGCTCTCTCCGTATTCGACGACGCAGACGAACACGACGACCGCGTGCCCGGCCACAAGGCTGACTTCACCCTCGCTTACAACAGACAGAGCTACACTTCCTCCTCAGAAGCTGACCACACCAACTCCCTCACCGCACCCCTCCGCACTCGCGCCTACCATCCACACATGCCGGACGTCCCCGACGATGTCGGCACCTCCCCGCCTCTGCTCTCCCCCGCATTCCCTGACGACGACTGGCGCCATTCGCGGTACGTGACCGCCCAAGCTTCCAATAAGTGCATCATATTGATCCCAATAAACAGAGCTACTACCGCTAGCGACAAAGTCATCCGCCACGAGCATTTCCTCCCGCTTGACGCCATGATGAACGAACCGCCTGTACCACAGATACGACCCAGCGCGTCCGCCTCGACGCTCCGCAAGGGTCGACCCCGCGGACTCACAGACGTAAACCGCGTCAATCCGATGCCCCCCAGCCCGACGGTCGTCATTCGCCAACCCAGCTTGCCGCGTATGATCCCGGCACCCCAAGCACCACCCCGCTCGAACCTCCCGCCTACACCCGCAGTGCCCAGCCAACATCTGCGCGAACCCAGCCCAGGCGATTCTTCTTCGTCTTCGGGCATCTCCTTTGCCTCGTCATCAGGCCTCCATCCCCCGCCCGGACAATTGGCCAAGGCGCTCAAGAAGGCCGTCTCTTCCCATTCTCTGAGCAAACGCGGCTCCGGCTCTTCGACCACACCGACCTCTCCGCCCTACGAACCCGACCATCCCGACCATCCCGGCAAAGCCGTCAAGAAGCAACGATCTTTCCATCACGCACGCATCCCACTCCCACCCTTACCTTCTGCGCTACGCCACACGGCTTCAACGGGTTCGGATGTCATGCCCACTCTTGCGCGGAACCCGAGCGCATCTAGCAATTCCCCCAGCGTGCTCTCCCAGACTATGGGCTCTCCGCAACTTGGCGCTGCTCGTCGACGTTTATTCTCCGGCTCCAGTCGCCGCTCGAATAGTTCTGCGCAAAGAGAACGCGACGATACAGATGTCCGCTCATTGTTCTCCCTCAACGGTGCCCCACCGGATGAAGTACGGCGCCCTGGCAGAGACAGCGAGCTATCCATCGCCACGCATACGACTGGAGCTGGCAGTTTTTGGGACGACGGCGAGCCCCCCGCCTCCCCCGGCGGCGAAAGAGAGAGGGAGAGAGACTACGCACCGCAGCATATCATGGCGCCCGCCGACATGCTCCGTCTCGAAGAGGCGCTCGGTGCCGACGCCACGGGTAGTCAAGCCGCCAAATTCATGCGCGAGCGTGGGAGAAGTTTCAATAGTGTACGGACGAGCCATAGCGGGACGTTCTCAGACGCGGCGGTCAGCACCGAGAGCGACGTACATTTCCCGGGAAGTCCTCAGAGTACCCTTGGCAGCCCTTACGGGAGTCCGTACACTGGCACCAGCAGCCCGCGTGTCGGTGTTGGCAGCCCAACATTCGGAACACCTCCGCAAGGCTTCGGCAGTCCACATACTGGCTATACTAGTCCGACTGGCCTCAGTCCGCATAGCCCACTCGCGCCTTCACCCGTACTCTCTCGCTCTAGTACACGCAATTCTCGGGATATCGGCCCGCCGCCTGTGCGTCGCGCAGACTCCCTTCTCCAGCGTACACTCGGTGTGCCCACGACACGCCCGCGTCGACCCAGCACGGCCAACGACGCACTCGATTCGCCTATAGCCCTATCCCGTGGCCCTTCAAATGCTTCGTCAATGATGTCCGCGCGGAGTAATGGACTTCCGCCCCCGCCACGTCGTGCGCGCGTGCCGAGTGCCGGTGCTGCCAGCGCACCAGTGTCAAGGCGGACCAGTACCGTTCCGATCCAGCCTTTATCCCCGCCACCCAAATGGCGCACTCCGCCTGGACCACGCTCCCGTGCACCAAGTGATGCGTCCTCTCGTCCTCCACCGGTCGCGGGGTCAGGCGTACACAAGTCCATCGCTCGTCGGCCGAGCTTTTTGGAAATCGCTGCTACGGAGGAGGATGAGGGCGCGGAGGGCGAGGATGAGCACGACAATATCGTGCAGCGTGGCAGCCCTGAGGAAGAAGACTACGGCGTTGAGCTCCAATCCGCACGGCGCCGACCCGCAGACTTAAGCATCGCTACACCTCCCGCTTCAGTGCGTAGCATGCGGGTTCCACATTCGGCCGGTGCCGGCCCGCCGCCGCAGAGTGCTTTCATGACTGGTCCGCCGAGCCTGGCGAGGGAGCCACCTGTAGTTGCCGTTGCAAGACAGCCGAGAGGGAGCATCGACGATTCTTTCTTGGATATGGGCAAGAGCTCTTTCGAGACTGTCCGAAGTGACGACGAAGATTACGGGCGATAGGCCCATCCATATCTGCCATATGCTAGACGACCCCGCCACGCCCCTGCGGCTCGTCCAGCCGCTGTACATAATCCCCGCCTGTTGGACCGTTCGCCGCTCGCTCGCCTACCCACGCTCTCTCATCTTGACTTATCAACTATTCCCGGTTGTTTTTATTCTCTGAATATACCTCCGCTCCCTCATTTACCCTTTTGCCTTGGTTCGGGACCTACTACTGTTAATGCCCCTTCAGCTTTCAGCCCTGTCCATGCTGTGCCGCTGCCCTAATGTGCTTGCTTTTTATTCGCTTCGCATCGTGACATACATTACGAGCCCCTTCGAGTTGCTTTCGTCATTGCATACCTGTCCATTCCAAAACAGCAGCGTTGCTTCCACACTCACTCTTCATACTTCTTCTTGATCATTACATACATACAGGCGTACCGCGCAAGGTTCTATACGTGTACTCGTGTTTTCTCTCTGTCGCGCATTCGCTCGGACATACCTTCATTGGCTCCTCATCGCACACATCTACTACTATCCCACTGGCCTTCTACGTATACATATATAACGGAACAAACCGCGCCGTCGCACTCTCCGGGTCCGCCAGGAATTATATCATAGACGGTTCAAAAGCCTCCGAAGTCGATCGAACATTTAGCGCCATAGCGCGCGCATCCATCTGGTAAGAGTAAGCAACCAATATCATTGAGATCCTATTGATAGTATCGTCCTCCACATACCGCATTCCATCCAAGCCACAACAACTACAAAGTATCTACGCCGTCTCATCATTAACATGGTACCCTGCCCTGCGCATCGCACCAAGCCTATGCCTCGCAGCGCCCAGCTCCTTCTCCAACTTCAAGATCTCGACCTGCTGCTCCATCTCCGCGCGCTTGAACTCAAGCGTGGCCATGCTGGCGTAGTCCACGTCCTCCTGCTCGACTTGCTTCGCGCTGATGGCGCGGACCTGCCTGACGAGACCCTTGCATGCATCCGTGACGGCTTTCGCGGCCAGCTCGAGGTTCTCCTGCGTCTTGCTCATCAAGTTCGCTTTGACGCGCGAGGCGGCGACCAGCTGCGCGGTGCTCGCGGCCACCTCGTTTGACGCGACGATGAGCTGCTCGAGGCTGTGCGTGCCGCTCAGCACACCATCAGCAGCTTCGATGAGCGTGTTGGTAGCGAACGCGACGGCGCGTGCGGCGGAGATGAGACCCTCAGTCCAGCGTGAGTTACGCTTGTAGAACTGCTGGCTTCCGCCTGAACCCTTGCCCTGCGCGACGATCTCCTGCTGACTCTCGGTTGCACGCTGAATGAGCAGCGCGATCGCACTGGTGATACCGAGCGCGGCGGCCAGAATCGTGTCGTGCACTTGCAAGTCGCCGGCGCTGAAGCGGGACGTGTCGCGCGGGCGATTCATGAGTTCCTCGAGCCTTTGAGTGGCCTTCGCGATGGCCTCGGCGGCGGAGCTCATGGTCTGCTGGACAATGTCGCCGATATCACCTGTAGCCTTGCCCAGCGCGGATTTGCCCTTGGGGATAAGCGCATCCACAGCCTCGGAGAGCTTCGTGAGCGCACTGCGCGCGTTGCTGTTCTGCGTGATCGCGACATTGCCACGCGAGCTGCGTGGGAGCGGGTCAATCCTGAAGGACTGGAGCGCATCGAAGAAGCGCAGGCCGACGTCTCCCGCTGTGCGCGCGACGCCGATGAGCTTGTCGGCCGCATCGTCGTCGTTAGCAAGGCGCGTGAGACCCTTGGTCGCGCCGAGCGTCTCCGTCATGGACTGTGCGAACTCATTGGCTGCCTTGATGACCTCCACGTGCTCGCCACCGGCCTGACCGTCGAGGTAGAGGTTGAAGACGGTCGCGAGGTCCGTTGCGGTGCCGAGAGCCTTCTCAATGACCGACAGCGTGTACTCGGGCGTTGAGTTCTGATTTCCGACCTGTGTCGGCGACTCGAGGTTGTAGATCGCCTCATCCACCTTCTGTACGCAAGCCTGGAGAATGGAGTCTGTGACATAGTAATCAGTACACAAGGTGCACGTCGTTCTTACGACACCACAAACCGATGATCTGGTTGAGCTTCTTCCGTTGGTCCAAGAGAAGCGTGTCGATCTGGACGTTCGTTGCCTCCTCAGTCAAGCCCTGGGTCTTGGGAACTCGTTAGCGCTTGAGCTACTAGAGCTCAGAATGTCCCGTACCTGTTGTGCCTCAGACAGCTGTTGGATCGTGGCGTCGAGCGTCTCCTGAAGAATTGCGATCTCCTGATCCTTTTCCTCTCGCAATCGCTCGACGTCGCTCCCGGCACCGTCGATCTTAGAGAGGAGATCCTCGATCTGGAGCTGCTTCGCACGAAGCGAATCCTCGAGCTCGTTGATCTGTCGGTTGTACTTGCCGAGTACACTCGAAACCTCTGAGCTCTTACTCCTGCTCGCGTCCTCCGCACGCTCATTCGCATAGTTAATCTCGCGCCGCAAGCGGTCGATCTCATCCTTGTGCGACGCCTTCATCCGGTCGACTTCGAACCGCGCACGATCGCGCTCGCGCAACATATCCGCAAGCTCGAGGTTCTTCGCCTTGATGTCGCGCTCCATACGCTCCATGCGGTCAATCGCTTCCTGCGCCGAGTTGGCCTTGAGCTGCATCTGCTTGAACTTGGAGAGCATGTCCAGGTGCTCCGTACGCAGCTGGCTGTATAGCTTGGCAAGCGACTCGTACTTGTTCCGCCAGAGTTGTACTTGGTCTTGGAGTTGCTTGATCAAATCGTCCTTGGACATGAGCTGGGCGCCGACGTTCGCCGTGACGGCTTGCAGTTCGCCTTCCAGAGCCCTGACTCTCTGCGATTTGGGATCAATACTGACGTGATCATGATGAGTGAGCAGATCATACCCTGTCGTACTGCTCAAGCATGAGTTGGTCACGTTCATACTGTCCGCGCATAGCTAGAAGCTCCTGCTCGAGCTGTGCAGCGGCCGCCTGGGCCTGGTTGTTGATCTGGAACGCCTGTTGTTGCAGGAGCTGCTCTTGTGCCAACCGCTGAGCCTGCTCTTGCTCGCGTTGGCGAGCCTCAAACTCGAGCTGTGCCTGTTGCTGCTGGCGCAACCGCTCAGCCTCTTCGGCTTGACGTTGCGCGACCAAAGCAGCCTGCTGATCCTCATACTGCTTGAGCATCCGCGCTTGTTCGTTGATGTCGATCGAGGGCGAAGGTGCTGACGGAGGGGGAGTAGGCGGCTTCAGGTTTGCGGTCTTCGGCCGTGCGGGAAGGTCTGGCACGTCTCCGCTATCAAAGAGGTTGGGCGGTTCCTGCGATCTATGTGAGGAACGAATATGATTTCTTGCATCGTTTGCATACCTGGCCAAGCTTGGGAACGTTGATCAGACCGGTAAGGTACTTCAAGTTGGAGCACTCGTAGTAGAACTTGCGCAGGCCATAGTGCTGGGCATTGTAACGTTCGCGCAGAGGAGCGAGCGCATCGGCATCGTCCGTACGACGATGCATAGCGCGCATCATGCTTGTGATGAATCGATAAATCCCCCAGCTCTCTTTGACAAGCGGTACGAGCGCCGAGATCCTACATTCATTGTTTGCTGAATGACGGAAATGGGCAAAGACGAGCTTTTGGAACGAGTCGATCTGGTCTTGAAGGTTCATGAGGTCCGAGATCGTCTCGTACCTGTGAACCAGTCAGGTCGATGCGCGTCATTGAGGACGAATAAGGCACTCACCCTTCATTCGGGTCGTCGATGCCTTTGAGTGTGATGTATTCCTCGTACTCAAAGAGGCCATTGAACTCCGGGCGAAGGCGATGGAAGCGTAACTTCGAAAGCAGGAACTGTACATATGTGCGAATGAGCGGACCATAACCTATATGTGATAGTACGTGAGAGACGGGACAGTACACAAGTCAACGGATAACTTACCGCGTCCACCTGCATCCTGACCAGTGGTACGGGCGCATGTCTCAAGCCAGCCGGTCTGACTGTGAGCCTCCTTGAGTGTCTGTAACCGGCATCAGTCGCGTCGCCGGCGCATGATAGCATTCATTCGCGCACGTTCGGGTGACCCTCCTGGAGGACCTTGTGCACGGTAATAAGCCCCTTGAACGTCTGAACTTCGTCAGACAGTATGGGTTGCACGCGCAGACCGGACCAGAAGGAGATGGAAGAGTGGTAGTCCCAAGTGAATACGATGCACTCTGATGGAAGATGTAAGCAATTGGCGCGCATAAATGTTGCACATCCACATACTTCGGACGTGTTTCTGCTTCGGGGCCGTCTCGTCCGGGCTTGTGGCCTTCTTGATGTTCACGACGAGCTCGGCCTCGGCCTTGTCCTTGTCGACGGGCCGTGTGGGGAAGTGGACCTCCTCGTGCCCGTCTATATCGAATGTCGCCGGTCGTCTGTTGTACGACCTATAGTATATTCAGTACGATGCATGGTAGCTATAGCAGATCAGGCTCACATGGCCGATAGATGGTGGTGGGACGCAAGTACGAGGCAGTGAGGATCGAGACGCGGGCGCAGCTCAAGTCAGAAGCGCGCGCTCGTTCGCGGCCGGCTCGGCGTGACGTCTGCTTTGTTCTCCCATGCTCTCTTGCCTCAGGCGACCGCTACTGGCTCAGAATGCACTGCGCTTTACAAGGACACCAGCGCTAAGAAACGCTGCGCGCCATGAACATACAGCTGTAACTGTGCGCGGCACGCCTGCGCCGTACGCGGCCAAGCGGACCAGCTACTTCAACCCGACACTCATCCTCATTGGCACCGTACCCATCTTCGCGTTCGCGCTCGGCGTGTGGCAGGTCAAAAGGCTGAAATGGAAGATCAACCTCATTGATGAGTTGACCGAGAAGCTACACCGCGAACCCATCGTGCTCCCCGGCCAAGTCAAGTGCGTTCCTTCGAGTGCCCTTGTTCTGACAAGCCAATTGATGTCTCCACCGCACAGCCTCGAGACTATCCAAGAATTCCTCTACCGAAAAGTGATCGTGCGCGGGCAATGGGATCACGAACACGCCATGCTCCTTGGTCCGCGCGTGCTCGACGGCAAGATGGGCTTCCATCTATTTACCCCGCTTATTCGAGGTGATGGCTCTACTGTATTGGTAGACCGGGGCTGGATATCCGAGGACTTCTCAACAAAGGGCATGCGAAATGAACCAACAGGCGTTGTCGAGGTTCGAGGGCTCCTTCGTGCCACACAGGCACGGAACTCGTTTACTCCGGACAACCACCCGGAAAAGGGTGAATGGTTCTGGGCTGATCTTGATGCCATGGTCGACTACGCGGGAGGCGAGAAGGCAGGCGTGCAACCCGTGTTGATCGAGGAGATGTTCGGTTTGTCCTTTTTCCTACCTTCCAACTCAGTGCCACAGCTAAACCCATATATAGAGGGGCACGGGGGAGATGCTACTCAGCGGAAACAGACCGGTATACCGTTGGGAAAGGTTCCAGTAGTCGACCTTCGCAACTCGCACTTATCATACGCCATCACTTGGTACGGCTTTGAACCACACTTTCCAATGACACGCGCTGACCTACCACCTCGCAGGTTCTCCCTCTCCGCCTTCACCTCATATATGTTTGTTAGTATACTCCGCAAGCGTGGGATACGGGCATACCGGCCGATGAAACGGTAGCACGACACTGTATATGCCAATCATTGTCTACATTATGTTCAGCAACCCGGCGAAGTCCGAAATCTCCTATTCCCGGTCTATTATCTGGCTGCGCGTGCACAAACGCGACCATCAGACGGTAAACAAGCGAGGCTACGACGCGTGTCGATTGTTCAAAGGCGTGGACAATGGGCACCTTCGACCCGTGGCCTCAGACAACCACAGAGTCGCCATATATATGACAACTGACAGCTTGCCTTCCCGCGCCACCCTCCCCCCCTGTTGGTCCACCCTACCCGCTTTGCATCGCAATGTCGAGCATGCTCTTCTCCTCGCAGCCCATCACGCCCTCGCCGCTCTCACGTGCTCTGGCCGTCGATGGCGACGTTCTTGAACATGTGCGCGTCCGCGCTGTGAAGCACGGTGCGCATTTGGCTGTCTATGTAGCATAAGTCTGGTCTCTGACGCAATACCCCGTAGACTTGCCACCGCGTAATCCGCGTTCACGGAGCTCGTCGCAGTCCTCCGTGTCGTCCTCGTCGTCGTTTTCATCCGGCGCAACCTCCCCAAACGCCACCACCACAATCTCGCCCGACAAGCGACAGTCCTATGGGGACTTCATAAACGCCTTCCTGCCCTCCTCGCCAAATTACCACTATCGTCCTCCATTCTCTCGACGTGGCTCTATGTCCTCCATAGCCTCCGTGTCCAGCGAGGACGACCAAACCATCACCCCTATCCGGCTCATCCATGCCGTTGAACCTTCACGCGATATCGCTCAGGCGTTTAATGAGTCTAAGCCCAACGCATCGTACCGAGATTCGACTGCGCCGCTAGCATTCCCGCGACTTACGCCTCCTGGCTCACCGTCGCCTTATCTTGCCGTTAGTCGCCGCGGAAGCGCACAATCCCTTGCATCTCGCATCAGCCGGGAAAGTCTCCGCCGCCCACAAACTGCCGTGAGCCTACCGACGGAGGACTTGTACTACACGCCGCCGCAGAGCCCTTTCTCTGCAGCGAGACGGGCGTTACAAGCTTCTGATCCTGGTCCTATCGAGGAGGAGGAGGACATCACTGCTTGTTACAACGTACTTGGCTTTAAAGGCTTCGGGCTCTAGGGCGGCTTGTGCCATTCGGGGCCGTTACAATCATATACTTTACATACTTAGATTCTACCTCATATGATACCAATATCACTATTCTCAACATTGCCTCATTCTCTGTTCATATTCACGATGGTACATATATCAAAGAAGATTCGTGCTGAAGAGTCTGACTTGCGCATCACATTGGCACGGATAATCGCAGGCTGCTTAACTTTCAATGTACTTCGCGCGACGGCATTTGACGAGACGTCTTGCCTTCCAGACGCTAATTCGCTGAGGTCTGTTCATGCCGTTTGCAGCCGCCGGCACTCGATCCGATGCCTTTCTTTCCAATCTCTAGAAGTCGGCGTTAGTTGCCATCGCAAAGGACCTGGGAATGGTGATGTATTGACCTTTTCTGGCACTCTCGGGAGCAATACCTCTCCTCTTGACACCCTTTGCACATAGACAGCGCGTTCTCCGCCGGAATGAGATGATATTGGCAAGGCGGATTCGAACACGTCCGATCAAGCTGCAGTAAGCCGACCGCTTCGCGGAGTCCGAGGCACTTGCCGACCTCCACCCAGTACCGGACGAGTTGTCTGTAGGAGATCTCCAGACCGTACTTTGAGCGTGCGTCGCGGAGGAGTTTGGCAGTATGTATCCACCCGTCGCGGGCGCCATCCCCATACGCTTTCCGGAAAACCAAAGCGGCATCCCTCTTTGCTTGCACTCCGGATGCGATGTGTGCTGTCAGCGAAGCAGTCTGACTGTAGATCACCCCGAGGCGCTCGTCGATCTCTAAGGCGCTTTTGAGATTGGAAACTGGCACAGAAACAAGTTCACTGACTAGATATTGCCGTAGCCGTCGCTCCTGCATTCAAACCCGCTTGTATAGTCTTCTGTCTCCATATCTCGAGCATCATAGTCACCCCCCGCGCCTGAAGGTCGAGCCACGCCCCTGTTATCTCGCAGGCACGTGCATAGGTCATCCTGACCAACGCCTCGTGAGGTATACTATTGAGTAGTTCACATGCAAAACCCTCCCACAACACAGGATAATGCGACTCACAAACACAACTTGTACAATGTCTGCCAAATCTGCATATTTTGAGTCCACCGAACTGGTACGAGGGGTTCGCCAATATTCCCCTCTAGCTGCCTGTCTAGTGCGCGCAAGCCATCTTGGATAAGCGTCAGAGGGTCACGGTAGACTATGAGTAGACATTCAGGGACGTCGCTGATCACGGTATCCATGGTTTTCGCAAATGCTTCCAGAGGCCGATTGATCTTCGAGGAACGGAAGATCACCAGCCCGAGAACGTCCATGAGTTTGTCTGGCCCGAGTGCCTTCACGATCTCCCTCAACCAGCGGCTACAAGCGACCCCCCCACGAGTGGTACAGAGGTGAGAATACACGGTATCGAATGCCCCGAGATCGCGCTCCGCGGCCGTCTCTCTCAGTAGTATTGGCTCTCTGTTGCATAGAGTCCATAGAGAAAGGTGGGCCAACTTTCCGTTCTCGAGAAGTCGACCCGGGAGTCTGCTGTGACCGAACACTCGTCAGTTCCCTCGTTGCGCGCTCTCACACAAGACTCACAGGCAATTGTGTATGTAGGCAAGGTCGTGCGCCGTCCTTCCGAGGAGGTTGACAAATATATGTTGACCTAGCTGCTCCCTACTCTCCCAGAGCATAGTATAAAGTTTGCTGAACTTCTCGAAGTAGAGATTGGCGAACGCGGAAGAGATGCCATCGCGATGCTTCTCTGGTCCTTTGCCGAGCTCTTGCGACCAGATGTATGTGAAGGTGATGAGGCATTGTAGCATTTTCTCCGTGAGCTGCGCAAGGAAAGTTAGACAATCGCTCTGAGCAGTCGAAGAGGTCATAATATGCGTACAGTATCATCTAGGGGATTGCGCTCTAAGGTGACATCCAGCCAGAACAGTGGCAATTCGGTGTTGACAAAGGCGAACCAGATGTCAGCGCTAATGGATTCAACGCCCACAGAGAACCCGTTGAGAAAATCCCTACGGCTGACGAGTGGCTGGTCGGGGAATACATGTGCTTCCCAATCTTTGTAGGTGAGCGTAGATCCCAGGATCTGAGTAGCCTCAAAGAAGTACAACTCGTCTGTCTTAGACCAGCGCTCTCGGGTGGCATAGAGTGCGCGGTACCGGTCAATAGCGGCGGTAGGGGCCGAGCGCAAGTCGCGACTAAAGGCTCGATGGTTCTCCGTACAGTCGCGGAACTGGAACGACGAAGGTATCACCGTAGCCATGGGCGTTTGTGGCAAGTGCGCTTCACCCGTCCTTCACGCTAAGCCATCACACATAGAACAAAGGGGCCGCAAACGGCCGAGGGAGGTGTGATTGATAACAACCAGCGCTCGTGATCATGGTGGTTTAGAACAAGCCTCAAGGCGGAGCGGCAAGTGCCGGTGTATGCGGTGTGACACCGACGTTACACGGTGTGCCTGGGTGTTGTTGACGAAATGGCATGGCGCGCGGGAGGTTTGGTTCGGCGAAACGCCCCTCTCCTCCGCCTCCGATGGTCACCAGCCTCGACCTCGCCGCAGCGGACCTCCCCACCCGTCGCGCTCTCGACGGTCTCTCGCTCGCCGTCGCAAAAAGCAAGCGCATCGTCGTCGTCACCGGCGCGGGAATATCATGTAGTTGTGGCATCCCCGTTCGTAGCCTTCACCTTGTCTTGCGACCTCCAGCTAACCACCGCAAAATTCCCACTTTACCACAGGACTTTCGCTCGTCAGATGGACTGTACAATCTAGTGAAGAAGCAGTATCCGAACGTGGTCATGAAGGGCAGAGATCTATTCGACGCTACGCTATTCCGCGACGCCGATTCGACTGCTGTTTTCTATACCTTCATATCGGAGCTCAAACGCTCGATTGACGCTGCCTCCCCGTCACCCACGCATGACTTCATCAAAACGCTGGATAGCAAGAAGAAGCTATTGCGGTCATATACCCAGAACATCGATGGTCTCGAGGAGCGGGCAGGTCTTGTCGGGAGCTCTGCACCTGAAGCCCGTGCAGTCCCGAGCAAAGGCTCTACCGCCGCTGGGAAACTACGTGTGAAGGACGTCCGGAACGTCCAGCTTCACGGCGATATACACCGCGTACGATGCACCTTCTGCTCTGTCGACCTTCCGTGTACGGAAGAACATCTGCGGTTATTTGGCCTAGGCCAGGCTCCGGACTGCCCCGAATGCGCGTTCCGCGGTATGTCGCATTCAACTGCTTATCTTTCACGCGCATATGCTTAGGGTCTGCCCGACTTGTAGCCCAGGAGCGTGTGGCGCGCTCGGCGCGACCGATCAAAATCGGTACTCTTCGCCCTGCAATCGTGTTGTATGACGAGCCTCATCCCTTGGGGGACGACATCGGGGCGATACAAACATCCGATATGTCGCGTCGCCCGGATTTGCTTGTCGTCATGGGCACTTCTCTCAAGGTCCATGGCCTTCGGCGTCTAGTCCGTGAGTTCGCGAAGGTGGTGCATGCAGGGGCGCCAGAGGGAAAGAAATCGCAGTACGCGTACAAGGTGGTGTTTGTCAACAAGACGCCACCTGGGAGCGAATGGGCAGGAATCATCGATTATCATGTCGGAGGCGAGACAGACGCGTGGGCTGGTCGTGTTCTGGACGACTGGAAGCGCGCTCGCCCGGCAGATTGGGAGGTGCAGCAGACGCTTGACGGCGACGGTGTGTTTCGCCACGTAAAGGAGGGCGCCGCGACCACGGGGAAGGGAAAGGGGAAGGGAAAAGGCGAGTGACGGCGTCTCATCTTCCTCATGTCATACAGCCCAGCTGACTATCCACGCAGCGAAGAAGCCCTTCTCTATAGTAGCAGTTGGTCCGGAGAACATTCCGCCGTCGCAAGGTGACCCCGCGTCGACGTTGTGTACAAAGCCCGCGCCACCGGGCACACCGAAGCGCCGCAAGTCGGTCTCGCACTACGAGGCGGGTGGTGGCAGTCCCACGAAGCGTCGCGAACTGGAGCCCCTGCGCATTGAGATTACTAAGGGTGGGATGGACGCGCTCGGGCAGGGCTTACTGGAGAAGACCTTGTTTGCGAACAAGACGAACGCGGTCACCGTCATGGAATCCGGAGATCGCAGAGGTCGTGGGCGGCCGAAGGGGAAGGGTAAAGCCCCAGCGACGGATGGGAAGCCGAAGGCGAAGGGCGTCAAGCGGACGGCGAGCTCGGTTGACACACCGCGGCGTGCGAAGGCAGCGCCGCCCGCGAACAGACGGAAGGTGGAGGTCTCTCTGAAGCGTGCAGCCTCTACAGTTGGTCTGCGTAGTAGCCAACGCACACGTCAACCACAAGTGGAAGCCGAGATCGAGGTCGACGTGTTCTCATGAAACAATGTTGAAGGCGTACTTTTCGGACCTTCTCACTCACTTGTCTCCTCGTCGCACATCGCATACGCACACAATTGTATCATCGCATTGTTTGTTCGTAGTTGGACAGGTCAGGACAGAACAGTGCTGTACTATATGTTTATTTCTGTAATTATACCGTTGCTCGCAGGGCGGGAATGTTCATACAGTTTTGTTACGACCCATCGCCCCGGCCTCTCGCGCTTTAGCGGTATCTTCGCGGCGGACAGAGGCTACGATCAATGGATTGAGGTAAGCGGTGATACGGTAAAAAATCGCGGTTATAGGCATAGAGCCAAGATGATGGGTTTGGGTAGCGCGTGAATAAATCTAGATGGCAGGCGTGCGGGAGGATAGCAAAGCAAGAGTACAAAGCCCGGGAGTAGTGCGAGTAGAGAAAGCAGTGCAGACAAGGAGTGCGCTCAGTCGCAGATGAGTTCGGACACCCTCCAGTCCTCGAAGCTGCCGTCAGGTAGGTAGCGTCGAATGATAAGCGGGATTTTTCGTTGGGAGAGCTCCTTGATGGCGATCTGCAGGGCATCTGTCTCTCCGTCGAGCGGCACGAGGATGGGTGCGTTCATGCTGATTGAATTTGACTCAATATAGGAACGCCGAAGAGGGATGCGTGGTAAACTATTGCATACCTGATTTGCAGCGCACGAGTGCCCAGGATACGCGCTCGTTCGTATTTGGTCAGATACGGTGTTGTGATTCGCTCCTTATTGGGTTGCCGTTCTGGTACTGCGCCCGCGTCCGGTCCTGCTCCTCCACTCGCCGGCTGTGCGTCGCCGTTCGCGTCGCCACCCTCCCCAGTGCCATTCATTGTCACATCGCCGTCGCCTCCCTCTCCTTCTTGCTGAGCAAAATCGTAGTCTTGGTCCTATGTTGTAGTATTAGTCCTTGGTCTCAACGAGGTAATGTTACGCGTACGAAGGTCTCCTCGCCAAACCCGCCCCCTCCATAGTCATAAGAGTCTCCGCCACCGCCGCCGTACTCGTCGTCAGACATTTTGAGGTTAAAGACAGAAATAGGCCGGCGGCGAGCGTCGACTGAGTGATGGTCGAGGGCAAAGTGCGCTCGTGCGCTCGTCAAAGCCGCGTGCCGAGATCCCGGCGGGCTGAAAACGAGCAGGTGACTTCCACTTCGAGTCGTCTTCGCTCCTTCTTTCGCGCCGACGTCGACGAGGCCGATGACAGGCTTCATTCATGACACGAGGCTCGCGCGTCTGCCGCGAGCTCACAAGGGCCGGCGTACAGGCGCCTTGTCTCAGATTTCATCGGTTCTTCAATTCTTGGCTGGCATGCGATGCGCGAAGATCAACCACCGACGAGGTTCGCTGGCACGCTCGCAGCTACACTTCCTGCTTGTCCCCTTCTCGTCTTCGATTTATGGTACAGGGCGGATCGCGGTCTCACCATTTGCTCCGAACACAGTAACACGATTGCCTAATCTATACATGGCGTCCGACTTAAGGTAACATGGACGGATGGGTGTGAATGTCAGGGAGGCGTACGCCACGCGAGCGCAATGATATCTGCCTTTTCTTCTGCTCCAGCTCGTCTTTCTCGACGACGACGACGAGCAGGAGGATCTAGTCGGCCCATCTATCTCCTCCATCTATGCCCGGCAAACACAACCTCCCGCCCAGTAAGACGTGGGGCACCCGCTTCGACTCCCTCCGTACAGTCCCAGCCTCCCCGCCGCCGCTCAAGATCACGACTGCCAGCGCAGCACTGGCCCATGTGCCTTCCACCCCGGCTAAGAATACCCTAAGCTCGAACGACAGCACCGTTTTCGTAGGAAGGTACGCGCGTGACTTATTCGGACTAGTACCCTTCCTCATATCTTACGCGCCGCATTCAGCCTCCCGCCCAACGTTGACCACGTTGAGATCAGCCACCGCCTCGCAGATCACCTCCAGGACTATGCTGACATCAAAAAGGTCAAAGTTATCCGCGACCATCGCGGCGGCGCCTGCGCCTTCATCCAGTGCAAGGCAAGTCTCTTGCCGTGCGTATATACGCGTCTTTGTGTGTGTTGACTTCTCTTCAGGACTCGGACGCCGCCAAGCAGTTCATACGCGACGTTCATGCGCGTCCGCCGCCGCCGTTCTTGGGCCGCAACCTCCGCTTCGAACAGGCCCGGTCTTCGCGTACCCTCCTCTTCTCCTATCGGTATCCTGATCTCTCTTCAATCCATTTAAGTATCCGGCTCACGATGTCCTAGCGCGCCCCTACGTGTGCTCGACGATCTGGGCAATGTTGAGCACCTTGAGCCCGCAGGCGCGATGCGCTTATTTCGACCTCCTGGCGAGCGGCATGTAGACTTCACGCGATACGAGAACTTCTCAATGACCATCCGCGTTCAGATACATTGCTCCTCTGTATAACGCCGAGGCTATCCACTTCCAAACGCACCTAAATCAGGTCGTTGAACCCGCAAGTCCGTTTGATAATGGCGGACTGCTCTTCGCACCCCTTCGCTACGACGCCCAGGTATGGATCGGTATGATTCGCAAATTGCGACACACCATGATCTCACGCTCAGTTCGCAGACACTTCATACGATTGTCTCCGCGTTCGGTCCCATTGAACACCTCCTTCCCTACCAACCGGACACCCTAGGTAGGCAGTATACCCTTCCGTTCAGAACTGCATTTCGTCCTCATTGGCTTCGACAGACGGCTCGTACCCTTCTCCCCACGATGCACTTCGCTCTCCGGTCATGGACCCTACTTGCTGGGAAGTCAAGTGGGAGCAACGCGAGGATAGCATGGCCGCTCTCATGGTGAGTACCGCCTTCGCATAATGCAAGTCTAGTATTCATTGCCGTCGTCATCTTTGTCTAGGCTCTACGCGCTGTGCCACACATCTCAGTCTCGTGGGCTCATCTGGCCGGCCAACGACCTGGCGAATTGTTGGCGTCGCCTTTCACTCCTTCAGTTCGTCTTCATCCCTATGTTGGAACTCCCTCGACGTGGATATCGCCTCTTCGCATACATGACACCAGATCCGGTCATATGATGATCAAACCAATGGCTCCGCTTACTCTTCTACCCCCCGCTGAGTCTGATGGTGAAGGAGAGACCAACACGGCCGCGGCCACTTACGCGCCTACGCCTCGTGCCAGCATCGATGCTGGCACTCCTGACGATGATGAGTCCGAACCGGCCATGATGGGTACTCCAGCTGCACAATTGCGGCGCGCTGCGACAACGCCACATTCGGCCGTCAGTGTACTCGCCAGCGGAAGCCCTGTACGAGTGACGGCTAGCTTGCGTACGATTCATGATCAGGCACCTTATCATGAAGACCATGCAGCTAGCGGTCCACAACACAAGTAAGCATGGGCTCATCATGAATATTGAATACCTCCGCTGACCTTTCTCTTTAGCATGACAGCACCTATGCTCACACTTGACACGGCTATGCATGCTGCGACGCAAGGCCGTGTTTCTCTCGAAGAGGCCTTCCGTGCGCTCGCTGTCTCGCGCAACACGTCCGCGGATGACTCGACCACTATGTTGACGCCTACGAGTGCCGCTGCGCCTATGGAGACGCCCGACACGCCGCACGAGTTGCATCAGTTCCAAGACAGCGATTGCCGGGACGAGAGTGATAAGCCCGCCATACGCTCACTCCCGCCTCACATTGCGCTCTCCACCAAGCAGAAACTTGATCATTCAACTATCTTTGTTGGCGGCTTGGAGATGTACGGTCCAAACGCCTGGAACGAGGACCGCATTCAGGATATATTTGGCTGCTACGGTGAGATCGAAAACATCAAGTTCATCCGTCCCAGTAAGTTCATCCCGCTCTATGGGAGCCACAGAGTCTGACTTTCAAGCAGGTACAAAGAAGTCGGCTTTCGCATTTGTGCGATTCTGCGATACAGAGTCCTCCGCGCGTGCTGTCAAACTGGAGGTATGTTCGTCTTGAGCAATCTCTATCTCATGAGCTAACGTCGACCCGAATAGCACAACAAGACGTACCATAACCGCCAGATTCGCGTCCAAATTCGCGAGCATAACCCGCAGCGGCCCGTATTCGCCTTCTCGCGTGCGGCGACGGCTGCTATCGCCCAGCGCACGCAACAACAACAGCCTCGTCAGCGCTGGCCGAGTACCGAGCAACAACGTGCCGCGCAGCTTCAAGCTCAGCCAATGCGTCCGCCGCTGCCGCCGCGCCATTCATCAAGCAGTGCTGCATCGTTGGCTGCGAGCCCGACCCGCTCCGTTACCTCAACGCGTCCCTCATCGATCGTCGTGGCTACGCCGGACCCGTTCGTCGTCAACCCGCACGCTCAGCAGCAGCAGCACATGCAGAATCAACCCCAGACCGCCACTCCTGCCCGTGCACCGCTCTCTGTGCAACAGCCACCGACGCCGATGACTACCTCCCAGTCGCAGAATGTGGGACAACCGTCCAGCGCAGGGTATTTCGTGCCGCATCAATACATGATGCCTCCATTCGCGTATCAAATGCCGTTCGCACCCTATCCCAACTTCGTTCCTCCTCCGCAAGGACACGGTCACGAAGCTGGAACACCGCCCGTTGGGATTCCGCCTGGCGCTCAGCTCTTCTCATATCCGTACCCGGTGGTTGCGCCCGCGCTGCCTTCCACAGAGCGCCCGTCCTCTGCTAGCGAGCACCAGCGCCCGGGCCAAATCCCTCCACTCATGCCGACCTCCTTCGTGCAGGGAGAGCATGGTCTTATGCCCGTCTACTCTCCCGAGGCTCTCGATCGCTATATGCACATGATGCACGCCCACACCTCAGGTGGGCCCTCAACGCCCGGATCGCACGAACGACCACCGTATCCCACTCAGGCTGGATCGATACCTGGATGGCCCGGTATCATGTATGGGTACCCGCCCCCGATGCCCCCCGCGAGCCCAAGCCACGCGCACAGTATGAGTTGGTATCCTCCCGTTCCGTTCGGCATGCCATACAACAACGCAGCTCCTGTTGCCTCTGGGACTGTACCGGGCCAGCCGCTGGCGCCTATCAACGTGAATGCGCTCATCCCAGCAAGCTGTCCCCCATCTGTTCCTAGCCAACCCGGTGGTCGTGCAGGCCCGCGCTCCATAGCTGAGAACATACCTGCTGGAGAGAGCCGGTCTGTTGCCAACAATGGTGGAGGCAAGCGTTTGACCGCGCAGACTCGCGAGCTTTACGGCGACGTACATGTCCCGGTCATTGGCGCGGGCCCGCCGCCAATCCCGCCTTCCGGACGTGCTCCTAAGCAACAGCATCGCAAGGGTTCGGCGAGTATGGAGGTCAACCAAGCATCCCCTGAACGCGGCCAGAATGTCACCGAGAGTCGGAGCTCGCCACTGGTCAATCGGGCGATTGCGGCTCAGAGCGTGCAAGCCCAGCAGTGAAGCGAGTCAGCCCTCGAGTTTCTGGCCTCGGATCTGTCACTTCACCCCCGATGCTCATCCTCCATGTGCTTCGCTATTCCCTTCGCCATCGTCACTACAACGTTCGGCCCTCTTTTCTACCTGCTACGCGCACCGTCCTCCAGGTCTGCGCGCGTACTCCGTTCGTCTTTCATTCCCGCGTATCGCACGACTCCGCCGCCTCGTTTTCGCCCATTCTCCCATTTCATCTTTTGTGCTTCGGACTCATTCGGTTCAACCTTCCTTGCACTGGTTCTGACCTCCGCTCATCTGCGCTCATCCTCCATGCGTTCTCTTGTCCACGTCATATATGTCACTGCCTCCAACCTCGAGTCTCAACTCAATCTTTCTGCGATTCAACACTCCAAAATCCACTGACATTCTTCGGAATCACTCGGCCTCCACTCTTCATATCAATAGTCCTCCATCTTCATCTTATTCTGCGCGTTCGCACTGAATTTCCTGTATTGATCTCCCGTTCTTTTACCCTTCGGCAAGCTAACCTGTAATCTCCACTCTTTTCCCCTCATCTTTTCTTGTTCTTGTCCATACTGAACACAGACTCGCGTCTGCTTTCTCGCACATCCTTCCGTCCTTCTATTATCCATCACACATGTTTCACCCACCATGAAGAAAACCCAATCTGTAGATCGCGTGTATGTACTTAGTGAACCCTCTTTGTTTGTAGTAAAGCTGCTTCCACAGCTGAGTTCTTCGAAATTTACCTGGTACATGCGTCGTCATCGCGCCATTCATTGTGAGGATGATGTAGATCTACCAGCATCTCAAAGATCAATCCCTTACTTCGTCTGCGTCTGAGTACACGACATGCAGCGCGTGGTATACGTTTTCGAAGATGGAGCGCGCGCCCGTGGACTGCACCCGGTGAGCGCACGCCTCATTCCCGGCACACTTGCCCGTCCACCTCTCTAAACTTTACAGTCACAGCCTTCCACGATCCGCGGGAAACGGTCTTCATTTCGCTCCTCGTGCGCTGCGCGTGTGTGGGCGCGAGGAGGCGCACGAGGACGAGTTTATCACCTCGCTGCCCGCCACCGCCTTTGTTTGTTCTGAGATGTATGCGCGTGTTCCTGCCGAGTACCCCCGCCGACGACTCCGAAGAGATCATCGTCTGGAGGATCTTCATCCTGGTCTCACCCGGGTTCTGAGCCGACGAGCCCTGTGCCCTCGCTGCGAGGGGATGACACAAGTCCAGTTGGAACGTACGTTGGACACGGATCCGAGGGCGATGGACGTACTCGGGAGATCGTCGTGTTGATAGCGTTCGCGCGTGGCATACAAGGTTCCCTGATGGCGCGGGTACACCAGAGTACGGGACGAGATGCGCCATGTACGGGCATAGCGCGTGCGAAGTGGAACGTCCTAGTAGAATACTCGGAAGCGCGAGCACGCTGCACGCAGGTTTTCTTACGCTGGGGTTTGTCCTTGTGGCTAACGGCCAGGGTCCACGTTCAGGCAAAGTTCGTTGGGGTGTTCAATGTGCATGGGAAGATTATAATATACGGTATGCGAGGGCGAGGGGCATGGCACAGCGACTGCGACGACACGACATGCGGGCGGACAGCACTGCAGATGGATGGAAGCTATGTACAGAAAGCTAGCGCGACCGGGCGTTGCGAAGCGGGGACGGGGATGGACGAGACGATATGTAAGTATGTACAGCGTGAACATTTGACAATTGAATCAACGGAGAGAACCGGGAGCGTGAGGGGAACGTCCAGGGGGATATCATCGAGAAAGGAAGCTAGCGTCAGAGATAAAGCGTATGGAAATAGGACAACTGGTATGCGAAGAAATACACTGCTACAGGACCGCAGCGTCCGTGGGCGCGACTGGAAGCGGGATGGGGTATAGCCGTTAATGGGTAAGCGGGCATCGTGGCGATCGTCGTATTCGGGTCGTGCATGCGGCGGGCAGCAGGGCAGGGAACTAAGAGAAAAGTGGCGCAGAATCGGGTTAGAGGAGCAGGAACGAGGAGGGCGGAATCGAGGGTACGGGTGAGCCGGGGTGGCGATAGACGGGGATCGATGGGCGCGGGCGGACAAGGGCGGGAGAACCGCGGAGGAAGACGCTTTGGAAGGCGTGAGGGACGGCGAGGCGCGCAGGGGCAAGTGGCTGGAGGTGTCCGTGAGTACGGCGCGACAAAGAAGTTTGTCAAGAAGACGTACGTGGGTATGTCGAACCTCGCTGCAAGACGGCGATGGTGGGCGAGGTCGGGACCGGATGAAGAAGGCGAGGGAGGTCATAGGTGAGAGCATGGATGTAGTCGTGTGTGGCGTCGTCGCTGTAGTCGTTGCGTGTTCGTCACGGATGCGAGTTTGCCAAAAATACAGATGTGTATGTTGCATGCGGTGATGTCGGGAAATGCGCGAAAGCAGAAAATGCGAATATGACAGGGGCGATGACGATGATAGATGGATTGGCGGGTCGAGATATGAGCGCTTGAGCGGGAGGCGCTGTCGATCAAGCTTTAGCACATTTCCTGTCCAGGGACATCCAATCAACTGGCACTCACGGCGCTAGCGCCTGCGCGCAGTCTCCAAGTATGAGAGCGCGACGCTCCCGACCTCGGGGATAAACACCCGCGCGTTCAACCGGCACACGGTGTCGGCAACCTCGGCGCGGCGGAAGTCGATGAGCAGATCCCGCCCGTTCGGCGCGCGCACCATCTCGCGCACCTCGCCGAAGCGGCTCGCCCACTGGTACAGCCGTTCCGTCCGCTGGGTTTCACCGGGCCCAATACCACTGACGACTAGCCGGCGTTTGGGACGGGCGAGAGGCGCCATGAAGCCGCGCAAAGTGTGCGTGGACGTCCGGTGTCCTGCAGCAAGCGTGCGCTCGGTCTCCGGTGGGTCGCGCGCGTGGGACGCATCCATCGGCAGCGACCAGAGCGAGGGGGACGGCGCCTTGTAGCGCGCGGACGAACTTGGGCGACTGGTGGACGCATCGGAGGATGTCATCGTATTTGAGCTCGAGGCCGTGCGCGTGGAAGTGAAGCTGGGCCGGGAAGATTCAGGCGTCGCATCTTGGGCATAAGTGTAGGGGGAGAGCGATGAGGGCGTCTTTGAGGGCGTGAACGTCGAGAGCACGGACGGGCGAGAGAATTTGAACGGCGAGTAGGTCCTTGGCCGCGTCGACGCGGGGGACGATGACGAGGTCATGCTCCAGGGAAAGGCGGACGAGGAAACGGTCGACGGGTCATAGGCCTTTATAAAATTCACATTGAGCACGCAGTCCAGGCGTGTATTTCCAATCGGGAAACGCACCTCCGCGCCCATCTCCTGGTCCTCGCTTGCGGCCACGAGGACGAAGCTGGAGGCGCTCGCACCGGCACCTCGGTCCGATGTTCCAACGTATGGCGACGTCGTGCGCACGGCCGTCTGCGGTTCGTATTGATGGTTGAGGTCATCGTCCGAGTCGTGCTGGTCATTCAGCCAGCGCTCAAGCATGCTACGACGTCGACGGAAGACTTTGCGGGTGGGTGTCACAGGCGCCACAATGGTACGCGTTTGGCTGGTAGAGCGTGACATGCCCGGTACGTCTGCAGGTTGGCCGTCAGCGCACCGTCTCTCACAAGAGAGATCATCTAAACGCACGCTCTCGGATGGCTGGCATGGGGACGCTGGATGAAATATCAACAGTGGGTGGTGGTGGTGGCGGGCGGGGGGTGCTCGAGCGGTCGATCGAGAAAGACTTGAAGTGCATGGCGAAGGGTTGTCACTATTATACTGTACGCGGAAGTAAAGCTAAAGAGGCATAGAACAGGACATATGTGGACAGCAACCGAGGAAGCGAGGTGGAGCCAGACAAAGCAGGAGGAGAGAAGCCCAGATGAGCGTCGAGCGGGACGGGCTAATTCGAACCGCCACTTTTGACAACCTCCGCTGATGCGCCTCGTGTAGTGACTTCACACAGTCGCGACCGCGTCTCCTTGATCGTTCTATTTGTTCGTGATGTTACTAGGCTCATAAGCACAACAGTTGTCTTGCCGCCGGGGCGATGTAATGCTGCGCACGTAGTCTGCTATCCCCTACTCTACGTCCTAGGTAACAGGTGTAGGTATGAGCCGCGCGAGGCGCCCGCCACCGACGCGGACGCGCGTCTGGCCTTCCATGCATGTCGGAGAAGCGCCTTCTTACACGACGCGACGCGACGTAGAACATCCGGCCTATCGCGCATGAGTCGAGTGTCCACGAAAATCACGGAGATGGGCCATAGAAGCATATTAGCTCGTGACCTGCTCTATCCTGGGCAGCGTCCGTAAGATCTCCTCGACGATGGGACCGAACAGCTTCGCGCTGCTCGTTTTCTGATAGCGCTCCAGTACTCGGAATACCACGCCTGTCTCGTCGCGCCTCTCACCCGCTTCGGTTCCGTTCCCCGTCTCCTCCGCCGCCGCATCTAGAAGCGTGACTAGCTCCGTATCGATAGGTAGAGCTCCCAAGAAGGGAACACTCTCGCGGCCGGCGAAGGACTGCCCGCCGCCAGTACTGAACACGTTCGACACCTCTCCACAACACGGACATACGTAACCGCTCATGTTCTCTATCAATCCCAATACGGGAAGATTCACTGCTCGGGTGAATGACACGCATTTGAGGGCGTCTGCGAGTGCAACGGCTTGTGGTGTCGTGACTACGACAGCGGACAGCTTGTCATGCACAGGTGCCAAGTGCTCAAGCAGCGAGAGATGTTCGTCCGAGGTTCCTGTGCCGTATTCGTCTTCTTGACATCTTCGTAGATGCGTGTATGCACATACCTGGCGGCGTGTCCACCACTAGATAATCGAGATCTCCCCACCTCACATCGCTCAAGAACTGCCTGATCATCGCATTCTTCTTCGGGCCGCGCCACACCACGCTATCCTCCTTCTTCTTCAATAAAAAGCCCACGCTCATACACGCTAGCCGCTGCTCAGCGCCATCCGCGTACACCGGAACCCAGCCGTCTGTGCTTTGGTGCACGCCCTGACCATCTAGCCCAAGCATGCGCGGAATGCTGGGACCAGTGAGATCAATATCAAGTATCCCCACACGCGCGGTCGGAGTGGATGCGTGAAGTGAAAGCGCGAGTTGCGCGGAGACAGAAGATTTGCCAACGCCCCCTTTACCCGCGAGTACGATGATGACATGCCGCACAGTACGCAGACGGCGAGCGACGGGGGTTTCTACGGGTGTGGGTGTGGCCATCGGGGTACAAGTGAGAGTTGGATGCAACCGTGCGATGAGTGGTGAGCGGTGGACATGAAGATGGCTGAGGGAGCTTGATCACCAAGCGCGGATGAGAGACAGATGACGAGATCGTGCGAACTTCATCGGCCGACGGAGCGGTTGTGGCGAACATGAGTTTCAGGCTTTCAGCGCACGGAGAAAAGCTACGGATACAGCAGAGGTATAGCAAGGCAACATGACGACAATAAGGGAGACTATGGAAGTCTGAACAACTCCGGCTTCATGTTCTGCGTGGAAATGAGGAAGGAAATACGAGACGATCTGATATAACTCACCAACTTGCATAGCCGCGCCATCAGTCCGCTCAACTGCAGGAAAGTGCCCACACCCTCCAGTATGCGCATATGAGTAAACCCAATTTCCTATATGACCATGAGCACACGCATCATTAGGCATTTGGAGCTGCCTACCTTGATAAACTCGAGTTTCATGTACTCCGGTAACTCGTCGAACGTCTTCACGACACGAAATATCGTGACCACAATATCAACAGCGGAGTACCCCTGATGCCACAGCTCCCCAAGTTTCTCCATCGCGCCGTCAATATCTCCCTTCTGACATGCTCGGATGATCGTTTGCACGGTAACAGGGTGCGGCTGGTCGCAGACCTTGAACACGTTCTCCGCGCTCACGAACCCAAAGCCAGTGTGTGTAGACTGTAGGTTGTTGATTGCTTGTCGCATGTCACCTTCAGCCGTGAAGATGAGTGCTGTTATGCCGTCGTCATTATATTCGACCTAGTTTCCGGTCAATCGCGAGCTAAACAGAAGGGGATGCCACCAGTTACCTTCTCTTCCTCGCAAATCTCGAGCAAACGCTGAAGCACTTCCACGTCGCGTAGCTTGGCATAACGCAGAATGGCACACCGAGATTGTATTGGCTCAATGATCTTGTTGCTCATATTGCAAGCCAGACAGAAACGTGTTGTATTCGAGTAGATTTCCATTGTTCGTCGTAGTGCCTGTTGGGCGCCGGCTGTCATACTGCATGTCATCAATATCTGTCCAGCAAGGGAGTAACAGCTGGATTGTACCTGTCAGCTTCATCCAGAATCACGATCTTGTGTCTGCCAGCTGGTAATGTGACTTTCTTCTGCGCGAAGGCCTTGATTTTGTTGCGTACAACGTCAATACCGCTGGATGTGACAGTGAGCTGATGGACTCAATGCGGAGAAATTGACCGCGCACCGCTCATCTGACGCGTTTAGCTCCAAAACTCCTTCTTTATACGCGTCTCCGAGCAGTTGATGTGCGAGACAGTGTATACTCGTAGTCTTCCCAATTCCAGGCATTCCCTGCACCGCGACGCGTATCAGTGCTTAACATGGTAGAGATAGCAGAAGTGGTGCTGCGACTCACAGAGATGACAAGATGTGGCACATTTCCCTGTTTCGCAATGACCTTCAGGCGTTCAATCGTATCCTTGTTGCCCACGACATCGTCGAGCTTGTGGGGTCGATACTTCTCCACCCTGCTCAGCGCGTTAGCCGTGCATTCTGCACAGTGGGGTCAACACGCACCACGGCAGCTCGTATGGCTCGTTTGCGTTATTTCCATTAGCTGGCGCCTTCCCCTTGTTTGCCAATGCCATGACGGGTGGTGGTGGTGGTGGTGGTGGAGTGGACACTTGAACGCGACGCGCCAGACGCGAACCGCGCGAAACGCGTAAACGCGGTCAGCTGAGCAGAAACGCTTTGTGACGTGGTCGCGTTTTGCTCTCGACCGTGATGCATACGTTACACCGCGCACTTCCCAGACTGGCAAGATGCACTCGTACGCAAATCTAAGACTGTTGATATATACAATCTGAGCTAGGATGAAGGACAGGCCAGCACATCATCCGATATCGCCGGCGCTTCTCTGGCTGCGCCACAACTTGACTACGCCTCACTGGCGCGCGACGCTGAATCGCACGCGCGTAACGCGGCACTGCGTAACGTCGACCTCCCATTGGATACCGCGTCTCGCCTCACAAACCTCTATGCACGTTTCCGGGACTTGACATCTCGTGCCAATGCCAAACGACACGAACAACGTGAACTCGGCGAACTAGTGAAGAAGGCAAAGGATGCGGAACAACGGCAGTCTGCTATACGCGCTGCGACGGAACTCAAGCCAGAGGTGCAGCGACTGACGACGGAGGTCTCAGAGTTAGAGGACAAACTGCGTGCCCTCGCCCTACTTCTGCCGAATACGACACATCCGTCTTCACCACATGGAGCAGAGAAGAACGCCAGAACTGTCTCTGTGCATGGTTCCGAACGTCTGCCTGTAGATCAAGCGCGAGACCATGTCGCCGTCGGCAATGCACTCGAGCTTTTTGATCTTCTCGCTGGTTCTACTGTCTCTGGCTCTGCCTGGTACTTCTTAAAGAACGAAGCCGCCCAGCTTGAGCTTGCCCTCATCAATTACGCTCTCTCCATCGCTGTCAAGCATGGATACACTCCAACGACAACTCCCGACGTCGTCCGCTCAGATATTGCCCGTCGCGCAGGCTTTCGACCGCGCGATGCAGGCACACCTATCGAGGCGTCCCAGATATATTCTGTCGAGACGCCGCGCGGTTCCCCAGAGCTCGTGCTCGCAGGCACTGCCGAAATCCCTTTGGCGGGTATGCATGCACGGCAGACCTACGAGCCCGGTGCGCTTCCGCGTAAGCTGGCTGGGCTTGGGCGCGCATTTCGCGCGGAAGCGGGTGCTGGAGGCGCGGATACACGCGGTCTGTATCGGGTGCACCAGTTTGCGAAGCTCGAACTCTTCGTCGTTTGTGGCGCGGAAGAGAGTGAGCAAATGTTGGAGGAGATTCGTGCAGTGCAAGTCGAAATCTTCGAGGGCCTGGGCTTCCCCTTCCGGTAGGTCCACTCTTTCATATGCGATTACCCACTGACTCATCTTTCACAGTGTGCTCGATATGCCAACGGAAGAGCTTGGCGCTGCAGCATACCGCAAGTACGATATCGAAGCGTGGATGCCGGGTCGCGGCAAATGGGGCGAGATATCCAGCGCAAGCAACTGTACGGACTACCAAGCCCGTAGGCTACTTATTCGGCACGCGCCTGCAGCATTAGGCGGACGCACAAGCTTTGCGCATACACTCAATGGCACTGCTGCCGCTGTACCACGCCTCATCGTCGCACTACTCGAAAATGGGGCGCGTTTCGACGTGGACGGCAAGGTTGTAGGAATAAACCTGCCGAAGGAACTCCAGCCTTTCTGGGTCAACAATCCCAAGCGCGATCTTGTGCGCTGGGTATGATTACATACATATTACGATCATAGATATGGAGCCGGGTAATCGCATGGACGTATAATACAATCGCAGACTGATCGCACTATGCTCGCATCTCAAGACAAAAAACTAGTGGTAGTCATCCGCAAGCAATTGGAATCGTGCAATGTTTGAATAAACAAGCGAGGTGCATGCCCGATAACTAATCGGCAAAGGGGTCGGCAAAGGGATCCTCCGACACGGCCTGCTTCCGAGGCGCATACGATTCGTACGCGCGATTCGAGGTAGAGGCCCTCGCATTATGTGTATCCTCGTCCGAGCTTTGGTAGTCAGAGTAGTCCGAAAGGCTCCCATGCCTGTTCTCGTCGCTCGTGTAGTCGCCGGAACGCGGACGGATCGGAGGAGGCAGTCTGCTTTGTTCTGCGCCAAGAGTGCCAAAGCTGAGATCCTGCAGGTCGGGGTGCATACTGCTACCACCAACCCCGGCACCTGAGTACGCGCTGTCGCCGCCAAGTAGGTCATCTCCACGCCGTCCTGCTGCACGGCGAACTGCAGCACGCTGCTTCTCCTGTAACTTATTGACCTCGCTTTCGCCACCAATGCGAGCGTTCCCGAGGGCCTTCTGTACCGATTCGACATCCGCCTCCGTCACCGTAGGGTTGCTGAGCTTGTCGTATGTCTCGAGAGCAGCGATGATGCGGTCATTTGTCTCAATCAATGTGCCAACGAAGTCCTCATTGTCAACCAACTGGATGTAGCGAACGATCGGCTTGCGGATCTGCTTCACCTTCGCGAGGCAGTCCTGTACACGCTCATTCGTCGCCAGACTGTCGTGGTCGGTATTCACGAGTGTGATCGCATTCACCAGATTGTTCGATGCTGACGTCGCGGTTGCGATTGCCTCCAGGACCTTGGGTTTCTCCTGTGGAAGATGTGAGTGTGATGAGGGGCGAGGAATCGAGTGAACCGCACCTCTTCAAAGTTGAATCTCCGCCGAGGCTGAGTCGTGGTCTTGGGCGCCTTCGCCTTGCGCTTACGCTCCTCCTCCTCAGCCTTTTGCTTCTCCTTCTCCTGCTTCGCGCGAACTTTCGCAAGCTTACGCGCTTCCTCCTCCTCACGAGCCTTGCGCTCCAACTCCTCGCGCCTGTGAACCTCCTCCTCGCGCCTGCGAATCTCCTCCTCACGCTTCTGGCGCAGAACCTCCGGGTCCGGCTTTGGTGGGCCGGCCGGCTTGACCTGTCGGTACAGGCCTGCGACATTCGCCATCGAGCGATCATCGCCGAACGAGCGGTGCCAGCTCGCGAGAATCGCGATGGTCTTGCGTTGCACCTTGGGATCAGTGCCAGGGTCTGTGGCGAGATGCTTGATGGCATCGACGAGATGGCTGTCCGCGAAACTCGCTGCGCGGGGTCAGGCGACGAGGGATATTGAGAATAGACGGCAATGGACGCACTCTGGAACTTCTCCCCGGCGTTCTCGACGAGCGCGTTGAGGATCTAGGCGCGTTGAAGGCGATGCGCGCCTGAGAGCAGAGGAGGACTCACCACCATGGCCCGGTACTGGTTGTGCGCGTTGCCGTGCTTGATCTTCTTGCGGATCGCGCGCGATGCCTCTGCTACTCTGTTCACTGTCCGTGAGCGACTAGCACGGCTAAGCATATGACAAGGACAGACCCTGTAGCGGGCTGAATGTTGATGGAGTCGATGAGTTCCGGAATGCTGAAAACAGCCTCAGATCGACCAGTATACAGCAGACAGCAACGATGCCCTCACCCGTCATATGCATCACCGTCATAAGTGACTCCCGTCAGGATGTCTACCCATTCTGTTACAGAGGACTGGGAAGCTCAATAGGGGGTCTTTATCTTATCGAGAACGGAGCGCACATGGGGCTTGCCACCACCGCCCTGGGCTTGTTGATAGGCGTACTTCGCGACGGCAGCGGCAATGGGCATGGTTTAGGTAGGATGGTGGGAGTGTAAGACAAACTGAACAGATGCGGGACGCGGGTACAAGTAGCTAGATCAAAATAGTCATGAAGGTGACATCACGTCTAATTGTACCTCGCCCTGCTCCGACGACGTCGATCATTTCTTCCTCTCCGCCCTCCACTTGTACACCCGGGGCTTATACACTTTCTCGTCTACCCGTTTGGCTGGACGCGGTCGATCATCGAGGCTATCATCCGACTCGTCCCCGCCATCTACGTCCCCGACCTTCTGTACGCCCTCCAGCTTCTTCGAACCGCCCTTGTTCATCAAAAGCCGCTGCATCTCTAGTTCCCGTGCGGCGTATCGCAACATTCGATCCCGGTGCAATCGTGCCGATAACTCTTTGAGCAATCTTGTCCGATGGCCCTGGGTTGCCGTTCAAGACGCAGACAACGCGGAAGATGGCGTAGACGTACTGCAGATAGATTTTGTGATCCGACATTGTTATCCTCATCCTCCTCAGACGTAGTCCTCCTCTTCTTTCCCTTCTCATTCGGCATCTTCCATCCCAAGCCAGACAAGGGTTTCGTTTTCGTGTCGATTTCCATCTCCTCCACCTCGCTCGCACGGCCCTTTCCCTTCAATTGAGCCGCGGTTTGCCGTGCTGGGTTCCCAGCATCAGTATAGTACATGGTATAGGATGAACACACATACCCTCCACCTCAGTCTCTGCAAATACAATATGACCAGGGTTTCGTTTCTTCCCCTTTTTAGTGCCAGATGGTCCGGCAATGATTCCCGCTTCGCGCAACACCTCGAGCTCCTCCTCTTCAAGTCCCTCTAGCGCTCCAGGTGCCCTCATGTCCGCATCCCCACCCAGCTGCGCACGAAGCTTTTCTATCTTCTTCATACTTGACGCGCGCATAGTACGAATGTAATTCTCGTCCTGCGTCTTGAGTACCTTGATAATATCGGCCGGCAGCGCGACATTGCCGCGGTCATGTACATGTACACCGCCCTGTGCATGTCTCTGAATATATCCATGCAAAAATGTACACAGGGACGTACCTCCGTTCGCTGCCTGTTCATGCCAAAGTAGAACTCATCCTTGTTGCGCTCCGCCGCCTTCTGCGCGAGCCGCTTAAGTCGGTCCTGCTTCGAGTGGTAATCGCGAGCACGCAAAACATAGTCCTTGTGCTTCTCGAGTATACCGAGTTTTTGCCGGTGCGCGAGCTGCGAGCGCTCTTTATGATTCCGACGATGCAATGAATTCTTGAGTGGCATGATGGTGCTTCTGTACGGGGAAGAGAGGAGGTGGAGGCAAGAAGAAAAGTGCCGTGGGACAATTTAGAGATGTTCGCGGCGCGCCTTGGACGTCCCACTTGCCTCCGTCCCTCAACATAATCTACGAATCGTTTGCTATGATCACACCGTATAAGTATACACGCGGAATAACACAGCTCTCGCCTTGCGCTTACTACGTCATGAATATCCTAAGAGTAAAGGATCTCACCCGCTGCTATGAATGCAGCCCCAGGGACTGAGACACGATGCTGCCCATGGCCTCCTCACGCAGACCTGACCCATGCTCGGTTCACTCGCTGGGCTTCATTTCGACCGGATGTGCGCGAGTTTGCCTTGTCACTGATACCACCGAATGCCTTCCAAGAGGTCACACCCGCGTGTAAGGGATGCTACAACGTTCGGTACTGCTCACGCGAGTGTTAGAAAAGGTATGCGTTGTGACGTCGTCTCTGTATCATGTAGCCTAATATGATATAACAGTGATTGAAGGGCAAGATATAAGGTCCGATGTCGCAGAGTGAAGCCAAGGAATCATGAAGTCTTTGAGGTTCGCTGTGAATAAACTCATCCGTGGGTGCGCGGCGCACCGGTCAGCACAGCATCGTGCACGCCTCAAAGCCGTCGGGTTATGTGAACCGTTATAGAGACCACGCTCGCGGTTGAGTTGAAGGCTGTACGGTCTTCATGCTGGCTGGATGGTTTCCTCTGTTTCCTCTGTTGACTTGTATGTCGTCTTTCCTATTAAGGGCCATGAGCTTCACAGACAGGATCCGCTACAATCACTCACCATCATAAACGTTTAGGTCGAGGATGTCCCTATTCCAATCGACAGTAGTATCTGCATCTTCGGGGAGTGATCTCCGTGACAACGCGTTTGATGTGTCATCCTCATCTAGCGCGCAGTCGAACTCTTCTAGACTCCGTTCGAGGTGTTGTTGTCCCCTGACCACGACATCCCACCTATCTGCGAATATATATAGCAGTGCGTTCGCTCTATACCTTCGCACGCACTAACGCTCACTAACGTCGCCTCATAGTCTCGTACTCTCTCTGAGCGAACTTCCATTTGAGCATGGCTTCTTCCCAAAGTACACCGGCCCATATTCGGAAGGCTACCAAGGCCGATCTCAATGAATTATCTTTGGTTCTCGCTCGCAGCTTTGCTAGGGATCCTTTCTACAACTGGATCAAAGGAGCGACGCATATGATCTCTAGCGCCAACACTCAGGATCCTAAAGAACTGAAGGCCCTGGAGCAGTTCCGTTACCTCCAATGGTCTCTTGCTCACTTGTTCATGTCGCGCGGAGAAGTCGATGTTGTGGTCATTCACGTCGATGGTCGGCAGAAGATAGTCGCCTCCACGGCATGGGTAGGACCTGGCAAGTCAACGGACATCACGATTGTGCAGATGTTACGAATGCGACTCGACAAGGTATACAGAGCATGGGGCCTCGGAGCGTTCAAGGTATCTGAATATGCGCTGATGATGTCATGTCTTTGGCTAATGTCGCGCATAAGAGGATGCTAGCGGACTACGTACCGCGGACGGAGAAGGCAGCGGAACAGGCTTTCAAAGACCAAGGCAAGGTCTCGACGGATGCGTGGCACCTACTCAACGTCTCTACCGACCCGGACTACGAAGGGCGAGGTAGGACGCTTATACGTCGAGTTCTCGTCGATGTCTCACACTTTCCAGGCTATACTTCCATGATGTTGAGGGCGCGATTCAAGGCTATCGGCTCCCTTCCCGTGTATCTTGAAGCCAGTAATCCCAAAGCACGGGACATATACTTGCACTATGGATTCCAGGTCGGTACGGATCGCCATGTCGGCGCGTCTTGTCGTTGACTCCAGATCTTCACAGCTAGTCGAAACCGTCATATTGGGAGAGGGAAAAGTGGACGCAGATGGACTGACTGTGCGCGGCGAGAAGGCGACAGGAACTCCAGACTTCGTCATGATCAAGGTCTGTTATGTTCCCCAATCACTATCGTCATGCGGGACGCTGAAAGGCCTTCTTCAGTCGGGATAAGGAGCAGCATGCACAATCTGCCATACCTGACACTTTCATTGGTTGTATATGATAGGCCCCTTGAGTGCAGGGTTTGCATTTGGCTACAGAAAGATATTCGTTCGAACGCCGAGATTTGGACGTGGAAATGGTGGCATCACCCCTGCTATGTCCCTGGATGCTATCCCATACTGTTCTCTTAGCTCTGCTATGGGAATAGCGGCGAGCGCCAGGTCTGCTCATGAGTCACAGCCACATCGCACGCAATCGGATTTCCGCCCCTGGGTTCTTCGGTCTCCGAACGGCGTGTCCGCTATTAAGAGACCATTTGTCTATTGCCTCCGACCGTTGGCCGAGGGTACACTGCCCTCAATTGAGTACTCAATGAACCGCGCATGCGTCTTGACCCTACCAGCCTGCTCTATATAATTCAATGCTTCGCCCGAACCGCCAAACTAGAAACCCCCTCTGGTCGCATACTGCGCACTCCTGGTAGCATGACGTCTGCTGCGGACGCCACTTCTGCTCGTATTCGGAGGGCTACACAGGCTGATCTCGAGGATCTATCTTTTATGCTCGCCCGTAGCTTCGCACGAGACACGAGCTATAACTGGATCAAGGGCGCTACACATACCATCTCAAGTGCCAACACCCAAGATCCCGGGGAGCTGGAGGCCCTGGAGCAAATGCGCTTCCTTCAGTGGTCACTTGCTTGCCTGTATCTGGTCTGTGGCCAGATCGACTTGGTAGTCGTTACAATCGAAGGGCGAGAGAAGATCGTTGCCTGTACGTGCTGGGTCGAACCTGGAAAAGAAACGGACCCGGGCTTTCGTGGCTTGTTCCGCTTGCGCCTGTTCAGAATTTGGAGGGCCTGGGGGCTTAGACCCTTCAAGGTAGACCGCGTTTTGATGCCCTACCTTCTCGCTTATGCTAATGGCCATCAGCGCATGGTGCTCGAGTTTGTGCCACAGGTTGAGAAGGTTGAGAAACAAGCGTTCAGCACACGCGGGAAGAATATGAAGGATGCGTGGCACCTCGGTATCGTCTCCACCGATCCAGATCACGAAGGTCATGGTCAGTATGCGTATACTACCTCTACGTGTCTGCACTCACGTCTTCTAGGCTACGTCTCCATGATGCTGAGAAACCGATTTGAGACCATAGGTCCGCACCCAGTCTACCTTGAGGCGAGTAGTCCAAGATCGCGAGACGTATACGCGCACTTCGGGTTCCAGGCGAGTAAAGACCTCTTATGCACCATTCACTCTAATCCTCATATGTCTGGTACTCCAGCTCATCGAGCCAGTCCTGCTGGGTGCAGGTAAAGTAGACTCGGAGGGTTTGATAGCGACTGGCGAGAAGGCCACGGGCGTTCAAAACTTCATTATGGTCAAGGTGCGTGAATGTCTTTTGGATTGCCGCATACATGTTGACTGGAATCAAAACGTAGTGGGAGTGAGCTATGTACACAAGGTACAAGTCGACGCGCCGCCTCGCGCGGGAACCCTTCGTAGTTACAACAGCATGACGAAGTCTACAAGCTATCATATCTGTGAATACCCCTCTGCCCGAATCCATGTGAGATCTGATGGTACAAGTACAAGGTACAAGAAAACAGATGTCCTCGATCAGTTTCTACTACATCGTCAACTTTATCCCGATTGCTTTTAAGTCTTTCCGCAATCGCTCTAGCTCGTCGACGCCTGCGGGTTCCAGATCACGTCCCAGCGTGGACCATTCTTCGCCGTGAAGGACGACCTCTTCGAGGGCGGGGAACAGCGTACGGTTCATGAGGGCATCGGCGTGTATCCGAACCCAGTACCACACGCTCTCCACGGGCATCGTGTGATTCGTGAACGCTTGCCAGCGCACGCGCTTCAGGTGCTTATGGGGCTCTGCGTCTCCCCAGTTCGGCTCGGCAGTGAAAAAGATGCGATAGTTGAGTTCCTGGAGGTTCTTGCAGCCTTCTAGGACGAGCGCGAGGTAGTCACGGGCGAGGAACTGCATGTGTGCGCCGAGCTCGACGATCTCTATCTGCGAAGCAGATATCGTTTCCCAGAGGGACTGGAACGTATACGGATGGGTAAGGCTTTCGAGGATGATAGTGCGCAGGACGGGCGCATCCCAGTTTCGCAATTGGCGAACGTAGATGGGGTTGATTCCTCGCACGCGTAGCGTCTGGAGGCGTGGAAGAGAAATCGGAGCGGGCATCGCCGTGTTCGGTAACATCTCGCCGCCGAGGGAGAGATATTCAAGATTGGGCGCGACTTGAAGTACGTCAGGAAGCGCGTTGACGCCGCCTGTTCGGTATGCGAAGTTGTTGTGCCACCAATCCAAACGGCGAAGGGCGGGCAGCTGAATGCTTGGCATAGGGAATTCGAACTGGAGGCCGAAGACTTCGGTTGGGGATGCTGGGAGTCGGGTGAGCCGCTCGAGACGTGAGCATGACTCCAGGATGATTGAGCTGGGGTACGGTCCTTCTCCCGAAGTAGTCGTTTGTATGAATGGTAGTTCGAGACTTCGTACGCAGCAGCCAAACGGCAGGTCCGAATCGTCTGAGGGCTTGGACGACAGGATCTCCGCCATAGCGGTTGAGTTGCCCCGCACGATGACGTTGGCGTAGAGGATCGGCTTCGCGAGCCTATACCAAAGCTTGCAGACATTGACGAGCGCCAGGCGATCACGCAGATCCGTCTGGAAACGCTTCCCCGCATCCTCGCTCAGGATCCCCGCCTCAAATGGAACATAATCAGAGCGCCCATCCGGGCCGGATGCCACGAATCCGAAGACATGGGCCCATATTTCGGGCGGCAGAGTAGGCGACATAATGTACAGCCCTTGAGAGGATAAAGTACAAGTAGCGGGTAGAAAGCAAGATGGGCGTCGGAGCGCAGTGAGAACGGCTGCGCGCGCCTGTTTACGTTGGTTCGGTGACCCAACCCTACTTGTTGTCCTTCCGCCGTCCTGCCACTGCGCACCACTTTCCTTCTCTCCTCTGACCCTCATCATGTTCTCCTCTTCGCTGTTGTTGGGAGCGCCGGCCGCTCTTTCTCTTTTGATCTCTACCGCCCAAGCGGTAGCTCCCGCACGGCGGGCGACAACCTGCAATGGCTATGCCGAGGTGCGTGCACGGCTCTGCAGGGTGATATATATAGAACTGACCCTCCAGTTAGCTATGTGATCGTAGTTTCGGCAACATCACCTTTGTCGGCGCGCACGACTCGTATGCTGTAGGCGTTGGCAAAAGTGAGTGCCTTGCTTGTGCGGTGACACTCGAGCGAGTGTTGACCTCCATACGACAGCGGCCGCGAACCAGGACTACGACAGTACGCCCACAGTTTGCTCCGCAGCATGTTGTACTTGCTGAGAGAGCGTTAGTTACACAGCAGCTCAATGATGGCATCCGCATGCTGCAAGTCCAAGCGCACAATAAGGACGGCACCATCGAGCTCTGTCATAGTAGCTGCGTGCGTATATACCGTCGTCGGCACGCGTCTTCCTTCCATATTGACTTCGCCCGCAGAGTCTGCTTGACGGTGGTTCGCTGCAAGATTATCTGGGAACCCGTGGGTGCCACATTCTCAGTGGCGCCAATCAATATGCTCATTTAGATGCATGATTGCAGTCAAATCATGGCTCGATTCCAATACGAACGACGGTCCGTGCATAGCCATCGTCTCGTTACATCCGGATTGTTCTGACTACCATTACAGTCGTGTCCTTGCTTATTGTGAACAACGATGACCTGCCCGCATCCCAGTTCGGTAGCGTCTTCTCCGCAGCGGGTCTCGAATCGTTGTCGTACTCTCCCTCTGCTTCAAGTTTGACCGCGAGTGAATGGCCGACTCTCGGATCGCTCATTGATAACGGGACTCGCCTTTTGACGTTCATGGACTTCAAAGCCGACTTCACCTCAGTGCCATACATCATCGACGGTATAGTGTCCATGACTGCATGTACACCAGCCCACGCTCATCGTTCCTCTCAGAGTTTTCCAATATTTGGGAGACGGCATACGATGTAACAGACACAACCTTTGATTGTGCTGTCAACCGCAGGTGAGCGCTTGCGTCTAACCTCAAATGGGTCAATAGTGACCTGATATCCCCTATTCGTAGCTCGGGCGATACGTCCACGTCTATGTACCTCATCAACCACTTCCTCGACAAGACCACTACGTTACTCGGCACTACGATCTTTACGCCTGATACCTCGGCCTTAAATACGACCAACGGCGTGAGCGGCACTGGCGCACTCGGCACGCAAGTCTCGACATGCGCTGCCGAGTACGGGCGCAACCCCAACTTCATGCTCGTTGACGTGCGTGTCTCCATGCGTCGGTCCCCCGTGCGACGATTACTGACGGCGTCCTCCAGTACTACGAGTATGGTAATGGCAGCGTCTTTGAGGTTGCGGCCACCGCGAACGGCGTCACGTACAGCCCGACTTCGGCCATTGCTACACCCAAGTCGACTTCAAGCTCTACAACGGCAGCCGCAAGCTCTGCGATGAAGCCCATGATATCTACTGCGGCGGCACTGTCGCTGTTCGCTACTGCATCAGGTGTACTTCTCGGCGGTGCGCTCGTGCTTTGAGAGTTTGCCTGTGTCGTGCTCCCTACCTAGACTCATTTAATGCTGCATGATGGACATCTCCATAGGAACTCTCATACTTACCTGGCATATGTACATACATAGCGTGCAGACATTGGACTACGGACCTGGTACATACTGCGAGCGCCTGCGGGTCGTGGGAAATTACGAGAAAGCAGTTCGGAGGCGAAAGTGCGAGCTTGTGCCGCAAACTCCTCTCCGGTCAGGCCAAAACGAGCACCGATCCGATCCAAAGGCCACCCGGATTGTACGCCACTCTCGGATGGCCTCTTCGTTTCTCAACTTCCGCCTCGATGGTCCGTCGACCGCGCCCACGCCGCCGTTGCAAGTCCACCCGGACTATGCCTTCCCGCCGCCTCCGGGCCCCGTCCCGCCGCCTGTCGATGGCAGTAATTTGAATATCCAACTTGAGGGAATGCCGCGAAACTCCGGCACGGGTTCGCGCGGCAACGGTCGTGGCCCGTACGGGTCTGGCGACATGGACGACGGCTATACGCTCGTGTTTGAGAACATGGAGGCGTTCCAGGCCTGGCGGAGCAAGGAGGAAGACGACAATGTCGTCGAGTTCGTCAAAGGTGATACTCATGGCTCGAAAGGTACGCTCGCTCTCCTTGTGCGACGATGTTTCTGGTCACTGAGTATATCCGCATAGCGGTCCCGCCAAGATTCAAGGAGCATGTGAAGCTGGTGTGCGCGCGGCACTGTCGGACGGGCCGCAAGAAGTACGTGAAGAAGTATCCGGAGCGTGTGCGGAAGGTGCCGAGCCGGAAGCTGGAGGGGACGGGCTGCGGGGCGAGCATCAGCTACAAGACGTACCACCACACCGACGAGATTCGCGTCTGCTACCTTTCCCAGCACAGTCACGAAATCGGCCCGGCGAACCTGCCATACACTCGCAAGGGTCGCAAGGAGGCCGCCACTCGCAAACCCGCAAACGGCATCCCACTTCCCCCAGAGCTCGGCATCCCGCCCTCCCACTCGCCCAACGACCAGCACAGCGCACCGCCTTCCACAACCATCTCCCCCGTGCCGCCATCCTCGGCGACCATCACGCCCAGTCCAAGCGCACCGCCCCTCGCCGAACAACCGCCGATGCCTATGTTCCCCGCAGCATATCCGCACTTTCCGTCCATGTCCATGCCACCCCCTCCCGGCCTGGGCGGAGCTGCACCTCCCCCACCCCCGCCTGGTATACCCATGCCTCACGCGGCGCTACCTCCCGGGGAGAGGGAACGGCTCGAACGCGAGCGTTGGGAGCGGAACGGCGTCATGTTCGACCACATCCGTGCACTGGGACGCACCGGCTTTCCGTTCAATCCTCTCATCATCGCCGCTTTGGAGACGACGCTCGTGAATCTGACCAACGAGCTCATGAACCCGCAAGTGCAGGGATACTTGGTACAACAGGGTCTCATCCCGCCTCCTCCGGGCATGCCTCCTCCGATCATCCAACAACAACCACAGCAGCATGTGCATGGCCAACCGCTTCCAGATCATCTATCGGACGAGGAGGGAGCTGGTGGGAGTGGCGACGAAGACGCCGAAACGTAGCTCTCGATGGCAACCGGTGACTGTGTTAATACTTATTTATCGTCTCATCGTATTGCGACTCTTGTACCCACTACTGCACTTCTCAAATCATTGCCATGTTGTTGTTCAGCAGCCTAGTGAAGGCTAGTCAACAACCTCTAATAAGTACTTGGTGCCCGATACTTCAGTCTCGGCGCTCTCGTCGATCGCGCGTGGCGACGGATCAAACATGTTCGGGCCACCCATGTTGAGATCATAGCGCGCCCGTGCCTCTCGCCCTCATCTACCTCTACTACGATCGCATCGTGTTACCCCTGCGTCTATCATGACTTCACGTTACGGAGAACTGTTGACGCCTTCCAAGGCAAGCAAGTCTGCCAAGTCGCGAGCACGCCGAGAGCCGTCCGGCGTATTCGCCATGTTTCAGCCGGCCCAAGTGCAGCAGTTTAAGGAGGCTTTCTCGCTCATCGACCAGAACCGAGACGGCGTGATCACCGAACAGGATCTCCGGGATACATTCAACAGTCTTGGTACGCTATCCATCCCACTCGACCAGGTTCGGCCGTGAACCTCGCTTAGGTATCACGCCGTCGAAAGCTATGATGGACGAACTGCTCTCTGCGCGGCCAGGCGAACAAGCCCACGAGCGCTCGGCATCCCTCGACGACAAGGACGGCGTTAACTTTGCAATGTTCCTGACGATGATGGGCGAGCGCTTGTTCGAGTTCGATGCGGAAGCCGAACTACTGGAGGCTTTCCTTTCGTTCGATGAGGACGACTCGGGTACGGTCCGCGTGGAGGAGATGCGCAAGTGGTTGAGCGAGACGGGAGATAGGATGGATCAGCGCGAGGTATGCTGTGACTTAGATCATCGGGTTGCAAGGGTGTATACTGAATCAGAGACGCCGCGCAGATTGACAGGTTGCTAGAGGGCTCATTCACAGATAGGCAAGGAAACTTCAACTACAAGGAGTGGGTGAAGGTGCTGCGAGTGAAAGAGGACGACGATGAAGAGTCACAGCAAATCTAGTTTCCCGTGTTTGGTTATACAACCTTCCCTATCGCGTACTATACCCAGCATCAACGTGTCCGACATTCTCATGGTGCGTCCCATTGTGACAACTGCCAGTTTCCCGCCACTTACACCGCATACAGTACTTGTACTCGCCTATCGCAATAAACGGACCCTTTGGATATTACGTGCTCCTTATTCATTTATGCTTCAATCGCGCCACAAAGACCGACACTCGGCAAATCCGGAGAGCTCTTGCGTGAGCCTATGCGCTCTGAGCCCGAGTCCCCATAGCCGCGGCACTAAGCGCCATTGTATGGCATCGCTCACAAGGACCTCCACGTCGATATAGTTCGGGAATAGCTTTGGAGTCGCTTTCGCCGCATAGAGACGACAGAATTGCAAATCGGCTATCGCAGAGTGTGGGCGCCGCGTTGCAAAAGCGCCACACGCGTCGCGACTTCAACCGAACCACCATCACCAACGCTGCCATAGGACCTTTCGACCTGAGCGGCTCCCGGCGTAAGATACTACTCCTGCAGGTACCGTCGACTTTGGCATCGCCTTGTCCTTGTCTATTACCTTGCAGTCAAACTCATACGACCTTTCACAGCGACTGACTGACTGACTGACCGCTTCTATGGCTGACACTACCAAGTATACGAGGACCTCCCTTGCGTTCGGCAATGCGGACCCAGCGCTGGTCGACTTTGACCAGCGGTTGCGCGAAGGACCCTCTGCCGCCATCGAGCATTTTCGCTCACTGTTCATGAGCCGGGGACCAGCGCCCATGCCTGCACGAGGCGAACTCATGACAGCGATCTACGTGATCTCTTTCCGCTTCAGCTTTCGTGACGGGGAGGACTGGGTATGGCCTCCGAAGCTCGAGGAACTCTGGGATATCAATCGGAACGTGGAGACCGTCGACGCTCTTGGGCCCGAGCTTTGGAGAGCTTGTATCGGGAGCGAGCTACCTATGCTGCTCATAGACATCATCGCGGCGAAAGACTTTTTCGCGCAGCCGGCTGTGAGTACATTCCCTGAACCGCATTAAGTCGTGGCTGATGATTGATTGACACGTAGGCTTGGATCACCGCAGTACTTGACTGCCTTTTCGGCTTCATGGAGATTGTGATCTACGACATCGAGCCCAAAGCCAACACGCCGCGCGGAGGTCCCGGATCTGGGTTTCTCCCGCTGCCTTTTGTGAAGAAATTCCTGCGCAAGACAAGGCTCGTATGGGATGCTGTTTGGGAGCACCGGACGGAGGTTGTGGCTGCTGACGCCGATAGGCGCCTGAGGACGATTGAGAAGCTTGCACACTTCGTCGAGCGTGCTTATCGCTACAAGTAGTGAGTGCATTTACCGTATCACTGCCCAGTACATCATGCTCATGCGACACAGTTCGATACACGGCGATCTCGTCGGGACAAAAATCGCCTATATCGCTCTATTCTCTTGGACGGCACAGTCTCGTACGTCGATCACGCAGGTCGGCGAAGGCACGGGACTTTCCGCCTTTCTCTCCTTCGTCGACGAAACCCGCAGTGCTAGTGGCACTGATACTGTACAGACAATAATGCCCGACATCATCAATTCGATAGGTCTGGAGAAGATACTTACGACTGCGCGCACGTCGCTGGATCATTCGGCACTCGGACAAATGAAGGACGAGAGTCTCCGGCGAGTCTTGCAGACAGTGGACGCTATTGTGCGCACGAACCTGGACACTCGCATGACGTTCTGGAACTTCTCATTCGCGCCCTCTGCCATGAAGGCGCTGCGCCGGCAGAGCAAAGAGGGTGTGCCGATCTTCGAGGACTGGAAAACGAACATTCGAATTGTGAATTGCTGCATGGGGCTCATACAGTACGCACCCCTTTGTCCAAATGACTGACATGGAGAGAGTGCTGACTCACGAGGATAGCACTGCCATCGTCGGACTCTTCGTCAGCAACACGAAGTTACCTCCGGGCGAAGACATATTCTTCCTGCAGGAGAGAGCAGTTCAATGTGCGCTTGCAGGTATGGCAGCTCTGGGGTCAGTATACGACACCGTCAATGGAGGTACGTGCTCTGTTGACATCAGCTATATGGCGTATCCTAATCGTGATGTCAGATATGGTCGTCTTCAACGAACTGTTTGAACCATTCCTAATGCAATGGAGTGATACCCACCTGAGGAAACTAGTTGGTCTGGGCCAAGAGCGTCTATTACAGAGCTACAAGACCGTCGCCTGCGAGTGTTGGTACGAGAACATGCGCAACATCCGCGGCGCTAGGTATACGCAGATCACCCGGGATAGTTATCAAATGCTGGTCGATTGCTGGTCTTTGCTGGGCAAAGCCCTCAGTCTTGACGAGGTCAAGGAGCGCGACCGCTTCGAGACTCGGCGCACGCGCCTGTGCTCGTGGAAGATGTGTCCCTCGCATCAGAAGCCTTCTGACAAGCCATTGCAGGTCTGCAAAGGGTGTAAGGAGGCACGGTACTGCTCAAGGGAGTGTCAAATGAGGTAAAGTCGTGACACCTTGATTGACTTGCAGTACACTTTTTGATTGCTTTCAGTGACTGGAAGGATGGCGGACATCGTAAACTATGTCGACGCCTCAAACAGTGAAGTCTGTGGAGAGAATATTCGTACTTGATAATGCCGTATGTGTACATAGTATGCATCAGTTGCATCTATCGGATGTGGCGCTCTCAACATAGGTTGAGCGGATGTGCCTTCTTTGATTTTGTCGCGCTCAATAAGAGGCACCAAAGCGCGTCGACGTGGAAGTACGACGGCTTCTGCAAGTGTCTTATCCAGGGTCACCTTGCCTATGCGCAGAAGTTTGAACACCGGACTCCGCTTAAGCTGTGAAGAGAATACATGCACATGGCTGAAGGATATACGGTCTCCTGCGTCCGACTCCAGATCCACAGCTGGGAGCCATAAGAATAGCAGTTTTGGAAGCATAAAAGGCATCTCGGCATCCATTCCTTCATCTGGAGCTATGTATGAAAGACAACAGCAGTGCAGGGCGAGGCGTGTACTCAATGTACAGCGTCTTCAGCTGTACGAATTGAGCGATCGGGATGTGCCCTGCCTCTCCGCATCGTTTGCGTTTGCGAATGAGATTATTTGCGCGCGGTTCGTTGCGGTACTGGACAACCAGATGGACAGGTCGGTCGATTGCCGAGGCACGCGTTAGTGTCCGCCAACGCCGACCGCGCCCAACTAGGAGGACGCAGGAAACGGAGTACGCGAGTGGCAGACGAAGAAAAGTCACGCGCGTCGCGTTTACTCTCCCGCGCACCGCGTATTCGCGCCTTGCTCAGTTCCGCCATTCGCGTCAGTCCGCCATATAGCCCGACTCTCCTACGCCAGGATGACTGACCAAATTCTCCCCCAGGTATATACAACATGAACGCCGCTGCCATGACTGCCGTGCCAGAGGGGCAGAAACCGAATAAGTACGAATCCAGCTCTCGTTCCAAACATATCCTTAATACATCTATAGGAAGCGCAAGCTCGTGGATCGCTCAGTACCTGGAACGGTGCTCTCGGACCCCGCTTTCGGTGTAGACTCGAAGATGTATACCGACTTGCAGGAGATGGAGCGCAAGCTTGACTGGAATATGATGCGAAAGAAGGCGGAAATTCAGGACGCAATGGGACGGGTTGCCTCGGTGCGTGGCGGTCATTCGTACACTGATGATTACACTGGTTAAACGCACTTCAGACTTCCAGAACTCTCCGTATCTTCGTATCCCACACTGTGTCTGAGCAGGTGTGGCAAGCGAGCTCATCCGACGAGCCCAACTTCGAGACAGGGAAGGGTGTACCCGCCTGGCAGGTGAAGATTGAGGGACGCTTGCTGGAGGTAAGACTATCATCAAGTTCGTCCATTTGCACTACTGAGACCGTATGCCCCAGCCTACGAGCGCACGACAGAAGGACAAAGCGCCCCGACCGTTCTCAACTTTAGTGAGGGACGTAATTGTTGAGTTCGAACGCGACCCGGCTTTATACCCTGACAGCAACATCGTTGAGGTGAGTATGCAATATAGAAAAATAATCATGGAACTGACTGCGGAATAGTGGCACCGAGGCGCGAATCAACCTTCGCTCGACGGATTCACCATTCGACGTATGGGCGATCGTCCAACGAACATGCGCATCATGTTATATCTCGACCATCATCCGGAGCTATTCAAAGTCAATCAGGAGCTTGGTACGAGGGTCCTATGTCATGCTCGTGGCGCTATATTGACGCTTTCGCCAGCGGCTCTCATTGGTATCAAAGAAGGCACCCAAAACGAGATTATCCAAGCTGTGTGGAACTACGTAAAGCTCCAGAACCTGATTGACAAAACCGACCGACGGCGCATCATGCTAGATGCACCACTGAAGCATATTCTGAGTGCGACACTCAAACATCCAGCCCCGGAGGTTATCACGTTTACTACACTGCCGGAATTCGTCACTAGAACCGTCTCGCGTGTGGATCCTATCAAGCTGCAGTACATGCTTGACCCAACCATACCCCCTCCGGACAAACCTCAGGCGTGGGATATTCAGCTGAAGGTTGAAGACCAGGCGTTGAAGGCCAAGATGGCGGGTGTAACCGTCAATGCCTCCCCTCAGACGACCGCTGAGCTCAGCAAGCTCGACGAGGAGGTGAGCATGTCTCGGAGAGCGTCTATACGCCAATCTTACACTTACTCAGATCGCTATACAAGTACAAAGCATGCACGCTTCCGTACTCAAGCGCGACTTCTTGTCTGCTTTCGCCGAAGACCCTGCTGCTTTTGTACAGCGTTGGGTTGCCAGTCAGGCTCGCGATCTCGAGACTGTCATGGGGTCCGGACCAACGGATGGTCAGACCCTGCGTCGCGAAGATTTGCAGCGCTCCGAGTACTTCCGCTTGCCGTGGGTCGAAGAGGCAGTCGCAGTGTGGGAGGGGATGCGGCTTGCCCAACCGCAACGTACTTAGCGTGCTTGTCTTTTCTTATTTCACACTGCACTGTGGTCTTGTGTTTCGTTTATCATTATCACGATCTTTTTGTCCGATTACACAATGGAATTGAAAAGATATGAGCATTAAATAGCACTTGTGAGCACGTTCGCATAGATCAGAGCTTGGATCTCTCGATGGCAACTTGCAACGGCGTCCACTGCGAATTGAGGACAAAGTCAATATGTGGCACAGTACCCGCGCAGGTGAAAACTCACCCATGGAAACCATCCTTTCATGTCTCCGAGTGTATCTTTGTACACGGGCTTTCTCTTCTCCTTGAATGCCACAGCACCCTCGTTCGCGTCCGTAAGCCCGGCCAATTCACCTAGGGAACGTGAATCAAGCAGGTGTTGTCCCTCAGGCGAGTCTGAGCCGCGCCAGAGAAGAGCCTTCGCGGCCGCGACACTTGTCATGCTGGTATTCTCGGCCAAATCCTTCGCAAGTGCGAGTGCAGCGGGGAACACCTCTTCGCGTGTGGGGTGCACAGAATAGTACAAGCCGTCGAGCAATGGCGACTTTGGGGAGAAGGTGCCACCAGTGAGGAGCAATGCAGTAGCGCGCGAATGTCCGAGCAGGCGAGGCAGGAAATATGTCGATGCCGCCTCGGGTGAGATACCTCGACGAGTGAAAGGCAAGGCGAGCTTGGCACCCTCCCAAACGAGACGGAAGTCGAACGGAAGCTGGAAGCCGGTGACGCCGACGCCGACGGCATGTCCATTCACAGCAGCGATGGTGACCTTGCGGCACTTGTGAATGGCGAGAGAGACGCTCCCCCCACGGTCACGGTAAGCTGCAGGCGGCTTCAGTCAGCGCTACGAAACGCATGGGTCGGGACAGGCCGCGCACCTTTCAAGCCCTCCACCTCTACTACTGGTTGATCAGAGAAGAGTTTCCAACCGCCCGACAAGTCCGCCTGGTGGTATTTAGTATCGAGTGCTTCTCTCAGGCGCAAGAGACGTACTCCGGAGCAGAAGGCAGGGGCCTTGGGATCAGCCGTGAGGATCACTACGCGCACTCTGTCGTCGAGATCCAAGAGCTTGAACACCTCGATGATCTCCAAGGGAAGACGCCCTCCGAAGGTGTTCCTTCTGAAGACGTAGGCCTATGAGCTTCAGACAAACGATGCATCAGAAGAACTGGTGCCTACTGAGCCGGACGGTTAATGGTCACGATAGCCACAGCTCCGTCGAGAGTCACATAGAGGTCTTGGAAGCCCTGAGCAGCGTAGTCGATAGGTGCGGAAGGGTTCCCCATGCTGGTTTCCGTCAAGAAGCAGCCGAAATCCCCGAGGGTGAGCGCTCTGATCCAGAGCGCACTTGTGTTATAGTACGGGGTAGAGACCACATGATGGCGCGAAACAGGGACCGGCTACCGCGTTTACCGGGACACGACGAAGTCGCCACGGCGTGGACACTGGACACCTACCTGTGCCACTCGCCTTCTTCTCGCTCGCTTGTCATATGAGCTCTACATGCCGGACTCGTAGAGCGCTATCATCATCCCTTTCTACCAGGTAGTGTACCCTGAACGCGAAGTTGCTCAACGCTACTCGGTGCGAATGTACACATCATACACTCCTCATAGAACGTTGCAATACTCTCTTGTACATGGCCATCAAAGCATTACACTAACTCCGGTGCCGGCGCTCCCCAACCGCCTACAGTCGTGTCACTGACCAGGTGAACCTCCACATCTGCGCACCTTGTCCATCGCGCGGTAGATCCTCTCGCCGTACCTCCGTCAATTTGCCCTGCACATCTACCTCAACGCCGGACTTGGAGAACAAGTCCTTCCATAGCTTCTCCCAATCCTCAGGTCCGTAGCAAAACATCGGCCTTCCGTCCACTCGGTATGGGTCTATGCGATCGCCTGTGAGAGGTTGTCCAACGTGTTGCCCAAAGATCATGCTCCCGGGCTCATAGGAGAGCAGGCCGGCGAGACGAGCCGCCAGGTCGGCCTGCAGCTCTTTAGAGAAGAGATGGAAGAGCGCCGAGGCATGTATCGCAGAGACGTGTCCCCGTAATGGGTTCAGGGAAATTAGCGCCTTCAGGTCAGGAACTGGTGATGTCGGACGCGCGCTCCACGGCGGGACAACATCGAGATGCGACGATGAGAACGCGTCGCCTGCGATGAAGGGTACCGGAAACGTCTCGGGCGTGTCTTTGTAGATATCGTATCCGATATCCCAGAGCTCTGACAAGCACAGACTCATCGTCAGTGCACAAAAGCTAAGTTAGATCCACGCCACGTGAGAGCAGCTTACCTTTCTTGAGATCTGTACCAAGCGCTTGAGAGGCTGGCCACCCGTCCGCGATAGCCTTGCGAAGGTCATTGCCGACTGAATATGACACCGTAAGATACGTCATCCGTTCAAGACCAGTTGTACGTACAGCAACAGCCGATATCCACAAGAATCGCGTCTTGTCTCTTGCGCTGGAGCTCGAGCAGTTGGGCGTAGGGGAATAAGCGGGAGATCTTCAATCTGTGCAGATTACATATCAGCCAACCATCCAAGAGCACACTCAGTGAATGGACAGCACTTTGTAAAGGCAAAGCCCCGGATACAAGGATACGGGGCAACCGAGTACGCCTTCCGCTGCGCGGTCAAAATATGATCTTTAAGCTCCGCATCATCGGTGATGCCAGTCCACCCTTTCAGGAAATCGCTTTCTTCAGCGTCGAGCGAGTAGAGATTCTCATCCAGTGAAAGAGACTTGTGGTCAGAGGCTGCATCCATAGCTGGGTCTTGAGGATGACGGTGGGAGACAAGTAGGTCCAACCGCGGGTAGTGCGATAAGAATAGCGCGACTGCGCAGTACATCGATATGGCTACAAAGATAGAGCATTCAGAGTACAACAAAAACATACGGCTACATGTGACGGGTTCTATGCGGAGATAGTTTTGAAGATGTTGAAGCCATCGAGTGCCGTCGAGATGACGGTACCGGGCATCTGTGGGTGCCAATGGACCTCTTTGACGTCCTTCTGGCCTTGGTGCACAAACAGGAGTTGCGGCGGGACGGCGGTGTCGCCGTCTTCCTGCATCGCACCGCTCTCTTCGTCGTCTTGTTCGACCGCAAGGTCCCACAAGGTAACCTGATCGTCTGCGCCAGATGCGGCAAAGAGCGAGTCCTCGGTCGGGTGCCATTCAACGGAGGTGATAGGTGCGCGGTGCCAGGTGAAAGATGCCACAGGCGTGGGGTCCGGACCGTTCGCACTACAATTCGGATGAGCAACGGCGCGTACAAAGAAGCAATAGATGGCACATACCCCCGCTTCTTAACGTTGCGCAGATCCCAAACTTTGATTCCTCCCTCGTCGCCGCCGGAGAGCATGAGATACGCGGTGCTCTTGTTCCAGCTGATGACATTCACATCGCTCTCATGGGCACCCTCGATTCCGGCGAAGCTCTGACGGCCCTTCGACCGAACGTCCCAGACCCGTACGCTCCGGTCTGCTGAACAGCTGCCGAAGACGGTCGGCTCACTCGGACTCCACTGTAGGTCCTCCACGCTAGACGTGTGCGACGTAAAAGCGCTCCCGAGAGTGGTGAAGCCGCTAGCGGTCGAGGTAGAGAGAAAGATTTTGGACGCGATGTCGCCGGTAAGAAGGCGGAGACCAGTCGGTGCTGCGCCGCCCGAAGACGCCCAGTCCATGGCAAAGCCCTCCGCTCGCCCGTGAGCCGAGACGGTGAACGCCGGAGTCTGAACCTTGGATTTATCGTAGCTATAACCGGGTGTTTCGAGGGCTTCGATCAGAGGGCGCACATCCCAAACATGAACTTTGCCCGTATCGGCCCAGCTAGCGACGTGATAGGGTGTATCAACTGGAGGAAGGGGCGCTCCAGCGGGTAACGGACGCGCCCGTACGCGATTCACGCCACCTTGATGAGGAATCGCGCGGTACTCGAGGACAGGATCCTCGTCCAAGCGCTCGTCGTCCTCGTCTTCTTCGTCGGAGTCGTCAGAATCAGCAGTGCGCTGGGTTTTATGGAGCGAGGACATTTTGTACACGGCGAGTTCGTTGCTGTTGGCCGAATCGGCTTGCGTGCCGGAGACGATGTAGGCCGTCGCGGGGAAGCGCTGCCGTCCATCGCCCAAGTTGTCCCGAAGCACATCAAAGGATAGACAGGGCCAAGTCACGTTCAGAGTGTGGCGCATGATGTACACACTGTCGTCCGGCTCAAGAATTTCATCTTTGCCGAGTGCATGGACGCCAGGGATAAATGTGGTAGGAGCGCCAGGTCGCTCGTCGAGCTCTTCGATGGCAGGGGTCACCTCATCGTCAACGGCCATGCCTACGGAATATATTTTAGTACATGTGATAAAATATTGTCAAAGAAGCGGTACGTACGTACCGTCCTCTCCGCCGTCGACGACTTCCTCGTCGTCCTCGAGCTCGTCCTCGAACGCGTCCTCGAACTCGCCCATCTCGGACGTCTCGACGGCGCTCGGGCGAGCAGCGCCCGTCCTTGAGGCCTTTCCAGCCGGGGATGTGGCGTCTGCGGGCGCGGCGCGTTTCGACATGTCGGGTTGAAGAAGATGGAGGTCGAGAATGAGAACTGCGAGCCACGAAAAACGTGCGAAAAGGCTAGCCGGATATGGCAATATAGCATGTCCGGGCAGTTCGGTACTCGCCGCGAGCACCAAAGTACTACTGCCCACCCATGCTTCCCCATGCCTTTGCCATACAGCTCGGCTGCCTTCAGTCTGCCTTCTACCCCCTCAGGCTCGCCCACCGTACCCTTGTTTGCCTCTGAATTGAATGAGCCAAACAGCCCATTTATATTCCAGAGAATTCGCCGCCCCTCGCTGCTTGCACCCCAGCCCGCACACACTGACAACCGGCTTACGAGCCCGCTTGCCAAGAGCTTCAGTCTCCCCGCCACCCGCCAGGCCAGCATGACGCCAGTCGACGAACGGATGTGGTCGGACCGGAGCCCGTCGACGAGCAGCGACAACGCCACTCCGCCCATGCACGCATCCCAGTCTGAGAACGAGAGCGAAGGCCACACTTTGAAACTCGGCCCTGCCGCTCCCATGCGAACTTCTCCGGGCCAGGCAGACAGCATGCTCGTAAACTCGCCCGCCCATGGGCGACGCCCTTCTCTCAGTGGTCCGGTACGCTTCTGTGCATTTCATCTGTCTCACATGTGCTCAACAAAGGTACAGCTCAAACTCAAGCGGCTCCAGGCCCTGGCTCGCAATGACAGTGCCCCAGACGAGTCCGAAGTCAAGTCCGAGGCTCAGTTCCAGCGCCTCGTCGCTTCCTTCGCTGCTCTCCCCACACAACCTCAGACTCCTGCCGTCCGCGACCGAGGACGGTATCCAGAGGAAGCCGCGGACCAGGACGATCCCAGCGGTGACCCCAGCGACGGTGACGACGAGCTGGAACCGGAACAAGATGATTATCCGCCGTTTGCCTTTGCCGAGCCTCGTAGCGCCCCTATCGCCATCGTTAACCCGCGGACGCCCGGAGCTAGCGTAAGTGGAAGCGTGAACGGAGACGACAGTCCAGGTGGTGGCGTCACTGCCATGGACATTGACACGATCGTAAGCGCTCTACAATATGCGACATTGATATTTTCGAGAGACTAATTATTATTCAGCCCAACTCGCTCAGCGAAAGTCCGAGCGTGTCCATAGCATCCTTGCGAAGCACGGAACTGCATCAATGGAGGTACACGCCACCGCCCACGGCCACTACTGTCGTCCGCACGAACAAGCGGAAATGTTCGTCGTCTTCTCTTCTCACGAAGAACCCATCTGAACGTGCACGCAGACGACGAGCGCTTTGACCCGTACCCTGCATCAAAGAGGCGCGCTGTCTCACCTTCGGTCTCCTCGCTGCATGGCGGGCACACCTCTCTATCGCCTATCTACATCCCCCGGCCACGGCCGGTGCCGGTGCCCGCTTCGCTGCCATCCTCACCTACGGTCTCCCATTCACATTCGAGTTCCATCAGGCTGAACAGTAGCGTGGCGAGCAGTCCCACGATGCGCGCCAGCATGGGCCTGGCTAGCCCTATCACGAGGCCGATCAGGCTGAATAGCGTTAGCAGGACGCGGCCCGACGAAGAGCGCGAGGTGAACGGCGCTGGTGACGGGGTTGGAGGCTTGACGTTGGAGTAGATCAGGGTCTGTGCTCGTTTCATTTCTCCTCATGCCTAGTCCTGCTTCCCCCCGATATGACACGGATTGCTCTCGTATCGTCTTGTTTATCTGCATCGCCACATTCCATCTCGCATCTTGCTCATGATCACGCCGTGTCATACTCGCATTTCTGTACTATACGCATCCTCGCATCTTACAGCATCGTCCATGATCACCCTACTTGTATCATTCTCAATCGCATCTTACATTTCATACTAGTTCATAGTCAGATAATGTACGCCCCGTATCTGTCCCAACCGCCGTGCACTGGGTGCGGCTGAGTCAATAAAAAGGCGGCTCCTCCATGTGGGTTCTTCTCGCTTCATGCAAGAGCTCGACGCCACGACCCTTTGGGAGCCCAGAGGCAGGGTCACAACGGTTGGCGGAACCGATGCGCACGCAGACAACTTGCGGCAAACCACCAGAGACTGGTGTCCACTGTTGTATACACAATCCCACAGACATGATCGATGTTCAACTGCCATTTATATGTTTGACAGCGAGATCGTGCTCGCTACACGAGCAACTTCGTCCACACGCTTCGAGAAGACTGTCCACTTTGGTCCACCGGCAGCCATGATGGTGGCGTGGTCATTGACGCTATCCAAGGGTGCGCGTAACTTCAAGAAGGGATTTGCGGAGGCGCGATAGTACGCTATGTGAAGAGCCTTGAATATCTAGCAAGCAGTGAGAATCGCGGGCCACACGTGTATGGTAAACGCGCACACCTCAGTAACGTCCTTATCCCGCACAACTGCATCGGTGAGCGCGAGTGCAAGGATGATCTTGACGCGTAGAGGCGTGAGGTAGCCGTACACAGCGACATCCTCCATCGCGTACAGGAAGCCAAGGTAGCTGTCCGCACCCTTTGGTAAAGTTGCCGCTTCAGAAAGCTGCGTTAACGCGAGTCTGAGCGCGTCATAGGCTGAGCCGTACTGCGCTCTTCTACGACATCGAGGGCGGTATGTGCGAGGTAGTGGTACTTGAGCGTGTCGTCCGGCGACGCGTTGGGCGTGAGCGCGCGCACGAGGATGGGCTGATTCTGGGGAGACACGAAGGCGACGGCCGCAAGTTGAAGCTGAACGGGCATATCTACTTCATGCGAGGTGAGTGGCGACTTGAACGAACGCTGAGATGATGAAGATGAGCGGCGGAGGAGAAGCAACACCGCGTCGCGTCGCGTGTCTCTCTCGACACTCACCGGTGACTGCCTGCGTGCATCAGCCTCACAACGCACTGTGTGCTGGAGATTGACCTCCTTATACCTTCCCTCGTCACCGGACGACTATAGAATGGATACTCCCTTGCATGTCGCCAAGTATGTTAATTCGTGCATTACCGCCAAGTGTCCTAGCCAAACTGAGACCGAGGAATCAGCGACTTCCCGGACGTGGCGTTGCGTCTGAAGGAGTTCAAGTATATTGCTTCTACCAGCCGTAACAACCGCTGCCTTCGAGCTCAAATCCAAGCCGATATGAACTACCTCGAAGACGCGCTGCATAAGCTCAAAACCATCCACAACTCCTGCGTCGATCTTCTTCGTATCTCTCCTGAAATCTTGTCCAAGATCGTTGACTACCTGGTACTCGCCTAGCCTGTAAAGAGCGCGCTATCTGTACTAGAGAGCAAGGGAGACCTCGGTTAGATTACTTTGTCACATATTTGTCATCAACTCAGGGCGATACTGCTAGCCAGGAAGGAGCTTTAGGCGCGGACTGTCTACCGGTACCCAATTCCTCGCGCTCATCACGTTATGATGATCCGCGCTGGGGACCATCCCTTGACGCTCAGGCTACGCCACCCGTCTCTCACGGTAGAGGATCTCGACTTCGCTCTGAAGCACCTCGACAAGGCACGCGTATTCGACATTGACGAGAGTGCATGCAAGCAAGAACACGACCCATGGATCCTAGAACCCGCCGAGTTCTCGCAAAGAACCTTCCCTGCTCTCGAGGAAATGTCGTTATATTTGAAAGGGGCACACGCAGAGCAACACACCCTTCTCACGCCCGACATTTGGGAGTTACCAGCAGCGACCACTCCGCTACTAAAACGGCTTTCCTTGAAAGGCATGGCGATACCCTTCGATGCCGTGACGTTGACATCTCTGAGCTTGACTTTTGAAGAGACAGTCTCACATCTCTACAGCCCCACTCATTTTCTTGGCTTATTGCGACCGCGAGCTTGAATTGTCGTATGCTGTACCGACTTTCCCACTACAACCGAATGCCGGCGTTCAACCTGTGAAGCTTCCAGTCTTGGAGCATCTTCGGGTCGGAACCAACGCCAACGTCGGCATCGGGTTTTGGAACCACATCACCGTACCCTCGTCCTGCACGGTTGTCCTCGATCTCTACGAAATTGATCAGGATTATCCCGACTTTCTCTCTCATCTCCAGGCAATACCATCGCGGCTAGGAGGAACAGCATTTGACGCACTCATTGTTGGCCTGAGCGTCTGGGATACCAAAGCAGATGCGGATGATGAAGGGGCAACCACCTACGGTGATGCGACTGTCTGTTGGCTCGTGTCCGATACTGGATATGAGAACAATGCCTGGACCGGGCCATTCAGGCGTGACTACAGGGAGCGCATGTCGGTGTATATGTACGACATCGAGATAACCGAACCGCACTTTGTGAGGCTTATGGCACAATCCCTCACGGTCGTCGATGCTGGTCGAATCGAGGTTCTGGAAATTGGCTCCCACTTAGCATACGATGCGCAGCGGTGGTCGCGAGTCATATCTCCCTTCAACAACCTTCACACCCTCTACTTGGAGGATATGCCCAGAACCCCCCTGCTGCTGTCTCTTGATTCAGCCACGTCCATCGAGCGTCAAGATTTTGCATCAATCGTACTCCCTGCCCTTCGCTTCCTTTGGCTTCAGGAGCTTGACCTGACCGAGGAGAGCGATGGGGAAATACCTGAAGGACCTAATCGAGTACAGTTCACTCGCATGCTCCTGTCTCGTAAACAGCAGGGATTTCCTGTACATCATTTGCGCATCGGGGAGCTCTACATGGATACAAAGCTGGCGGAAAAGTCATTTTTGCCCCGCATACGCGCCATCGTACCCCTCGTCGAGTGCGACACGATAATACCGGACAAGCACTGTACGTTGATCCTGACATTCTGAAGTTGCAGTATCTGACATTGGTCGATAGCAGGAAATGGCTCATGAAAGCTTCTTACGACGCCCACGGTGACTAGTCCAGCTTACGCATTTGAACGGTATTACCGACGATAAATCGAGCGGGCGGCGCCTAGGCAGTAGCTACTAGCATGTATCATGCATGTATCACATTAGATATGGATTCCGTACTGTGTATCATCTCCAGCCGTTTGCCGATACCAATATCCAGTCAAGTGCCCCTATCTCTGCAGCCGGCGGCGCCGCGCCGCGCGGAATTTCTCTACGAACCATCACTCGCTTTGTACCACCACTGCTTAATCTGGTACCCTCCCGACAGAGAACCTATCCATCTTTGCTATCCCTACATTGGTTGTCGAACTCGTCATGGTCGCTGAGCGCCTTACCAAAAAGCAAAAGAAAGCGAGCGCGTTTCGTGATCGTAAAGGGAAGACGCGCGGGGAGGACGAAACTCTGGACGTTCCTCAAGCTGACGGACCCGATGTCCCGGAAGCTATAGTCGACGACTCTTATGCGCCTGTAGAGGAGAAGGTCGAAAAGAAGCGCGCAGAAAAGAAAGTGAAGGAGGGGAAGAAGAAGGCGGAGGATGTGCCGGAGACTCCTGCGCCTGTGAAGCCCGCGAGTAAGAAGAGGAAGAGGGAGGAGGAGGCCGTGAAAGCTGATGGCGCGGCGACTGCAGTCGAAAGCACTGCCGGTAGCGAGGTGGGCGGCGCGGGAAGCCACAAGAAGAAGCGGAGGAAGGGCGCTGCAGTCGAGGAGGCGGGTGAAAATGAGGGGGAGGATAAGAACAGAAGGCTCATTCTCTTCGTCGGTATGCCGCTCTTTCTGTTCGTCTCAACTGTACGCCTTCTAATCTCCTATCATAGGCAACCTAAAGTACACGACATCGCGCGAAGCTATTGCCGCTCACTTCTCCGCATGCGATCCCCCGCCATCAGTCCGCCTCCTCACGCCGAAAGCCGCTAAACCCGGCGCCACGGTCAACAAGTCAAAGGGCTGCGCCTTCCTCGAGTTCAGCGCGAAGAGCGCCTTGCAACAAGCCCTCAAACTACACAACTCGGACTTGGAGGGGCGTCGGATCAATGTCGAGCTCACGGCCGGCGGCGGTGGAAAGAGTGATGCGCGGCTTGAAAAGCTCAAAAAGCGTAATACTGAGTTAAACACTCAACGCGTACGTTTTCTTAGATCATCCCATGTGGACGGCTTGTGGCTCACGTCTACCTTGTCTACTGCAGAAAAAGAAGGTCGATAAGGGTGATGACGGTGCCGTACAGCCGCGGACGCAACGCTTTTCGACAACTTCAGGCGAAGGAGAGGCACCTTCTGGCAGGCGCACATGGACAGTCGGAGATGTACAGGAGGAGGAGACCCATCGTGGAGGAAAGAATGCGAAGAAGCGGGGAGCGAAGAAGACTAAACCCAGAGAATGGGGAACAGGCATGAACGCTATCCCAGTCGGATGATCGCGCTGCTGTATCAGGCTGGGCGACGCTCATACGCGTAAGCCGTCTACAAGCTGATGTTGCGAGTCATATGCGTGCACGCTGCAACGCACATTCGGGCCTTGCTCAATTTGATCTGTGCATACGTGCATACCGGAGTCTACAGTAACCAACTTGATATAAGCATGGGCATGGATGCAACTGGTATGCTACTACAATCACATTTCTCGCGACCATGATTGTCGGCGATGCCTCTGCAATCGGTTCGCGCCCAAGCGACAGTGATTCATTGTGTTCGAGTGCGCGGGGATAGTAGTGCGCGTGCCGATGTACGTCGAAGGTATCAGTACAGGCCGACAGCATTGTTGCCCTTCGGTGCGCGAAGCTGTCAACGAGTACGTGAGTATAAAGCATTTGTAAACGCAAAGTGAAACGACATACTTTCGCGAGATTCTTGTGTATGATGTCCGTGAGCACTGCGTATATATTGCGCAGATCACGGATATTTTGCCGTGCGAGGTATAACTGACGCTCGTCATGCTCCTCTAACGCAAGCTATGACTGAATAAGTGAGGCTGTTCGAAAATGAGCGCGCATATACCCACAGCGTAGTCCTCGACATTTGGGTACTTGATTATTTTCGAACAGATCTTAGCACGATTCAAGTGCGACTGACGCGCGACGTCTCGCATATTGATGGCGCTCTCCTGAGAGCGATGTAGCTCGTTCAAGACCTCTGGCGGACAGTCAGCCATGGCGCGGGCGCAACGATACGGCGTCGCATACCTTCTTGAATCTGTACCCCGAAATTGTCGCCACTGTTGCAATTGCGTCAGCTGAGAACGGTGGCAATTATAGCGAAACGGGTTACTCTTCGATCCTGTAATCAATATAAGCTCAGTATATGCGCAGAATCACGATATGAATGGTGCTCACTTGGGCATAGTGAGGTTCACCCAGAGTTTAACCTTGTCCTGTGCCGAGTGTTAGCGCCGTGCGGAATATGTATTGACGGCCGCAGAGTTCAGCTCACACATAGCAATGATATCTCCGTACACTGATCCTTGACAATGGTGTGTACTGCTTGTAGGTGTTGATTTGCGAGCATGCGCTGTGTGAAGCGAGGAGAACCGGAGTCGGCGCCGAAACCATTCATAGAAGACGGGTCATGGTCGAGTTTGCGTTTCTTGCTATCAGGGCCAGACACCTCAGAGGCTGATGAGGGAGGGTAGACAGTGGAGTCGGTGTGTGAGGTCCCGTGAGACGAATGGAAGGGCGAGGATTCTGCATCGCTATCCACTATGAGCTGCTGCAGTTCACTAAACACAGCTTCAGTATAAGCCTATCGAGTCTGTCGCAGGCAAGCGCTACGTCTCCTACATAATCTTCGATTATGTCAGTATATTGCACGGTGGCACACATGCATGAACGTGCCTTGGATGGGAATGCGTGCAGGATAACCTCGTTCGCATCTGCATCTACTTTCTTTCTGAAAGCCTGGAGATAGATGAATACGGTTTCATCAGAGAAAGTGGAGGCACGCACATCTAGCTGAGACTCTAGTCGCTTGTCGAGGCGGACATCGGACATGGTGGTACAAAAGGAAGCCGCTGAAGCGCGCGTCTGACGGCAGACGACGCGTCCTGGGCTCGGTCCTGGCTCGCGTGCTTGACGCGTGTTACATAATCAGCTCGCGCTCGAGGCCGCACCGCTCGCGCTGCCGCGACTCTGTTGACTCTGACCTCGACTTCCACCATGGCGGTACGCGAATCTCCCGTCTTTCTCTCTACCGCCCTGACACGCGATGCAGAGCGAGGATGACGCTATCTCGGCGCTCACGGGCTTCTCCCTCGACCATGTCCTCAGCGGACTCTCGCTACCATCCGGCTCTGGGCTGAATAGCCAACTCGGCATTGCTGGAATTTCGGGTGTCTCGTCGAGGGAAATATACAAAGATGATTGGGACGAGGATGGGACGGTCGGCGCTGGCGAAGGGGAGGATTGGGAGGACGAGATTGACAGGGAGATGCAAGAAGAGGACGAGGGAGGGGAGGAGCAGCCGGTCAAGCTCGAGAGGTTTTCACCTGGGCCCGGGCAGCTGCGTCAGCGCCGCGTGCGCATTGTCAAGCGTCGTGTCCCGCGACCACAAACTGTATACGAGCGCTTTCCGGGCTTCGAGAAGGACAAGATCTTGGACTTTACGGAGCTCTTCAAGGGTCGCGCAGTACAGAAGTCCAGGGTGACGAAGAGGCCGTTATATGGTACATCATATCTTATGAGTACGTGTGATAATTACTGAGTATCATACAGTCGAATCCACGCACGCCAAGCGGAGAGATGCGCCCAGAGGTTTCTTAGACGCCGTGGTCGGTGATGCAAGAAAGCGTGCTGCGAACGACCTAGCAGAGGAGCTGCTCTCTCCAGGCACGATTGATAACGATCTGAAGTTTGCTCTCGAGGTATGATTGTTTGCATGTTCTGCACACGCACATGTATACTGACAAAGCATGCTAGCAATCTCGCGGCGAGGTGGACACTCTGGCATTAGACGATCGCAACTTCGACCTTGTGCTTCTGTCCAACTGGGAAGACCATATTATTATGGAGTCAGGCCAGCATGTGGAACCTTCTGCCGACCCTGCCAGGCCCGCAGACCTCATGACGCCCGCAAACCAGTCCCTCGAGTCTGGTGCTTGGGCTCAAAGCATCATATGGAGTCCGAATGCTCCTTTCCGCGACTTTACCCAACTGGAGTTTAACTTCGGAGAAGAGCAGCCTCAGGAAGAACGTCAAAGTGGGCTTGTTCAACTTGCGTGCGCGACGTGAACGCTAATGTCCCCTTAGCTCAAGAGACACGTCCGAAGAAGCGCTTACGTCTCGACAACAGCCAGACGAAGGACAAATTCAACTACTCCAACGATCACTTCTACGAGGTCGCGAAGGATGGTGGACGGCACCGTGTTCGCCAAACTTTCGGGCAGCTTGTCGTCGAACACTCGTATCCCGCTCAGAAGCTTCAACTTCCATTCGTACGTTTCGACGCCATGTGCAGCAGGATAATCTCTGACGCCCCATGCAGTTCAAGACTCGTCTCGAGAAACAGGAAGCACGGTCATTCCATCGTCCAGCCCTGCAGTTTCCGGCGAACATCGAGATCCGCTTCAACAAGGTTCGCACGGCGAAGAAGAAGAAAGACAAATCAGGTCGAAAGCTGGGGAAAGGCGGAAACGTCGGCGAGACGCTACACCGAACAGCAGACCTCAGTCTTCATGATACCAGCAACTTCGTATTATGGGAATACTCCGAAGAGCAACCACCTATAATATCGAACTTCGGAATGGGGAGCGTCTTCGTCAACTACTACCGCAAGAAGCATGCCAAGGACGAGCACATACCGAAGGTACGCTTATACCTTGTGGACACTAGAAGCTTTGTTCATGAGAGCATTAGTCTGAGCTTGGCCAACCCTTCGTCCTCGAACCTGAGGATGACACGCCGTTCATGAAGTTCGGGAACGTCGATCCAGGTCAAACGATACCGACTCTGTACAACAACCTTGTTCGTGCCCCGCTGTTCAAGCACAAGCCTCCTTCAACGGACTTCCTCGTTATCAAGTACGTGTGTAAGCATACAGAAGCGTCCTAGCATTGATCACTGTGTATCAGGAATACGGTAAAGAACGACACCCGGTATTACATCCGCGACATCAAGAACATGTTCACGGTTGGCCAGACATACCCAGTCACCGAGGTCCCCGGCCCTCACTCTCGCAAGTACACCAACACGGTCAAGTACCGCTTGCAGGTGATCGCGTTCAAGCTCCTGCAGAAGAGCGTGGGTGAACGCCTCAAGATTGGCCGCCTCATGAAGTACTTCCCTGACCAGAACGAGCTCCAAATGCGCCAGCGCTTGAAGGTTCGCACTGTCGTGTTGTTCCGCGGCCGAGCTTGCTCATGTCGCTCTATAGGAGTTCATGGAGTATCACCGCCGTGGCCCTCATCAAGGCTTCTGGCGTCTTCGCGATAACTGGTCTATTCCTTCGGAGGTTGAGATGCTGAAGATGGTCACGCCTGAGCAGGTCGTGTTGGCTGAGAGCATGCAGGTCGGCCAACGGCAACTGCAGGACGCCGGTTACAGCGGAAACGTGGACAGTAGTGGAGGCGACGACGACTCAAACTTGTCTATTGATCAGCAGCTTGCTCCTTGGATCACGACGAAGAACTTCCTTTACGCCACTCAGTCGAAGGCCATGCTGAAACTCCACGGCGAGGGTGACCCAACCGGGCGAGGCGAGGGCTTCTCGTTTATCCGTGTCAGCATGAAGGACATCTTCATCAAGGCGGACGAGGACTACGAGACGAAGCTCGCGGAAGCCGAGAAGCGTCCCAAGAGCCACCATAAGTATAACGTTCAGGAGCAGCAGAAGGTTTACAAGTCCGAGATCGACCGTATCTGGAAGGCCCAGTTCCGTGCGCTCAGTAAGCGCGAGCCTCCGCAACTGGACCGCGACGATGAGGCCGAGGAGAAGAGGAAGAAGGCCGCCGAAGCTGCGCTCCAGGCCAAGCAATATGGTCGGCAGGTGACGCCCGCTGGTCCTTCAGGTAGCCGCGCCGAGTCGCTCGAGCGGGACGGTAGCCTTGGACCGGATGGGGGACGGGTACTTCGTATCAAGCGCTGTGTATGTGAAATCTGTTCTGCGGCGCGCAGGCTGCCTGGGTACTCAAGCTGAACGATTCACAGATTGAAGGTGAATGGCGAACCGAGATTGTTCGCGAGCCTGCTGTTATTCGTGCGTACCTCAAGCGACGGCAAATGATTGAGGAAGAAGAAACCATGGCGGATTCGCTCGCCCCCACGGGAGATGCGGAGCGCGACAAGCGTGCACGCAAGCGGTATGTCTCTGCTCCGTGAAGATCATGTGTGTCGTCTGACCTTCCTTTTCCTCAGACTCGAAGAGGAGATCGCAAGGATGAAGAAAAACCAGGAACGGCGTTTACACCGCAAGAACGCGAAGATCGTCAAGGAAGGTGGCACACCTATGACCCTCAGTCGACCAATCAAACCGGATACGACTGTGAGTCGCTTCTCCCTGCTTCTTCCGCCTTTCTGTTCTTGTGTACTCGGTTCGTGTGAAGAAGGCGCTCTGCGCGGGATTTTACGGCCTCTCCGTCGCCGCGCCATCCGTGTCAATACGGCCTCCCCGCATTTATCCGTTCTTTCCCCCACTCTCCTTGAGGTACACAATGCTAACCGCGTCCATCTAGCGCCGGTGCGGTCACTGTGGTCAGATGGGGCACATGAAGACGAATCGCAAGTGCCCCCGTTGGGCCGAGTTCAACTCTGGAGCGCCACCGCCCACGCCCTCTTCCGCGACTGCTGCTGCGGCCAGTGCTACAAGCCCACCGCCAGGAGGTATGGGTTTCGGCGGCTTTTCAACACCGGCCGTTCCGAGCCCGTTGGCGACGAGCCCGCCGCTCACGGGCATGGGGATGGATTGAGTTTACCCCTCGAGGTCTATTCTGGTGCCCGACATGTCCATCGCACACGTAACTTGATAGTATGCTTTCGCACCATCTTTGCTATGTTGTCTGTATTCTACGCTTCCGCCGTACTTACCTTTGCACCGGCTCAATGCAATCATTCCTGTGGAACGAGTTCAAGACGTGGTCCTAGATTAGCCAGGTGCTGGGACGAGAAGCGTCGTGCCGACGACGGCACGGCCGTCTCTCTTGGGTCTTCTGCGCCAAGTCGAATACAAGGGTGAGTGTGCTCGCGTGTACTGGATCCGGGGGTCGCGCTCGGATGACAGAAAGGTTGGCTCGGCATCGTCGACTGGGCAAACGAGGTCCCGTGTAGGCGCTTGCGTATCCGGCGCTGCATGGCTTCGTCTTGGCGAGCCGATTCTTGCTGGCTCCAAGACAAGGCAAGGAAGAAAGTGCATATGCGGATTCTGTAACGGCCTAGATACCGAGGCATAGCTCTGAGCCGATCATAGGCGCGCAAGAATGCTATTCTGGTCGACGGCCATTCATACCACAATAATAGTTCAGTATCACTCGAGAAGATTACGATGATCAGCGCTTCAGCGGTCAGTACCAAGGATATTTTAAGTTCTCAGGGCGTGTATCGAGAGACTGCGAGTACTGACCACAAATGGACGGACTGGCCGCACGGATGGTCTCCACAGTGCCTGAAACAAGAAGTGAAGATACTTCGTCACAAGGTACTTGAGTACATTGTGTTTTGCAGGCTTGGACCTCGAGTAAAGACACCTTGCCGAGCGATGCCGACACCCAGAGGGCTATTGACTGGCGGACACGGCCCGGGCGTGTCCAAAAGAGTACACGCGCTACAAACGAGCGGCGACCTGCGGGGATACGGAGTGCCGTTGTGTTCATGTTCTACAGGTCCGCTTGCGCGGATCTTAGAAAGACAGATAGAAGGTGGGTCACCGTGAGTGCTTGTGTCGATTTCTAGATGCGGCTCCGGATGTCTACATGATCCAATTCCAAAGACGTCGTGATGTTGCTCAATGCTAGGCACAGGAGACAGGTATACTGGCTTGCATGCTGAGCGTGAGCATATGGTGAAGTTTCGACCATGCTGACTCTGAACAGACTTCGCAAATTCCTCGCGGCGAATCGATACAAAGACATTACGTTTCTGCTGAAGTTCCCCGCAAGGTAGCCAAGACCGACGTTTGACATGTTACCTCCAATTTATAATCACGCCCCGTCGCTTGACACTGCTCGAACTTGGTTTGGGCTGTAGTATACTTAACTTGTGGCTGTAAAAGGCAGGGCAAGCCATGGATGACCTCGTGTGTACGAAGGCATCCCATCGGCGTGGAAATTGCCCGGGATGAACAGTATTGTTACGTGGTACACACCGATTACACTTGGAAGCCTGTCTCGATGATTGAAGCTCAGAAGTCGAGAAGAAACGTCTGTGAGAACATCGATATGGTATTTTCAAGATGACGGCGTCGGTGTCTTGTCCTACACCTTCGAGGTACACAGTGAGGTCGGCCAGTACAGAGAGAAATCATCACATATGCGCTCACAGGCGCCCACAAGTGCATCCGCCAGCCGGCGGGATGATGAGGCACGATTCGTGAGAAAGAAGTGCCAAGCTTCTGCACGCAATGCCAAGTTTCTCTCGGCGGTCTGCGTTCTCTCGGCGTAAGAAGGAATTGCGTACTAGCGCTGAGAAGTGTTAAGCTCGACTGGGCGAGGACATTCAAGCCGACGGCATGCAAGGGCGGCCCTCTTGGGACGCGTTGTGTTTGAAGTCAGGAGGTAGGATTGTCACCGCGATACGCATATCATACAGCCCGGCCAAGATGGAGAGTGGAAACCTTGGCTGAAGCAAGCGATGCAGGAGTGCTGCGGGCGGTGGACGGAGGCAAAGGCCGCGAGACAAGCCACAAGCGCGGGGCCTCCCTACTCGATTGGCCCACATTGAGGCTGCTCAGTACTGTTACCAGTAGAGTGATTTTGGTGGGCATGCAGTATGGCTGCTTATGATGGCCAAAATACCATGACCGAATCGTGCATCGTGGTAAACGGACCGGAAAGAGGTGATGGGAGGAAGGAAAGTCGGGGTAGGCTTGGCACTCGCCATCCCTAACGACTTAAAGACCGACAGGCTGGATTCCGCCACTCTTCTCCAACCGTGATCATCCCATGTCTGCCCAATCTGCGTCTCCGCCCGCTGACGACTCGCCGTCCCCTTCGTCGACGTCCAATCCGCCCGCCGGCACCTCGTCCGCCACATCGCCGAGCTCCGCGGCCGTTACCCCTGATCCTCCCTCGGCGTCGTACCCATGCCAGTGGGAGGGTTGCTCAAAGTCTATGAACGATCCCGAAGTGCTCTATAACCATCTGTGCAATGACCACATCGGCCGAAAGAGCACGAACAACCTCTGCCTGACCTGCAAGTGGAACGGGTGCGGGACTACCTGTGCCAAGCGCGACCATATTACTTCGCATCTGCGCGGTGTGTACTGCACCCTTGTGATCGTGAGGCTTGTCTCATGTCATCCTCAGTCCATACGCCCCTCAAGCCGCATGCGTGCGAGGTGCGGAACTTCAGATCGCGCATGCGCCTTCCACACTCAACATCTACGTATAGATCTGTAAAAAGACATTCAAGCGTCCTCAAGATCTCAAGAAGCACGAGAAGATCCATACGGAGGAGCACCATGCGCAACACAAGCACTCCAAGGCGCTCACTGTTCCCGACCCCGCCTTCAACAACCGTGTCCGCCGCGAGTCTATCTCGTCCAGACCGAAGCCTCAGCCTCACATGAGCGACAAGGGTGAGGCTGCACTGTCTCGATTAAGTCGCATGTGCTCACAGGTTTACTAGATGTCATCGGCCTTTTACCTACACCGTCTCCCGAAATGGTGCACCCCTCTGCTTACGGAGTGCACCCGGCTTCGCATCCTCGCATGGTGCCCGCGGACCATTATTCCCACCACCCTACTTGGGAGACGATGCGGCCCGATGGCTCGGTCGCCCAGTCGAGCGGTCTTGGCATGAAACGCTCGCACGATTACGCTGCTGTTGACGACTTTATCACCGACGTCAAGAAGCGCCGCTTGGTGCCTTCATACAACTCACGTTAGCCTCCACATCTGTCTCGCTTGGGTATGCCATTGACCGGCCTCAGCAGAGATGGCGGCCCGCCTGTCCGACCTTGCTTACCACCATGGCGCTCCTGCGCCGTCGCACATGAATCTCAGCGAACCAGGCTTCAATCCGCGCAGCATATCGCTGAACATCAGGACGCCCGAAGAACTGGCGGCATTGAATCACTTCCTCCTGACATTGGGTCGCGATACAGAGCAGCGTATGCCTGAGCCTAGCTCGCAGCACGGTAGCTCAGTCTTCGACATGCAGCAGTTGGCGCAGCTCGGCCTCACATCAATGCCGGGTATCGGTACCTCCAGTGGTGGCTACGATGCTCAATATTCCAGCCCACATTACGGTTACACCCCCTCGCACCGCCAGCAGTCCCACTCTCATTGGCAGTCTGGTGCTCCTGGCTACCCTGCGTTGCACGAACCACTCTCTGGAGCTGGGTACGGTCATCGTGGCGAAGACCTCTTGCAGATGGCCTACGCTGCACAGAGCTCCATGCAGCCGACGCCGCCGCTCGAGTCGGGCTCACCTGCTAGCGCTCGCTCATCACCGCCTCACCGCCTGGATCCCTTCGAGAGCGCATTCCATGACCATGGCCGACCCCCTCGCCGTATGATACCTGCTCAACTCGCACCCGCCGAGTACGGTGGCATACATAGGCAAACCACCATTCCACTCAAGTCCTTACCCGGTCGCGCGAGCAGTGTCGAGTCAGACGCACCGTCTCCTGCGAGCTCCGCGAGTTCGACTGCCTCGGAGGCTGACGTTGTTGAGCCGATGACGCCGCCTCGGACACCCACGCGCCAACAGCGCACGGCGAGCCCCGCAATCGGCTCTGGCTCTTTGTACTCGCACCTCAAAGCTGGCGATGAGGACCTCACGCTACCACCTCTCCGTCGGGAGCCTGTCGCGGATGCAGCAACGCTGCCCAGTTTCCGCTCGCTAACCGGCGGTCAACGCGCGTATCCATCTTTGGATGAGCTCGAGCCAGATGCCCCGGTCACGCGCGGAATCAAGGACATGTCTCTCGGTGGAGGGAAGGACGAACGCACACAACACGCCTTGATCATTCGCGATCTACTTGTCTATGTCAATGAGCAATACCGCCAGCAGCATGCAAGCTCTGTGCCTCACGTAGACGCTGCGCCCACCATTGTGGCTTCGCGTGACATTGCGGTTGGTGCCGCTTGATTCTGTTTCCATCGTGTACTCGTACCTTTCTCTGGATGCTCTCACTTTGTACATTATCGCTACGACAGCCGACCACAGATAGCATGTTTATGTCTCGGTCGTGCACCTTCGCTTAATCAAAACGGTGCCATTCACTATTTGCAATCGCACCCTTGTAGTCTGGTGGTCGCTGGAGAATACCCAGTTCCCGACGTTCGCCGGCGCGGTGCGCGGCGAGTGCAAAACTCTAATAATATCACTGATACGGCTACTTCCGTAGACTCCTTCCCAGCACTTGAGAGCTCCAAGTATTCGCTCGAGCGAATACTTGGAGGTCGAAAGCGCGTGGGAAGGAGTCTACTACTTCCGAGGCACCACGATCACCTGAGTTTTCTGAATGCATGCGGTTCGCACAGACGACAGCCCCACCAGCCCTTGGAGAGTATTAAAATCGATACAAACCGCGATTTTGACTCCCCGTGCACTCAGCTGGAGCGTTTATCTACCTTCCACGGTGATTGTCATGTTACGAGGCTGATCACAGCGGTCTTTCGGATGGCATTGTATGATGATCGATGATGTCTCATCAACTATACTGCAGATGCGCTACGTCATCTATAGCTAATGTGGGGCCACTCAGGACTCGGAGCAAAAGACGCAAACTCTATGTACTCACGTTCCTCATCTTAGTTCGCGCATCATGCACCGGTCAAGCGGTTAGCTCAGACTGACCGAGTGACTGACAGATATAATCCAACTATATGACTTTGTAGAGCAACGTGTACAGATCAAGGCCCTATCGGGCGGCGGGACAAAGGCTTCCTGATTGAGAACCGGAGATTACACATAGGAAGCCTGCGCTCAATTCGTCGTGGCGTTCGTGAAGGGCGTCGTGGCGAACCCGACTCGGGAGTTCGTGGTGTCAAAGACACTGTAGAAGCGCTCGAGGAAGGCGAATCCATCTTGAAGTTCGGTCAGTCTCGCGGAAGAAGCTCGGGTCTGATAAGAGGCTTACTGATGAAGTCAAGGCCTTCACCCGAGTTGGTACCGATGTCTCCAACGATGAGGAAGATCCCGTCCGGGTCCCCGCCGATGTCCGCATTCAAGGAACGTGGCCAGAGCTGGGCATTCGGGGTGAATTCAAACGTCCTCTACAAAAGAGCGTGCCGTGAGTTTGTTTACTCGTGGCAGGAATTCGGGTTGAACGTACGCCACCAATAGTGAAGAATAGGCTCTTGAGTGCAGCAAACTGGTCAGGTGTTACACTAAGCAAACCAGTTGTACTATCAGGTGTGGCTCCTGTCGCGGCAGTGTACGCATTGAACGCATCAGTTGCGATGAGTAGAAGTGTGGTACCAGTGTCAACAATCCCAGCAGTAGTAGGAAGGATCGTCGCGTCGCCATAAGCAACGGTCTGGTCAATGCCCCAGAACTCGTTCGCAGGAGACGTCGAGGTGATGGGCCTACACTTGACGTGAGATCCCTGTTATTGGCTGAATGGGCGATGGACATACGTGAAGGTTATGTCCCCTGTGAACTTGCTAGAGTCTGTGCCGCCAAACGTGAGCTCTCCATTGGTGACTGAATCGGAGGTCGTGGGTTGGAAGGATACCCCGACGACTTCAGTAGAGATGATCCCCTGCGCGAATAGGTTGTCGGTGACTGTAGGGACGGTAGCAGCATTGGTGACTGTGTCCTCCGTAAGATCCACTGGCCCGATACTATATCATATTAGATATATTTCCTGTCTTCGTCAATCATACTCACCCCAGAATACCGTCATCCGGTGAGAATCCTTGGGAAAGGATTGCAGCACCAATGGACTGTTTCGGTATCACGAGGCCGCCACCCAGGCTAACCTGATCTGTGAACTCTTCTCCGAGTACAAAGCCCGAGCCATATGTGACTTCCTAATGAGCATTGTTCGTCAGATATGCGAGTAGTTGAGCAGTCCAGCGTGAAGTTACCCACCACGATGCCTCCGGTAGACGTGGTGGTACTTGTAGGTGTGAACCTTGTCGTAGCTCCCACCCAGGTATTGGAGCTCCCAGTGTCCACAATCAGATTAACTATGATCTTGAATGAATAGGTGAGCTATATGTAGCAGCCGCGACGTACATGTCGTAGGAGGACTCCCCACGTCAACGGCCGCAGTGTAAATGACAGCCTCGTTCGTGACCGGAACGGAGCCAGCTCTCGACTGTAACTTTGAAGCAGAGCCGCCCGAGCGTAGCCGACCTACGCGTGCACGGTCCTTCGCAAGAAGGTCGTGGCCGCTGGTGATGTTGACGCGCTTCGTGAGAGGGACACTGATACCATTGTTCTGAATGGTGACAATAGGCGATGCACAAACGGCGAGCGCAAAGGCGATGAACGACGTCAAGCGAAGGACTGAGAACATGGCGCGTCTGATTCTGAGGGTGGAACACGAACATTTGCGGAGTGAGGGCCCCGCAATTATAGGCTACAGCGCAGGCTTGATTAGCCGGATTCGTTGAGAAGCGTCTCCTGCCACCCTTACTCGAGTGGATGAAGTTGACGTAGCTTGGCAGCCTGAGGATGCTGAATGACATGAAAAACCTTGATGCGGGGCACAAGACCAGCTCATATATAGGGCCAGTCGCACGCAACTCGCATACAGCACCCGTCATAGTATAAGCCCCTTTCCTTGACCATCGTTGGGTCGTTGTGTAAATAAATCAGCGGCGACCTGCAGCATAAGCTACGGCGTTCCAGAATAGCACATGAGCTAGGCGGGTAAGGATGGTGCAGACATTTGAAGCGTAGATGATGAATGAGGATGTGGATTGTGATGAACACGAGGCGGTATGCGATAGCGGGAAGCGCATCTCGTCACTGGCTAATCCTGTAGAAGGTGAAAAGCCTCAGGCGACTGCATCCAGTCGAGAGGTGTGCGTCATAGTAAAGGCAAATCGTGCGAGCCTCTCTGCGTGTTGTAGCTATTGTGGCATATCGTGAGGAAGATGGTGGTAGGATACCAATCACCGGCCCAGACGCGCGGCAACTTCGGCGATTAACACGATCACCTGACTTGGACTCTTTCCATTTCATAAAGTTGATTATATTAGCGAGCACGACGACAAGGACAACAGGGACATCGATCGCGAGAATATTTGCACTTCATCAGGTAGATCCGAGGGCCAGCTCAGTGGGCAGCATAAACGTTGCTCTTTCGGGCTTCCGTGGTCTTCTGTGCACCAGACTCCATCCCGCCATTAGAAAGGGGCCAACATTCAAGCTCGGTGTATGATTTCCCTTGGATACACGAGAGGCTCAGCTCAACCTGGGGATAGACGGAGGTCTCACGTGAGACTAGTATCGAAAGAGTTTGATCAAGGGCAATGATCACAAGAGAAGGTCAGTTGGTGGTTCCCTAGGTCGCTCTAGGAAACCTAGATCTTTGCTAAGTATCATATTCACGACAAGCCCATACAAGTCTCTCAGATCATAGGGCAAAGAATTCAATATCGGAGCCTTCCAATGTAGACAAGGAGGTAGCCAAAGCGCTAGTTTGTCGTGGAGTTGGTGAACGGCGTCGTGGCAAGTCCGACTTGGAGATTCGTGGTGTCGAAGACACTGTAAAAGCGCTCGAGGAACGCATACCCATCTATAACAGCACTTAGATGATACTATCAATTGCACTCGAGCATGATCTCACTGATGAAGTCTAGGCCTTCGCCCGAGTTGCTGCCGAGGTCTCCAACAATGAGGTAGATGCCGTCTGCATCGCCACCGATGTCCGTGTTCAGGGAGCGCGGCCAGAGTTGAGCATTCGCAGTGAATTCGAAAGTTGTCTATCGTTTGCCTTAGCCTCTTCATCTAGCACAAGAAAAGATATGACGCACGTCACCAATGGTAAAGAACAGGCTCTCAAGGGCAGCAAACTGATCGGCCGTAACAGACAGCAAGCCGGTCGTGCTGTCGAGTGTTGCCCCTGTAGCGGCAGTGTATGCGTCATATGCATCCGTAGCCAGTAGCAAAAGAGTAGTGCCAGTGTCAACAATCCCAGCAGTAAGCGGAAGGATTGTATCATCGCCATAAGCCACGGTTTGATCAATGCCCCAATACTCGCTCGCCGGGGACGTCGACGTAATGGCCCTGAGAAGCTGTGAGCTGTGGCGTTCATAACGTAAAAAACAATAGGACCATACGTATAAGTTATGTCTCCGGTAAACTTGCTAGAGTCAACTCCGCCGAAAGTGAGTTCGCCATTGGTGGTCGCGTTGGATGTTGTTGGCTCGAAGGACACCCCAATAACCTCCGTAGAGATAGTGCCCTGGGCCAAGAGATTATCCGTGATAGTCGGCACTGTATCCACATTATCGACCGTGTCAGTGGTAAGGTCTACAGGTCCAATCCTAGAGAAGTTCAGAGCCTGAATCGGCGAGGAAGATGCCAGAAAACGTACCCGAGGATGCCGTCGTACGGAGAGAATCCAGAGGCAAACTCTGCAGCGCCGATGGACTGGTTTGTCACTGTAATACCGTCGCCGAGACTGACAGTGTCGATAAATTCTTCGCCAATCACGAAACCCGAGCCATAAGTGACCACCTGTACCACATGGTTAGCATCGAGCGCCTGTGGCAAATGAGTCAATTACTGACCAAGAAACCCCCAGTATCTTGGCTGGTACTTGTGGGCGTGTACTCAGTCACGGCGCCTACCCATGTATTTGAGCTCCCCGTGTCTACTATGAGGTCGACTGCTCATTGATCAGCCACGCATATACTTGTTGATCCAGAGCAATGTGTCCACATACATGTTGTAGGTGGGCTTCCGACGTCAAGTGCTGCGGTGTAAATGACTGCCTGATTGGTGACTGGTACATCCGTGCGGGATGCAGCTTTCGAAGGAACCTGAGAGGACCTGCTGGAGCGTAGGCGCTTTGCACGTGCCTGGTCACTAGCCAAGAGACCATGTCCACTGGTGAAATTGACATGTTTCGTGAGCGGAATGCTGATCGCGCTGTCTCTGATGGTGACGACCGGCGAAGCGTAAGCCACAACCGCCCAAGAAATTGTTGCAATGGGGAGAGCAGCGGAAAGCATGATGGAATCGTTGGGATGACGAGGGTGAACGAGACGCAGCTGATGATGCCTTTTTATAGAGCCAGGTGACGCTATCTGCAGAATAGTTTGAGAAAGAGTTGGACCTCGGGCTTTGGAAGTAGAGCCTTGACGCCGTATTGCAGCATGAGTACGACGTTTGTCGTACAAAGATGAAAGCACGCGGATGGGGGAACTGGATCAGATAGAAGCAGAAGCCAGTAGCAGCTAAATGCTTGTGAGTGTTTTGAACGTGGATATGCCTGAATTGAGCTCGTCAACGTTCTCCTGTGCACGAACACTATGAGTCTAGTCATCGGAGTGTCGCGCCATCATTGAAGGTCGTACGAACTCGCAGAATATAGCAAGAGTGAAGCAGTTTGCCTGCCCGTCTGGAAGCAAGGTCCACTGAGCTATGCGTATCTCTGGCGGCAAGAGAAGCAGCTTCCCGCGTGTATCATTCGGATGGGCATGCGATAGCGAGAAGCGCGATCTTCTTGCTAAGCCTCTCGGAGAAAATGATAAGGGGTAGCCGATAGACTGAGACTACTGCATGCAAGCAGAGTCCACATTAGGCGAGGCAGGAAGCTTAGTCGATGGGATGATATTGTGCGCATGATGTAGCAAGTGGCAGCTTGTGGCAGGTGGAGGTGGTGGCAAGCCGACGGGAACGGTCGCCGCGCCTCCAGGCGCCCACGGGCCGGGTCGCACGATCAACAATATTTCCAAGCCACGATCACCTGAGTTTGTTCCCACTACAATCCCGCGATACGAGCCACGTCTTCCGTCGTCTTCTGCACGCTCATAATGAGCAAGTCGCCCTTGACTATGGCGCGATGAACTACTCCTACAGAAAGCGGTACAAGCGGAAACTCTACGATCAATACAAGATGATGCGAATGAGAGGCACGCGTCAGAGACAGACAGCATGGTGGTGCGTTTTGGATATGATATGCGTAAGAACATTGCCTGTGTGGCAAATAAGACCCAATATAGTATCTAGTTCGTGGTCGCGTCTGTGAATGGAGTCGTTGCGAAACCAACGCGCGAGTTGGCCGTGTCGAATACGCTGTAGAAGCGCTCGAGGAAAGCGTACCCGTCTATCTCGGGGTCAGGATCTGCAGGTTGCAAGTATCTAGGTGCCCACGTACTGATGAAGTCGAGACCTTGGCTGGAGTTGTGGCCAATATCACCGACGATAAGGTACATCTCATCGTCTTTACCGCCGATGGCCGAGTTCAGGGAGCGAGGCCACAGCTGCGCATTGGGGGTGAGTTCGAATTTAGTCTATATGACATTGTGATGTCAGCAGGATTCGCAGAGGAGTACATGAGACGTACACCGCTGATGGTAAAGAATAGGCTCTCGAGGTTGTTGAACTGAGTGGGCGTAACTGTGAGTAGCCCCGTCGTGCCATCGAGCACAGCACCTGTCGCGGCCGTGTAGTTGTTGAAGGCATCGGTCGCGAGCATGAGGAGCGTGGTTCCAGTGTCGACGATGCCGGCTGTGAGCGGCAGGATCGTCTTCTCGCCGTATGCCACGGACTGATCGATGCCCCAGTACTCAGCCGCAGGCTCAGTTTTGGTGAGTGGCCTAGATCAGATCAGTTAACTATACTTTAGGCGCATCGAACACTAGGCTCACGCATAGGTGATGTCGCCGGTGAACTTGCTAGAGTCCACACCACCGAACGTTAGTTGACCGTTGGAGGTCGACTGAGAGGACGCTGGCTCGAAGGCGATGCCAATGACCTCACTCGGGATAGATCCCTGGGCAGCCAGATTGTCCGGGACAGTCGGAACGGTTGCCGACTCGTTGAGTGTCATGCTACCAATGGTCAGGTCGAGCGGCCCAATGCTGCACGATGCACCAGTCAGAACGAGTCCTCAAGCAAAATGGAGACATCGTACCCCAGGATGCCATCGTACGGGGCGATACCCTGCGTGTAGTCTGCGGAACCAATGGATTGCTGTTGGATTGTGAGGCCTTCGCCGAGGCTGAAGACGTCGGTGTATTCGACTCCGACCACGGCCCCAGAACCATATTCGACATACTAAGAGAGGAAGTTGTGAGTACAGGGGATGCATAAAGGCCGCTGCCACTGACCAGAAGCTGTCCGGTGAATGTACTCGAGTTCGTAGGAATGTACTCGTTCACAGCGCCGACCCAGGTGTTCGAGCTGCCAGTATCTACGATCAAGTCGTCTATGTGTGCATTAGCGATCTTGTTAGTGGAGGAGAAGGTTGGAAGAGACTCACAGCTCGTGGCGGGGATACCAACGTCAACCGAGGCGGTATAGACAATGGCCTGATTCTCGACACCGACATTACCAGCGTTTGCGATGTTGACCCGCCCGGTGGTCTTGAGAGTGTTCGCGCGGCTAGTCGTGTGCAGCTTATGAGCACGAGCACGGTCGCTTGCGAGGAGTGCATGGCCGCTGGTGACGTTGACGTGCTTCGACAGCGGAACATGTACGAGGCTGTCGCGGATGGTCACGACAGGTGATGCGGAGACCGCGAGAGCGATGGAGATTGCGGCGAGGAGGCGGGCGGCGTTGAACATCGTAAGGTTGATACCTGTTGTGAAGGTGACTAAAACATGGCCAAGTACAGCATGCATATAAAGCGATGGAGCCCAGCGATAAACGGCGAAAATTAGGAACTGTCAGGCGTCACGCGTCGACGTAACAGCGCTACATTGGTCCTACTGACTTGCTACCGCGAAGACGCACTGGGAATGCGAAGGCCGCATTGGGCGCAATAGAGACCCTGCGAAGGGAAAGGATCGCCGTATCGGAGAGAATCCTTGAGAACCCACATCCAAGGACGTCGTTCTGCAGTGTTCGGCGAGTCAGCCGTCAAGGGACAACCGCTCGTCCTCTGTTCGAGCGCTAGCACGGCGATTCAATACTTCGGAGGCGGCGCTTTGTCGTTTCCTGCAACGACAACGGCCGAGGATGGCGCATGGCTCGGACATCAGGGCATCCGCGTATACTGCCCTAGAAGGTATGAAACTGTCAGCCGGGAGATTGAGAAGCAAGCGAAGACAGCTGTATCGCTCAAGAAACGTTAATCCGCGCCGCACGAGCTCTTCACTGTATGGAGATGCAGCTCAAGCCAAGATGTGGCGACATTCATTCGTGCCTTTCAAGTCGTCTCGTGTCAAGAATGGGTATCGTAGGTTGATGCAATAAGGGCGCAAAGGGTCACCTCTTCCGAGGGTGAAGGTCAGCGGCGAGTCGGGTTCCGCGTGGCGACTCGTCGTCACAACTGGCCTTCGTGGGCGCCATGCGAACCTCGTCGCGATCACATGAGTTCTATGACGGTTACCGACTTTGAGAGAATTTTGGGGTATACAGCTTCTGTGACGGACGGCCAAGTAATCCGGGAAAATCCTGTGCTAAACGTGATTCTATGAGCAACAAGGACTCGATATATGTACGAAGGAGAATGAACCTAAGGAGGGAAATACGGTGGCTTATATCGGCGCGACCGATCTAGCGATGTGGGGGGAACAGAGACGTAGAAGGGATAAGTGAGAGCACCGATACGTCGGGAAGCGATACGGTTAACACATACACACAACACTGAGGGTAAGTCAGGTCAGGGGCTACTACAGACATGCTCCAGCACGACAAGAGCGGGACAGACGATGGAAGATTGCGTAGACGAAAGGAGGGGAAATCTATGCGTTTGAGAACAGGAGTGGAGACGAGATAAACACACTTCATTCAGGGGATAGGGAGTGTATGTCCGAGAGCAGCTAGCCGGGCCAACGACGGGTATAAGTGAGGCAGATGCGGGACGGCTGGAGTCAGGTCTGCAAAATAACGATACGGGCATTCAAACTTTCAAACTTCGAGCCCAGATGGGAGTCTAGTAGGGTGCATTCACGCGCCAGCGTTCTTCCGCGCTTCATCTTCCCAGGATCCAACGCGGAGGAAGCGGGCAAGCACCTCCTCCGAACCTTTCTTGAATACGTCGACACCGCGGGCGGGGTCCCACACCCTACTGCCACGACGCGGGGGTTTCGGAGGGAGCGGTGTTGGGAATGCGTCGTCTGGACTGCGCGGTGGGCCAACGGTGCTTGGCGTGCTGAGCGCGTCACTACTCATGCTCAGACTACGTGTCATCGCGGGCGTTTTCATGGGCGGAGGCGGGGGCGCGCGTTTCGGCGTCGTCTTGCCACTACCCGTGCCACGCGGGGACCCGGCGTCCTTCGGACTTCCATTCGGAGAATATCGGCGCTGCTCCTCGACGAAGTTGTTGACGAGGTGAGATTGCCGGAGTCTTGAGCCAGGCGCCGGCGAGTCCAGCCCAGTGCCCGAGTTAGTCGAGCGTGCACTGCCGTAGCCCTCGAACGAGTCTTGACGCGTGCGCATAGCACCGACGGGGCGGGTCGAGGTCGAAGTAGATACTGAATGGCCTTTGACCGGTTGGTCAGCATCCGATGTCGAAATCGCAACGGAGACTTGAACGCTTGCGTTCCGGGTCTCCGCGACCGCTTGCACACCTTGTGAGCGATATTCTTTCTTGCCAGAGGTCTTGTTCGCGTTCGAACTTGATCGCGATCGCCGACGCAGTTCACGTTCGCGTTCATGAGGGTCCAGGAGCTCGTCGTCCGTCTCTTCGTCGTCGCCGTTGGCCGAATCGCTCTCGTAGCTACCGTATGGTCGCGGCGGTTTCCCGTTATCGGGAACGAAGGCAGGCATGAGCGCGGCAGCACCGGTCTGACCCGGGCGCACAAGGCGAGTAGCATACTTCTGAATGCTAGGAACAGTGTCCCAGGCATTCATGTAGCCAAGTCCTCCTACTAGCGTGCGCGTCGGAGGCGAGGCTGGAGAGTGGACCTGTGGCGGGGTTGCAAGTTGAGTACTGAACATCGACGAAGGCGAATCGCTTGGCCCTGTGGTCTCATTGCCCTGGGGTTGTAGATGCGCCGTCTGCGGGGGACCCTCGCCGGCAGGAAAGACGCGCGAAGGTGTATACCGACGCTCCTCTTCCCATGGGAAGACAGGCTTGATCTTGGTGGGGTTTGGGGTAGGGGATCCGGTGGTCTGTTCGCCAACATCACCGATGACGTTCGCATACTGACGCTCTTGTAACAGTCGTTTCGGGATCTGCGACGGGGGTGGCTCAGCAAACAACGCAGAGGGTGGGGGTGGCAGATGACGCTGCTGTTCGTAAGTGGGTGCGCCTTGGTCCCAAGCATTGGCGAAGTACGTGTCCATGGGGAAGTGTGAGACAGGTGCCGTGCTGGGTGGCGGGTCAAGGGCTGCATTCCAAGCCAGCATCGGCGGTGATTGAGCTCGCTCAGGCAGAAGCACTGGACTGGCGACGTGAGGCGGAGGTGGAGCGCCATAGCTTGAGCGATAACGATGTCCTTGAGAGCGCTCGGGCGGAATGGAATGCTCGGCATCCGAGGCAGACGACTCGTAGTACTGTTGCCTGGCCTCCTCGGTGTGGACATAGTGCGTGGCCGGGACACGATGGTCATGGCCAGCAGCGGCGCCAGGCGGATCGGTGCGCACACGGGAGCCCGAGTGACGACGATAGTGCACAGGTCGCGGAGGTGGCGGGGCGACATCGGTGTCCGAGTGACTGTCAGACGACCAAGGAAAGCTATGTGATGGGCCTGCCGAATAGCCGAAGGGTGTTCCCTGAGCGAGATCATACCCCGGATGGTAGCCTGGACGGGGCGACTCCTCGCTCACTGGGGCCGCCCCATCCTCAAAAAAATGATCGTCGTCCGCAAAGGTCGGCGTTGCGAAGCCACCATCGTCCCTATCGACCGGGAGGGATGGCGGCGCACGCGCTGGCCGCATGAGATCGAAGCGTCCTTCGAGCGGCAAGCGAATATAGGCGCCCTCGCCCGACTGGGCGTAGGCAGGACCCGAGAAGCCCTCGATAGCCATTCGGCGCAGGTCATCGAGCGAAAACGGACCAGAGGTCGAGTTTGCGCTCTGTACGGGCGGTGCAGGCATGTCAGCGCCAGCGCTCCCGTTGGACTCCCAGGCAGCCTCGTATCGGCGTGCAGCGTAATCAAGAGCCGCAGTGACAGGCGCCGACCGGTAGTGCTTGTCATAGACAGCGTACCAGCGGTCGACCAGACTCGAGTAGTCGTATACCTGCAGAGGTTCGGATGCCTTGTCGTGCGTCTCCTTGGAGCCAGGGGCGCGCCAGGGGATATTGTTCCATGGCTTGTTGGGGCCGATAAAGTGGATGGCTGAGATCTTCTTGCCGAAGCGCTCGTACGCAGGCGCGTACCTGGGAATGATCGTCAGTAAGTTTCATCGACGTCAACGGTGAAAGCGTAATTTACGTGTAAACCGCCGTCGGTGTCGTGTTGTAAGTGAAGCTCAGCCGGTTCCAGTCGTCGCCACGCCATTCATTGAGCAGGCCCTGATCGCCACCGTCCCAGCTACCGTGGGATTCCGACATGCGCATCAACGCGTTGAACCTGTCCTCGCCAGGGCTGAGAACCATAAGGCCTGAGTTGAAGATGTCGGGCCATCCCACGTCGGGCACCGCAGAGAACTCATGCGGGAGGGTGAACAGATGCGATAGGGGGCGCGTCGGAAGAACGTCCGCGTCGAGGAAGATGATCTTCTTGAACTGCGTCAGGCGGAAGACGTGCAGTTTTGTCAGAACAGTCGTCAAGTCCGGGCGACCTAGATTGCAGACGGGCGAGGTTAGTCAAGGTTCAATCAGTATTGACGCAAAGGCATCGAGAAGAGTTCTTGGAAGAAGATAGAAGAAGATTGGGTGAGAACGATCGGGAGAGGCCGACAGAGGCGGGATAGTCCGCGAATGGGCTTGGGCCGCCAGCTCACGACATGCGGGGCGCCGGAGGGAAAAAAGCGAGAGTGCCCCACGGGGACGAGGGCGGCGGGTGCAATGGGACGCGCCGTGCCGTACAGGTCGAAAGCAAGGACACTCACCCAATAGGCGGAGACCATGTTCATTGTCCTGCTCTATGATCTCCACGCCGACGACGAGGTCAAACGCGCGCCTGAGCAACTTAATGCTCGTGACGTCCACAGTCTCCGGCGTGACGAGGCATACGGTCTGGAAGTCGACCTCTGGTTCCTGTGCCGGGTGCGGGTGGACGTCCTTGAGAGCGGCTGCGAGAGTGAGAGCGCCTGGGAGGTAGGAGTCGCTTGTCAAGAGAGTCGCTATCGCAAACTCTTTCGCCGACGCCATGGGCGCACAGGAGGAGGTGGTGGCAGTCGAGGACCGAAGCACACAGAGACGATCGGGCGTTCGGGAACTGTCCACATTCTTTCCTTCCGCCAAGGCCACGCGAGCGGACAAGTCAAAGATCCGGGTCGCCGATTGGTGCCTGCGCCGAACGCCGACGCACATACTTTGGCTCTGACGTCGACGTGAGCATGCGCAGAGGACATGTTGGCGGCTCTCCCGAGTGAACTTCGCTCGATAATCCTCCGCCAGAATCCAGTTCTCTTCCGCCAGTCTCTGCGCAATGTCTCCACCTCTCGGCCTGCATTCTTCACGCGCACGCCTGCCTACAAACGCATAGCAGTCCCCCCATCGCGCGCAATATGGGCCATTCCCCTCATCGGTGGTGTAGCTCTCCTCGCCTACAGCAGACCGCAGGACAAGAAGCCGGTGCTGTCCGAGGTACTGCGGTCGCCGACGCTCATCCCATGTTCCGAGCGCGAACGCGTCGGAGCGGAGACCTTCATCCTCTCACCCTCGGAACATGAATCCACCTTTTCGGGCAGGATAATCGCCATCCTGCGCGACAGCATCTGGGAGCCCCTTCTGACCGCACGGCGCTTCGTCTATCTATGCATACTCTTCTTCCCCGTCATCCTGTCTTCTCCCATGGTCCTGGTCGGGAAGCAGGAGAAGAGGTGGCAGGGGGACCGCTGGGGCGCGGTTTGGTGGTACGGATTCCTCGTCAGGCAGATGGAGCGCGCAGGCCCCACGTTCATCAAGGTAATGCACCTTATGTTCTGTCTGTTTGGCATTCCTGTGAACGAATACCGCTTTAGCTCGCGCAATGGGCCGCCACGCGCGCGGATCTCTTCCCGGCCATGCTCTGCGACCGCTTCGGGAAGATGCATTCCAGCGGCAAGCCGCACTCGCTCGCCCACACCAAACGCGTCATCGAGATGGTCTTTCAAAGGCCATTTGAAGACGTCTTCGTCGAGTTCGAGGAGGAACCCATCGGTACTGGTGCCATCGCTCAAGTCTACCGGGCAACCCTCCGGCAGGATCTCATCCCGCCTTCGTACTTCGACCCGAAGCGCACTCCCAAGCATGACCTTGCCCACATGACGCCGAGCATCGCGCCTGACCCTTCACCGTCCGTACCCACTGCCGCCGTCGCCATCAAGATCTTGCACCCGCGCGTCCGCCAGATGATCTCGCGCGACGTCGCGATTATGTCCTTCTTCGCCCACCTCATCACGCTTGTACCCGGCATGCAATGGATCTCGCTTCCCGAGGAGGTGGAGGTGTTCTCGAACATGATGTACGAGCAGGTCGACCTACGCAAAGAAGCGGAAAACCTCGTGACGTTCGAACATAACTTCATCTCGCGTACCGAGCCCATCTTCTTCCCGCGTCCGCTGCAGCAATGGAGCACGGCTGATCTGCTCGTTGAGGACTTCCAGCATGCACTACCGTTGACGACATTCTTGCGAAATGGTGGCGGGCCATACAATGATCAACTGGCCGAGCTTGGTCTCGATGCGTTTCTGGTCGGTCATTTACTCCAAACTCCGCCTCTGGACTTCACACTGACATTGCCTTACAGAAAATGCTGCTTTTGGATAATTTCGTTCACTCTGATCTCCATCCCGGTAACATCTTCGTCAAGTTTTCCAAACCCTCGACGAGCGATATCCTCTGGGATCTGTGGCATTCGTACTGGAATCCGAACGGCGAACCCGTCAGCGCACCTACGAACGTTGAGGCCAACGCCATCATCACTCGCCTCAGTTCCGTATCGAAAGACAGGCGACAGTGGCTTGCCGACCTTGACACCCTCGCCGAGGAAGGCTATCTTCCCGAGCTCGTTTTCATCGATGCGGGGTTAACCACGACGCTCTCGCCGAAGAACCGTCGAGACTTCCTCGACCTCTTCCGCGCCGTTGCGGAGTTTGACGGATACCGTACGGGTCAACTGATGGTAGAGCGTTGTCGTTCGCCCGAGCTTGCTATCGATACGGAGACGTTCGCGTTGAAGATGCAGCACATCGTGCTCGGCGTTAAGCGCAAGACATTCAGTCTTGGACAGATCAAGATCTCGGATATCTTGACGGAGGTGCTGAAGGCCGTGCGAACACATCACGTCAAGCTCGAGGGTGATTTCGTGAACACCGTCATCTCGATATTGTTGCTGGAGGGTATTGGACGACAGCTGGACCCGAACTTGGATCTGTTCAAGAGCGCGCTGCCAATCTTGAGGCAGCTCGGCAGGCAGATGTCGAACCAGGACACTATCAAGCGGCTACCGGACGACAAATCAATCTTCTCGTTCCTCAAGGTCTGGGTGTGGTTAGAGGCTCGCCAGCTAGCGAGCAATGCATTGGTCAATATCGACGAACTCGTATATCACGACTGGTGCGTCTCGTTGCATTCGCACTCTCGGGCTCTTCGCTGACCATCACGCTCAGGTTCACACCTAATGTTTAGACCACGGACACTTTGTTGCCTAGACCTGTATCCTTATATTCGCATATTCCCTCGCAAATACACGCCCCTCTTATTGCACATTGGTACTGGTAATGACGGAAGCTCAGAGCGAAACGGGTATATCCAAAAGGCCAAGCGGTATTGTGCAAACGGTAAAGCCCGTTGATTCAGTACAACCGCGTCTGTTCCTCCAGTTTGATGTCTTCGAGCAGCTTCGGCGGCACGTACACGAAGCGCTGCGGATATGTCGTCTTGTACTTCGCCTTCAATTCGTCCAAGGGTATCGGTCGTTTCAACTGGTAGAGTTCCTTGATCTCGTACGCGAACCCCGCCTTCTGTTTGTTGAACTCGTAGTTGCCCTCGCCATGCTCGTCATCGATTTCGCCGGGCGCCTTTCCCTTGCTGATGACGGCTATGTAACGCAGTGCCTGATCCGGCTTCGAGGAGTAGAACCTAGCCGCTCTCAGTGCATGTACGTTCTGGAGCTTGGCAATAGCTCACCACATGCGCTTCACATCGGTGTTGATGAGGTATTTCTTGAATTCGTGGTCGGCTACGCGTGTGACGAATTTGGCCACGCACGGCGGTTGGATAGCCGACAGGATATCCTGTTTTGGTGACCCCGCGTCCTTCTTCTTTGCAGTGACAGACGTTGATGCCTTTCGTGCCTTGCGAACAGTCGTCTCTGTCTTCGCCTTCATGGCGACGTGAAGGTCAGGGACAAGACGCGTTGTACGCGACAGGTCACAAAGTCAACGTACGTGACATGACGCGCGCGCGGTGCAGCGCGTCATCGTCTTCTCGTGCCTCCGGCGGTTCGTCTTCGCGACTGCTCCACTAACACTAGAGGTCTCCAAATGGATCTTGACGGCAGCCACGCTCGCAGCTGTCCAAAGGCGGGGTGGTTCCGCCATCAGCCGGAAGAGGCTCCACTTTACTATTTCGTCCCGAGCCCGAGAGGGTGATGTCATAGCTGGCGCCAACCCATATCTACCCTTCGCGAGCATATCCTTTTTGCTCCAGCACACGACCTTTCCATCTCATACCAAACCACCACCAACTTCTTACCACTACCCAACTCTCTAACTCTTTGCACATCATGGACGCTTCTGGCCAGGCCAAGTACGAGACGACCGCCGCCGTCGCTGAGACCGAGGCTTCCACCCAGCGCATCTCCAACGCTGTCCACCACAATGCCGAGGTCGCACAAGGCGTCGCAAAGCAGGCTGCTGAGGAGGCTCAGCACCACGACCACAGTCTCGCGAACCAGTGAGTACATGTATACACACTCTCGGCGACATGTACTTATCGTCTTTCTAGGCCCGCCGAGTCTTTGACGACCGCCGCACAAGCAACAGCACAACAGCCCGGCGTCGCTGGCACTGCTGAGCATGCGAAGGGCGTTGCCGAGCATGCCGCATCCGTCGCACACGAACGAGGGCCGGCTGCCACCGGTGACTTGAAGGACGCTATCCCTGCGCTCCAAGCGAAGACCGGCGCTGCCGTCGAGCAGGGCAAGGCCGATACCCAGGGCTACGTCCAGCAGGCGATCAACCTCGCCAACTCTGCCGTCAATGCCGCATCGGTGCGTCTCTCTCTTTGCAAACATCGAGGCACTCTGCTGACCCTCCGTGCAGCAATATGTCGCCGGAACTGTATCTGGTAGCGCACAGAACACCGAAGCGGTTGGCGGTACTACGACCAGCAACGTAACTCAGACCGCTTCGGCGACCGCCTCGAGCGCATTCGAGACGGCCAAGCAGTATGCTGGTCAGGCGCAGCAGGTTGCGCAGCCTCATCTCGAGGCCGCCGCGAAGGCTCTCCAGTCTGGTGCAACCACCGCCGTCTCAGCCGCGCAGGAGGCCATCAGCGGCACCGGCACGCGCTCTGCGGGCGTCGTTGACGCCAAGACAGCACCGCTCGAGACTGGCCCCCATACCACGAATGAGATCTACCCCGAGGGCGATGACCCGAAGAAGTTCGCCAAGACGGCGTAGGCTCTTCTGCTCTGCTTGTAGTTTCTGGATGCATTTTACAACCTGTATAATTGTACGATAGACCGGGATGCAGAATACAAACTGTACATCAGATACCAAGTGAAACCCAAGCGCGGCGACAACGAGCGAATATAATAGCAAATTCATGGCAACGTCCTGAAGGGACGTCAGCGATGGGACCGATCTGGCATAGACAGGATATTCGCTACGACAGCCGATGCGTCTTGTGCGCGGGATCGTGCTGACCAAACTTGGTTGTGTGTTTTCGTCGTCATATCCAGGAGCTGGACCTCGGTGGGCGTAGGTGCACCTTCGGGCAGTATAGGTAGAGCGCCCACTCCCGAAGAGATGAGGAGGTCTTGCAGAGATGATATAGCCTGTCGCAGATTCTGTAGCGACTCTGAATTTATTATCAGATCAGTCTGAGTAACTGGGGGAACGCCGTGGCCGACGCACCTGCAGTCTGTACGGGGTTCATGTCCTCCGAGTACGCTTTCTCACTGAACGCGGTGCAGTCAGTTTCCAGGCAACGATATATCTCGTGACGAACGCACATTCCATGCTGTGTCGCCAGAGCAAGCGACCGTACATGCTCAACGTGCGTCTGTACAAGCTTCATATTCTCCTTCAGCAGTTCAGGACTGTTTTGGTCCATCTGTGCGCCAGCCTCGGTCAACGTCTGGCTGCTTCCGAAAGGACTTGCGCCAGGAAGCTGAGATAGATCCCCAAACTGTGTACTCTGCGAGCCGCCATGCGTGCCAAAGATAGACGCCTGTGAGTTGGATGGCCCTGCGCCGAAGTTCATGATGGCCGTGTCTGAGACGCGTCAAGTTGAAGCACGCCCGACGCGCCCGTCAATATTGTGCACCTCCTGCCAGGCACCGCAGCCGGTTGATCGGATAGATAAGTTCGATCAGGCTATGCGGTCATCGCACTGGTTCGCCTAGCGACAGCCCAGTACCTACCTTCACACCGACTCTCACCACATCGCACGACAATGGTGCGCTATTCGATCTCGCGATGAGCCTGGCGATCTGACCTTTGCTCGTAGGAGAACTTCATCAACATCGCTAAGAGCGCACTCGAGGGTGGCAACGACAACAGCAGCAGCAACCGTGAGCGTCTCTGCGATCTATACTCTGCTATGGTTCTCATACGGAATCCTACTGCTAGAGGGCTACGGTAAGACCGGGGGCTCTGAGTACAATACCCCCCACCACTCCGGTCAGTTCCAAGGCAGTGGTCGTCCTCAGCGTACGTCTATAGTTCGCGTCTCGTCAAAGAGGATCGAGATTGATTCATGCTTCCCGATTCACACAGTCGACGAGGATGCAGTTGCTTCGGAGGCAGCTTCTCAGGGCTCCGGCGACCACTCACTGTTTAAGTCGGCGATGAGCTTCGTGAGCGGCAACTCGGTGAGCCATCACCCATACATATGATATTCGCACGATGCTCAACCCCACTGCAGCAAGAGCACGAGCAGCCCGTCGACGAGGAGCACGTCCAGCGTGCTCACGCTCAGGCCTACCAACAGGATAACGCAGGCGGCATGGACGCCAACTCGATGGGCGCTGCCGCGGCGCTGCAGGTACATCTCCATTCTTCCTCGCATGACGTATGCTTCCAGGCCTGGTCGTAACATATGTGTTTAGGCGCTCAAGATGTTCACGTCCGGAGGCGGTAGCAGCAGCGGTGGAGGTAGCGGCAGCACGAGCAGCCTGATCAGTATGGCGATGGCTGAGGCTAGCAAGCTCTTCGATAAGTCTGGTGGCGCTTCGGGCGGCGACAAGCAGTCAGTCGTTAACTCGGCTGCTATGACGGTCATGAAGCTCGTCGTGCAGAGCAAGTTCAGCGGCACGACTGGCGGAAGCAACTCAGGTGGCCTCGGCTCCCTCATGAGCATGGTGTGTTTGTCTTCAATATTCGTAAACCTCGATGTTGATATGGCGGCAGGCTTCAAAGTTCATGTGAACACAATGACATAGGCACTGGTAGTGGAAATTGTAAGAACCAAACTGTACATTATTGTTAGCTCAATAAACCCACTTTCGTAACTGGCGTCATCATATCCCATGATGACGAGAAGTATATCAACAGCGATGACACGTATCCCAGAATGAGACAATATGGTATATAACTAGTCTATCGAGGGCGAGATAATACACTGGGATGTCTGACACAAAGGAGTAGTCCCCAGAGCAGACAGTGTTTGGCATACATATGGCATAGCAGATTCACATTTGGGGGTGGGGTGGGGGGCAATTAGGCAAAACAGTGACTGATGAAAGGACGATAACTGATTGATAACATAATTGGGTCAGCATAGTTATGACGAAACGCGGTGAGATAGTGTGATGGCGAGCACTTCAACCAACACGAATACACATGACGAGACACAGTGAAAGCAGCACGGACAGCGCGAGCAAAGCGAAAAGAACACTGATGATATGTGACGCGCCGTTACTTCGTGAACGGCGAGTGGAACGATGTGCCAGCCGGCGGCGTGCGGATGTTGAATGTGCCGAAAGCCGATTCTGGAGCGGCCGAGGGCGGGCTGGGAGTAGCAAACCCGAATATTTTGGGCGTAGATTTCAAAGGAATTTGCGAACCCCTTGATCTGGACAAGCCAGTTACCCGCCTCTTCGTCGAGTTCTCCTGGCGTGAAGTGGAGAGTTTCGGACTGGTCTGCGTCAGTCCAGCACCGTACGGCTGTACAAACGTCCCAGGCGTTGTTACACGGGCCTCCACCACCGACCGCGTGGGATGCGTTAGTGAAATCAAATTTTCCTGCGATGTAAGGTCCCCTGCGTTCCTAAGCATCGCAAGTGGAAGATTTCCCAGCTCGCATGAGTGTGTATCCTCCGCAGGAGGTGAAGTGAGCTTGGGTAATTCAACGATCGACGAGGTGGGGGTTGTCGGACCAGAGGTCAAGGATGAGTCGTCATCCGACGAGATCGATGTGAGTGACGGTGTCCGAGACACTGAGCGTCTTGAGGTAAAGGTAGGCGTGGTAGACGATGGTGAGCTTCGCGGCATGTGCGACGGCGTGAGAGATATGTCTTGCGATGCAATGACACGAATAGGTAGGGGAGCGATCTTGCGACGGCGGATTGGTAGGACGGTAGAAGCGTTAATGCCGTTCACGGTAGTCGAAGCAGTTTCGGATTGCGTCGAAGTCAATGCCGTATGCCTGGGTGCAGAAGGAAGGATAGGCGGGGCTGGCAAGGGGCTTGTATTCGCCATACGTCTGGGAAGGGGAGCCACCTTGCGCCTTCGAGGCTGAGGGATCAAGGTCGCTGGCGCACTGCCTGTGTATCTGGCGAAGGCATCTCCCTCCGAAGAGGAGTTTGGAATTACGCGCAGGGCGGCTAGTGTCACGCTCGTCGAGGCAGCTCCCATGGCGCTAGCGTGTGCGTATCGTACTGCAGTGGCAGGCGTTGGCAGCGGGCCGACTACAGATTCAGGTAGACCAAGCGACATGCCCTCCAATAACTCCACGACCGAGTCCTCAGTGGGCACAGGCACAAGCTGTAGCAAAGAGAGAATCAGTACCGAGATAACTGATTGTACAGCGAGTAAACAAACCAGGTCCGACAGAAGGTCATCTTGTGAGCGTCCTTCGGTAAGCGGTTCGGGCAGGACGTCTTGCACAGCAGGCTATGAGACCGTGAGTATCAAGCTATACTTCGAAAACGCGATGACGACTAACATCACCGGCGGGCCCCAGGCTCTTTAGTAGACAAGGTTGAGGCGTTCTGCTTCGTAGACCGCTAGCGGAGACGATGCGGACAACCCAAGCAGAGGTAATACGCTGAAAGTGTGCAGCATGAGCCCCGAAAAATTCGTCCACGAAGATACAACTGTCTTCCGGCCATCTTGCGCACGCCTCTGCGATAGTTCGAGCGAGTATCGCTTCGTTGTGTGACTTGAGAGCCATCGCGTCTCGCATGAAAAGAGATGATATATGGGCAGCATCTCTTGGCTTGACCCCCAGACTGGAAAGCATGGCGGCGATGGGTTGCGGCTCAGGTAAGGCTTTGGTGATAAGCCTTTCGTTTGGTTGACTGAGTGCTCGACGTTGTGGTTCCGGGAAGGTGGACTGGAGTGCACGGGTTTCGTCTAGAATGAAACGGCACAATAATGCCGCGAGAGAGGATGACTGGGTCGACATGGCAGTAGCAGTGAGAGGTTGCGCCGATGTGACAGTATCCTGGTGGAGGTAACTGGGAGAAGGGGGAGGACGAACGCTGGCCGTGGTTGATATCCATCATCAAAGTCTCACGCATTGTGCTTATGTCAGCTTCTATTGTGCCTTTGGGTAGATAGTTCGCGCCGCGCGGTGTTCACACCCACATCTCATCTTACCTCGCCCTCCCTTTCAGCCTCAGCTATGCCGCCTTTCTCTGTTGAACCTTTTGTGTGCGCGCGTCTCGATTTTCTAAGAGCTGTAACGACCGGACCAGACGCCGTACTCTCATTCTACCGCTCGTGGTCGACTTGTGTACAAGAACTACATGAAGCGCATCGTCAAGGCCTCGTGCCGCCAGACGCCCTGCGGGTCGTGAGCAACGCTGTTCGCGACATGGATGTGCTTGCGTCCTGCTTCTCGGAGACGGAAGAAAATGCGCAAGACCTCTTGAGCAGTCTACTAGAGAAAAGTTCGCTCACGAACGGTGCGTCCGGTATACACGGATTATACAGTACCACTATCCAGGCTAACCTCGGCCTGTATTCAGATCACCCCAAACCCGAACCTTACCTGTCCAATTGGATTCTTCTGCATCTCGACAGCCCATATCCTGACGAGGACGAGGTTGACAGGATAGCCGCCGCCACCTCCACTACGACGAAGTGGGTCAATAACTGGTTCATCAAAGCTCGCCGTGCCATTGGATGGGACGCGTTGTTACAGCTAAGCTTCACGGATGATATTGTCTCAGCGTCTCGCGCTGCGCGTCATGTCTACTTTGGAGAGGAAGGCACAGCGGCGTGCATTCCTACCCACATTGTGATGGAGTTTTTGCGGATCGAGCGTGAAGCCGAAAAGATGCGCGAGACGGCCATTGCGACCGTGCTCTCCGACTATGGATGTGGAGAGTTTCATCTCTTCGCCGAGGAAGAAGAAGAGGAGGATATGACGCCGGCACCAGCGGTTGCAGGTGCGAAGCGCCGCCGTCCTGATGAAGAGGATGAGATTGGATCTCACAAGAGAGTTCGGTGCGCCACGGGCCTTCATACGTTGTTTACAACGCTTATGGATTCCATTCCATGCACAGTTCTTCGCCCTCAATGTGCACTGCGCGTAGGCCTCGAGTTGCAACTCGTCGTGATGTCTCCACGTCGTCGAACTCGGCACCTTCCATTAGGTGCACATTTACTCTGCCAACTGGACAGACGCTGGATGTCAACGCCCTCAACGCTACGACCTCGTCGTCTCGTAAGCGCCGTGCATCAGATACCGACGATGATGGCGCTGCACATATTTCCAAGCGCGCTCGTAGGACCCTCATCGACGCATCGACTTCCTCACCCTCGGGCCAGCAGTCGCTGAGCGATATTCTTACGGCGCCACTCGGTACGATGTTGCCCCCAGACATCGATGTTTGGGCATCAAATATCAGTCCGGCTACGGGTGAGTATGACAGCGTGTTACATTGTATACCGTGTTCATTTTTGCTCGCAGACTTCTCGTTAGACTGGATGCACGGCCCGTTTAATGCGCTGGCACCGCCATCCGGCGACGTTAGCCTCTCTACCATCGACTGGAACAATCCCGATATATTTTCCATCATCGATCCTGCCGACCACGCGATTGACACTATATTCAGTCCCGATAATGCCCTCACATCGTCTTCACCCTTGATGTCAACGCCGTCGTCGCCACGTTCGGTTACCGATTCCTTATCTGGTTCAGACACCTCGCTCGAGTCTCTGTCGCCGGTTGTTGGCCGAGACACCGCCTTAGACGACATTTCCAACACTGTACTTTTCGGATGGGACACCCTCCCCCCCGTTCAGCCTGTCGATCCGATGCAAATACCTGAGGGCGCCGCAAAGGGCAAAGTCGGCATCCACGTGCCTTGGTTCCACGCCGACACTGTCGTTACTCCGAGCGAATATCCCTTCGAGCCCGAGTACGGCGACTGGACCGCGCCGCAGATTTTTACCGCGAGGTAATCTGAAATTCCCAGGCTCTCACGAACAATGGCTGATTGGTCTTTTGTTTACAGTTATTGATTCCCATACGGTGTGAGTACTATCTACTCATATGAGTTGCATCCCCTCCCGGTTGTATACGCTTTGCACACTATGCCTTATGACTTACCTATGCTTTCTCCTTGTCCTCTACGTCGTACCCGCTTCGCTTTGCACTCCATGTTTTCCTCACATCACCACCATCGCTGCCTGCTCGCGCGTTACCTATACATCTGTGTCATGTTTTGAGTCGCCTTTGAGAACTGTGGAATCATTTGCTTTGCTCGTTGTATATTCGTACCATACCCCATCCCAATCATTGTTCGAGCGGGCTGTACATATCGAATGGAACTTAACGCTATCCTGTCGTCTCTCTACTATGGCTACGGCCCCAAGCGTGAGGCCCCTTTGTAGTAAGAGCTTGAGGACCTTAAGCTACTTTTCGGATATACCGATCTTTTATTACACCGCGGGTTCACATCATTATCATACATTTATGAGCTTGTGCATCGACGCGCGGCGACTTTGATGCTCCTCATTGAGATCCTCATGCTCTCCCGCCAACCTCGACCACGAGACAAGACCGTTTCACACGTATCCTTCTCTCGACTCTCCTTTCTTGGGGCCGAGCCCATTCAGTAACGCGTATGAGATCACCGGAACTGTTGCTCGCTAACTCTGATGACTGGTGGCTATGATGTTCGGAACGTGATGGCCGTCCTGCATGAATGCAGGCATCATATATAAATGCCTACCGTTGTTGGAGGTGCTCAGCTCTCCGCTCTTCTTTGGTTCCTCGCCATGCTTTCTCTTCGTTCTTTGGTCGTCGTCGCGTGCAGTCTGTCGGTCCCGTCTGTGTTCGCAGCACAATGCGCCGCCACGCTCAGCAAGGGCAATGTGCGCCCGCTCCACTCCGCTGATAAACGGTCACCTCACATGCCATCGTTGTAGGCGGTTGCGACGCGTCTGCAGTCGTACTACAGCTCCTCGTCGGGCTCGTACAACGGCGGCGGTAGGTGGACCGACGCAGTGAGTATTCCGTACCTCAGCACGCGTTGTTCGCCTCTGACGGCCCTGTTCGTGTTAGAATGCCGTTGAGGACGTGCACAACTTCATGCTTGGTGCCGGCGTCACGACCTGGGATACCCTCGGCAACACCTGGGACGTCGTGACGGCCGCAAAGGCTAACGCCAATCTCGATTGGTACAGTTACAACCAGGGCTTCAACGATGACGCACAATGGCTCATTCTGGCTTTGTACAAGGTCAGCGCCTCGACATGGTAATGGTACCGACGCAGACAGTTAACGCATGCTATACAGATCTTTGACTACAAGAACACGCATGGGCAGGATTCGTCGTTCTACCTGGTGAGCATACGCCGTGACCGCGCAAGCACGAGCCTATCTGACGGCCCTGCAGGACACCGCGAAGAAGATCTACACTGCAGTCGCGGCGGAGTGGGACGACACCTGTGGCGGCGGAGGTCAGTCCGAAGTCTCCTGAACTCCATACGACTTGTACTCACGACGGCCTCATTCGCCTGCAGTCTGGTGGTCGACCGACCACACGTACAAGAACGCCATCACGAACGAGCTCTTCCTGTACACATCTGCACGCGGATACCAGATCACGGGCGACTCTACTTACCTCGCGAACGCGCAGAAAGCATGGGCGTGGCGTGCGTACACTCCGTGACTTCGTGCCTTCCGCACCACATGCTGACGGGGTTTCAGTCAAGGCGTCCGGCATGCGCAACTCCCAGGGTCTCTGGAATGACGGCTTGGACTCGAATACGTGCCAGAACAACGGGCAGGTGAGCGGAGGAGCATGCGTCTTCTCGGAATGTGCTACTCCGTGCTGATTCAGATCGACCGCAGAACACCTGGACGTACAACCAAGGCGTGATCCTGGCCGGCCTGGGCCAGATGTACCAGATCACGGGCGACTCGACCTATATCACCGAGGCCCAGACGACGCTCGACGCCGTCGATGCGCACCTCACCTCGGGCGGCGTGATCAAGGACACTTGCGACAACTCGAGTGGATCCTCGCAGTGCACTGGTGATGGCGTACGTCTCCCCTCATGACATGCATTTGGTGGATGTTGACTGATGCCCATGTCATAGGCGGAGTTCAAGGGCGCTTTCATGAAGCACTTGCAGTACTTCCTCGACAACGCGGGTTCGGCTTCGCAGACGAAGTACAAGGACTTCGTGACGAGGCAGTACAACGCCATCGTCAAGGCGACGAACAGCAACAACGACGTCGGCTCAAGCTGGTACTCTGGCACTGCCGGGTCGGCGTTCGGCATCGTGGAGACGGACTCCGGATTGGCTGGTATCACGAACGCTGCGAAGGTACGCTCTTTCCCTGTGGCTGCGACATGGATGTATGCTGACCGGTCCTCCAGTGGGGCTCTTGCTGAGCGTATCGCATGCAAGTCGAACAATGCATTCATCCTCGACTCTTTCCTCTGGTTCATCTGTCACTTCATTCATTTATGTATGGCATTATAATGCAACGTTCTCGAGCACAGCATAGCAGAGTGGTTCATCAAGTATCAGTGAATGAGGTGTGTGCTGCAGTAGTACAGTGTGAGTAGAGGAGCGGGATAGTATGCAAGTGGGGGAATATTCTACATCTAAGTCGGGTAAAGATCGTATCATCCGGTCCTATCATCAATGCCTCCCGGGAACGGCCAGCTCCTCGCCAACCCTCCACCTGCCGACTTCCCTCATAGCCTCCGTATCGCCCTTGAGCAATACCTCCTCTCCAAGCAACCCACCCAGCATCTTCCACGGATCCTCCCCACCGCCGTATCTCAATACCTCGTTCTTATACCGCTCGCCCATCTCGCGACTCAACGGATCGCGGACAAACAGTTGACGCCAAACGCGCGAGGCGATGGCGCGGTCGAAGAGGTAGGAGTAGTACGTTGCGCCGTAGCCGAATAAGTGCCCGAACTGTGTTTGCCAGGACGTGCCGGGTTCATACGGGATCAAGCCCTTCTTCCCCACGAGGTCCGCAAGTACCGCAGTAGAGTTGAACCCGGGTTCGAGTGCGGCAGGCGAGTGGTACTGCTGATCGAGCGCGGCGAGGAGGATCTGGCCGTATGTGTCGATGTTTCTACAGGGGTCCTCGTGATGATTCGCTGCGCCGTCGGATGGGTGAAGGGTACGCGGCGGGTTGGGCAGGAAGAGAGCAAGCGCGGAAGGCGAGGTCAGGAAGTGCTCCATCAGGATCGATGGTAGCTCGACAAAGTCAGTCGCGCAGCGTGTACCGGAGACGTTCTGGTAGTCTGTCCGACCAATCATGGCTATATGCTCTGTCAGTGTGACTCGATAGAGGATGAAGGGAGAAAGACGCACAATGCATGGCGTGCCCCATCTCATGGTAGAGCGTAAGCACTTCATGCCATTCCAGAACAGTAGCACCCCTCCCCGCAACAGGCCTCGCGAACTCGGTCAACAGCGCCACGACCGGCAGCTGCACACCACCCTGATGCCCGCCGACCTCAAACTCCCTCGATACCTCCGCCAAATCCGCGTACTCTGCTGGAGGGGGAAGGTCGCCTGCGACATCGTCGTCGTCTACTCGTCGCGAACAGCGTACAGCGTAGTGCGCTGCACCGCCAGCTTTGCCGCGTCGGGCGAAGAGGTCTGCGAAGATGTAACCGAGGGTCCCGGTGGAGTCTTCGACGACGAGTTTGCGAACATCGGGGTGCCATGCTTCGCCCGGTGCGAGTGGTGCTGGTCGCAGGCGAATACCGTATAGGTGGGAGAACAACCGTGACAGAGCGCGCATAACGGTGCCGATGGTCAGCGGCGGTAGAGGTAATGGCGGTGCAGGCGGTTCGGGTGGACAGTAGTAATCCCTGTCCCAACCGTGAATTGTCGGTCTGCTCCCAGCCGGCAGGCCCAAATGTGCCGCCTTCCTGTCCGACAGCGCCCTCAACGCCTTCCTAGCATGCGGCCTGGTATGTTCCATGAGCGTCTCCAAGAACTGGCCGACGTGTTCTGGCGATTTCGCCATCTTGTCCCCCAGCGTCATATGTCCGAAGCTCTCCGTCCCTACCAACCGCGCGAGTTCGCCTCTCGCTCGTAGCAGCTCTTCGAGTGTCCGGACCTGGTCCTCGCTAGACGCGTTGCTAGCCATGTATACCTTTCTCCTCGGCTCCTCCTTGGGTGCGCTGCGCATGATCATCTGCGCCTGCACGCTGCCCGGATAGACCAAGAGCTCCCTGCCAGTGATCTTGCTCTGCCATCTCAACCTAGCGCCCATCCCGTCATCCCTCAACCCTTCAAGCTCTGCAGGCGCAATATGTGCAGGTGGGCGGGCAGACTGTGCATCGGATAGGAAGGTGCGGCCGAGGGTGAGGATGGAGGAGGAGAGCTGGACGAAGCGTGCGCGCTGGTCTGGCGGGAGGGAGATGCCTGACTTTTCAAAGTCGCGCCAGAAGATGAGGGCGGTGTAGTACGCTTCTCGGGATAGCGCAGATGTGATGGAGGGGTCGTGCAGGACTTCCTTGAGCACCTATATCCACGCGTCAATATCGTTCTCGGACTTTAGTTGTGGCGCCGGGCATACCTCGTACAGTCCAGTAGAAGTATTGAGGACGTTCATGTACTCGCACAGATGCTCGTACGCGTCGTTGGCGCTCTCCACCCATTCCCCGTCCGGATGCGAGTTTCTGACGAGCTCGCAGAGGTCGATGACCGAGCACAGGATGTCGCTCAGCCTGTCCAGGTTCTTCACCACCTTGAGCAGCTCTTCCCTGTTCCCCTTGGCCCGTACTATCCGCTCCGTCAACAGATGTGCGCGTAGTAGCGTCGCGTGCGTGAGAGAGTGAAAGCCGGAGGGTTGGGTGAGCACGCGCTGGGCGAATAGACCTGTGGGGGAGAGCGGGGAGGACGAGTGCTGCTGTGGATGGTCGAACAGCTCCACCAGCTCGTTCTCCACAGGACACGGCCCCGCATTAGAAGTGGTAGCGGCAGTGGCCAGACGCTGTGCCCGAGGGCGGTAGCGCGTGATCTTCCGACTGGCAGCGCGGGCGGCCTGGGCGAGCATCAGGGTAAGAGTCGAGAGACAGTCCCGTTAGATCTCGGGCACAACATTATAGACGCCCATGCGCTGACGACCCCCGACGCGCCGATCCTTCTGCTTTCGGACACGTTCCCAATCAAGAAATTGTGTATGCAAGATGTATGTAGTATTGTATGCTGGGTATCACTAGCTATGTCACACTATCCGTAGTTTTTATTGCTGCTGTAGAGTCCACCTCCATCGCCTCTTCCGCCTTCACTTCCGTCTTACTGCTGCTGGCCCAGCGTCAACAGCCATCCTCTCCATCTCTCGCCTGACTTCTCCCTCCCCATTCGTAGCCACCTCAGTCTTCACTTCGGCCTCAACCTTTACCTGCCCATCTCCGTTGGTAACTCGCCCACTCCCATTCGCCGCCTGCCGCATGTCGCCATCTCCCTCCGCGCCGCCGCCATCGTCCCCGCCCTGTTCCTCCGACGCCTCCCCACCTCTCCCAGCTGCACTTTCGGCCGACGTCGCAGCACCGGGAATAGGCTCAACGGCGTAGAACCAGAACTTGCTCTTCTTCCGACCCGCAAGCTGCTCGACGGCCGTCTCCGTATCCTTGATCTTCGCCCTCGCTTTCGCGTCAAATCCAGCGCCTCCGTCGTTTCCGCCCGCCACGCTTCCGCCGTCCACAGACATCCCGTCTGCGTCAGAGCTAGCGGTATCGGCCGTCCGCGCGCGTTTACGCGGCGGGCCTTCACTATCGTCCAGTTGTGGACCGGCAAATCGAGCTGAACGGCGCTCGCCCCGCCATTCTCGTCCGTGACCATTTCCGTTGGCGTGCGAGTTGCCATTTGTCGCGGCGTTGCGTGCCGAACGACGTCGACCGCCTGCTGTGCTGGCTGTATCAGATCGGAAGTCGTCCTCGTCATCCGCGCCGTGGTCACCGCGGGGGTCAAAGTCGTCGGCGCCGTCCTGTTGTAGAACTTGTATCAGTACAACATGAACAATGAATGAAAGCAGAGGTACACACGTCGCTCTCGATATCGTCCGCATAGACGTAGTCTGGACGCTTCGTTTGTCGCCTCGTCCGTGTTTGTCGCATCTCGGCTTGAGCAAGTGCGATGGCGCGTTGTTGCGCCTTTTTGCGGAGTTTGTCTATCCTCTGTGAACGCTTCATCAGTGCACGCTCTCCAGAGGCGCAAGTCCGTCGGACTGAAGAAAGCAAACGCACCGCGATCTCCTTATCAATGACCTCTAACCTCTGCCCTAAGCCATTCACGAGCTCAACATGCCCCGTCCTCCTCGCCTCCGCGATTGCCTTGCCTTTCTTTTTCTTCCCATCGTCCTCGGGAGGTGTTGCGGCGCGCAGACGCTCCAGCAGCGCGACGTACTCCGCACGCGTCGAGGAGACAGCAGTAATAGCCGAGGAGATCTTCCAGGGGTTCGTGGACATGTACACGCGAGGCGAGTCTGAAAGAACGAGCGTCAGTTCACAGCACGCACTCGAATACGTGCACAATAGGCGCCCGAACGGCCCAGGCCGGGGAAGAAGAGCAGAACCATTCAGCGGACACATAGCCTATCGCCGCCCATGACATAAGAGAAGAGAAGCAGTGAAACACGCACCGTCGACGACCCAATACCTCTTCCTGTCCGCGTCCTGCCCCAACGGCATAAAGCTCAAACTCTCCTGGCTGAAAGGATCTGAAGGGTCGGGGCGGGGAGGGTCCGGCACGTCTTTCTTCTTGTGCTTGTTGTGTACGACGCCCCAAGCTTTGTCGATAGATGTCTTGATTGCGGGGCTGTGTACAAGTTGTAGTTCAACGAGGGTGCGGATGATTTTGAGCTGTTGGATGGGAGTGAGACGGGGTAAATGAAGTGGGGCGGGGGTTACGCACCTTGGTGTCCCATGGGGCGGCAAACACGCTGTTGCTCTCCTGCCCACTGAGCGGGTCGACGTTCTTCATGAGATCATCATCCCAGAAGACGGTGCGCTCGCCCTTGGCGAAGTACTCGTTGAGTACGCTGTGGAGTGTGGCGGAGAACTTGTCCGCGCTAGACACAGCCTCTTAGCATAAAGTGCACAGTAGACTGGAAGATGTAGCGCACCTAGTATTGCGGGTGGTAGGTCTCAAGTTCAGGACGAAGCGCGCCAGGATGGCGTGCAGGAGCGGGTGTGGCCCGCTAGCCATAATAGACTCCTCGAAACTAGAGCACACATCAAGCATCAGACTTCAGAGCCCCAGTTATACTATGAGCTGAACAAGCGCACTCCATGACATTGCCAAAGTCCTCAACTTTCTTCTTCAGGTCTGTGAACTTGAGGATGAAGGAATAAGCAAAGACGGTCTCCCAGCGGTCTCGCGGGTGCGTCGCGTTTGACGGCGGACAGACGTGCCCCTTGGGTATGGGCTCATCGCTATCTCTCATCTTACAGCAGCACTAGGTCAAGTAGCAGTAGACAACCCTAGATGAAGTGTAGTGTAGGCAAAGGGGAAGCTAGATAAGGAGGGAGAGGGAGATGGTGGTTGGATTCAAGCACGCGTCACTCGTTGAGTGGCTAACTCCAAGAAATCGCCCGTTGCCGGCCAAATAAGATCACAGCCCTCTTCGTACTTCTATCCGGCGCGTACCCGTCGCGTTTGACGCGCCCAAACGCGCTCTGCTCCGTTCCAGGGCCACATCAAGCATGATAGCATTGCAAAGCAGTTTGTAGGTACAGGACGGTAGATACGAATTTGCGAGTGCGAGATATAGCGTATGTTAGCCTGGTCCGACCTGGTGGATGGTATCAGTGTACGGTTGAGAGGTAGAAAGCAGGAAAAACGGACCTTGGGAATATCGTGGTGCTCGGAGAGGGACTCGAGCTTCGCGTTGAACTCATGCACTCGGTCCTTGTGCGTCTTTCCAGCCTCTCGCTTGATCTTCTCAGCCAACTATCGCGATCAATCAGTATCTGACGTGTGCTTCGCCAGAAAGAGGTGGTGTGAGGAACTGAGCATACCCGCTTGCGCTGGGTCGCCTCGAAGCGCCTCTCGGCCTCCGTCTTCTTGTCCGCGGTTTTCGATGAGCCTGCAGCGGGAGATTCACGGCCTGAGGATGTCGGTACGGGGGAGGAGGATTTGGGTGGGGGTTGGAGGAGCTCGTCTTTCGCGCTCGACTTGCTCTTCGATTTTGATTTCTTCCTATTATAGACAGTCAATATATATTCAAGAAATAAGAGAAGACGAGCAGCGTACTTTTTGCCAGCGCCGTCCGCGCCCTTGAGCTTGAGGGAGCCGCCGGGGCGAAAGTCGTAGGCGTCGGACATGGCGGCCGGGAGCAAGGCCGGGGCGGCGGCGGGAAGCGTGACCGACGCGCGCTTAGTTTGGGACGAATATCCGGCGCTAAATCCGAGCTGGACGTTGCTCTGCCCCCGCCACTCACGACCCTCGACGACGACGACGCTGACGATGGCAGTCCTGGGCTCTCCCGTGCAAATATGGCAGTCGACGCCCGTCGTCACACGTGCTTTCACCGCTGCGACGCTCGCATGTTCTTTGCTCTACTTTTGGCTCAGTTGGCAGCTCGGCATCGACACGCCCTGGCTCACGCTCATTCCCGGAGAGAGCTATTTCTTCCCCTGGGTACTCTTGACAAGCTGTCTGGTCGAGACTACAATCATTGAAGTGTGTTTAACTGCTATCTGTCACTCGAGTATGCGATGTTGATGTTTACGCAGCTGGCAGTGACTCTGCTCTTCGTCCCGCCCTCGCTCCGCTACCTCGAACGTCTCTGGGGCGCGGCAGAGACTCTCAAGTTCATTGCATTCACCGTCACCATTTCCAATATCATTGCCTTTGCTCTCAACTGGATAGAGTTCATCGGCACTCGCAATGCGGATCTCTTCCTGTGCGTACTCTGCTGTCATTGTCCGAAGTCTAGAGTACTGACGCGGTTGCAGGTATGGGATGGAGTACCACGGACAAATGGCGCTGCAGATCGGCATCCTGGTTGCATTCACGCAACTCATCCCCGAACACCACGTCCAAATCCTCGGCGTCATCAAATGCCGCGTCAAAGTATGTCTGCCCTCTACCCTTTTTCCTACTCCTCATCCTTATACGATCATGTCAGACACTCCCGATGGCTTATGTGACCCTATCAACGGTCCTCTGCCTAATCGGCTACCAATGTCCCTATATCGTAATCCAGTTCGGCTTCCTCTTCGCCTGGATCTGGCTCAGGTTCTACAAGCGCAACATCGACGCTGCGCTTGGCGGAGGCTACTCGTACGGTGACCGGAGCGAGACATTTGCGGTTATCTACTGGTTCCCGCCGTTCCTCCAGTATGTCTCTGATCATCATAGTGTGGAATCGAACGCTGATGCAGTGTATCGTGCGCAGCGGGCCCATCGGCTGGTTGGGCAACACGCTGTATGTGTACGCAAATCGGTATCACCTTATCCCGACGAGCTCTGGCGACGTCGAGGCCAATGGTTTCGCACCTGGAGGTACGCGCGCTGAGGCTGAGAGGAGAAGGTAAGCCCCATTCGCGCTTAATCACAGGGCAATACCCTCTGACAACCTGGGGTTTAGGCAAATGGCGCTCAAAGCGCTGGACCAACGCGTCGCCGGCGCAGCGCCCACGAAACCTGCTGCAGCAGCAGCTCCTCCTGAGACTGAGGAGGGTGACATTGGCGCACCAGCGGCGGCTCCAGGTCCTTCGAAATAAATCCAGCTGTCCATGGTGCTGAGTCTCGGAATTGACTGGCTGGAGACTGGAGTATGCCTTGATGGGGTACAATACGTTACAGCTCTGCTCTGAATATGCCCTTTTCCCCTTTACCCCTGCTTTGTGAATACGTACTACGACTCGAACGACGGTTAATATTGGTGTTGTGTATATTCGTTGAGTGAACGCGTGAGATCAAGTCGTGGACAGAGACGCCACGGCCGCAGCGCGTCCTCCGTCGGCCCTGTACCTTTACCCTAAACGCCCACTATCTATACCTGCCCGCACAATGTCGCGCCGGCCTTCGGTGGCGTCCTCGGTAGCGAGCACGAGCATGTCGCGGTTGCCGTCAATATCGAGCCCGCCTCTGCTGCGCTCCTCGTCCTCCTCGCTGTCCTACGTCCAACGCTCGGCGTCTACCTCCGCCGCCATAGCCAAGCAGCCTTCGAGTCTCGATCCGGATGAGCTGTTCACGAAACACTCTGTCGCGGAGGTCAGGAATGTACAGTTGAGGCTACGGTACGCGACAATACACAATACCTACATACTGAAAGCTAACGATGTACGCAGCGCCGACGCGGACGCGAAGCAGGAGGAGCTACGGCTGATGGTTGGGTGCGTTCTGCTCCTTGACTGCATTATAGTCTATAATATTGATGGACTGCCTGAAAGCGCAGCGAGCGCTACCGCGACCTGCTACAGGCGTCTACCTCTATAATTGCTCTGGCCTCGGCCTCGGAGCGCGTACGGGCCGCGTTGGACGAGATGCGCGCCGCCGTACCCGATCCCAAAGCGCAACTTGAGCTCGCGCTGCCCAGGAGAGCTGGAGACAGTACCAAGAATGGTGCATACCGTTGTTGAATTGACTCCACGCCAGTACACTTACACTATATCTCCCAGACTCGCACTTGAACGCACTACAATCCCTCGCCGCACACGCCAAACTGCTGCTGGACACACCCGAGCATCTGTGGCGGCTGCTCGAACGCAAACGGTTCCTCCCCGCCGCCTGGCTCTTCCTCCTCGCTCGCGTCATCCACCGCGCCCTCGTTCGGCCCGCGGAAGAAGGCGACGATGAGGACTGGAAGACGCACGGGATCGACGTCGAGGACCAGTTCCCGCTCGTCCAACGACAGTGGGAGACCATCACACCCTTCAAGAGCCAGATCGCGTACAAGGCTTCCCTTTCACTCAGGGACCCGGCGATCACTGGGGAGGACATCTGCGCGGTGCTCCTCACCCTCCATCTCCTCGACTCGCAACCTCTGCCTAAAACGCTCGACACGCTACTCGCTCAGCGAACTCGCAGCTTACAAGCCGCACTCGCTCATCCGCCCACACCTGAGGATCCTCCGACGCGAAAGGCCGTCGTCCGCGCCGTCCGCACCAGCCTCGAATCCGTGCTCTCAAGCATCGCGTTGACTCTTGGTGCCGCACGCCGTATATTCGAGCCTGCGCACGGGCTTATGGCCTCCGCACTGACATACATCCAAGAGCCCGATTCGGCCACACCTGACGGTCTACCAGCGGACTTGCAGATATCCACAACGTCTCTTCTCGGCTCCCTGCCCTCTGCATCGTCCCAAATAACGCTGTTGCCGGAAAGCATACGCGGCTATCGACCATACATGGGCGCAGACTCTTCACCAGTCGCACACGAGCATCTAGCCGACCGTTTGGAAAAGTGGCATACGAACGCGGCGACGGAGCTAGCCAAAGCGGCGGGGACGTGGCTCGGTGCACTGGATACCCTTGCGGACGTATGGGCAGTACGGCGTGGTGCGAGCGCATGGGAGGAAGCCGACGAGCAACTCTCAGGACCAGAGTCCGTTGGCCTTCTTCAAGCTTTGGACACTGCTGTCCACGCACGCGCCGGCTCGATCTGGCGCGCACAACTGGCCGACATGTCTACGGCCTTCACATCCACCCTCTTCCGCGCCCTGGAATCCCTCTCCACCTCTTCATCCTCAGACACCGCGCACCTCGACGCCTCGCCCGCATCCTTCCTCTTCCGGGCGCCCCCGCCTGTATCGGCACACGATACGCTCGGTTCAGGCAGTATGGCGACCCAATTCAAAGCGTATGCCGAGAGATTACGGGCGCAGGCGAAAGGGAGAGCGCCCTTATTGGCGGAGGTCCTGGACACGCTAGAAAGTCGCGCGGCGGCGCTCGCGGCAGACCTGAAAGCGACAGAGGGCGGTGCGGTGGGAACGGACGCGTATGCGGCTGATGCAGACACGTTCTTTGGCCGGATCGTGGACGCGCTCGAGGCTCAGGCGGGCGAGGCCGCAGATGCGAAGGTGCTGGCGTTCGTGACGCGTGTAGCGCACGAACTTGTCCGGTCGCCCTTCCTGTCCGATGTGCGCGCGGGAACGAACGCAGGCACGAAGTTCGAGCAACGCGTAGATACCTTGCGGACAGGCGCGCTGCGCAGGTGGCGCGCATTGGCGGTGGGCGAGGTTTTGGCCGTCTACAGCGATGCGTGGAAGCGGAGTGTAGGCGTCGGCGCCGCCGCAGGTCCTTCATCCGCGCTCATGCAGGCCTTGCTTTCCGTCGTGTCAGCGTCAAGAACGGTGCATGCCTCGGTGTTGCTGGACGCGGATACGCGCGCGGCAGGGGAGACGTTACGCGCGTTCATTGATGCGCTGCTTATCGGAGATCTTGCGCCGACAACCGTACAGACGCGCGCGTACGTGTGGGATTTGCGATTATTGAGGAAACTCGCGCTCTTGTGGGGCTCTGGATGGGAGGATATTGTTGAGAGACTGGACGAGCGGATCACACAGGCCGAAAGCTCGGTATGTTTGACTTCATTTATCTCCAATATTACATTTCTAAACACGTTATGTACTCTAGATCGACGCCCCATCATCATCCTTCAACCCCGACACCGTCGTCTCCGATCACATCACCCGCACACACGTCCTCCTTGCGCCGCTACTGCCGCCAGGAACACCGGTCACTACTGGCAAAACAGGTGGAAAGGCCTCCGGCACAGTGAATGGCTTGGATAGTAGCGCGCCGCCGACTATGGAACTCGTCAAGCCCGGACCCAGGTTTGGGCTGTTGCTTGTTGGTGCTGTAGGGTAGACCCATGTCGTAGACTGGTAGACTAGTACGCATACATCACGGACTTCCTAATCCGTCCTCGAGTCCGCGCGACTTTGTGCAAAATACCAAGGGCTCTATAAGTACTAGGTCCTTAGCCCTCGAGCCCCATGGTGCTGGTGATGTGTGCTGCATTCTCTAAGCTAAGTTCCTCGTGTCGCGAGCGCACTGTAGCTTGACCTCCAGTCCGGAGGAAGTCGAGTACGACGGGTTTCAACGCCGGCCAGGCTTTGGATATGGCATTCGCCCTGTCCATTGCATGCGACAGTCCGCCATCCTCCAACGCGACTCTCAAATCGTTCAGAGCGCATTCCTGCGTGGTCTCGGACACGGCACTGGACAGCGCAGGCCACGTCTCGACAATGGCGTCCGCCTTCTCCATGACCGCAAACAGGCCTTCCTTCATCGTGCTTCTGACGTCTGCATCGGCGTATTGGGATAGAACGTGGTGCGCCACAGAGTGAAGAGTCGGCCAGGCGCTAGCAATCTCACTGGCGTCTTTGAGAGCCATCAATAGCCCGCTTCGCTCGACAGCGCCTCGAAGCACGATCGTCGCGCTTTCCTCGTCCGGCTCGACCGTATCGCCATTCCTGCCCATGTACTCCACCACCTGCTTCCGTGCATCACCTGGAGCGCCAATCCGCACAAGCGTGTGCAAGAACGCATGCCATGCCTCACGGTTCATCGTGATACCCTCGCGACGTGCACGGGAGACGATGGCGCGCGCAGCGTTGGCTGAGAGGCAAGCAGGGAGAACAGCTGCAAGTGAACCCGCGTCCGCATCGCCGACGACGAGCATCTGGTGCCAAGTACGCATCGCTGCATCATGACATCTTGCTACCACGAGTGCACGGAGAAGGGCGTGTCGGCTCGCGGCGTTAGGCCGCGTGCCGCCAGCCCCGGTTCCCATCGACGTGCGTACAGCATCAAGGGCGTAAGCGAGCGATGCTTGCACGGCCACTGCGTCTTCGCTATCGAGCCTACGCGGAAGCGTGGAGCCCACAGCCGCGAGGCAGTCAAGCAGTTCGACATGCACATCTGCTGGGAGTACCGCGCCGTCTTGACGCATGCGCTCGAGAACGAACAAGAACTCGCGCCAGAGTGGGAGTGCGTTCCCGTTGCCTCGTACAAGCAATATTGCATGCAGTACAGCCGCGCATCCCGGACCATCGAGTGCTGCTCCGCCAAATGTGCGCGCGATGAGATAGACTTCGCGTGCTTGGAAGGCGTTCGGCGCGGTACGGATGAGGCGCGTTATCCAGTCGATAAAAGATGGGCCGTCGAGAGGAAGACGGAGGCGACGCATGTGCTTTAGTTGGCGCAAAGCGAGCGGCCAAGTTCCAGGCGCGGCAGAGAGCACGCGGTTGAGTGTATCGAAAACCGATGTCGCTGCTACCGTCTCTTGGCCGGGTGGCACCAGGCAAACATCTCGAGGGGGACCCTGTCCCTCCTTAAGATCGCGGCAGTACCAGTTGTACACGTCGAGGTAGATCCCATATGCGCTACGCGTGAGCTCCTCGGACGGAACAGCAATGCCATGATCGGCTGAGCACATTATCCCCAATACGACGTCCGCAACAGTGTAAGACGGGTTGACGCCTGCATCTTGGGCCCGATAAAAGACGGCGAGTGCGGCGAAGGGGTCATCCTTATTTCGCTTGGCTTCAGCAGATACAAGCTGAGCCCATACGACGGGCTCAGCCTTGATCCCTAATTGCGCTTGCCAGAAGATTACATCCTCGATGTTGAACTTGTCCTTGAGGATGATGGTCAAGGCCTCGGGTGTCGGCTTGAATCCTTGGCGTACGCGGTCCTGTAACGCTCCTGCTCCCGCTCCCCGACCGTACAGGTGCCATGCATCGGCAATCTCATTTGCGTGCTGCACTGCAGGGTCGTTTAAGTCATCGGCGGGATGCTCGGCGGGGTACGCAGCCGAGAGCGCTGCGACATCGTGTGGGGAGAAGTGTTTCGCCGACTCGGTTAAGAGGAAGTCGCGAAAGGCGGGTGCAAATGAACGTGCGTGGGGGCGAATGGCTGAGACGACCCAAAGGGCGATGGCGGGAGCGCCTTCGGGGAGCGCAAAGACCTTCCGAAGGAGATTGATGCAAAGCTCTGGAGTTGGTGGGCAGCCTTCCTCCTCCATAGCATCGAGAGCCTGGTGGAAGGTACCCTTGCTCTGACGCTCAAGTACGACATAGTCGAGATAGATGGACCAATGATCAAGGGTGGTCTCCTGACATACGTGCGTCAGCCATTGGTACATGGCCTTGGGTTTATTGCCTTCGGCTAGTGCGTGCAAGACGATCGAGTGAGCTTCCGAGGGTCCGAGTAGGCCGAGTGAGATGAGGTCGTCGACCATGGTTTTGAGGATGCCAGCCTCATTATCATTCAGGCGAGCTACGGCAACAAGCCGTAAAGCATCTTTGAAGTCCGCCTGGAAAGAGTCTCGAGTGGAAGGCAGGACTGAGCGCCGAGAGTCGGGCGCCAGGCTCTTGAGCTCGTCTCGGACGGCATCGTAGGCGCGTAGCAAGGGCGGGACTGGCGCATTATCGCGTACGCTGGCCTTCCATACTTGCTCCTGTAGTCGGTGGAGCTTTGCGTCGAGCTCGGGGTGGGATTCCTTGCGCGCGGCGAAGGAACGGATATGTGTGGAGACGGGTATAGGTACCGTACACCTAAGAGCTGTCCGCGGCGCGATAGCCCTACGGAAGAACATACATGTGCGCTGAACCGCATTGTCAACATTCGTATGCTCTTCAGATGTGCATCAAAACATACCTCTTCGCCGCTTCACGGCGGTTGTTGCGGAAAGAGAGACTGCACACCCGCGCCGAAGGGCCGGAGTTGATGGGCGCCACGTGCACGGGCATGAGAGGAGCGCGACACCCTCCACGTCGCGTCTTGCTTTAGCACGTCGACCACCTCGCCACATCCCCCCCCTCCCGCTTCAGCCTCTCCTTATACCACTTGTGCAATGTCTGAGAAGCTCAGGGAGCTTGCCGAGTGGCCGCAGGAGCGCATCGCCGATAGCAAGCAGGTGCGTGTGTCGCACCCTCCAACTTCATGCAGACTTGCTCATGTATATCCAGTTCCTCACTCGCTGCACAAAGCCCTCCCAAAAGGGTATATCCTTGTCCTCTACCTTACAGGACCTTTTTACTCATGTCCACTCCAGAGTTTCTTCAGATCTGCCGGGCCGTTGCCGTTGGCTTCGCCATCATGGGCTTCATCGGTTACCTCGTAAAGCTTATTCACATCCCTATGTACGTACTCCTGTTATCCTTTTTGAGCGTGCGTTGATCTTATTTCTACAGTAACAACATCCTCGTGTATGCTCTGCATCCGTCTGCCTCGCTAATTCAAGAGTACTGACTATCTACAGTGGCGGCGCATGAGATCGCTTTGTCTGCCGATTATGGTGGATTCTTATCTCTGGGAGGATAGGGAGGGCTCGTCAAGATGTAGTGGTCTCTTGCGAGGGTTATTGCTCGTCTGTTGACTCAACAGAATCCCACTGCCAGTGTGGAATACATGACTTCAAATGCATTTCTTCGTGCGACCGCGAACACCCATAAGTGCCAGATAATCTCGGCTTCATGGTCAGTCGTCTTGGGACGATGCAGGAAAGAGTAGAATGCTATAATATATCTTCGCAGTGTGAGACGCAGCGAGCCCAACATAACAAGTAGTAAGAGTGCGTGGGATGTAGGGTACAATTGAAGCAAAGTATGAGATATGCCTGGTTGAACATGCGAGCGTACAGAGGCTGGGCTAGCCTTCTCTAGAGTCTATCCGCAAATAGGCCCTCCGAATGCGTAATGTTGAATTCTACGTACGTGCGGGCAAAAGAAAGCGCGAAAGTATTATCTATGCGTTGAAATCATAAGCAGTTTCCTCGACGGAAGGGCAGTCGCACTAGATTGAACATATTAGTTCCAATGGGATATGCCTTAGATGAGTCGACGTACGATCAAGTTGAGGTCACCGTAAGCGTCGTCGACGCGGGAGACAGTCGGCCAGAATTTCTTCTCTTTCAACCAGGGCGCCGGGTATACAGCCTTCTCGCGCGTGTACGGTCTGGCAGGTATCGCATTAGTGTGACGGTTTTGTGCGCATGAGAAAAGACGTACCTATCCCAATCGCCTTCAATGACAACGGACATCGGGTGCGGCGCGTTCTTGAGAACATTATTGTCCTTCGGCTGCTTACCCGTGATGACTTCCTCGGCTTCTTCACGGATTCGGATCATAGCATCGCAGAACCTATCGATCTCCTCGAGACTCTCTGACTCCGTAGGCTCAATGAGCATGCACGTCGGAATGGGCCACGATACAGTAGGGGGGTGGAACCCGTAGTCCTGTAAACGCTTGGCGAAGTCGGTAACCTTCAATCCAGCGGCTTTGTCGAACTCGGCGAAGTCGATAAGTAGTTCGTGTGCAACGCGCTGGTTCTTGTTGTGAAAGCGCAGGGAGTAATGCCCAGATAGGCGTGCGGCCATGTAGTTCGCACTCAAGAGCGCCATCTTGGACGAGTCAGCGAGACCCTGACCACCAAGCATCTTGATGTACGCCCAGGAGATGAGGAGGATGGATGCGCTGCCCCACGGGGCAGCGGCGACGGCGTCAATGGCCTTGTTGCCGCCAGTTGAGATGAGAGGGTGAGTAGGGAGGAAAGGTGAGAGGTGTTCGGCGACGCAAATGGGTCCAACACCTGGCCCCCCGCCACCATGCGGGCTTATACAGCATGAGATCATATAATGATATAGGTGAAATGTGGACATACATTGCAAAGGTTTTGTGCAAGTTCATATGACAAACATCGCCGCCGCAGACTGCCGGGTTGGTGAGGCCAATTTGAGCATTGAGGTTTGCACCGTCGAGGTAAACTTGACCGCCATTCTTATGGATGATGTCACAAGCATCGCGAACGCCCTCTTCGAAGACACCAAACGTTGACGGATAGGTGATCATGAACGCCGCGAGGTTATTTTTGTGCTTCTCAGCCTTGGCAGAGAGGTCCTCTAGATCGAGGCTACCGTCCTGAAGGGACTTGACCGGGACAACCTTCAGGCCGGCCATGTGAGCGGACTAGAGCCCATATCAGTACTCTGTACTGAATCTCATATTATGCGGAACACTCACTGCCGGATTCGTCCCGTGTGCTGAGACCGGGATCAAACATATGTCGCGGTGGCCCTCGCCTCGTGATTCGTGATATGCGCGGATAACGCTCAAACCGGCATACTCGCCAGCCGCACCAGAGTTCGGCTGAAGTGAGCAGGAATGGAAGCCAGTGATCTTGCAGAGGTCGCTCTCGAGCTCGTGGATGATCCGCGCATAGCCCTGAACCTGGTCAAGCGGTGCGAAAGGGTGTACGTTGCTAAAGTCAGGCGCCGTAAGTGGGATCATGCTGCTCGTGCTGTTGAGCTTCATCGTGCAACTGCCGAGAGGTGTCATGGCATGTGCGAGCGACAAGTCCTTCGATTCGAGGTGGTGAATGTATCGCAGCATCTCCGTCTCCGAGTGGTGCCTGTTGAAAACCGGATGAGGGAGGAACCCTGACTTGCGCACAAGCGACTCAGGAACAGATAGCGAAGTGGTCGGCGTCGGCACAGAATCACGTGTGAGCAGAGACGAGCCGACGACGCTAGAGAAGACGTTGGCGATGCGAATGAAGTCTATAGGGCCGACGCTCTCGTCGATGGTGATACCGAGGCGCGAATCATCGATACGGCGGAAGTTGACACCTGCCGCCGCGGCGCTATTGTGAACAGTAGTTGCCGACTTGACTACGCCAGATACGTCCAGAGTGAGTGTGTCGAAAAAAGCCTCATTCGTGACCTTAAAGCCGAAGCTCTCGACGATCGTCTTCAGCAGCTGCGTCAGTCCATGAACCTTGCCTGCGATCCGCTTGATACCGTCGGGTCCGTGATAAACGGCGTACATCGCTGCCATATTCGCTAGAAGCGCCTGGCTTGTACAGATGTTGCTGGTCGCCTTCTCCCGTCTGATGTGCTGCTCACGAGCTACGTTCCAAACAGTGAATATCACATTGAGCCGTATGCGAAAAGGAAGACGTACTCTGAAGGGCAAGACGGTACGCAGGCTTGCCAGTGACGTCGCGAGAGCGACCGATGAGACGGCCAGGCATCTTGCGCTTAAGTTTCTCCGTGCATGCAAAGAACGCAGCATGCGGGCCGCCATACCCTGCTGGAACCCCAAAACGTGCGGAGTTACCGCAGACGATATCAGCACCCCACTCGCCAGGAGGCTTCAGCATTGCGAGGGCGAGCAAGTCGGTTGCCGCGATGACTAGTGCCCCCGACTTGTGCGCCGCGTTTGAGAGTGTGGAGAAGTCTTTGACGTTGCCATCGGTATCGGGGTACTGGACAAGGATGCCACACACATTCGACTCTCCTTCAAAAGCAGTCGATGCATCGCCGACCTTGAGCTCGATACCAAAGCCCTTAGCGCGGGTGCGAAGAACAGCCAAAGTTTGGGGCAGAACGCCATTATCGACGAAGAAGACCTTCTTCTTTTGATGAGACGCGACATATGCCATCACCATCCCTTCGGCCGCTGCAGTTGCCTCGTCCAATAACGAGGCATTGGCGATATCCATCCCGGTCATTGACATGACCATAGTCTGGAAGTTCACCAGCGACTCGAGACGTCCTGCATGTAGTGTATAATTAGGTCACGCCAAGGATGTGGTCATGTGACAATACTCACCTTGAGCAATCTCGGCTTGATACGGAGTATACTGGGTGTACCAAGCGGGATTCTCCATGACCTAAACGAACCAACGATAAATCAGGCCTGAGACGTAACAAAAGCGCGCAAGAGTCGCACATTGCGGAGGATGACCGGCGGCACGACGGCATTGTGATAACCCATGCCAATGTAGCTCTTGAACGGCTTGTTCTCCCTTCCGAGCGCCTGAGCTCGCCGCTTAAGCTCGAGCTCGCTGAGAGGTGCGATAACTTCATCCGTGATCTCGGTTGACGCAATCTTGACCTGCTGAGGGACGGCTTCGCGGATGAACGCGTCCATAGAGTCGTAGCCCAGCTGTTTGAGCATGAGAGCCGCCTCGGAATCATCAGGGCCTATGTGCCGGTCGGGGAACGTGTCGAGTGGAGCGAACAACGACGGCGGCGGCTTGGCCGTGGCCAGACCGCGAGCCAATGCAGGCTGGGAGACGATGCGCTTGCGTGCAACACGACAGACAGAGGATGCCATGGCGACTGCGAGCTGGAGGCAGTCGCTCTGCGCGTCGGGGTTCAAGACAAGGCGAGGAAAGAGCAGCGCTCGACGTTATATGTAAACTGGTGCCGCCCTGGCTCGGTGGAAGCGTTATCTTGAATCATGGGCCCAGTTTGTAAAATCGATGTCTTCTTTCATCACATCCGTTGCAGAGGTACAGCTAGTCATCGTCGGCGAGCCTTGACGTGCCCGAGTGGGTGCACTCATGACGGCGTCGGTCAACGCGCTCAAGGAGAGCGTGCGGGCTACGAGCCACCCTTGGACGATGAAAAAGTTCTCTTTTACACGCGAGCTTCCGGATCCTCTAAGCCGTTCTATTAACAACATCCCCCGCTCGGCCGGGTAACTCCCTTCCCCCGAGCCAGGTTTACCACTATCCCACGCCGTCTTCATGTAGCCGCACTTCTACTACAATGATGGTTGTAGGCATTTAGTGTACTCTCAGTCGACGGGACAATAAGCATCGAAGCTACGGGTGGCCGCCGGAACCCCGCCGTAATTCCTCCGCCCGCCCGCCGCTCTGCTCGCCGTCATTGATCACAACCAAGATTCGTATCAAAACACAAGTGTCTCTTGACGCCCACAAGAAATGGCCCCTACTACAACATCGAGAATGACATTACATCGAGGCCTGCACCATTTCCGTGACCCAACCCTGCAAACTCTCTTGCTTCATCAAGACCTCAGAGAGCAAGCCCCGAACCCTTACAAACGCGCGTTTACCCCGCCCCAACGCCTGCTCTTCCCTCTCATTCGTCGTCACCTCCTCTTGAGCTTCATCTTCTTCGTCATCAACCACGCCCGGGAAGCCGAAATGGTCTGCATCTCGTTTCGGGGCCGTCTCTATGGATGCATGTGCAGTGCGATACAGTACACGCACACAGAGCAGGGAGGTGAGGGCGCTAGAAGGCGGGTCGACAAGCGCCCTCTTAAATATCAACGTGTCCTTACCCGCGGGCGGGTGTGGGCGTGCCGTCGGATTAGGGATTGGATTGGGGTAGTCGGCCGATGGAAGGGATATCGTACTGCCCTGTTCTGGATGAAGAGGGATAGGCTGTGCTTCTGGCAAGTGTGTCAAGGCATGACGACGCAGAGAGTCCCTCGGTAAGGCCGTTTGAGGGCAAAGACCCCACATGCACTCGTGCTCGGGCGCTTCAAGAGCATTGATATGTTCCAGAACGTGATCGGCCAGGGCGCCGGTACTGGTGAACAAGGGGGCGTCACACGGCACTCGACCCCATGCACACCGCAGACGTTCCGTAGACACGTCGTCCGTTCGCCTTGCCACTCCTCGCACAACGAAACGTTGGGTGGCCCCGTTGTGTACGACCATCGCTTGCGCTTGGGGAAAGACGCCTGTGACATGCTTGATCACGTCCGCCGCAGGAAGGATATTACCAGGCGTGAGCTCGGTGAACCGATCGCGATACAGCGTCCAAAAGTCAACTTGAGTCATCTCTCCATCTCCCTTCTCCATGAACATCATCCTCATCCTGGACAAGTAATGCGTGTCAACAATGCACGAGAAGACATAAAAGACTGATCGTCACCATTCGTAACATCTAGCCGGTTCCTGAAGGCCGAGTAGAGTGTCGATCTCGGCCTGTGTTAATTCGTGCGGTTGAGGTGCGGGAGATGCGACGAGCGGTGTTGTTACGAGCTGAGGGCCAACAGCACGCACTTGCTCTTCAAGCACTTGTTCCGAGAGAATCTGGTTGACCAGGAGTTTCAGCGCCGCAGTAAGGTTCGGATGTAACAAGAAAGCCTTCGCCATAGCAGGGTGCGATAGATGGGAATATAAGTAATTGACGCATGCATCTATTAATGGCTTATCAGGGAGTAGTGGCAGATAACGCAGCGAAGCTTCCAAAGCGGAAGAGTCGGCAGTAAGATGAATGGAATTCGCCGGGGTCGAGAAAATGATGTGCAAGGCGTGTAGAGAACCAATGATGATGGAGCGGTTGGAGGAGTTTGCGGACATATCCATGAGACGAGGGATGGGATTCATTGCCCCTTGACTTCGTGTAGGGATCACCCAGCCGGGCACAACGAGATGCAATAGCTCAATGCAATACAACAAAAACTCGCTATCGGCATCCGCGTTTGTTCGAAGGGTGTAAAGGGCGGCGAGGACCAACGGTTTCGTCTTCTTGTGCTGCGCTATATCTCCCGCATTTGACTCGTTGAGGGATGCATTGCGGAGAATGGCCATTGAGTCTAGCGCAAACCTGCGCTTGCGTTCGACATCCGGAGGTGCGCAGAACAAGGAGCGAGATTGCGTAGCAGCATCTCCGGCCTGAACCAGATACCATTCCGGCCACTCGAAGAGCGCGTCAAGAAGACCCGGAGTGTTGCGGACGGAGAATTGGTCGTTTTGCGCTAGCCGGCATAGCCTGTCCAGAGCCCAACCGATCTCGGTAGGGATCCCTGACCGAATGGCAAGCAGCATGCGGTTGTTGTTTGTTCCCTCCATATACCATCCTATTGACATGTCAATAGTGCTTCTTTGAGCGCGCACATCCTGCGTGGCACGCACTTTCGTAATCATCATTCACGTTTGCGACAGCACGATGAGCACCCGTTGCGGGGCGAGCGAGAGGCGTCGTGGGTTGAAGCATGCCGTTGTACGAAGATCACAGTCAAGACGCGTCGCAAAGGCGTCGACGCGAACGGTACCACGCCGGACCGAAGCCGAACCGGCCGAACCACCAACCGCCCTATGCGTCTCGCGAAGACTCACTGCTGTTATTTATTCATTTGCCTTTACTACCAAATCTTGCACTCCGAGCCATACCCTTGCGTACGCGCCTATCGTACGAAGTCCAGTACTAAAGATTGTCCACCACGAGCTACTATACATCGATCTCAAGACACGAAAATGTACATGTATAAGTACATGAATATGTCAGAATATGTCAAAAGGTCCCGCAGTCCTGCCCTGAGTCCGATTCTAAGCGAGAAATTCGTTCATAGTGTCAAGCATATTCTGCCAAAAGATAGACACAGGCTTGTCCTCGTACCCTTTCTCGTCGTATCCCAAGCTCACCCAAAGCCGGCCGGCGAATGTGTACCCGAAGAGTAACATTGCACCACTACGCTGCCTGGATCCAGTCGTAAGTGTGTGCATCTGGATATCTGGGAACTCCCTATGCTTGTACATGGCGTCAAGATTGCCGAGCATGGAAAGCCCGAGCAACGCCGAGGAAGGAGGCTTCGTCGTCGGGGCAGACGCGGCTACAGTGGGTGTAGGCGGTGGGGTCCAGATTCCAGCCACCTTCTGATCATCTTCCGCCGCCCAAGCACGACTTTGACGTCCGCGCTGAATGGACATGTGATGGCAGCGAGATGCTAACATGGGTGTCTTCGCTGCCTGCGTTATTTGGCTCTTTGCGGAACGCGCACGATGCCAAAAAACGCCGTCGGCCATGTTGGAGGGAAGAAAAGCGGGCAATGTGACGTTGAAGTATCCCACGCTGAGGAAGAAGTAGGAATCGTTCATTGGCCGGGGAACAAGGCACGGGCGGACGTTCATCGCAGCATAGGTCATCCTGGTAGAGACTAATCAGCCGCGGGTCACGGTAGGAGAAGATCTCACTGCGCTACGCACATAGGAAGCCTTTGCTGCTCACGGCTAGTCATCCTGGCCCAGGCCATATTACAAACGGCGAAGAGGGCGCCCGCAATCGAGACACCGTTGGCTTTGCAGTTTTTGAGCATACGTTTAGTGACATCCTGATCGAACGCGAGAGTGGGCACCACAGTGTGCCGGACGGGGTCCTTGCGCCGAGGGAACGCCTGCCCTCCCTGTGAACACAATGAGGCATTCAGCATTATGTGCCGTGTCGAGGTGGAGCTCGGATAGACTAGAACTGACTATCTGCTTGTTCTGGGCGGCCTCGAAATCCACGCGTCCGACCGCCCGACGGAATGCACTCGTTGCTACCGGTAGGCTTTCCTCGTAGCTCGGGGGCAGTGCTGTGAGCTAGAGAATGCATGACGTCAGAAGCAAAGAAGATGGTCGTATGGGGCTGAGACGTACTTTATCGGATAGGGGCGTATTGCATCGTTTCTCCCACTCAGTGACGAGCAAACCATGCAGTTCTGGGACCGACATGGAGCCCCCGAGCAGGCAGAAGAAGTCGTTGGCCAATGCATGCAGTGCCATACCGTCGCCAATGGAATGAACTGCTGCAAGAAAGAATGAGAAATCATGCACCTCAGTCTCTTCTTGGACCAGCTGGGACTGCAAGGCTGCTAAATTAACGGGGACGGTCGGGGTTTGCGGAGGTGATGGGTAGGGATCCGACGACGGAGTACGCGAGATGATCAGATAAGACAGACGGGTGGCGGACAAGGTCCTCGGACCGTTCAAGTAGGCCTCCATCAGTTCTAGACAATGATCAGTTCTTCAGACCCCATGAGTCTGTGTAGATATTCCGAAAACGAACCCTCTTTCGTTTCATACTTCCACTCGAGCTGTTGTTCTGCGTCACGAAGCGCTGCATCCGGCGAACCGGGTGGTCGGTACCTGACCGTGATTGGTAAGAACAACTCGCACTCATCCGACCACACATACTACGCACACGAAACGGATGTCATCGTAGCTATGCATGCGGATGTGGGACGCCAGTAACGGGTGCTGAAGCCGTAGAAGGGCCCAAATCACCGAGACGCGCTCACGCTGTACTAGGCGATGCGGGGCCTTGAAGCCGAGATGAAGGTACCTGTGATTATGCTCACACTCAGCACCGCGCTCTGCAGGGAAGACTGTGCAAACATACATGTCGTTCACGCCATTACTCCGACTGGGCAGAAAGTATGAAGTTTCATTATCCCCTAGCTTGCGTTCGCACACGCCTATAGGAGTTTGCAGAGGCAGACGGAAGTCAAAACGGCTCTCATCGCCAGTGTCAGAAGCGGTCGGGGAAGGAAGCGAGGCGGCATCGACGGATAGAGGAGACATGCTGAGCCGGTCGAATTCAGAGAGCCCTAGCCCAGAAGGCCGTCTGTCGTCTAAGCTGAAGCTGACCGAGGAATGCCCTCAAAGTGGATCCCAGTCTTATATACAAATGGCCACGCGCTTTTGACGAGGCGGGTGTAGACGGCTCGAACGCATATGGGCAGTAAAGTTGACGTCGTAGTGGCAGGTTAGCCCCGAGACCATTGTGCGAAAACGAGATCGGGACAAGAAGGTTGGACCTATCAGCAAGTATTGTAGACGCTGTCAGTGGCGTACAGGTGTCCGACTAGGCCTCAGGGGTTATCGGGCGCAATGAGACTGCCTGGCGTTCTGAATCCAGATACACCGAAGACATTTCCGATTCTGCTGCATCCCGGAGACTTGATGTAGACGAAAAAGGCAATTTGTTGACCCCTGTGAATCAGGATCATCTGTGATGGAATTGGTGAAAACGGGCGACGCGGCAACCCCTTCATGCGTCGCCAGCGCTCGCACGCGCTTCTTGACGCCCCGACTCCGAAGCTCTTCTCGAGATCATGGAAGAACCGGGACACGTTCCGAGCCATTGAATTGACGAAGCCCTCGCCGGGGAGGCACAAGGCCATCTGAGCACATAAGGCGCTCTATACGACATTCCAAACAGATAATTGTTCTGGTCCAGACGCTGTAGACGGCGTTCGTTCACCGAGAGGCGGCCCGAGAACAATCAAGATCGCCTCGTGCATCGTGCGCCCGGTTCGATGAGGTCAGAGAGTACCGAACCGAGCAACGGAAACGGACTGAACCACGCGGTTCGGTATTGGCAAACGTTACGCGAAACGCGGTTGGGAGGAAGATCTATCTCTGGGTGTCTGAAAGGCGAACAGGAAGAGGTCCGTTGCACTATGTCAGGTATACACGTCATTTCCCCTCGGGCTTTCCTTCCTCCTTTCGGTCGATATCCTGAGAGATCGCAGCTTCGGCATCGCGTGGCCGAGATGTTTGCTGTGTGGGTCCCGATTGGCTGGATTTAAGCCACGTATAATACCTGAAATACCATGAGCTTTGAGCTGTGTATCAACGTAAAGAACGCACAGAGTTCCCCCGAGGATGGCGGAGAGTGAAGTCATACGTTGTCTGCAAATCGGGTTAGCACCGTAGATCCGGCGCACAGTACCAGGCGTATAAGCTCACATAGTGAGAATGTCGGAGAAGATCCAGACTCCAAGTAGGGTCTGCAAGACGGAGCGTGCAGCCTGATGCGGGACATGAGTGAAACGGCGAGGTGCTAAGCAGAGTGTGAACTTACGCTTGATACCATGTGAGTGACCGGAGATGTGACCTTGATTGAGAGGAGACCGGCGATGCAGAGCAAAAACCCGAAAATCCCTGTCACCAAGCTACCCCAGAGAAGGATTCTGATGTTGGACTGGGGCTCAGATACGAGGGCCAGTAATTTGGATGGCTCCCCGACGATGAGGATGAACGGAGCAAGGAGGATGGCCGATCCAAGATTTGTCCAGTACGCAAGTTGAATGGTCGAGTTGTTGCAGATGGGCAAAGCTGACTTGATGAGAACGGCGTGCAGAGCGATCATGAGTGACGAGAGGAGGCCATATACCAGCGAGATGACGGATGGGATGGATGCGACGGGTAAGCTTCTCTCTGGGGCCACGCCAATGAAAAATCCTAGTGTGATGATGGCGGACGCTAGTACTGGTTGGATCTTGGGCTTTGTACGGGTCCAGTATGCAGAAACCGCAATGGTCAAAGGGAGGACGAGACCCCGCGCGATCTGAGACATGATTTAGCGTAAATTTGAAGCAATTCCTGAGCCTGAGCGAACCTGGAAGAAGGACGCTTCCACATCTCTCAAGCATAGCATGTTGAAGACAAGGCCTATGATGTTGACAGCTACGACTGGGAGCAACGCTTTTGCATCCCGAAGATCCAGTGCAGGAAGTTCGATCTTTGGCGTGATGAAAGCACCGATGTGTAGTAACGCGACGGCGAGCAGGAGCTGGAGAAGAAGGAACAAGAGTGGGACATCGGGAGTCGATATCAGGACGGCCTTATTGCTAAAGATCATGGTAAGTTCTTGTGCCGTGCTGCATACAGTTCGACGAGAGCACTTACACGAAGACCATGACTAGTGCTGCTACCATGTAAAAGCTGACGACAGCAGCGACCTTCCACGCGGACGGCTTGGTCAAGTCCATTGTGTCTCGTTGTGCGAGTAGCGAGCAGGGCCAGGTGCGTTCGGATGATGGCGAGGCGCCCAGCACAGTGACGTCTAGTGTGCGAGGAATTTGTACTCCGGCATGGCGCCCGGACGGTTAAGTCCTCGAGGACAGGGCGCGCCTTCGGTTCGGTTCTGCATTCAAGTGCTGGTGGGAGTTCGGTGGAAAGAAGCTGTCACGGCCACAGCTCCGACTGGCCGTCACCGGTCACCCTAGTCACTAGTGTCACTGCTCGACTACCATCATAAAAAATACTATATACTTCGTCCGCTACATCCCGCAAAATAAAGATCTCAAATATGTGAAGTTTACACTGACACGATTCGACTTGTTGTCCTGCAAAATTCTGTCCCTGGGGAGATTCGAGCTCCCGGCTTCACGGAATCGCAAACTGCCACAACGTGATGATTTAACCACTAATCGACAGGGACTTGCGTTAGAGCCACCCCAGGTCATTTATAATGCGCAGCAAAAGTGTGTCTAGTAAAAGCCGCCCTGGTTATACCCAGTTACGGCAGCAAGGTATAGCGCTAATTTGACTTGGGCATAGAAGAAGCCATGTCGAAATCGGGGGGGACGCGGCGTCGAGTGTGCGCCCACCCGCTAGCCAGCCGTGCTGCTCTGCTACTGCGACGATGGACCGCGCCTCGCCAGACACAGGCGTGGATGACCAGGACGTATCCTCGGCCACCCCGTTCATCAGCCCGGCTGCCCCCAACCCGTCCAAGTCCTCGGCATGGGGCCGTAGACGGCCGCTGATACTCCCCCTCATCGCCTTGTCGTTCCTTTCCCTGTCTGCTTTGGCATTATACGCCCAATCGGGCCTGCGCATTTCTTCGCCCCTCCAGGAGGACGCTGCCGTCGCAGAAGATTACGAAGTGGGACCCAGCCGTCTGAGCGCACTGCGCGGGCCACCTGCGTCCAGGTTCAGAGGTGTGTCGCCACGAGACGTACCTTGGCCGGACGCTGAAAGTATTGCGCGTAGATAACCTGAGGAACGATACGCTATATATACACTGTGAGTATTCGAGGCATTTGCCTGAAAACATCGCTCATGGCTCGGGCTCTAGCTTTTATCTCGGCCGGATGGACCAACGATGTCATGACCTATGTGCGCATGCCTCTTCCCCAGAATATCGCAGCCCCTAAGCGCCCAACCGCATAGGCAAATTTGATATACTTGGGCACTTTGACGGGCAGAGTCCCCATAGTCAACGTCTTCAACCCCTCGCATGTTGGTCCTGCTGCCGGGTCTATCCCATTCGACAAAGTCTTCGATATCGACACCTTGAGCGAGAATATTGGTCTGCCTGTGCTTCAATGGCACGAAGTCAAAGATCCAGAGAGCGAAGAGGTTGAGGAAATCGGATGTTGGGATATTTGTGAGCCCACTCGCTCTCGCACTCTGTGACATGTGCTCAATACATATCACCTGTAGGGGAGGCTGTACAAAACGAAGAACATTATCCTCGCGTCATCTATACTCTGGGAGACCAAGGGTTGGGTCTGTCAATGGACCGGTAATACAGATGCATCTACGCACTGACGAAAAACTCAGATATATCGTGGACACGGGCGCCTCCATCAGTCAAGCTTTATCCAGATAACCCGTTGGACAGGACAGCACGCTTTTGGGACATGGCCAGCCTTACGTTCAAGGTGTGTTATTCACCCATTCTTGTCCTTATGTGCATTATTCAATCCTCTCAGTACGGGCGGGAGCGAAGCTTAGTGCCCGCGACTCCATCCAAAGAACACGGCGTCGTTTTGTCACCTGACGAACGTACGTCGTTCCCCTACGTGTTCTGGTTGGTTCACCGTTGACGCACTCTCATTCAGACCTGGCTTGCTTCGACTACCTCTACTACAGCGCGGCTACTACGGTGCGTCTTCCAATGAGTAATTCGATCTGACTTTACTACCTGACTCTAACGCTATTAAAGTCTGATGAGTTTTACGCGGAAATCAGTCCCGCGTGGCGGTTTGTGGCCACCCATATGCATTTCACTCGTACGTACTGTCTTAGTTGAGAAATTCCTTGGCTGAACATTCTCTTCAGCCGAAATGCAAAACCTTGCGGACGGTTATCTCAGACGCATGTTCGGTGTCGCGGAACACGACGATATCCCGCCTGTACGTTCATTGTCATCATCGTGAAAAGTAACTCATAGTGCTAGTACATAACTATTCATGCGCGCCGTGGAGACTTCGGCGTGTACTGCACGGGCCAGGGGCTGAGCGAGGAAGAATGCTTCCCTACGATTGAAGACTACGTGGATGGGATTGCTGGTATTCAGGAAGCTCTTGAAACGCGCCTCGGGATACGACCCCAACACGTCGTAATGGTATCTGATGAAAGGAACGAAGGATGGTGGGCTTCCGTCCGTCTGATGGGCTGGTACACCCCAAACCACGTCGAAGAGCGTACCGAGGAAAGATATGGTACATGGTATGCGCGTTCATGGCCGTTACCTTGACTGCATGTTCACATTATGGCTCTAGGTACCCTGTGCTGATTGACGCGGTCATACAATCATCCGGAGTAGGCCTTCTCGGGACTCCCGGGTCGACAATGTCGTTAATGGCCGGTCGCCGTGTCATGGACTGGTATCATGGAGAGTATCATGATGTGAGATGGGGAGTGCGGAACTCACAAGGAGGCCCGGCATTGATGTAAATGATATGTATCAGGCATCGTGAGGACCATTGACAGAGTACACTTGGATGGACAGGCTACTTGACACTCTTAGACATGTATTACTATATCTTTTTGTCATTGCCGTGTGCTCGCTCGATTAATCAAGGCGACTCAGGGATCTTAAGAATGCAACTCACGTGTGCGCGTCTACTCATCATCGACGCATCGACGCGACAGCTCGTTGATCCTCTTCCACCATCATCGACCATCATGCCCTACACGGCTGAAGACGGTCATAAGTATATGAATGATGAGGAAATAACAGCGGCTGCAAATCTAATGACTCTCGCGGATCCCGATGAGGATCCTGGATCGTTCACATGCTTGTTCTCCTGAAGTTGATGGGGGTCATCGGGTTGACGCCCAAGTCCTCCGTTACCGAGGAAGATCTGCGCGAGAAGCTTCGGCTGGCTCTCTGGGATAGTCAAAGGTGCGTAGGGCTTGATTAGGACACTTTCAAAATGTCAAAGCCGGAGGTTTCATAGACTCGACTACATCTTCCATGGGAAGACGTTCGAAGGGAAGCATAAACTTGCTGTCGATCAGCTTCCTACTTGGCCGGATTGGTACAATGGCATGAGATGAGAGCATGCTTCTCTGCTTCGTCGTACCTCGAGAACCTCAGCTGTCAATGCTCATGCCGAGTACCATGCGCCATGGACCTTGTCCAGTGTTGGCGGGAGAACGTGAGGATGGTCTGCGTATAGTCCTTGGCTCATATGCTAGGACGCAGCCTTTGATGAATATGTTTGAGAGACGGCGGACGGATTGAGACGGTCTGTCGCGCCCTGAAAGTCCAACTTTACATTGATGTGTCATACTTCACGGTGGTATGGGGCAAACGAGAATCGGAGCCACGCGACCTGGCACACGCGGCCGTTCAGGTTTCCAGACACCTGCAGGCGCTGGGTGAGTCATCGAGCCTCTGCAGACGTGCGACGGTGTGCGATTTTAAGATGAGCAAGTCAACGTATTGACCTATGCGTATCAGATTAGTGGTGAGGAGTGTCAACCCTGGGAGAGGGCGGGGAACTGGGTGAAACAAGCAGAAGAAGAATTCCGGGACGTGCGGTTAGGTGAGACAGGTACCAATAGGGTGAGAGTGTAGTATTAATCACATAATTCGATGGAAAAGGTGTGCATAAGATAGAGTATAATAGCAGCAGTGGAGAGGAGAGCATGATACAAAGCAAAACCGATATGTAGATGGAATCATATACGAGAATTCCGGATGACTGCGTTGGGACCCTCCACATCGCGCCAAATCGCCTGCTCCTCCGGGCTCGCTCTCACATCGAGCGCAACGGCCAACGTCATGAAGCCCGGGATTTGGTGCAATGTGCGCCTCTCCTCTGGTCGAAGCGTGAGATACCAGGCCACATGGGCGTACAGTCGGTCGAGCGGAAGGCCGAGTCTTCGCCGCGAGTCCGCGAATCGCGAGATCTCCTGCGTGAGGACACCGTCGTAGATGATGGTCTTCAGCGCGGGGAGCATTCTGATCGGTTCAGGATGCTCTGCCTCAATTGCGCGTCGCATGTCATCCGTCATCACTGGCGGCATCTCTGGGTCCAAGTAGTATCGTCCATCCTCTAGGAAATGGTTCAAGAACGACTCGTGCATGTTGATCAACCGCACAAGCTCGACGTTCTTCACCGACATGAAAAAGCGCGTAAGGGCGCCGGTGGTCGGCGGTTCGGGGGAGACACGAATGGCGTTGAGCTGAAGGATGCGAAGCTGAGGATATGACCCGACTAGCATCCTGAAGACAGGAGTCCAATCAAGATCCTCCTGATAATTCCTCAGGCTCAGCTCGATGAGGTTAGGGGTATCCAGCAAGTAGGGTAGCCGGATGAGAAAGGGGATGCTCATCCCACCCATGACGAATGTGCGTAAATTTGGGAGGAGCACGCGTTGACGAGGCAGATCCGCGTCGATGAGGGAGAATAGAGGCGCACAGCCATCGAATGACAGCTCGCGTAGATTTGGGCTGAGGTGTGTGAGCTCCGCAAATCGAGACCACGAGGGCATGGCGGACAGAGGCATCCGACGCATATCCAAAGAATCGAGGTTGGACAGCGGTATGGACCAGTCTAAATGAACACCGTCCATAGCCAATGTATGCAGGCGGGTGGCGCGTCCACGGAAGAGCAGTAGGTGACGACCTCCATCCGTTTCTTCCCTAAGATCTCCGAGATCCGCATACCCGGCGGATGTCCTATGTAGCCTGAAGATCTCGAGCTGGGACGGTGCAGCAGAGCATGTATACGCTCTTCTAAGAAATGTGTAGGTCGCAGGCCACCCTCTCAAGATGACGGTCAGAGAGCGGATCTGACTGAGCTTAGGAAGTACGACGTCAAGCTGAGCGTCCATCTCTTCTGGAGTGATTGCATTGCTGCGGGGGTCGCGGAGTGTGGGTCTGCGCTCGCCTATCCGGATGGTGAGCGGGAGGGATTGCGCCCTCTCTATCAACGATGCAGAGACCGAATGAGGCGCCGTCTGTGGATAAAAGTGTGAGCTAGCTGCCAGTAAACGTTGACGGATTGCGACGACATACATCATTCAACCAGATATCTTGCCATAACTTCGGCATTTTCACGACGAGCTCCCTCCATTGCCGACAAACCGCAGAAAGGCGAGTCCGGTAAAAGTCGAGGTTGTCGTCAAGGAGAAACTGAAGTACGTGGACGACGATCTCGGGCGGAAACTCGTAGATCCGCATGAGATGACAGCGAAAGACCTTTTCCTGCCAGAATGCGTGCGCATATTCGCGCGACACCTTGGCTCGGTGGTGAGGAGGGAGAGTATTGAAGATGGGCGAGATATCATCGACGGTGGACTTGCGTGTTTTCCTGCATTGGGCCAATCGTTGACGGGTGATCTTCAATTGCTCCTCCGTCGCCGGGGCCGTCGGCTCGGGGATGGTAGCGACCAAGGTTCTTATCTGCTGTGTCTCCCATCGAACGAAGTCCTGGCCTTCCCTCGTCGTGGCTGGGTACCACGGCAGCCAGAGGAGATCCGGGTGAGGTGTGTTCACCGACTCGAAGCGTGCGAGCAGGTCATCGTGGGCGGTGTTCATCTGCAATCGCGGTCAGTAAGCGCCATCAAGACTGACGACGGGAGTTCGCACACCTGCCTCGCAGAGTGAGGTTTCGATATCTGAGGAGCGAAAAGAGAGTGAGGATCAGGGTATGAAGGGAGCTGCGAAGAGCACGGTGTTCCTACAGACGGTGTAGTGAGCCGGTGGCGAGCATGGGATAACAAGAAGATTTATATCAAAGGAAAGGGATGGACTGCAGAAAGGCAGTCTGGCCAAAACGACTTGTTTGTCCTTGTGGGCGCTCCGAAAGCGGCCGCAACAAGGTCAACCACACCTCGATCGCTCAACCACCTCGTGAAACCAGCGCTCACCTTGTTTCGTACGTTCTTCGCGAGAAAGGAGCACGACCGGAACGACGACCGGGCAAGATAGGCAGGCGCTCATGAGACGGCAGAAAGGGAGCCACGATGCCGCCGAATGGTATATAAGACCCCCTGCCATCGATCTACTCATAGCGCTCGTCTCTCGTCCACACCCGGGTTATAATCATTCAGAAGCTTCGGAAAAGTCCGTGTGTGCCACGCAAAGGGCATTCCATTGTGGTCATACGGCATCTTCCTCTTTTCGGCGTGAGGTATAACGCCTGCACACCTGCGCATGCGGTAGGTTATCGTTCGTATCAGCCTCGTGGATGCAACCATCGCCACCAAAGGCAAGGCGGGGGTCTTCCAGGGCAAAGACAAGGCATCTGCCGAGCCCGAGAACAAAGCAAGAAAGTAGCTGTTGTTGCTTGTGCGCAGAGATGCCAGCTACGACCGCCGGTCTTGTCTAGCCGACCCTCAGGGCTAGTCAGCACTTTTCGCAGTTCTGCTTGGTCCGCCTTTGATTGTGAGGCAAGTTGTCGTGGATGGATTGCAAGTGTGATTCTGGCTGGCGCGTCGCGTCACATTGTCTTGACTTGTAGGTCCTTATTTTTCTGTGTCCCGACCGTTGTTTGGTCTTCAGACGACCACCGTCTTCAATCGCCGATCTAGCTCGGACCGCTTGGGAGCCGGGCCCAGCCAGGGAAATGCGGTATATCGGAGGCGTGTTGTCTCTGGCAGTGGGATTTGGTCCCATGATATCCATGATATCGATGTGGGTTATTCACGACGGGTGCACGGTAGAGCATACGAGTCGAACCTGCGGACGACTTTGACCACACGTCTCGACGCGGGCATCTTGACATGTGCTGTCTGTCAGCTTGCTTCTACGATCGCCTTCAAAGAAGGTGCTAGCACTCGCACAATATATTCTCGTGTCCTTACTATTAGTCGGCACTTCGGCGAATCATGTTCCCTAGCACCAACATCGGTGCTTACGCTGACCAGATACTATACTACTTTGAGAATGCACGATGAAGTACCCGCTTAACTTTGGCCACAACAGATCTGAATGAGCACTGGCAAGATTATCATACTGGGAACGCGTGTCTCACCGAGCATTATAGTACAATGGGAAAGCTCCGACTACCGAACCATGCGTATACTACAAGGAATCGTACAACAGGCACCTTACTCGTACAACATATCGACACGTACGCAACAGGAACTCAGCTATATACTACACAGTCTCTTATTCAATAGCAACTTACAACCAAGGGGGAGGTGCAGACCCCGACGGACCGGCACGAGGCGCAAGCAATTGTTGCTCATTGGCCGTCGCTCCCTCCTCAGAGAGCAGGTCATCGACAACGGAGTTCACTACATCGTTCTCTTTATCCTTGCTGATCTCCGCATCCAGGGGTAGGCGCGCATCGATGCGCGAACTTAAGCTTGGATGCGTCGTGTCATTGAAGCCCATCTAGAATACGTAGCGTTGTATCAGATTCATGAACGCACGTAAAACACTGGGCACTACGAGGACTTACCGTGTCAAGCTTCTCTACGATGTTGCGCATAGCTTGGTTGATAGGTTGCGAGTCTGAACGAGGGACCGGGCGTGCCGCTGCCGAGCCACTCACAGCGCGAGCACGACGCGGGCTCTTGGGACTCTTCGGGCTAGGAAGACTGATCATCTCTAACTGTGGGAATCCACCACGAGCGTTGCTAATGATCTGGCGCGGCGGCGTGGTTGGGCGTGTGTCATCGATAGCAACGTGCATTTCGCGTGGAGGAGCCACAGGTGTCTGGGGATCATCGTTGCTGCCATGTCTAGGTGAAGTATTTTCAGAAGATACACGATTGAGTAGATACACCACGACGCTCACGTCTCCCCTCCTTGCTCACGTCGGCGCCGACGCGCCTCTCTCTCAGCTCGATAACGAGCCTTCTCGCGCTTGTAATTCTCTTTGGCAGCCTCGAGCGATGCCTTTATATCGTTCGCTTGAGCACGAGGTCGAGCGACGTCTGGCGATACAGGCGAAGACGTATAGAATGACACCTCAGGTGATCGCGGCGACGTGGCGTCAGTTGGTACGGGCTGGGTCGGTGCAGGAGGAGCGGTGCCATACGGCCGGAATGCGTTCCACGGCGGCATATAGGTGCCAGGAAGTGGCGGTGGAGGAGGTACACCGCCGAATGACGTCGGCATTGTCACACTTCGCGTAGGCATATTCAAGGGGGGAGGGGGAGGCAGGGGCACGCCACGAGCGAGTCCACTGGACACAGCAGGAGGGGGTGGAGGAGCGCTAAACTGTGGCACGGCAGCACCCAGTGCAGCAGCGGGTAACGGTTGGACCGGATCCGCAGTGGGAGCAGACGGGGCAGCAGTCGCATCACCGAATATGTGTAGAATATTGGATATGGCTTCAGTGACCCGGCGCCCAGACTCTTCCTCAGCAACCCGTTGAGCACCGGCCAATCCGGACTGGATATTCGCGCCCAGAGTCGCCTGTACGTCCATCGACGCCCGCCGTATGTCTTCCGCCGCTCGCGCGACCGTCTCGCGATGAGTCGCCCAATACGACCCGTTCTGGAAGTTGCTGACGATTTTGCGCACAGTCTCCGTCAACTCGGGGTACGTGTTGAACGCAAAACTCATGGAGTTGAGGAGAGTCGCAATGTCGTTAGACAGAGACGCCGACGGTGATGGCACGTCTTCGGGTAGAATCGTGGGCGAGGGAGGATCCGGTATCTCGGTCTGAGGCTGGTCATCCCTGATTGTTCCCGCCGCAGATGAACGTCCACTCTTGGTAGTGCTATTGCCGCGTGGGGTGGAGAAAAGCGGAGGGGAGAATCCACCCGACGGTGTAGCCAGGGCAGGATTGCCAAACGGATCACTGGGCAGGGACTCGACCGGGGGCTGAGCGTGCACATGCACGGGGGGCTTGGACGGAGCATCGCTCTCGATCAAAGACGCGGTGGAGGAAGGATTGTCGGAGATCGTCGATAGGCGACGCGCTGGGCCGCGACCCTTGCCCTTGTCGAGTTTGGTTGTTGAAGATGTGGGCGCTGTGGCAGTCGAGTCACGCAGTCGAGAGGCATTTGAAGAGCTATCGACGGTCTCGACGTATGCATGGAGGCTGGCAGAACGGTCGAAATCATTGACGTCCGCGAAGGGCGGGCCGAATGGGATTTGCCAGTCTTCATCTATCTCATAGATAAGAGGCGTCGGACCCCCTCCAAAGGTGCCACGAGAACCAGGCGAGGGTGGAATGGATTTCTCGTCCTCGCGCGAAGCCGTGAGATCGAGCACTGTGAGCTTGACTACGTCCGTGGGCGGGGAAGAGACGTAGAAATCTTCAAGTTCCTCCCTATATGGGAGTTGTCTGAGCTTTGAGTTGATTTGAAAGTGCGTCGGAACTCACTGAGAGCTCAATGTGACTTCGTCTCCGTCCGAGTCCTGATAGGAAACACCGACATGGTCGAGGGAGATAGCGTACAGAGCAGATATCCTCGCGGCGAGTTCTGGCCAGTTGGGGCGCGTGGGGAAGACGACGCGACGTGTCAAGCCGTTCGGACGGGTGAATTTGAAAGCGAAGGTCATGGTGGTGAGAGGCAAGCGGTAAGTATGGAGCGCGCTGACGACTGTCCTTGGGCTGCGGAGTGGAGGCTCGGGCCGGAGTGCCGGCGCCAGGCGCGTCTACTCACGGCGCGTCGTCCTGCTTGCGTCTGGCTTCTGACCACACCGGCACTCGGTGCGTTTGCTCGCGTATGGAAATAGAGTTGTACCCATTCTGAAGGCGCGGTCATAGTCCACGCTTGATGACCGCTGTCATCTGGACATGCACTTCCATGTACTCGGTCTGGGATCTATTGGCACTCTACTCGCCCACCACATCCGTCGCACCGTTGACCCCAAGCATGCCGTCGTCCTCATGCACAAGGACAAGTCCCGCCTCCTGGAGGCGACTCGCAAGGGAGGTGCCATCAGCGTGCAGAGTCGCGGTGTCCAGGAGACCTCGACGGGTTACGAGCACGACCTCGTCGACGCATACCACCAGCCGATCGACAACACCGCGAACGTCACCTATCAAGCCCAGCAGAAGTTCCGGGAAAAACAGCGCAGAGTTGTCGACAACACACCCATCCAGTCGCTCTTCGTCACCCTCAAGGCATACGCCATCCTTCCCGCCCTTCGCCTTCTATTGCCCCGCATCCGCCCAAGCACCACGATCGTCCTTATGCACAACGGGTTGGGAGTTTACGAACGTCTCATAGACGAGCTTTTCCGCAACTCTGTCAACCGGCCACACTTTATCCTGACTTCGAATACGCACGGTGCATACACTATCGAAAACCGGCTCTTGTCTGTCGTGCATGCCAGTACGAAGGGTAGTGCCCTCAAATTTGGCGTCGCCCCCGATCCTCGGGGCCGACCTCTGGAGCAGGGTATACTCCCAGGAGAGCAAGCCCTCTCGCTTGACGCGCTCTCGACCTCAGATGACCCTGACGCTGCACATTATGCTTCCCTTCGCAACACGGTGACGGTCCTCAGCAACCTCGTAGGGCTGAACTCGTCCTGGATACCTCTCTCAGATCTCCTAGTGGAGATGAAGCGCAAGGTCGTCGTCAACTCTGTCATTAACCCCCTCACGGCCATCATGAACTGTCGCAACGGCGACGTCGCTACCAGCCCTCATACTGCTCGTATCTGTCGTGCCATCTGTGAGGAGGCGTCACTCGCATTCGCTTTGCAATACAACGAACAGTGCATTACGGGCGAACGACCACCACTACACTTAATACCGCCTTTAACGCCGAACGCACGGGATGCGGTGCTATCTCGCTTGCCGACCACTCTTCGTGCAGACGCCTTGATGAAGCAAGTTTACCGGGTGGCGACGGATACCCGTTTCAACACTTCTTCGATGCTACAGGACATACGCACAAACCGCAAGACGGAAGTCGACTACATGAACGGCTACCTTGTTTCTCTTGGGCGCCGTTACAAGCTGCAAATGCGCGCGACAAGCATGCTTGCCAATATGGTCCACTTACGCCAAGAGATACCACTCGACCTGCTCATGGATCTCCCTCGTCCAGAAGTAATCAAGGAGCAGTTTGGGACACCGCAAGATGAGAGGGTCATGCATCGCGCATGGACACTGGTCAAGATGCGCAAATTCAAACGCACAAGATATCGGTCAGAGTCGGTCCATACACGCAGGGTGTTGCACGCCAAGCGGAGACGAGCGGGCAAGGTCGCTAGGGCACATTCAGAGACACCTATCAACGCTCCCAATACCTCCGGCATCGACGATGGCAAGAAGTGGCAGTATTAGGGTTTCGGCTGGGGGACGCGTGAGCGAGGCCGGCGCAGATAGTCTGGGTGAACAGCAGAACTGTTTCGCTGTAGGATAGATTTAGTCACCACCGCTCAGTGCCCACATATCCGCGGAGCCCATTCGCCCAATGTTGCTTCCAGCCATTCGCACGTCGCGGTCCCAGGAATGTAGTGAGGGTTCCCATGATGCGAAGGGATTGTGGTCGGATAGATGTCGTACTCAAGTCGTACTGGTTGTGCAATCTCCCTCTTGAATTGAATTATGTCCTTATGGGGTTAATCTCCTCCGCTTCGCGGCCTTGACACTTCTCTCGGGTGTTCCTCAGGCCTTGAGGCCACCGCGCCTCTGTCCTATCGAGCGGCGGCGCCGTTTGCCTGCTATTTATGTCATGTTGAACGGACTACGGATTGCTGACAGGGGTCTTTTGTACCAGGCTTTGAATCTTCGCATACAGCGACGTCTCCGTGATCCCAGGACCGACGAATCGGAGCACAGCATCAATCAAGTTGTCTGGCTCCTGTCTGCAGATGCTATGATACTATACTGCTACTGGAAGAACTATCAAACGCCACTGCCGCACAACCGCCCGGCTTTCTCATTCCGTGCTTCGTCCCAGATAGCCCGCATGCACAGTGCATCTCATCGGGCCGCATAACCGAGTTCTATACAGCTCTTATCTCTCAAAGGCGCCGCGAAGACATCAATGTTACCAGGACTCTGACCGATACTGCCTATGAGTTGGTCACACCTTCGTGTTTATGCCAACGCAGAGGGTTCATGCGCTAACGGGCTTCGTTGTCAGTGCTGAGTAGCATACCTGACAGCGAAGGTGAGCTGCGTTTGCGACTCTTCGCAAGTGCAAAGGCGCAGGCAACCGATAATCACAGCGTTCATAACTCTCGAGCTTTCACCGCACAAGCGCTCAGAGGTCCGAGTCGAGCGTCGATGCCTGCTACATATCGCCTCATACAAGGGAACATGCGCATGTATCCTACTATCTGTGCCGCCGGGAGCTTCCACAACAGAACCATCTTTTCACAAGGCTGCCGCTCAGGTACGCGCATTGCGCCCACCTAGTTGAGCGCGGTGGAGCGATGGCACAATGAACGCTGCCCGGGCCAGTTCACTTGCTTTCAGCTACGCTTCTTTCCCCATCCATGTCGGCGTTAGATGTAGGTCAGACTGGTTTGTGAGAGATGTCACGCAGGGTACGCGAACCGAACCGACAGACGTCAAGCTTATAGCGTGTCTGATAGAAGCTGGTAACTGGTCGCCGTTGACAGATCTCCTGAAGACCACTATGGCATGGTGTACGTCTACTGCCACGAGAGACCCTCTTGCTCGGGTATATCCTTCAAACTACGCAATACGGTCAAGAAATGTCACGGAAGGTGACAGATGGGACGTACTCGATTTCGAGGCAGTCACCAACGCGCTTGCACCAAGACATGACCGGGTCCACCACATCCAAGGGTGCACTGCACGAAGACAAATCGTCTCTCCATCCTCAGCATCACGCATCGACCCGTTCAATCCTGCTAGAGATCCGTGCTGAATGGGCGCCGTCCTGGCGTTGGCCCAGTATGAGGGATGTTGGCTATCGGATCGGGCCCATACTGGCTCACAAGGCTCGCGCTAGTCGACGAGACACGGCGCGCACGAGTTCCGCGCATGATGCGTTTGTAACGTCTCAGCTCGGGAAGCGGAGCCGCATGACGCTGGAATGGACTTGCGAATCAGAGTCGCAGGCGAAGCGTGAACGAATGGAGTCAGCTTCGTGCGATGCATACGATGAGGTGGACGAAGAGGATGAGCGGCATGTGCGCCTCACCATCCGCGGGGCGCAGTCACAGACGTCATGGCCGACTGCCGCTTCACCTGCAGTCGAGGATGCCCATCTTCTTCTGGACTTGAGCAAGGGCTCAGGCATGTGAACGGGAAGTAGTGCATTAGGCTACACAGTCAATAGTGGCATGGTAGTATACCCGTCGTATACCATGGTGAGGATGCGATACAGATTGGCGCGTGTGACGAACGACAGTATTGCGAGTGAAGGTTGCGAACGAAAGATGCGAGCGGTAACATGCAGATGAGTAACAATAAAATGCGTGGGACAGTGAACAGGATACAGGTCATTATGAGGCTTGCGACTTTCTGCGCTTTTTACCTGCAGTTGCAGGGGGCACCGCCGTCAAGGATGGCGTGCTTTCGGGGGAGGGGTAACTGTCTTGCGGAGGTGTGGGCGGCGGACGAGGTTTAGAATGATGTCTATCCTTCTTGCGTTTGGCAGAAGGTGGGGCACCGAAGTGAGCGCTTCCCTTCAGAGGCAGAGGCGCCATCGGATCATAAGGACCTTCAAGGCTCGCGTGAACAAGAGATCATATACGAGCAACGAGCATGCTCACCTTTGACGGCAACATCCCGGAAGAAGTGGATGAGCATGCCAATCTCCTCGTCCTCCACAAAGTCTCTTGCCGACACTGGCTCTTCGACCTCCATAGGAATGTCTCCAGGGATTTCAGCTGGCTGTTCTGGCGACGCATGCTCTTCAGCTGCACGCGGCAACAAGAATGAACCCATGATTGAGTCAAAGATCGTGTCCACAGAGGGTAGCAGATACGCAGGGACGTCGAGAAGATCCGCAACGTTGTCAATCTTGTTCTGAGCGACACCGTAGGCGTTCGATGGTCCGGTTGACACGCCGGCGAAAGCGGTCTTGCCAAAGATATCTTGGAAAAGCGTCGACGTCGGCCTCGAAGCTGACTCTCCACCGAGTCCGTGCGCGGAGGTACCGGGATCGGTGACATGTAGGACTTCGTCGCCGAAAAGTACAACGCGGTACTTGTCCGAAACGCCGACAAGACAGAATGAGACCGCCTGGTGGTCCGATGAGGATGGTGGGTACCAGACGGACGCCCGTAGATGAAAGGGTAGCATGGCGCGCTTGATAGCTTCTGAGGAGCTGGCCTCGAAGATAGAGACGTGGGTCATATGGGCGTCAGAGTTGGTGGAATTGGGTTGCTCGAATATGGCTATACGGTCTTCGGACGGATGGGAAACGGCTTGAGTGATGGGATGTTTCGTATGAGCGCGCCAGAGTACTGTATAGGTGTAAGTGATGGGCACAACCACACAGGTGTACCAACATACCACGCCGTGAGATCAAGTCCCACATCACCACCTCCCGTTGACCAACTGCAGTGATATATCGACCGCTGTCACCAAGGAAGTGAGCGGAGACCACTGACACGCATGACTCGCGGGCGGTTAATGCTGAAATGAGCATCGTGGATGTAGCATCATAGATCGCAACGTAAGGGCCAAGTGATACCGCTAGAAGAGAGCCATCCGGGGACCATGAGGCGTGACTGGGACATTCCTCCCGGAACGCGAAGGTGGAGCGTAGAACCCAAAAGCCTGCATAAGAGCTGTCAGCAAAGAGGACATACTCACATTTCAATATCAACTCACGCTCTGGGTCGCTAATCCTCTTCCCGTTGGCCGATTTCAGCCTCCAAATCTTGATATTGTTGTCGCGACCCGTGGTTACCAAAAGATTGGCGGGTTCAGGAGAGAATGAGACGGCCGTGATGGCGTCGAGACCATGCGGTCTGTCCACGCGGGTATTCAACTCCCAAAAACCGGCCGCCTTGTCCCAATGCCAGATCTTGAGATACGCCTCGCCGCGGAACGAGTCGTCGCCCTCCCTGACATCGACAGTGGCCATCCACTCCCCGGATGGCGACACGACAGCGCGCTCTACAGCCGATGGCTGCAACGCCTTGTCGTCGCGACGCGAGACACGATTTGACGGGGATACTTCGAGCTCGGCGACCAGCTTCATCTGGGACGGGGAGTACGATTGAAGTGAGGAGGGATGAGAAGATGGGAGGATGATCGTCTGCGAAGGAGTATGGACTGCCAACGGTGTAAGTGGTACGGAAGCGCCACCAGAGATAGAGGGATCTGCGGGAGCGTCAACGAGACAATATGGATAACTGAGGCACTGCAGACGTACCGAGTTTGATGCGCGAGAACGCCCGTGCAACCTTGAGCGACGCGGAGTTTATGAACACGAAGCTTGCGTCGGAAAGACCAAGAAGATACTCCTGCTGTCGCGCGGGCGATGCAGAGATATTGAGAATGGGTGCGCCCACGCGAGGCACAAACTCCTTTTTGCCGGTGTGAAGTTGCCAAATGACCATGACGGACTCTTCTCCTCCGCTAAGCAGGTACGCGCCATTGGGCGTGAAAGTGAGGCCTGAGACTGCGTGTGCGTGCCAGTGGAGGGTGGTGGTGGGGGCACGCTTCTCAACGCCGGCAACGGTCTGGGAGGTCATATCTGAGCTGAGGCAGTACCAGATCCGTACGGTGCCCTTCTCGTCGCCGGTGGCGAAGTATTCCTCCGAAGGATGGAAAGAAAGGCAGGTCAATGCCTCGGGGGACACAAACTTTGTGAATCCATCCTTGAGGCTGGCGGTCGCGGCGACGTATGCCTTATGGCCGGCCACGGTGACAAGCCATGCGCCACTGGGGGATATGGCGAGCCCGCGCGCGAGTCGCGTCTTGCCCACCAGCGTCACTTCTGCGGGTTTCTGAATGTCCAGTCCGGCCGTCTCCGGGGTCGGGCGCAAGGAAACGCGTAGGACGAGGCCATCATCGCCGGCAGCACCGGCCTTGGCTTTCTTTCTCCTCACGGCGGAGACAAAGAGGGTGTCCTTGAAGAGCTCGTGCGCGACGAGAAAGTGGATTGGCTGCTGGATGGAAAAAGTCTGGAGAAGGACGCCGTCCAAAAAGTCCCAGAGTTTTATGCAGCCGTCGAGCGAGGCGGTGATGAGCTGGTACGCGTTGTGCGGGCTGAGGATCGCAGAGGTGATTGGGGCGGTGTGGCCGCCGAGGGTGGAGACGACTGCGCCGGTGGCGGCCGAGTAGACGTTGAGGGACGATCCGAGGACGGAGAAAAAGTAAGCGCCGTCTGGGGTGAACACGGGCGGCTGTCTGCTCGGCGCCGGGTCGCTGATCGACGTCCAGGACCACGACGAGCCAGCGACGGTGCTCGGCCCGGGCTCTCCCCCGCCCTCCACCGCCGCACGCGCCTTTCCCTTCTCCTTCTCCCCTTTCCGCTGTCTTTTCTTCGCCGCCGCACTGCCCTCTGCGCTGCGTCCCATCCCCGCCGGTACAGATGATGAGGATGCGAGTTTAGGAGTAGAGCCCGCCGCCGCGGAGATGGACTGCCGATGTGGTCAGAACACGAAAAGTTTGCTCGCGCCCGCGCCCCTTTCAATGCTCTCACGGACAACGCCGCGTCGTGGCAGGCCGTGGCCACAGCTCGCCCGCACATCCATCTCTACCGAAACACACAAGCTACCATTACATCTCCTCACAAACAGCGATACAAAACAAGTAAACAACACAGTGACAATCAAATGACCCAAAAGTGGAATATCGAACAGCACGGGCGGACTGCTATCTCCCGCGGTTGCCCATACCTTGCAACTCATTCGTTGCCATCTTCTCCTCCCCATCGTCCATTTTGTATCCTACAATCATGCGCACAACCTTGCACGGTACGTCCGAGTCGTCCTTTGGCAGGCGAGCGCGCGCCTCTAGTATGGCTTTCCGTATTCGTTCCTCTTCCACGAGCGTCTCTCTTTGTATCGCCTCTCGCCGCGGTAGTGGAAGGCCCAACTCCGTAAGCGAGTACCAGAAAGAAACGCGCGCGTGCACGTCGCTAAAACAGACTGTGAGAATAGGCCCATCTGCACATGGCGGTCATCTCACCTCTCGTACAAGTCCAACATCTCTTCGAAGCGGGCCCGATCCTCAAACTCAACCCGCCGCTCCGCCTCCTTTCGGTCGAGCTCTCCCATAATGTCTGCATCCCTTCCATCGTCGATCTTGGATGGTGTCCATCCAACTTCGCGCAGACGTTTGCGACCCGCTGCGGTCTTCTGCAATAACAACAGTTCTTCCCACATCGCCTCCTGGCAGCCACGCACGCCAAGATAGGCCTGCCACAGAGTCATGGCACGCGTTCGATTGCTGAGATGATCGATCGAGTTGAAAGCCGGAGGAAGCATGTTCGGGTCCTGGTCTCCTTCGCGTGCCACAACCCAAGTGGCTGCACTGCGCGATGTACCGGGATAACTCCAACTGCGAACGATGGAATCGCTATCCAGGGACGGTTCCGGCGACATGGCCGTTGGTGTGCTCTTGCCGTCACTCGTGAAGAGGTCCGATGCTTCGCTAAAGGACGTGGCAACGGACGATGACCTTCGAGAGGTGCTCCTGTCGATGGGAGTAGGCGGGAAATAGGACGAATGAGGGCGTGGTTGAGGCTGAGAGGGAGATGATTCAGAGCGGTCACGAAACGAAGAGTCTCGTCGAGAGGACAATTCGGACCCCATACTCGTCGCAGGTCGAGTTGCAGGTCGTGCGTCAGGTAGTGGCATGAGGGGTGCGAGGAAGGGCATGCAGAAGTAGAGCGGAGGACCATAACGACATTTTGAGAAGAAGGGTGCAAAGTACAAGGGTATGGCATCTATTCCGGGGTAAGAGGCAAGGACGCCGTGGGTATTCATTGAACGTACTGGAAGGCTTCATGTTGATGAAGCGACTTCGATGTAATGAGATGAAGAGCATCTCGAGTAGCGCATGGTCATGACTTGGCTCGTCGTCGTCTATCGAGCTTGCATTGCTCGCAGGAGAAGCCGGCGGAGAAGGCGGAAGTGGGATATCGGGTATGCTGCTGAAGGGTATACTACTTGATCGCGAATTTGTTCGGGCTCGTGGTTTGGCGCGTAAAGGGGTAGTGAACCATCGGGGGATGATTGGGAATATGATGTCTGTGCGTATCGTGAGCTTTGAGAATTTGTGTAGCAGTCACGCGGCGTACCTTCTTCAGAGACCTCTACCACGCCACCAGGGATAAGCACGCGGTTGATCTCCTGGAGATCAAAAAGTCAGTCGGATGGATGACGTACGATGAATGTGTACCGTGGTTGCTTTACCTGGAATATTGCCGTCCACTGAAAGGGGTACTCAACCACCGGTCTTGCACAGATGCGTGGTTGACACATACCTTCGTCTCCGGCACAGCCCTTCCAATGTTCACACAGCGTACAAAATCGAAAGTTCCGGCTTCGAAAGGTAGCCGTTGAGAGAGGCTGTATCGACCAAATGAGCGATGTGTGGTATATGCCGATGACAGTAGATGGTACGCACAAGTTACCATGCTGCCAGGATATACGGCGACCCAACGAGGGTTCGAGATAGCGTGTCGGTACTTGTACGTTGACGAGGTCGAACCCAACGAACTCGGTCTCCGGCCATTGACTCGCGGCGTGCACGACCCACCAGCCGGCCTAATAAGGGTTTATGCGACTTGAGCGGCGTGCCACTGGAAGGATACGGATGCGACGCACCCCACAGCCCAGATCCAGAACTTGTTCAGGACGTTCTCCGGTGTCGAACGCAGCCGAGGGATTGGTTTGGATCACCGAGCGTATGCTATGGTTGATAGCATCGCTGTAAACGGAAAGAGTCAGATTCAAAGGCACCCGGTGCCACGCGCAGCTGCCGCGCACCGATCGAGGATGTCCTTGTCGTAGGACAAGGCATAGGGGGCTTTCGCGGCGGGATAGTCGTGATGCTTGCGGCCGTGCTTCAGCGTGAACTGGTTCTCTCTCGTCGTTCGCTGTCCCCGGCGCCCCTCGAAGGACGTCGTGGGTGATGTGATCGTATCGGCGTAACTCTGGCGGCCCCGCGAGACGTCCGGCATTCTGGCGCGTGGCGAGGGCGCAGGCGTGAACATACAGCGGTGGCGAGCAGGTCGCGGAGGTGGTAGGAGGTCAAGTACAAGAGATAGTTGGCCGTTCCTTGTTCCAGGCTCGGGCTGCGCTTCTCAGGCAGAGGTCTTGATGGATACAGATCTGGTAGGACGCCGCGGACGCTTGTAGCTTAGTGAGGAGCTGAGACCTTGGCCCGGCCTTGCCCGCGACGGCGGCTGTTGTCGAGTGTGTATGGACGCTGCGACTTTCCGACGTCTACCTATAAGTAGCCTCGGGGTGAGAGTCGCCTCCAAGGCACTATGCGTCTCTTCGGAAAATCCAAAACATTGGTCATGGCGGGCAACGTCAACAAGGTTCGGCCAAATCAGATGAAAGTACGGAACTGAGCGCTTCTCAACTGGTGCGCGCGGGAATTTCCTCATGTACCAGGGACACACAAAAGTACATAATTAAGACTAATACTCATTCTCCGCCGTGCTGCGCTCCGTCATTCTACTCTCTATCCGCGTCCTCACTCTCCTCACCGTCTTTGTTGTCACCATCAACGTCGAGCAGCTCAAATCGTCCCCCGGAGAATGACACCTTCGCGGGCTTCTTGGCTCCCACCGCCCCCTCGTCGTCAGACGCCTCCGAAACGAGTGTGGGTGATGGTCCATCTCCATCACTTTGTTCATCGCTCTGGTCCTCGTGCACGTCCGCATCGCTCTCGGATTCATCGGGATTCTCATCCTCACGCGGTATCCAAATGCCTTGACCGTCCAAGTTGGCGAGCGTATTCGGGTCCGTATCTGGCGGTACAAACGACCATGCAATCCTGCCTTCCGCTAGCATGCGCAAGACTACGTGTAACAAAGGGTCACTACACTATACTGAAAGGGAGGAATCCGCACTCACTGGCGTTGCCCGCGCGATTGGCATCCGGTCTACCCGCCTGCGCCGTGATCCAGCCTTTCTTTTCGGCATAAGCTTCCAACACGTCCATCGCTGTCCATGTGAAGGTCTTTGCAGCCTCGCGTCGCGACGCATTGCCGCGCCACGTTCGTTTGTCGCCAGCCGGAATATCCTGAGAGCTAGGATGATCTAGACCCAACGCTTTCTCTAGCGGGAGGAGCTGGCCGGCGTAGAAGAGGCATAACGGAATGGCGGGCATGCGTGCGATCGGCAGGATGCCGCTAAGCACCTGGAGTTCGATGGGCGCCAGAGATGGGAGAACTAAACCGGGGCAATCAACAAGCCTTAGCTCATTTGTCCAGAATAGAGTCTGGAAGTGCTTCGTCTAGACTAGATGTCAGAGGTGCTATTTGTCATAAAGAATGAGCATCATGACCTTGCCGGGTGTTTTGGATGCGCGTACTTTGGTCGTGCCGAAGAGCGCATTCAATAGCGATGACTTCCCGACGTTGGGTTGTCCTAGAAACTCTCGCATCGCATGTCAAAGAACGCGTTGGAGGAGCGCGTACCTATGAGTCCAACTGTAAGAAAATCAGGCTCTGTAAAGTCCTCGGAGTCGGAGTCGGCCTCGACCTGCAGATCCTGTTCCCTACGCTTGCCCTTGTCAGCAGAATGATTATCCTGTCGTAGTGACCCCGCAGCGAGGATCGCGTTCCAATCCAGTTCGCGTCTGACGCGAGGACGCCACTTCGCCAACTTCTCCGGGGTGGACTTGATGTAGTCAGGAGGCTGTCGAAGTTCCTCGTGCGTCTCCCTCAAGGCCGTCACCAAGCGCTCCTTGAAGTTCTGGGGGATATGTGGCCGGTGACGGGTCTTGCGGGCGGTCGTGCTTTCGCCGTCCTGAGCTTGTTTGACGGTATAAGACTCTACCATGACCACTCTGGTCGTTGGATGACGCTTCAGGAGCTCGCGCTGCCACGCTTCCGCGCGCTCTAGACCGACGATATCTACCTTCGTGAGCACCAAGATGACCCGGCACTTCGTGGTAGATAGAAAGGCTTGCAGAGAGCGTGGAAAATGCAGCGGGGGGCAGCGAGAATCAAGCAATACGAGAACAATTTGAGAAAGCTCTGAGACGCGCCAGCTAGAGAGACCAAATGAGGATGTGGCCCAGATGAGTTGAGAAACTCACAGCTGCCGCCAGACCTCCAGGTTGCGCTCGAAAGTTGTAGAAGAGAATGGCATTTCATCGATCGGGTATTCGGGCGCAGGGATGTCGGGATCGCGCGCCACTGCCTCAGCTTGTCGAGCACTCTCGCGCGCTTCATTGGCAACGTTGAGCCACTCTTCTACCACTGAGTCGGTGCGCGCAAGCCATTTCTTGAACTCCCCCTCTTCCTGGCCTTCAACCTATTGCAATATTAGGTCCATGGAAGCACACTTTGGGCAGCCCAAATCACCTGTCCCTTTGTCATATCATGGCGCCATTTAGGACGCTTCATGCACCCCAACTTCTTGTCCAGCTCCTGTTCGGCTTCAGGAGCCATACGATCAGTAGATACGGGGTACAGGGCGGCAGTGGCAGGAACAGGTCGAGGGAGGGGTACGTTCGCGGCCACGACTTTGGTTTGCTGTAGGAATGCCGGAGAGAACGTGGCATGCGTAGACTGAAGCTTCCGAGCCGAGGTTGCCTCGGTAGAGGCGGGCACAACTGGCCCTGTAAATCGGTTGCGTTTCTTGTCGGGTTTGGAGGCCTTCATGGGATCGACGTCCCCTCGCTTGATAGCCCTCTTGTCCAGTAGTCTTTCCCTGTGCTTCTTGGCTGACTGTGGCACCTTGCGAGGCATGATGGATGAAGACGAAGATCGAGCCGTGGGGGTTGAGACGAAGATCGCAGGTGCGCCGCGAGTAGTTAAGAAGCTGTCGTCCCGGCGATATCCCCGATACTGCAATCGTTTTGCGTCATCAACGTACGTGACGTGCAAGTGAGTCGAAACTAGGTGTACTGGGTGTACTGGGCTGGCCGCTGCTCCAACCCAATTGACTCGGTTCGACTGTCACTCATGCCTGACTCCTTGTCGGGGACCACACAAAAGTGCGAGCGCGCGGTGCGAAACGGTCACGGGGCCGCGCACTCATACGTCCAGGCTGCGAACGACGGTGGAGGCAGAATAGTCGTCTGTTCGGGTCCACTCTATCCAGGCTGTTGGCCAGCATAGATTATATATGAGCAGTCCAATCCACAGTCGTACATGTGTAACGCGGGCTCTAATGGCTGCGTTCCGAAGAAGCAAGATCATGCATCAGCGCAGCCGACGGAGAATGCCGGATCGTCTTCACATCCAACTTTTCAGGTGCTCTTATTCAAGTGTCTGCCCTCCCAAATTTCTTGCAGAAGTAGACTGCCATCGGAATACGTTGGGACTTTCAAGTGAGACCATGATGGAAGAGTCGAGAAACGTCGGTATGCTTCGCGTTGAAACGTTGAAATGTCACAGCCCCAGCCAATCAGGTCCACGAGCTCGAAACGCGCACATCATCTGGATTCTACAGCTCACGGGATCGTGTTCGGCGATGTATAGTGCCGTGCTGTCGGTGTGCGCGCAGCGGTCTATCCTGCGCAAGGCATGCAGCTTCTGCCACAGTCACCTCGAGGCTCTCAAGTAGCATGCCTCTTTCGGATCCATTCAGCGGTGGCTTCTTTGCCGACGCAGTCTACTCAGTTCGTGCTCCGCTCGTCCTTGCGAGGGTCTGTCCACCGTATTGACGGCGCGATTTCGCGCCTCCCAGCCTGTAATGCCTCCGAGAATTGAACGCAAACTTAGCTAATCAGTGTCATCCTCGATGTGTAGGCACTCAGCACGTGGGAATTATTTGGCATTGAACTGGAGATGAAAGGAGAAGTTTGGCACGAAAACGCGGTGAGAGCGTAAGGCGTGTTGCGTGTGCTCGACGCGTCCCTGATTTGCTCTGTCAACCCAACACATGGAAGTATCGAAGTATTGCTATAAAATGGCGCCACGGATATTCGCAAAGAGCTTCCCAGGACTCACTTCTCTGCTCTCTACTACGCCATGTCCAAGAAGTCCGTCGTCGTCGTCGGTGGTGGAGGCGCCGGCTCTGCTATAGCTCGCGCTCTCAGCACGCAGCTCGACTTCGCCACAGCCACTCTCACCCTCGTCACCGCGCGGCCCTTCTACACGCACCTGCCTGCACTCGTCCGAACGACAACAACGGCAGTCGGCAACCTCGAGGAGAAGGTGCTCGCTCCCTACGACCACCTCTTCGCCACCGGCAAGGGTACGGTGAAGGTCGGCCGCGTCGAGGCAATCGAGGCCAAGGAGAAGGGCGGCGAGCTCGTGCTTCAAACCGGAGAACGCGTGCCCTACGACGTGCTTGTCCTGGCGCCCGGCTCTCACTGGCAAGGCCCACTCGAGTTGTCTGACGACCGCGAGGCGGCGCTCGCGTCGATTGCAGAGATCCGCAGCAAGATCGAGAGTGCAAAGGCTGTTGTCCTAGCTGGCGGTGGCGCTGTCGGAGCAGGTATGCCATATACCCTCGCCCTAATGGCTCTTCGTTGCTGATACCATGTTGTGAAGAGTACGCTGGAGAGTTAAAGGACTTTTACCCCGACAAGAAAGTCACCATCGTTCACGCTGGCAAGAAACTTCTCAACGACACATACCCGGACAAGTACCGCAATAAGGTCGAGAAGGATCTGCGTGCGCGTCAAGTCGAGCTCATTCTCGACGACTACGTGGATGATCTCGCGCAGGCAGGTCCTGTCAAGACGCGGGGTGGCAAAGAGATTGACGCGGATCTGATCGTCAGTATTGTCATGCCAGATTACAGTCCAGCCCTCTATATTGACCATACGCATAGATCCCGTCGGTCGGCGGTCGCCCTGCAACGGAGTTCGTTGCCTCGCTCGGCGCCGACACTCTCAACGGGCGCGGACAGGTTTACGTGAAGCCAACTCTCCAACTCAAGAACCACGCCAATATTTTTGCTGCCGGCGACGCCATCGAGTGGAACGAGCAGAAGATGATGGCCAAGTATCCCAAGCACGCAGACGTCATCGTCACAAATGTCGTGTCTTATCTTAAGAACGGCTCCACGCCGCGCACTTATGCCGGCCAGAGCGAGCTCATAGTCCTTACCAACGGCGTCAAGGGTGGCTCGGCGTACTTCGGTGTCGCGTGGGGCATTGTGCTGGGTGCTTGGATGGCAAGTAAGGTGAAGAGCAAAGAGCTCTTCATTCCACAAGCACGTAAAGGTCTCGGTTTGCCGGCGTGATGCCCGAGCCTCTGTTTCAGATCCTTTTGACGTACTTATAGTATACCCTGGATTGCTGATGTTCTTTGGCGCATATCACCCGACGTCGTTATCTTATATTCGCGCAATGAATATACCTTGCACATGTATCCGCGTTAACAACCTATAATACGATTATGTCCGTATTACAGGCGAAGGCGAACAGTCCGACGATAGTGTCGCTGTGATATAGAATGTATAAGGATCTAGACGTCCGACGACCAAGGCCTGAGAATGAAGGTGTTGCGCCGTGCAAGCTCTGTGAGCGTGTATATCTAAACTAGGAAGAGTCCAGCAAGTGCGATGACGGTGCCAACTACAGCCAGCTCCCCGCGCGCCTGACCCATCGCACCACCGGCAGATCGATCACCATTCGTCGAATTTGAACTCGAATCCATGTTCTTCTCTGCATCGGAGTCCCATGCAGCGGCGTTGACCGTCGGTCGATACCAGAAGAAGTACGGGTCAGTTCCAAAATCCGGGTTTTTCTCAAGAAGGAACGACCCGTAGGAGTCGTCCGCGTTACCGTACGCGTAGGCACCAGCAGCGACCGGGAGCCAGAGCTCATTAGCAGTATCGTCTCCGGGATCGACGGTCATGGTAAAATCTAGCGCATTTTTTATGGTAGCACCGTTGGCAGTTGTTGTGTTCCATTGCTCCTTGCCGGCGTACGCGGACAATCTGGCGTTGGACTAGGAGATATGATCAGTTCATTGAACGGAATAGCTGATGTGGGTGCGTACAAGCATAGCGACAAGATTGTAACAGCTGAGTCCTCTATTAGTGATTGAGAACCATGCATACAGAGCGAAGGGCATACCGGTAGTGGTAAGGACGAGTCCTAATAGCCTCCAGCGGTTGCTCTCCTGTTGCGTTGATCTGGTTCTGATACGCATGGTCGAAGTAGAACTGTGTGGCGTTCAACGCCCCACTCTTGTTGTCTGCAATCAGGTAGAGCGATGCCAGCTGAACGAAGTAGAAAGAGCCATGGTTGCTACAAACCAGTCAGACAATAGATACCGAAAATGTTGCGCAACACCACCTACTTGTCTGACGCAGCCTCTTTCAACGCAAGGGAGTTGGTCTCCATCCAGCTGATGTACGAAGTCGTCCAGTTCTTCATGGCCGTATCCATATCACTTGTCCACGACACAGCTTGACCTTGGCGCAAAGCGAGAATACCGCTTGCAATCTTGGACATGCATTTGAGATCGCTGAGCGACGTGTCTCAGCTGCACTTTTCACTAGTACACGACCAACACAGAAACACGTACAGCACACCCGTGTGTGTCCCAGTAGTCCCTGTCTCAGGGCCGCGCGTGACTTGGCCGTAGTTCAGGTTCGGGTTCATAGCCGTGTCTGAATCGAGGAACCACGTATTGATGAAGCTGGACGCATTAACGGCGTAGTAGTCTTTGCCAGTGATGCGCCAGGCCATGACGTTATAGAAGACGGCGTCGGCAAGCGCACCAAAGGCGCCGGTGTTGTTTACAAAACGCACGTCTGGATTGAACACACCGTCGCGGGTGTAGTATGTGCACTGAGACCAAACTGAAGCGACATGAGTGCTGTTATCGCGCGACGTTACGAGTGCCGCTCACTCTCTTCATCAGTAAGCTCAGTTGTGTTGCCGACGGCCGTGCAGTTCGGCCATGAGCTATCTAGGAATCAATTCACAATCACGAAAAGGGCAGAAGTTGCGCACTAAGGAGCCCAGCTCAAGTAGTCGTGCACATCACCGGATGGCGCGGTGACGTTCTTAGTAGTCGTGACAGCTGGGTATTATTATCAGCTTTATTCGCGCGGGATTGCAAATCAACGCACCCCAAGGACCCTCCGCATTAAGCATCTCCGCCCACTGGATGATCGTGGCCTGTGCATTGGCTGTAACATCATCGAAACTGTCCGACAATAAGAAATCCGGGTCGACGAATTCGTTGATTAGCGTCGAGTATCCGGCGCTCGCGAGTGGTATAAGGGATGCAGTTGCAGCTAGCAAAGAGAAAAGAGCGTGGGGGCGCCTCATTATGATGAGTCGACAATTGTCGTGCGTGAAGTAAGAGTGTCTTGTGGGGGTGAAGGGGGAAACCTGAATCAAGCAAAGATAGACGGCAGGTACTAGTAGGTTGACAGACCGGGGAAAGCAGGGGTGCGCGCCTTTGAGCACGGGCCCGGGTCAAGACAGGCCAAGCATTCAGCGATGAAAACAGGGCGCTACTGCGCGGAAACGGCCTGGCGGGCCCGCGGCTCGGCGCTGAACGCGATCAGGGCGTGGTGACGAGCTAGTCTGCGGGGCCAGATGAAGCAAATTTGATGCGTCTGCCGAGGCATGCGGGCTATTGGCTTGAACTGAATACGGGAAAAGCAAAGGGGCTGTGAGTACCAAAAGGCTTGAAATATAGTGCAGAAGACTGCGGGTTCAGGGTGCGCGGGCGGTGGTCTCAGGTCTAACACCAGCTCGGAGTGCGGAACAAACTTGCGAGATCGGTGCCTGTAGACCGTTCCATGCGTAGCTATTCACGTGATCGCGACATAGACGCCCACGCCGTACAGTACACTACGCATTCTCACTGGCTTGTAGATCACAAGTAGAACATTTAACAGGGATGTATGGATTGCGTACAAACATGAAACTGAGGGCGTATGGTAGTGTACAAGGCCAATAGTCTAGCATGAAATTCGAGAACAAGAGAACAACATACGATGCGACGAGAGAGGTCCAGGATATTCGTAATTGACACGGGGGATACACTGAGGAACCGAGAAAGATAGGGAACAGGTCAAGGAGTCACTTAATGATAGACTCAATGATAGACAAAGGGCTAAAGTACGTATCCGAAACAGTTATCGGGCGTACCCGTACGCGGGTGGCTGCCCATATGCAGCCTGAGGATGCTGCGGCTGCAGCTGCGGTACAACACCAGGCTGCGAGGCGTATCCCATGTTCATGGGCTGGGCTTGGGGATAAGCGCCATGAGCTTGGGCATACCCAGGCTGAGGTCCAGGGTACGGAAGTGTTGCAGGTACTGATGATGCGATGTTCGGGCCGGTACTGGCTGAATGGAAGTATGGGTGATTAAGCGCCGCCGCGGCGCTGATACGCTTCGCTGGGTCAAACTGGAGGAGCTGATCCAGGAGATCAAGTGCTGGAGAATATTCAGGAATTACGTAAGATAGAGTACATATAGCCACTCACCCAACTCAGATGCTTTCGGAAGGACCTGATTCCAGGGGATTTTCGGGTACCGTGGGTACTGTTTGACCGTGATCTCCGGCTGTTGTATGTGGTGAACAAGTGCCACTCGAGAAGAAAAACCCAAGGAGACTCACCGATTCCGCAGCCATCTTACGGAAAACACGCTCGTCTGGCGTACCTAGGATGCGCATAATATGCAGCAGTTGGTCGGCATTGTCACGACCACGGAAGAGAGGGACACCAGAAATCATCTCGGCGAAGATGCATCCACAAGACCAAACATCGATGGAGGTCGAGTACGTGCGTGAGCCGAGAAGGACATCAGGGGCACGATACCAGAGTGTAACGACCTCGTTCGAGAAAGTGTTCACCGGCACACCGAATGCGCGGGCAAGGCCGAAGTCGCCGATCTTGAGTTCGCCACGCTTATTGATCAGCAAGTTTTGCGGCTTGAGATCGCGGTGCAAAACACGGTTCTCGTGACAAAAAGCGGTGCCCATGAGGAGCTGGTACATGAACGAGCGGACGGTGAGTGGGTCGAGCGCGCCACGGTCGCCATGCGCATCCATGTATTTCTTCAGATCCCTCTCGCAGTACTCAAAGATGAGTACGAGTTTCGTTTCGGTGTGGATGACATCGTATAGGCGAACAATGTTGACGTGTTTCAGTTCCTTCATCAGGGAAATCTCGCGGATGGCGGTGGAAGGTGTACCCTCCTCGGCGTCGAGATGGATCTCCTTCAGAGCCACGATCTCGTTGTTGGTCCGAGAACGGCCCTGCAGCGAGTGAGGATAGCTATTAAATACAAACTATCGTAGTGACGCACCTTGTATACCGTGGCGTACGTCCCCTCACCAAGCTTCTCGAGCTGAAGGTGTGTGAGCGAGAGCGAATCTTCGACGAGTCAAGGACGCGCATACCTGAACATAGTTGCTCATGGCTATCCTGCACCGATTGAAGGCTGAGTTTGCAAAGAGCGGAAGGGCGTGACGGGGATGGCGGTCAGAGAAGAGTGGCGAGCGACGGTGGTTCGTGTGAGGATGGGGGACTATAAGCAAGCGGCAAACAACAACAGACGCGTTCATCCGTCCTCGGCCCTCGGTGATCGCGGCATCTCCGGCCCGAAGCCACCAAAAAGTTCTGAGCTTTGTGCAACCGGACGTCTTTTGACGCCTACCAAGATGTCTTCCAAAAAGTCTGCCGTCAAGGCTCCGAAGAGCAGGCCTGCATCTACCTCTGCGCTTACTACTGGCCAACAGGATCCAGCGCTCTCCTCCGCGACGCTGACCGCGTTTTCCGACGACGGCCGCTACCTTGCTTTGCTCTCCTTGGCTGTGGACAAGCACCGCCTGCGCATATTTGACTCCTCTTCGGGACAAAGCGTGTCAGAACACGTACTGGATGCTGCCCGCGTATCCGCCCTCGCCTGGACACGCTTCGACGCGTCCACACAGAAGCTGCCCGCAGATCAGCCAAAGTCGAAGAAGAAGCGTAAAGCAGACGCTGCCCAGTCTGCGCCCGCGGCTTCCGCAGAGGCCGTCGTAGTGCTTGGGCTCTCAGACGGCTCTTTGCTCATATTCTCTCCCGGACACGGCCGCGTCTTGCGTACCCTCACGCATCCCAGCAGTACTGCCGCCATCACCGCCCTTGACGCCTCTCAGGATACGCTCGGCGCGCTGACCATATGGTCTGCGGGTGCCGACTCTGAGATTCGCACTTGGGACGCGCAGACAGGCGCACATCGCGCCAGCCGTAACACAGGCGACAAGCTCGCGCCGTCTGCTATACGTGTCCGATTCAGTGTCTCCGACGAGGAGAGCACATCTGAGAATATCCTTCTCGCGCATCATCGCCTGCGTCTCCATTCTGCTTCTACCGATCTATCGCAGTTTAAGGACGTCGCTACATTCACAGGTCATGCTTCGAGCGTCACCGCATTACTCTGGCAGCCGTCCACTTCTGGCCTACCCCCAAAATACTTTGCTTCCATCGCCGAGGCTGACCGCCACGTCCAACTCTGGGCTGTCCCGGAGTCCGCTTCTCAAGAAGGTGCTCTTTTCGCATCCCTCCCCCTGGACTCGGACGCGCGCTCGCTGGCGTGCTCTACAACGCAATGGGCAGCTGTATCTTCGTCTGGTCGTGTCTCACTATTCGACGGAAAGCCCCCTAAGAAGAAGGCAAAGGTTACAGTGGCGACTCCTAGGTGTACGATTGCTCCTTCAGCCAAGGGCCAACCAGCACCAGTTGTAGCTGTTGCATTCGTCGATGAAGAACGGTTACGTGTGGCGCGGTTGATCGGCGGCGTGAAGCCAGTATTCGACGTCGTCGTACGTTCTATTCTTCAATACATTGCTCGCCGGACCTGATGCTCCTGCAGTCATTCTTGGATGTTACGGGCGACTATAAGGCGGATGTCACATTATCTGCTGTGGATACAGCTGCTCTGGTCACAGAGGACGCTGTGTCAGGCACGCCCACCAGACGCTTCGGCCAGCCCGTCGGCTTAGCTGTGCAATCTGGGGTCGCATTAGCGCAAGAGGCGGATATGGATGATCTTCGGGACATCGATGGCGCGTTGGACGTCGATCTCGCAGAGTTGAGCTTGGGGCAGCGTCTCACGGCGCTTGAGGCTCCTTTGTCACGGAAGAAGTCCCGAGTTGCCGATAGTGAAGATCATGAAGAGGGGGATGACGACGTGGAGGAGGCGACACCCATCACGCTGACGCGCACCCTCATACAGGCACTGCATTCATCTGATGCGGGCTTATTGGAGAGCTGCCTGCAACATACGCGCGCGCCACTCATCCTGCAGACCGTGCGCCGTCTGCCGCCACAGCTGGCAGTGCCTCTACTGAATGCCTGTGTGGAACGTTTGGGTCGTGGCGCACGGGGTTCGACGCAGAAAGGACGAGGCGGTGCGGCCGGTACACAACGTGCTGCCGGACTCGTGCGCTGGGTCAAGACTGTGCTTGCGGTACATTCTGGACACTTCATGACCGTATGTCTCATTCCCTTCCCTTCAAGCACAGGGTGTATCTGATGCTGATCACATCTTAGATGCCTGACCTCGTCGCACGTCTTGCCGGTCTTCATGCCACGCTGACAGCGCGCGCGTCCTTGCAAGACACTCTCCGTGGACTGTCCGGTCGGCTCGACCTCGTTCTGCAGCAGATGGAGCTTCGTGCGGCGCCCGCACCTTCGCCTCTGAGTCGCCCTGGTAAGGGAAAGCAAGGCGCTCGTATTGCGCGGAAATATGTTGAGGGCGAAAGCGAGGAGGAAGGAGAAGGTATGGATGTCGATGTCGATGTCGATATCGAGGAGGGAAGCGAAGCGGGTAGCGTGGAGGACGTTGAGCTGGGTGGAGGGAGCGATGAGGATAGTGAGGAAGAGGAGGAATACGACGCCGATTTGACCGAGGAGGATGAAGATGAGAACGACGAAGGTGACGAGGGACCTAGGCTAAACGGTTTCATTGACGATGAGGCGGAAGAGTCAGACGAGGGTTATAGCGACGAAGAGAGCGATTAAACGCCGCTTCTGTATGCTACTGCTTCGGGAAGTCATCTTACTATTGATATACTCCTATCATGATGTGAACATTCGAGAGATCGGAGAGTATATGCTGTATTTTGTATGAGACACGAACTCTACTGGATACAACCATGATAAGCCATAAGCGCACATCGCCGTTGAGCACGCCGAACGTGAGAGCGCGGTTCGCGCGCGCGTCTAACTCTCGACGCGTCTCGCCACCGATTGTCATGGACTACAGCGACGACTGGAGTATCCTGCTGAAAGGCCATCCTATTTTCCATACGAAAGATGAACTCGCTACTGCTGGTACGGCCGCAGAGCTCTCCCGAGAAAGTCTCGCCCAAAATGCCTCGCCCGGTCGGCGGCAAACGATGCTCATCAAGGACACGGAGCTCCTCGTCGCCGTGAAGAACGAACTTCGTGTGACGTCGCTGAAAGACGCACAATTGTCTAAGAGTATGCGTAAAACTTACAAGGTATGCGCGCAGTCATATCAGATGAGGATGCGAGACCGACACTATCCAGGTTCTGGATACGCCTGCTCTATCCTTCGACATCCGCCAAATGGCCGTCAACCCGTCTGGAAAGCTCCTGGCAGTGGCAGGAACTCGTCAGGTCGTCGTCGTCGTACTGCCTCGACCGGGTTATATGCGTCTGGTACCCACGAATATTGACTGCAAGTGCGTAACCCTTTCAAATATAAACAATTCAACATCTGACACGGGATGCAGGTCCATCAAGGTTGGACAGCCGTATCATGGGGTAGCCACCTCATCTCCCGTCGCCAAGCTTCAATGGCATCCTTGGGGGGACTCGGGGTCTACATTGCTCGTCATGACCGTAGATGGGAAGCTGAGGTGTGTCTGTGCGTGCCGAGGACTTGATTCGCATCTTACCGGGGTATAGGGAGTACGATATATCGGTTGATACCGAAGAGCCAGCTCAAATCTTGTCTTTCGACCGAGGCCGCAAAAAATCCTTCAACGCCTTCGATGAGTCAGAGAACGAAGTGGCGTCTTTCACGTTGGGCAAAGGCAGGGCCGATTGGGGGCCGTTGACCGTGTATGTAGCGATGCGGAGCGGAGATGTATATGCCATATGCCCTTACCTGCCTCAAAATGCGTGCGTGAGCGTGTCTCTTTGTCGATATATGCTCACGCTGAGCTCCTGTAGTTCTGTGCCTTCATCGTATTTGCACGCGCTTGATTGCTACGTCAATGCCAAGCAAGAGTACCTAGCGAAGTACTCGTCTAAGGAGAGTCAGGCCCTATCTGTCCTATACGACTACCAACGCAAATACATCAACGCCTTGCTCAAGCAATTACCGGCCGGCACCACTTATCCTATATCATCACGGACCGTGACATTGCATCCTCCTTCTACACTCAAACACCAGCCGCGGCGGCAGGGTCCTTTCTTACTTCAGCCCGCGCCTCATGAGCTCTCTGGCAGCAACTACGTCGATACCACGGACATAGTCTATCTATCGTTTGGCAACGAGAGTCTGCGCGACGAAGACAGCGAGAAGGAGCGCCTGGGTCTTGTACTCATCGCATCTCAGGACGGGAGAGTCGATGTCTGTCTGGACGTAGACAAGGTTGAGGCACGATGGGCCACCAGTAAAGTAACACCAACTTCTGTCAAAGTGTGCTACCAATCTCACCCTGTGGTAGACCGACGAGGAATGGCCTATGCTCGCTGTCTACGAGAGCATTGATCTCGGCCTGCTCGACCTACTTCGGACGCGACCATCATCGGTCGAACTACTCGAGGCGAACCATCCAATAATCTTCCCTGATCCCATTCATGATGATACAGTCTACATCTATCACGCTTTTGGCACACACTCTTTAAACTTCGACCCCATTCTGAAGATAGGCGATGCTTTGCGCGGGGATGACGATGCATCGTTGATCGAAACCCTGGAGAGAAGACCGTCCACGGATGTCAAGCACATTGTCTCTACCTTCTCTGTCGAGCGCATGTGCGGAAAATCTCCGTCTTTCTTCGCCCCTCGCTGATCGGCATATAGTGCCTCTCATCCCGTACTGGCCGTGGCAATACCGAATGACGTCTACCTCGCATACAGCATCACAGTCCTGACCTCGGCTATGCACATAGCCTCGTTCTCCCTGAACGTGCGACTGGAATCCGCGAGAGAGCATCCGGTAACAGCCGCCGACAAGGTTGGGGCAGTCGACTTCCTGAAGGCCCTGCCTGGTCCACTCGCCTATATACCTTTTCCGGGGGCTAAACCCTACGAAATACCCTCCATACTATCGCAATCCGTCGCAACTCGCTTCCCTGTCGACTCGGCGCACAAGAGCAAGGATCTCCGCATCACTCCCGACACTCTACGCTACCTCCACCAACAGGTCGAGCGCTTCTCGTCGGCGATCCGCAGTACACAAGGTGCATATAAGGAAGCATTGCAACGTCGAGAAATGCAGATGCTTGAGCTTCATCGTCAATTGGCTAAAATGAAGGAGGTTCGTGACAGAATCGAAAGCCTCAAGGGTGCTCGGCAGCGTGAGACAGAGGAACGCGTGAGACGCCTGCGTGGATCGCAAAGTATACTCATGGGCCGACTTGACGCGGTGTTGCAAGCCATGATGAAGCGCGCCAACCCGGAGCTGACGGATCAGGAGAAGAAGTGGTTTGAGGAACTCAAGCGGATGGAGGCCGACGTGCTGGGCTCAGGAGGGCACACATCGGAGAGTTTGCACGCTCGAATTGCACAGGTATGTTCCTCGCTAGTTTGCGCTTACGCATTGACTGATGCCCTTCAATAGCTTCAACGCGACTTCGTGCGACTAAGACCGCAGCTGGAAGCCGTGCGTAGTAAACAAGCTGCGCTCGTACGTGCATCACCCGAGCCGGCGACCTCTCTTGGGGCGTCTCAAACGTTCGAGTTCAGGCGCTACTTTGACAAAGAGTTAGTGTCTCAAGTGCTGTATGATTGAAGTAGTACTGATGTTCTGTCAATAGGTGTAGCCGCATACAGAAGATGGAGAAAGAGCTCGTCAGCTTGGCGAAAGCACTGAACCACCCAATAACGCGGCCACCACGTCTAGCCGAGAGCATATTGAATAATTGAATGCACCCTATCTAGGCTCTTACCACATCATGTCTAGTAGTAGCTCTGAGCGTCAATTCGAGAATGGCCCTTGCATTATTATGTGTTCGGGGAAAATATATGTAGATACGATTATCGCCGAATGGCAGGTGATCGCTGATTGCGGGTCGCGCACCGGTGTTAAGGCGTCGACTTTGAACTAGACTTCCATCTCCGGATCCTCGCCTTCAGAAGTACATTCAATCCACCCTCTATCCGCTATCTCGTCATGAAGGTCACAATCAAGGAATGGAATGCTGTGGCCCAGTGGCAGTGGGATACGGGCAAGAAAGAGGATGAACCAGCAGAAGACGGGGAAGAGGACGTTTGCGGTATATGTCGTAATCCGTTCGAGGGATGTTGCCCAGCTTGCAAAGTTCCGGGCGACGACTGTCCTCTTAGTACGTGCCATATATGTAGACCTTGATGACTATTCTCACCGAATGCTAGTTTGGGGGGAGTGTAGTCATGTTTTCCATATGCACTGTCTGATGAAGTGGATCTCAACGGCATCTTCTAAGCAACAATGCCCCATGGATAGGCGGACATGGGGTACGTGACTGATCAACACAACCTTCGAGAGAGACTGACGCCTTTTAGCAACGGCGGAACGCAAAGTCGCAACTTCCTGAACTACTCGTATGTAGAACCCGACACGTCATCTAATGCCCTTATGTACAACACACCGGAGCATATGTATCGTTATACCGCATCAAGATCGATCCTATCTGACATTCCAACGCTCATGTCAGAACACCGTCGTAAAGATTGTCTCGCCACCTGCTTCCGTTCCCTGGCATGAGATCGCTCTGGTCCATCTTGCGTTGCACGACAACCGGAGGAACGATACTGAATGCATTGAGGCGATCCGATCGCACGAGCCATGCCATAGCCTGGTCGATTGCGCGCGAATATGCGAAAGGTGGATGGCGGAGGTGTGCGAGCAAGCGTCGAGCTCCATGGCGTGATAGCGCGTAGGCGTGTGTGCACTTCGGTCCGGAGGCAGGGTGTAGTGAGGTGCGGTGTGCAGGGTCGGATGGCATGGAGGGCACATAGCCTTTACTATTCGGGAGCCAGGGAGGCGCGACAGTACGAAGAGGTTGATGTTCTGTTTCATTTGACCAGCAGTGCCCAAGGTAGACGATGTCCCAGTCTGATGGCAAAGCATCCCATATACTTTGCAATCGTTCGTGTATGTCACGCTCCATATCCACATCATCCTCGAGCACGATCGAGGGCCGCTCGTCTTCACACTCCGAGATGCGCCGCAGAAGTTGCAGGTGCGAGTACCAGCAAGCTAGTTTGGGTAGGTTGAGGACATTCTGGGCTTTGCTCGGTTCCGTGATGGAGCCGAACACGTTGTTCTCGGTGTAGCATGCGAGCGAAGTTGCAGGCGTTGATTTATGGCTGGCCGCCGCGCTGAATGATGTTACGGGTGATATGCTAGGATATGGCCAAAGTTCTGCTCCAGCGGGAAGATTGAGATCGGTGATCCGTAAGTCTGGTGGCCAGCCAAACACAGCGGGTACTCGTGTGGGCAGATCTGGGTAGCCGAGCTCTGACAGTTGCGCGGCTGCCTCTGCCATGGTGCCCAGGTTGGACCGAAGCATCCTGACGTGGTGCATGATATTTGCGACGTTCGAATCGGTGGCGTCGGCCGCGTCGACATATGTAAGGTCGAGGTTGAGTGATCTGGCTAGTCTATCCATCTCCTTGCGACGATCCGTCCGGCGGGGTAGTGAGAGTACGTAGATTCGCGACGCGACACCGAGAGCAGAGGAAAGGTTTCTTGGACCAGGCGAACGAAGGGAGTCGGAGAAATGTCGCAAGGGACCAACTACAGCGGCGGGTAGGTAGCGAAGCGGCTTGGTGGATCTCCATTCCGACGGGCGTTGCGCCAACTGCGCCGAGAAAGAGGGGATCAAACAGAAGATTGTAGCCAATGTCGTGAGTAAACCCGCCAAAGCGAGCGGAATGATGAACCGTGTGTAGAGGTGCATGTTCAACGTATGCGCGAGATCTCGATGGTCCGACGTCACAAGGCCGGCGGAGAGAAGGAAGGAATCCAGAGATCTACGGATGGACGCGATGGCAGGAATGCATCCATTGGCTGCCACATTTGGCTGTTGCGGGTTCCGTGAAGTATACTAACGACGGTGTCAGTAATGACGATATTGTCATGCACAATCATGTAGCGCAGGAGTGATTTAAGTCATCGTCTCATTGCAGCGGGTGCTCGTTGTCTACGATCGCCATCAACCTGCGTTTCCGGCCTATACAGGGCGCTTATACGCATGGTCTAACTCTGAGCCTGACATGGCTTCCTGTGAGTTTAGGGGCATCGTGGCTTGCGAAAATTTAGCGGAGTGAAGGCGCATGCGTGGTCGTCGAAGCCATCGAGATCGCACTGTTCGCACTGTGGGCGCTGACGAACACTTGCGGTCGGGAGACCTATGAAAACACCGCGTGTTTGAGCGCAAACAAGGTTCGGTTTGCTCTCGTCACAACTCGAGCCCAAGAGTGTACGCATGACACCATTACAGCGCCAGGGTGCAAGCGGCTTTTGGGCACGTACAGCACACGAGCGAGCACGAGAACTTGCCTAGCAGGTCACAAGGCACTTGACTATCCGCTTTGGGTGAGAACCTGTGGCTAGATACGACAGTTCGTAGACTTATTACTGACCTAGAAGGAGACTGTATGGCAACAGAGTTTGCGTGTAGTCAAACGATCAAATTCAGAGTGAACCCGAGTCAGACGACCTGGGAATTGCTGGTATTCGGGTCCCGCATTATGGCGAGATACACGTCGAAAGAAAAGGTCTATGCATAGAGCGGAATAACATAGAGCGGACTAACATGTCATAGGTAGCACAGGATGCAGATGATGGAGACAGAGGTATACGGTTTAGAGTTACAGAGAGTCTGGGCACGCGTGACTGATGAGTAGGACTCGGGTGGGAACGCAGACGGAGGCCGTCGGCAGAAAGAGTATGGACGTATGGGACTATAGAGGGATCGGGGTACGGTGAAGGAGTATTTACGCCACCAATGGACGTCAACAAGAAGAAAAGGGTGTGGAGGTCGGGAGAGAAGGAGGAAGAGGCAGGCGTCGGCGCGAAGCCGCGCGCTGTCTCGCGGCCGTCACGCGGTCAGCGGACACACGGGTCCCCTGACTGACCCCAGCGGAGGCCGCCATATAACTCAGGATCCGAGAGCGGATTCAGCATAGAGCATCTTGTCCTTGCACGTCCACCACGACCTAGACAGCATCCTGTATATCAACCCTTAGAGTGTTTTGACCGTCACAGCTCGAAAGTAGTGAGTCTTCTGCCGGTTTACCCCGCGCCGCCCGAGGAGTTAACCCCGCACCGAGCAGACCTACTTCCTTCTCCGCTCTCCGGTCGTAATTTCCTTCCTCGCGCACCCCCCTTATTCCTTTCTTTGTTCCGTGCTGCTCGTGCTGTCCATGCAAGCGACCAAATCCTATCAATCTGCTCTGCCTGTCGACGATGATCGCCAGAATCGCTTTGTCAACGCTCACGACGATGAATCGGGGCATCAACTCTCATTGCGCGAGCGCGCCGCTAGTCAACCTCCTCGCACGTCCAATCAACCCTTCCTCCAACCGTCCCCTAGTCTAGGCCGGGGCAATCCTGCATGGGCCAATGCATCTCGTTACCTCAACGCGCCTGGCGGCATGCCACAATCCGTACCCACTCGCAGTTCTTCGTTCTCTGCTACACCCCTGGGTAGTAGCCTGTCAGCCATGCGCGAGTCGAGCTTCGCTTCGACATTTGAAGATGACGAGTCCGAGGCCCTTTCTGACACCTACGACGACCGCTACGTTTCCCCGACGAGAGGCCGCTCTTACGCTATAGACCTCACTCGTAGCCGCTCTCAATCGCTCGCGGCGACTCGCCCTGTCGCTGTCGGCAGTCCATTTTCATCTTCGTTGGGTAGCTGGGATGAGCAGGGCACGCAACCTCAAGGGATTCCGGGGCGCTTCGGTGACATAAAGCCGCCTGGGGCGGGCAGCCGGTACGGCTCTTACGGTCCTATCGGGCGTACGTCCAGTAACACCGGGAATGGCTTCGGCCGCTCGCCCAGCCAGCAACTCATCGATCCATCCAACATGAGCCCGTTTGTTCGCGACATTGGGCAGATCGTTCTTGACGAAGGCTCCGCCTTTCGAGAGATGTGGCCCGGTGCGCGTGAGGAAAACGGCGGCAATTCTGGCACAACCTCCCGCAGGCATTCAGTCAGCGTTGTGCAACCTAGACGTCCCCAAATCGTCGGTTTCAATGCGCCTGGCGTGCAGGGTGATGACGAGTCCATCTCGCGTCCATCCGTCTTCTCTCAGGGGTCCTATGGCGGTCGCAGCGGCCTGATGTTGTCCGATGATGACCTGGCGGTCGATCTCGGAGGTCTTTCCATAGGGAAGGACGGCCCAGGCCCGGTCTCGTCGTATATGCCACCCAGCCAGCCCTCTTCACTCCCTGTGTACAATCCCTCCAGGAGTCCGCCCATAGGCCAAGATCGTCAGTCGCCTTACCATGCGCTCAACCTCAATATTCCGCAGCCTATTGGCACGCCCTCAGAGACGAGTGGGAGTCCTGCTGTTCACCAAGATTATGACGCCCGTGGTTTTCGTCAACAGAATTTCCAGCCTTCCCCGAACCTTGCGCGCTACGTTCCCGGGCAAGGGATCAAATATGTTGGCGTACCCGAATCACCGGGCGCGTATCGATCACCTATCTCACCCACTCAGATGCAGCGCCAGAACAGTCTCTTTGGTGCTCCGTTGCAGCGACGTCCTTCGAACGCCGAGCCGTCCGCCGCCTTGAACGATCTCGGCCGTGGAGTACCGCTTCATTCCGTCCCAGCTTCTTGCCCTTTGTTCGTCGTCGAGTTCAAGGCTGGCCGCACAGATCTGTTCTACTCGATGGATCCCAGTCTGCACATCCAGGAGGGTGATCTCGTACTCGTAGAGGCAGACCGTGGCAAGGACCTCGGTAAGGTCGTGAACGCTACCATTACGCTCGCCGAAGTCGAGGCCATCCAGGCGCACCAAGCTGCTATGGATGGACCGACAAGTCCTGGAGGCACCTCGTTGGGTGCGCCCATTGGAAAGAAGGAGATAAACCCCAAGATGATTTACGGCAAAGCGACGGCGCAGGACACCCAGTCCGTACCTCACGTCATTCTCCCGCATCTGCTCACACCCTCTCAGGTTATTAGTGACGAAGATGCAGGATGAGATGAAGGCTTTGCAGCTTTGTCAACAGAAGGTTCGCCAGAAGAAATTGCCAATGGAGGTGGTCGATGCCGAATATCAATGGTGCGCATCTCAACCCCTAAAAGATGTACCCACCCTAATTATTTGTTAGGGATCGTCGCAAGCTCACATTCTACTTCGTCGCGGACAAGCGTATCGATTTCCGTGAACTTGTCCGCGAATTATTCCGGTGGGTTACTTGCCGCTTCGCCTATACGACTTCTGATGATTGGCCAGTCTGTACAAAACCCGTATCTGGATGTCGTCACTGCAGGCGCCTGGCTTCGAGCAATGAAATCTTCCTTGCCCCAGACTCAAACACCATGCTTCATCGTAAACTCAATATTTTGCGCAATTTGTGTACAAATACATCATCAGGACGCTCTCCGGTCTCATCACCTCGAAATATGTATGCTGCCTCTTCTTCAGCCTCCCAGTGTTTGTACCACCATATCCAAATGATCCCCCCGCATGATCGCGCTCGCCGTCGTTGTTCTGCGCTGCTGTTCTTTGCCGTCTGTGCTCCTTATTTACCTCTGCAGTCACTACCTACGGTTCTTGGTGTACATGTGCGCTGAGTAACATAACTGTTTGTACTATAGGGAAGATGCTGAAACGAATCCACCATATCTACTGTGGCGCTGTGGTTGCACCCTCATGTATCGCAACTAAGTACCACAGACTTAGACAACAACATTCACGCAGTATACACTGGCGATGTCACTCCCCGAGTGGGGATAAGACTGGAGCATTGTCAACGACCTCCAGGCATGTGATTCCATACGGCACTTCAAAGAACGCGTAGTCTACGTGACTACACCGGGTATTGGTTTGACGTTGAGCGAGTCTGCGTATAAGGCGGCGAACATCGCACTCTGACTGTGCCCACCATCCTTCATGATCTGACGGTAGCCCTCGTTTCTTTCCTTGCACTTTGACGTGCCAGAAACAACACGTGAATTGCCTTGCTCGCGAGCTTTCTGCACCAACAAAGAGGTGCGCTCAATGCGTGCGCCTTCGTAGGCCTTGAAGATCGTGGCGAGGTCTGACGTCGGGAGCGATTCGCGGTTCGAGTTAAACTTATCCAAGAATGCTGTAAGGTGATATACGTCTTCCCAGCTTTGGTTAGCGCCCTGGCCTAGATGCTGTTGAGTTCGTGGATTGTGTGAGATAAGTACTATCCGATCGTGAAGAAGAAACGACAGGGAACACACCGGGCTTGTCGGATGAGCCGCGTCGCCAAGGAGCACGACACGGCCCTTGTACCACGAGGTAAGCTGGGGACGGTCATAGAGCCCGTACTGCATGGTATTCATGTCATTTTCATAGCAGTCCTATAGATCAGTCATACCTTGACGACCTTGTCGGTGGCCTTGATGAGATCTCCGGCACCAAAAGGCCACTTGGCTTGTGGCGAATCTTTGATCTTCTGCAGAATATCATTACTTGCGGCATGCCAGGTCTCTTGATGTTCGTCTTCTCTGAGCGTGAGCCTGGAGGCTGGTTTGTGTATATCATTCAAAGGTTCAGGAGAGTCCACTCACGCCCAAGAGCTCTCTTTGTCGTTGATCGGGTAAGTGATCATGTGTGCATTATCCCCATAGAAGTTCACCATAGCGGGTGGTTTGCTAAGACTCGCGGGGGTCAAACAGACGCCGCCAGCCTACATGGCTCGTAAGAGATCTTTTCCGAAACGTGCGGTTCCCACTGACCTGTGTAAGACCGGTATAACTTGCCGTCTCCTTTCCGAAGAGACCAACCCGGACGGCACTATGCAACCCATCACAGCCGACAACGAAGCTCCCAGTGGCAGTCTTGCCGTTCGCAAAAGCCACTGTCACTGAGTGTTCGTGCTGTTCAAAGCCTGTACACTGGTGATCCCACTTGACGTCGACACCGTACTTCTCGCAAGCGGCGATGAGGCCCGCGTGCAAGGTCGTACGCCGTACACCTAGCATCGGATTGCCGTATTGCTCTGAGAATACGGAAGGAACGTCGTTTCGTCCCAGCAAACCTTCATCTTCGGGGAGCGTCGAATGCGAGATCAGGGAGTCGACCGTGCCGCCGTCGAAGCTCTTGAGTAGGCCGGGGATGAGCGAGAGTATCTTCAAGCCGTTTGGTTGAAGCCTGGATTTGCATCAAAACTCGTACGAGCGAGAGACTGGAAGATCAGGCATACAGAAGACCGACGCCAAGATCAATGAAGTGATGGAGGCGTTCATATACGACCGGCTCATAGCCCCGAAGCTTCAAATGCAGACCAAGAACGGGTCCAGCGATACCACCGCCGATGATGAGGATTCTGGTTGGAGTCATGAGTTCAGTTATAGAGGGCGGAAGGAGGCTGTCGATGTCATCGCGCGTTGCAATATTCTTATATAGCGCCATGTGGGCTCACGATGGCGGCCGTGGGTAGCGCACGTTCCAAAAACAGACCGGGAGCGGTTCCGCCGTCATTGTGACAGTTAGCGACTCATAGCATCCGTTTCTGTTCCGACTCATCGCCGAAGCTCGTCGATGCTCTAAGGAAGTCATGCAATGAACGTGTACATGATTAACGGACGGTCGACCCTCCAAGACATCGGGATAGAAGATATCACGCATATAAGCGCGAACGGTAGCGTTCGTTCACGATCATGTAATCCAAGACTGTGTACGGTTATTGCCCCTTCATGGGTCTTTTGATGGTAGACCGACCTCTGCTGCTTGTTTCAGCACAAAGGGCTTGTCATCAACGCTTGGGATGGTGCGAGTTGGCGACAACATGTGTTCGATGATGAATCGTCCATCTAACATGGCGTCGATACACTGGTCGGCTATTGTAACAAAAAATCACATACTGGGCATGTCATTCGCGTCAGACCTCCACTGAGCCTCTGTGAGGTCTCTCGCTACCCCAGTCTCCACATGACGTTTCACGAGGCGTTTTGCAGCCTCTATAGGGTCTAGCTCGATGTACCATCGCTCGTCGAGCAGAGATCCGGCATGGCACCAGGGCTCGATTGAGAGGAAAGTGTATAGCCCCTCGATGATGACGATGCGATGCTGTGGGGTGATTCGGATCGCATGAGGAGACGGGTCCTTCAACGCGTGATCGAAGGAAGGTGCAGTGATGTCTGGCATGTCGGTCGGCAGCTGGGATATCGGCGTTCGAAGCTCCTCGACGAAGGATACGTATCCCTGAGCATTGAATGTCCAATGGATACCTCGCCTATCGTGCGCCAGCTTGGGATCATCCATGGCATCCAGCTCGGCGCGCGTCAAGTGCCAACCGTCCAATCCCACTAGTATACACCTGGCCTCCGAGCCTCTCATTAAGAGGAGCTTCTCTATTTTGCGTACGAGAAGTATAGCCAAGGTTGACTTGCCCGACGCCGGTATCCCGCTTATGCCGACGAGAAGGCGGACGTCGCTGGGCGTGCTGAACTCGCGTTATGAGACGTCGACATGGCGATGATGCGCGCGTTCCCTCCTGGACTCACCGCGAGAATCGCTCCTCTACGATATATTTAGCCAGATTATCCACAGTTGCGTCCATGCTGCTGGATAGACACAAGGTATAGTTTGCACGTGGATGTTCGAAGTGAAGCCATGGGGGTTTAAGAAGAGCGCCCAAGTGGTTCGCGGGGTCGGGTAGCACCGAGCGCCTTGTCCATCAGTCTCAGCTTGTCTTGAACGGTCATCTATCCTCATCTCTCGTTCCCGATTCGTAGGCTATGGCGCTATCCACTGCTAGTAACATCCAGAGGTGAGAGCGTATGCTCATGCCGGTCCTGCTCCGGCCCGCGCGGGTAGAGTGGCTACGGATCCAGTACTCAATGCTCATGTCGTTCCAAGAGCGGATCCATCTACAATACAGAACAAGTTTTTAGCCGGTTACCAAGGCTGGTACGCATATATCTAATATACAGTCGAATGGTGTGGCTCACGCGCCTGCTAGGTTTACCTGTGCGGGAGATGGTCCACCTATCGGAAACGGTATGATTGCTCGCCTTTCTACATCGACCCGGACTGACACGCCCCTGCTTGTCAGGACATCATGGCTGGATTCACTGGATGGGCCACCCGGGCGCACATCTCAACATAGACTTCTGGCCCGACATGTCCGAGTACTCGCCGTCTGAGCTATACCCTGTACCGGGTCTTAAGTACCTAGACGGCAGTCAAGCGCATCTGTTCTCTTCGCGCAACCCTAAAACAGTACAAAGGTGAGAACGACGGACTTACCACTCTCGGCTTGAAACTCACATATAGGGACGCTAGGCACTTTCATTGGGCGGCTGAAAATGGGGTGGATGGTTTCATGTTGCAGCGCTTTGTCGGTCAATGCGACATGGCACCTGAGAGGGATAATGATGGAATCCGCCGTCTTCGAGATGAAGTTGGCGATGTTGTTCGGGACGCTGCCGAGAAAGAAGGCCGCGTCTTTGCCATAATGTACGACAGACTCTGATATCGCATCTAGTTGCATGATGTGCTGACGTCCTGATTAGGTACGATCTTGCTGGTGTTGGGCCGGACAGGATCGAAAGGATCATCAGACATGACTGGCTTCACCTTCTACGCGATAAGCGAGTCCTTGATAGCCCCAATTATCTATACGAGAAGGGCAAGCCAGTCATCACTGTCTGGGGTTGGTGAGCGTCTCTTATCTCAGTTCTCGCATGAAATGACGAGCAATAGGTTTTGGATTCGAGTTCCAGGAAGGAGCGCCCGAAATTATGCGGGCAGTCACAGATTTCATACGTAACTCGACGCCAGGGGGAGCGTACATCATCGGCGGCATGCCCGCGCCTTGGCGGGATATGGAGCCCTGGATGGCACCCGCCTACATGGAATGTTTCGACGCGATAACGCCCTGGACCGTGGGCGTATACAGCAAACGTGAAGATATCGATTGGTTTGCCGAGTGGCGCATCAAGCGTGATATTGAGTACTTGGAGACATATGAGAGGGAGACAGGCAAGGTATCTTCTTATCCTTCGTCGCATTACACTATCCTAATGAATAAAATAGCACGTCGACTATCTACCGACGATATTACCTGGGAGCTCGGTGCGTGTAGTGAACAGAGGGACCACGAAGGCATGCTTATATCTACAAGGGCTACAATACCTCTGAGGGGAAATGGGTGTTCAACGGGTCTCCTCGGGACGGCGGGAAGTATCTGTGGCGACAACTCTGGCAAGCGAGACGACATGGAGCGAAGATGTTTTATGGGGCGATGTGGGACGAATACGATGAAGCGACCAATTACCTCCCCATCGTTTCTCAACAGCATCAAGTACCCATTGATGATCAGGACAAGTTCAAGCTTCGTGCGCTGGATGTTGACGGATATGTGCTACCAAGTGACTGGTACATGCGTATCGCGGGTTACGCAGCTGAAGCATTGAAGGGTCATTACAAAATCGGCGAAGAGTTCCCGGAAGAGACCATTCGGAATTGGAAGACGACCCACCCGCGTCTAGAAACAACGTCTGGCGGCGTCACCGGCTCTGGACCAAGCTACCAGCAATGGGAAGCTGAGGCTGCTCAGAGTAATCCGGACGAGCCGCCCCCACCCCCGTACACTCTCGAAGTCGACGAGAACCAGGCTCACATCCCGACGCCTGCACCTGTGGCACCCATGAATACCCGGCCTACACCTCCAGTGACCAGCTTGCGTCCAGAAGCACCTCTTCCTCCTCGTGGAACTCGGCCCGTATCACAATACAATGCTGGGAACCTTTCTCAGAACTTCGCACAAATATCGATCGACCCACGTCCCCCTCCACCTAGCCTCGCTACGAGACCATCGCAGTCGGCGCGAATGGCCGCGCAGGCAGACTCTCGCCCTCAGTCATATTTAGGCTCAAGCACCACCACCAGTCCTGCACAGTCACCCCAATGGCCGCCGGCGGACTGGACGCAATCAACGCCCTCTAGCCATGCCATCGATACCGTCCCAAACAGTGAAATACGATCATCATACTCCCCGCCCCCTGGTCCGCCTCCCTCCCGCCCGCCACATGTAGGGTCGTCGAACTCTTCGTACTACGCTGCACCCACAGGACCCCCACCGCCTCAATCAGGAAGTAGTCCTATGACGATGCCTGGGCCTAGTTCATACTCGCCCGCCCCCCTGTCTTTGATGCCGGCTCCTGGTGTACCGATGCCTGGCGGTATGCCCCAACCTGAATTTGTCGGAGGCTTTCATCCTGATGAAGATCGGTCGGGGTACAATCCATCGTACTACGGACACTCACAGCTCCCTCGAGTGCCGCCTCGTATGCTACCTCACTGCCTGATTCCTGTGCTTGCTTGCTGAACGCTACTTCTTACAGGGCCCACCAGCGCTCACTCCCCGCCACCAAGCCACCCGCAAAGGGTATCTGCTTATCCGCCTTCGTCAGCTCCACCATTACCATCCCGACCCTCAGGATATGGCGAAAGCGGTGGGCAATCGCAATTCGGCCTTGGAAGAGGGCGTGGCGGCGGCTTAGTCGGAGGTATGCTTGATCGCATTGGAAATGATCGTCGGAAGGCGCTCGAGCAACGGGTGGACTCCGTTACCCAAGGTGAGCAGATCCCCTTGCGAACGTATCGGGCGTTTATTGACGGCCTATCGCAGCGGGCAGTAAACTCTTCGGGCGCCTCGGTGGGAGGTAGGCTGGGTATAGCAAGGGTTCATTGGTGTGTATACGTAAAATATATGCTGATTTGTGGATCATCCTATGAAATTCGTCATGAGGATTGGTGTATTATACTATGCTGAAATTCACACGCAGTTGCGGCCCCACACCCGTGACTGGGGACGGGAAAGTTCCCGTAACAACCCGGAATGAAGACCCGCTGCCCAACTTGGGGGACGCGTTCCCGCTGCAAGAGGTATAAAACGCGATACACTCCCCATGCATAGGTATCTTCTTGTCGTCTCGGTCATGGCTCAGTCTGCGCGCCGCAGCGTCTTGATCACAGGGTGGGCCTTTGCCGTGGGAAATTCGCGCCTACTCCCCTCTGACCGTGAACGTTGAGGTGCACGACGGGCGGTATCGGTCACGCTCTTGCGCGCGAGTTTCACAAGCGCGGGTTGAGGGTGTTCGCAACTACGCGTAACCCATCCACAATGCGAGATCTTGTCGACAGCCCTGACTTCGAAGCATTCGCACTGGACGTCTTGGATGAGAACAGCGTCCGGGCTGCAGTCACGCGCGTCAAGGACACAACCGGGGGCATGCTGGATATACTTATCAACAACGCGTGGGTTTCTTAGCCGACTGCGTAAGTATATGAGTCGTTTCTGATGCGAGTGGGTTTTAGCGGAGGCGCAGGTGCGCCAAACGAGCGCAGTGGTCAGCGGCTGTGCGTGCTGACGGGGAGCTCGTAAAGATGTGATCTTTCCTGCTGTAGAGACCGACATCGATGAGGCGAAGAAGTTATACGACCTCAACTTCTTTTCTGTGATACGCATGGTCAAGGCATTTACTCCGCTCTTGCTGAATGCGGGACGTGTTAGCCCCGCACACATCTTCAACATCGGAAGTGGTGCGGGAGAAATGGCCACGCCTTACGCCAGCATATACGGCTCAGCTAAGGCGGCCTTGAAGGCCTGGGGAGATTCACTTCGGGTCGAACTCGCACCGTTCAAGTGCGTACATGTGATGCCACGCGGGATAATGGCTGACGATGAGCTCAATTCAGTATCACAGTAACAACGGTACGTCCTATGTAGGCACGATCGACTAGAGGTCCTGCTCATCATAGTCGCTGATAGGTGGTGACGGGCATGATCGCCAACTCCAAAAACGTAGCAGCCGTACAGCTGTCTCTCGCAGAAACTTCTATCTACAAGCCCGTAGAGAGCGTGTTCCAAGAGATGTTTCCTAAACGTGCGTAACCTTCGTTTTCCACAGACTGTTCTCAATTATACATTCCCCAGTAAACGCGTCTCGTATGCCGGCGTCGGAGTACGCAGTAAGCGTGGTAAACGAGGCTCTAAAGTCGAACCCGCGTGCGTGGCTATATGCGGGTAAGATGTCTACCGTAGGATGGGCTGTCAAGACATTCGTGCCACTTGGGTTGGCTGTGAGTTCCGCCTCTGCCCTTCACGTCGCCCTACGACAATAAGTTGAATGATATTCGATATAGGATTATGCACTTGGAAAGACATGGGCCTTCGACAAACTGCGGGAGCAGTGGCGAAGCTCTCCGCCGCAGGCTTCCTGAGGGAGCAACCGGAGCAAGGACTCGGACATGGTACCTCGAATACTGTTGATTATAGGGAATAAAGAGTGAGCCCCTGTATACGACTGTAACCAAGGCACCAAACATGGACTCTGCATTCTTGAGAAACGAACCCTTAGTAATAGTAAGCCTGAGAAGTATATGCAGAATCCGTTGGGATTACGCGAGGATATATCGAGCTGTATAGAAGGTACAGTACAAGGCATCGGATGGGGGGCTCAGTTGTGGGATGGTGTGAGGGGTGGCATGAGTGGATGGAGGAAGAGAATGCGCAAAGAATTGTGAGCAAGCAATCGCGAAGAACCAATGGTCCCAAAGGAAAGAAACACAAGTACAACACAACAATCGTAATGACGAGAATCCAGAGAGCACGAAGAGGACAGATGATACGTAGCAGTGGTCGTAGAGAGACAGGAGACGGGAGGTGGGGTGCGCAGCGGAAGATGAGAGTTCTCTAAGGAAATGAAGTGGAACGTGAAGTCTACACCGATTCAATCAATCGACGGATGCTACCACGAGCCTGCTCGAGGGCTGAATGATTGGTGGTCAGATATGAGACGCAGCGAGGCTGTGAAACGCGTACCCAAAATATTCGCCTTCTCCTAGATGCTTCAGTGATTCTGAGCGATAATCCGCCGTGTGCGTGTACACGGTGTTGCCCCACCAACTACCCAATGTCTTCTCGCCCAGCGTTCCATGATTGGGATATTGAAGACAGAAATATACGAGCAACGTCGCCACTGCCGTGCCACAATCCAACGCGGCCGAAAGTACGTAATTGTACTAGGGGAGATATCAGCGATGGGGAAATCCGAATGCAGTACATGTACGTACCTTTGCCCACCAAGAGAAGTGCCGTTTGCGTATAACGTAATTGAAGATGAAGCCCACGACAGCCCAAGGGATGTAGTTGACAGCCGTCGCAGGTGGGCTCCAAGAGGTTCCTGCCAAGATGACCGGAACATTGATGTAGCGTACGAAACTCGCGGGCCAGCGCTTGATGATGAGCCATCCGATGAAGGGTGCGACGGCCCCAATCAAGAAGAAGAATATGAGCGCGTAGTAGATCGTCCCTTGGTTGAATTGGCGTTGCGGACCTATCGCACCCCAGACAACGCTTGCGACGTAGAAAACCTCGATCGGAGCGCAGACGAAATGATCTTTCTGGTTCTCGGTGCAGACACCGTCGATATGCGCGAACATCCACTCTTGTACACCAAGTTGAACCGTGCCCGCCACGATAGTGGCGATGACCTGGGCCCAGAAAAGTGTGCGCGGTGGAACTTTCATGTAGTGACCGAGCTTCATGTCGGAAGTGTATTGCAACGCCTGTACGATCATCTATCACCAAGTCAGTAGTCGCCACAATACAAAACCGGCAAGCATCGCACAATATAACCGTAAGTCTTGAAGATCATGAGCGCGAGCGGGCGTCCCGGCAGAGTGTAACCACCGACGAGTTCCGTAAGCACATTGAGACCAATTTGCTGATTTGTGATGGCTTGGAGCATGCCTGTCGGGACGATGTATACAAAAGCGATGAGGATAGACACGACTAGCCCCCAGATAGGCATCTGGGTCGGCCATACTTCGACCGCCACGGCGCCCACGCCAAAGAGTAAAACTGAAAAGCTGTCAGACGTCACATTGCGGGTGCAATGGGTGAGCGTACCGAAGATACTGATATACCACCACTCCGGCACCTGCTGGTATCGGGACATCAAGCGGGCGTGGACGTCCGGTTGCTCATGCAGTGAACGCCGCGCCTGGACCCATATTTGCTTGCGGAAGTAAAGCACAGCATGTACCAGAGTGGCCGTGATACTCGCAAAGCTCATAGCGTATGACATAGCAAAGGCCGTGCTGCATTCTGGCATTCAGCGATCGAGAGCGTAGACTGGCGCTAAGCACGTACGACAGAAATAGCGGACTGTACTGTTTGTACTTCTCGACGTCCAGAGTTCCCTCGGGCGAAAGGATGGCTGAAACGTTGTACACCTGGCCGCGATTGTCGAACGCCTGGCGGGACATCATTCTAGCAAACGTTTCAGTGAACTGTCCTTTGCATGGCAAGAGGGGCGCGCACGGGAGATAGGCCGACCACCACGTGTTCGTATACTGTCAAGCCAAACGTTAGTAACGGCGCCACAGGCACAACGAACGGGACACACGTAGAGTATCGGTGCAAGTAGCCCTGTAGCCAAGTCAGTCGCGCCCAGGAGACCGTGTGCATTACGAACTTACAGTAGAAGAAGACGAAACCGAAGGTCACATTGGCCTCTGCCCACCCTATCTGCGATTTAGTCCTCCGTATCACGGATCAACACCAGGACATACAGGGCGTTGCCAATCTAGATACAGGTGTCAACAATGACGTCCCGCAATCAGAGCAGGGATAGAGGTCGGCACGCACGGGCTTCCGATGAAAGCAATGTTATTCCAGTCGAATGTCAAGATTGACATCCCTGAGAGGGCTATTAGCGCTCCCGCTCTGCTGTACAACAGTGCCCGCATACCTAGGCCAGACGAGTACCCGAATAGTTGATTGACCGTCTGCGATAGGAAGGACAGCGGGTCAGCATGCGTGCTCGATTGAGCTAGATCTCGCGTCGGCACTTACAACTGCATTACGAAAAGGGGGGGGGAGGAAATTCAATCGTGAGAACCTGCGACACCAGAATGATGGACGGATGAAAGCGCACCATTGTTGGGTCGTATCCAGGTAACCTGTTGTTATGCGTCAGCACCAACCTCCGTTTGTGTATCGACGTTATACTTACCCAAGAGAAGGTCGACAAGGCAGTGAAAAGGTAGCCGGGGAGGATATCTGGTTGTGTGAAGTTAGCATGAGACTGGGCGCAAGCCTGTCAGGATGGCATCATACAGTAGAGCGCCGCAGCTGAGAACCCGTAGAAGAAAAAGCGCTCGCGGCTGATCCCCCAATAGCGGCCGTAACCCGAATAGACCTGCGAGTGCAGGGTGTTGAGGAGTGCACACGCGACGAGATTCGCAGGCCAAACTGCAAGGGGGGTCATCAGCGTGCGTTTGAGTTATCTGATGCGAAAGCGGACGCACTCATTGACGGCGGCGAGACCAGAAAGCGTTTCAAGATACCTCCAAGGGAAAAACCAATGAGTTGGGTCGACATGGTCAACATCCACTGATAGATGAAAGGCCAATCTTGGTTGTAGTACTGCCTCTGCACGGCAAAGATGGCGTTCTGAGGGAGGCGCCGTTATCAGTGGGAGGGGAAGCGCCGGGGAGTCCGGCAACTCACCGCGTATGCGCTGGCCGAGCCGACGGTGGCCATGACCTGATCGTCTCAATCAGCGAGGGCAGGGTTGGGCGTATACCGTCAGATACGGACCATGATGACGACGTGTTCTTTGACAGTGAACGGCCCCGGGTTGAGCTGCACTCCGAAAATCGTCACTGCAGGCATGAAGCGAGCCCAGGCGCGGCCCACGGGAAACGAAAGCAACTGCGCGACCAGCTTTGCACGATAGGGAGTGTCAGAAATGGAGGGCGCATGGGGGTGTGAGGAGAACGCACCGAGCCTACGGCAGTGCTTGGATATCGGAAATACATGAACTGGGAGCGCTATCTGTCAGCCTGGGATCGCGTAGGCGGGGTGGTAACGTACTTGGTTCAATCCGGGGATGAGCACTGCCCATACGAGGCCGATGGTGAATGCCCTCGCCGTGTTCACGGGCATCTCCATGTCGTCCGTGTTCGACACTGTCCAAACGGTTGGTACGACGCACACGGGGGCCGAGGAGGAGAAAGGGCGCACCTGCCGCGCGGACTTCGGGGTACGGACTCTCGTCCTCCCATTCTGCGCACAGGGCGTTATGGACCGGGCTGAGGAGCGGTGATGGCAGCACGCACCTGGCACGGTGTCGACCGAGCCGACGTCGAGATTCGGGTCGTCGAACAGGACATCCTTCTCGAGTACCTGCTGGTGAGCGTGAGAATTCTCACAGCGCACGCGAGGAGAGCGGTACGGACGACGTGATGGGCCGAATGCGGGTCCTCGGACACCTTTGCCGAGTACATTTCGAACGCAGACAGCCGTCCCTCGGGGTCGCCATGGTCTTTCGGGGGCGTCGGCGGTCGGGAGGAGGACGGGGACGGCGGGGAGGGGTACGAGTCGCGGCGGGGATAGTGATGTTCCATGCTCGCCCGTTTATTCGAGCACAGGGTAGCGCATAGAGCTCGACAGATGGCCGCACGGGACAAACGACTTATCATCCACCCGTCCTCTGTGCCTGACCACACATCCCGCTCTTTACCGACGCCCACAGGCCCGTCCGTGATACTTACCCCTGTTCGGACTCTTCTCGTCCTCACGGAACAAAGCGCCCCATTTCGGCCCTTTTCCATCTCATGCTTCGCGAGATCGCCATCGTCAGCTCATCCTTCTATCCTCCTTAAGTATGACGACGGTGGCCCCCATGCTCACTGTGGCCCGCATCGTCCACCAGGCGCTAAGCACGCCACTAGCGTATGGGACCGAGTGCATCCGTTTTGCAGCCAGCATTCAAAATCCAAAGTGACAGCATAGCCAGAAGCTCACACGCGATCTGATCCTATGCTACTGTAAGCTATCGAAAGGCACTGCGGCCGCCAGAGCGTATCCCTGCGTATCCAAACATGAGATAAGCTCAGGGGAAACGACAACCAGGCGACGTCGTCTCCTCAGGGCCGTTGGTGTAGCAATGCCACCACAGCACATAGATCACCCGATGCTCGCGCACAAATGCCCGTTATCTGGGCTCAACGGACTATCTACGACTCTACGGCTCGGCGCTCAGCCACCATCTCCTGGGCAAAGGCCGCAGCTACCCTCTGAGCCGCCGTCAATCTCGGCCGCTTGACCTGTCCGTCCTCACCCGCATCGCGCTCCTCCACTCGGCGTTTTTTCGTCGCCAGCCAATGCAAGTACTTCAAGCTGTATTGGGGTGGTGGTGCGCGGGGAACGTCTACGGGCGGTGCCGCGAACCAGAGAACAGCGTTCGACTCTGGATCCCGGTCAAAATGCTTGGCTGAAATTAAAGATACACAATCAGTACTCCGATGAGCGCAAGAGCAGAAACAGAGCTTACTCGTCGCTACTGGAAGCTTCTCCAGCGAGGCGTTCGCGCCAAGAGCGGCCTGGCCACCAGCAGCCGTGAGAACAGAGCGGTCTTCGACCTTAGGCGCAGGCGTAGCGACCTTTCGCGGTGTGGGCGCCATCTGCACTTGTAACTGTTGCTGGTGCTGTACATACGCAGCGGCTTGCTGTGCCTGGCTTGCCGCCTGGGCGCGTGTCGTGCCAGGTGCTGCACTGCCACTGGCCGCCGCACTTGTACCAGGAGGCACTGTACCCGGTACACCAACGTACAGTCCTTTGGTTGGGCCCGTGAGATCGCTGACAGCGCCCGGCCTCTTGCTTCGTTTGCGCCCAGTACCGCCGCCCTCAGTGCGCTCGCCATCCGCACGATCGACGGGATCACCAAGTCCTCCTGGTCCTCGCGCACGCCCGTGTAGAAACGGGCTATCGAAACGCCGAGGGTAGACCATGCGCTCGAAGGGATAAATCGGCATGAACTCTTGACTCTTGCGTACCTCCTCTGGCACGCAGGAGTTCCAGTTTTTGATCTTCACAAAGACGCGCTCGCGATCGTTGTATCGACTGTCGCACACGTATAGAGGCCATCCGAGAAACCAGTAAGGTGGTCGAGGACGACCACGGATGTGACGCGCGGTGAACTGTACGGCGACCTTCTCTATGATGTCCTCAAGAGGGTGATCCGCGAAATGACCTATTCGCATGGTGAGCCTCGCCGATATCATGCATGAGTACACAGTCGGGGGCTTACTCGTCTTAAAGACTTCATTCTCCCAGAATTGTCTGTGTGCGGGGTGCACCGTCTGCTCCGGACGATAGTACCAACATACAGTGATACCAGGTTCCCCCTTGCGGCCAGGCTCGTCCGATATATACGCCTTGAACACCTGCCCCATGACCGGCTTGGAAGGGTCGTCCGAGTTATATGCATGAACCCAGTCCGCAAGACGGAACGACCAGCCCTTATAATGAACCTCCTCCGCCGTTGTGCGGTCTTTCGAAGAGACACGGAACGACGTGACAGCATTCTGTCCTCCCTCCGGATTCCGAGAACCTGGACCTGCACGCAGAGATCCGAAATTACTCTGAGATACGTAAGGAGGGCCGGAGGGAGGATGAGGGCCAGTGAGGGCTTGGTAGAGGCGCTGCAAAGAGTTCATTCGCAATACAATAGGAGAGAACGGCACATCCCACCTGGAGGAGAACGACATGTCCATATTGCTCAGTGCCGATTTCCCACCAGCGACGACCCTTCTCGAAGAGGCGCATCATCTCATGATCAAAGGCCTTCGAGGATACGAAGTCTCTGTCACGAGCACGTTGCTGAGAGTAATGAGTCAATGTACGATTGAAGTGGCGATAGACCCAACCTCAATTATCTTCAAAGAGAGCGGATACTATCGCGGCATCAGCTAGAGTTACTACGCAACCCGCAGGCAAGCTTGTTAACGCACGTTGAACGACAGATATGGCATATCTGCGTTGTCTGGTATGTTTTCTAAAGCTGGGGCAAGCCTATTGCCTCTACTGTCGTCGTCAGCACTGCATTGGCGGCGACGTTGGAGAAAGTGCGTACACGGCGTCCTTGTGCCCCTTAATCGCCAGCACCACATCTACCCATTTCTCGGGTGGCGCCTCCCACGTCCAGCCCTGATCCCCCAGCCCTTGCCAACGCGGCAACCCACGCTCAAGTTGCTGTACGATCGCGACACCCTCCTCGTCGCGCGCAGTCTCATCCACACCACCTTCGGGTTCTGGCGTTCCTCCAACGTCAACATCCATATCTGGCGACGCTGCACGGAAGGGAGACGATGCGCGAGCGAATGGAAGGGGCGTAGAGGGCGCGGCGGGGATGAAAGATTGCATGGGAGTGGCGGGAGCTGCTTTGGGAGCGGGAGCGATGACCGGCAATGCGCGAGGGGCCGCAGGTGTGGACGGCCCAGCCCTCACAGAGGTGGCAGGTCTGTGCGCTGGAGCAGCAGGAGCAGCGGTGGGCTGTGGCACCGGTAATAAGGTGGGCATCGGTATGCGCGGCTTCGATGGTCCTGGAGCCCCGGGTGGCGGTGTGGAAGGAGGAGTCCTGGCGCGGCCAGTTAATTACCGCGTCACATGCCGCAATATAAGCGCCACTCACTATGGGCGTTATGAGATCGCGGGCACCGGGAAGTTATTCCATGACGCACCGGTAACTCTGACTTGCTGACCCAGAGGTCGCCCAGCTTGTCCTGAAGCTGGTTTGTAAACAGTATGACGGTCGCGAAGGGAGGGATTACCTTCAGTATCTGAGCGTCTTTCCATATTTGGCTATTGGCCTTGTTGTAATGCATGGCATTCAGGAAGATGAGTTCGAGGTCCACCCATGCTTCGAGTGCGTCGGGATATTCGTCGGCGTCGAGTTTGTCGAGCACGGTATTGATGGAGCGAGGTTGAGAGATAAGCTTGCAAATGGTTCAATATCCTCGCGCGGCCTCAACGGCGACACAACTACCTCATAATAGTCTGGCCAAGTCTCTTTGTCCACAAGCTCTTCGAACATGTCGGCGATCCGTCTTTTTCCCCGACCGGAGCCGACGGTGGTGGCGGCCAGTTCTTCGACGAGCTTTGCAATAGCGTCCTTCTCTTCGTCCTTCAGAGGCATTGGGTGCGGTAAACGATATGAAGCGCGACGCGACTCGGGCTCGTGGGCGTAGCGAAAGAGACGCGACGGGCGAACGCGACGCGTCTGTCACAGTTCCTGATCGGGCATCCATGGACCCACACTGGCATCTTTTCTGTTCATGTGCTGCAACTTCGCGGCGGCGCCTAGTTGGCGGCACTTCATATGCTGGGCGTCCCGCATCGATTGTCCTTGCCTATACGGACTTACGGGTACGCTATACGCACTCGCTCCATCTCGACGCGCGTATGACCTACTTCAGAGATCTCCCGATCGAAGCCTCGAAGCTCAAGCGCATAACACGAGCAAGGTGATGACTGTCTTGTTCTGCACCCTCACCTTCCCAGAAAGGTCTGGCTGTATGCTCTTGGACTCGCATGAAACGCGAATGCTACGATTCATTATCCGGGAAACAATGCAGCGGCGTCCTCGAGGAGGAGCTTTGTGTCAAGCATGGATGCGCGCTGTTGCTGGTTGTTCGGGGTAAGATCTGACAGCCAGGTTCGCATCCGGTCTCTATGACCTGGTCGTGTTTCGGCGGTATCAAAGCATGTACCACGCCACAAAGGCTATTCCTTCATAGATAATGCATCTTCTCGAGGCAATCTCGTACGCCAGAGGGATCGTCGAGCGCGGGATCGATGCTTGCCGGGTACGCACCGATCGGATCAGCGCGAGAAGAAAAGCCGACGACGGACGTTGACCGAACATTGAACCATGCAAAGCGACTGTAGTTACACGACGGGGCGGGTTTCGAAGGCCATCTAACGCGGAAGGGGCGCGACGTCAAAAGGGTTGGCGCTGGTCGATTATACGCGTGCCCGGGGCGTGGGGATGCCAGATGGCTTGATAACCTTAGTGGAAGAGCGTAAGGGCCTCGTGCATTCACGGCTTGCATCCTCCCCTCAGCAGGCTGCCCGACGCTCGTCTATCCGGAGATCGTAGAGGGCGTTCAGACGATAGCGTCCCGATGGCTTTGCCGCCGACCGAGATGGGGAGCACGTGGTTCTGCGCATCGTCGCCGCCGTATCTGGAAACGGCCGAGCGACGATCCTCCCAGCCACAGGTGCTAGCAGCCGCCCTGCCCTCCTTCGCACCTTCCCGCACCGCAAACGGCTTCCCTGCCACGCTAGACCAGCTCGATTTCCATCCACCGACACCCAGCGCTTTCCAGGCGCCACCGATTGTGAGCTGGACAGACCATTATTCACACGCTCACCCGCGGGATATCAACCCGCCGCCATCTCCATCTTCCTTGGCTTACCATCATCCTCTCGAGACGCTCTCCTCCACGTCCGCCATGGCCATCATCGCGTTGAACAGACCCGTTCCGACACCGCCCGTTTTCCCAGCGCCTCCTCCGGTATATACACCGGAAGACGCCCATGCCGGCCTTGAAGACGCCCAAACGCCGTCTTCGACGTCCAGCGCTGGGCGTACCCGCGAGAAGCGCCATGCCTGCTGGATGTGTCATAAAGCTTTTGACCGCCCCAGCACCCTACGCAAGGTTTGTATCGTCTCCAGGATATCGTACTCAGCGTGCTCATCGACGCCTACAGCATCTCCTTGTTCACACCGGCGAAAAGGGTACGCCTCGTACATTCTGCACCCTGTATTTCCGCATATTCACGTTCCGCCAGCCTTCGCCTGCGACAAATGCGGTCGTCGGTTTGGCGTTCTATCCAATCTCAACCGGCACCTCCGCAAGTGTTCCCCGGCCGAGGTGAACGCGTCCGATAGTGCGGCCCCCGCAGCAGAGTCGTCCCCTGGTTCTACTGCCTCTCCTGCGGCCAGTGCAGATTCCCCTACGACAGTCGCTCTTGATACTGTGCCTGTACGGGGTCGTACTTCAGCTACAATTGACGCCGCCGGTTCTGGCGGTGCCTCGACCAACCGCAAGCGTCGCACCCGCCGTGCACCGTCGCCTGAGCGCTGGGTGCCAGAGAGTCTGAGATCGTTCAATCTCACGACGGTGGACATGGGATGCTCGGTACCGCTTCCTCCGGTCTTGCCGTCGCATGGCCATGCAGGCATCGTCGAGGAGCGTGACTCGTACGACGAACTTCCCAGTGACAAGCCGTACCACCCGGACGGCTGGCGAGGACGGCTTCCCGGGCCCGGTCTGCGCGATATCATCAACTCGGGCATATCGAGCATGGGTATGGGCCGGCTCGTATTCTTCTGACCCGCCGTCCGCGCCGCAACGACACACGGCGGAACTTCTCGAAACTGAACCAGACGCGTTGGTGGCGGCAGATGCCGCGCGCGCAGTTTGCGTAATGTCCCTTTTCTCTTCTGGCTCCCTTGCTTCTTCTGCATCATATGTACGCGCTATCGTCTCGCCCCTCGTACTCGCCTGTTGTCGGACTGGACTGTTTACGACGCTTATGAGCCATGACGATACCCTGTACTTGAATTATCTAACATATGACTGCCGGACATCGAAGCTTCGCCTCCGTGTCCCGAATTACTGTACCGGCCTTTGTATATACCGTGCGCTCCCTCAATGTGCTTCTAAACCATCTGTTCGTTTATACGCATTACGAATTGTGCCAGGATCGGCGGCGCTCGCACGCATCTAGTAGGCGGCCGGCTGAACCCGTATCATCATCACGCTCGATCTTCTCTTCACATGTAAAGTTTGAGCCTGTCGCGTACACACGCGCATCATCAGACTGGATCTCCAAGCGAGGCTTCGAGAACGCTCTGTGTCTTCTGTTGCGTGAGTGGCGTCAGCGCGTTAGCTCACCTGACCGCGTAATGTTGAGCGCCTCTGGGAAGCGCCTACTTCATCAGTGCCTGGTTATGGACCAGCTGTGAGTGCCCGAAGCTGCAGCCGGTATGTAGTACACGACCCTGTCTACAGCCCATCTCTATACGACCATCCGGACGCTCCATGATCTGGGGCGGCATCGCCGTGGTACATGCCCAGTGCCGAAGGCTAACGCCACAACTCCTTTCAATTACAGACCCATTCTAACAATGGACACGACGCTCCCTTGAACGTGGCTATCAGAGTACCAAGCACGTCAATAGAGAATCGATTCCAAGAAGCAAGGCAGCAGACAACGGATGCCACGGCACGCATGCCGCATGGGGAACATGAAGTCGAAGAGAATGCCCAGAAATCGCTCAGCGTCGATAGTTCAACTAACCGGACGGGGAAAGCGGAGCTGTCGATTCGGACACCGTGAAGAGCGCAGACCTTGGTCTAGAACTCGTGAGAGCATGCACACGTCGAAGCGTAGCAGCGTGTATGAGATCATCCCAGTGAAGTGTGTAGTAGATTACATGTGATGCGGTAGCGGTACATACTAGAATGAGCGACGAGAGCATACGCGGAATGGGGAAGTTATGCAGCGGCTGCCTTGGGCTTCTTGGTTATCTTGATGCCCAACGATTTACCATCCATCTTCTTCTTCTTCGCCACGGGGGCTGATACGGACGCGACAGATGACGCTAACGAAGGAGATAGAGAGCTGGTGGCCCTCGCAGCATCCAGCTGGTCTGCCTTGCGTTTGACCGTAATCACAGCCGAGCCGCTTGTATCCGACGAGGAGCCCGGCGTGGGGACGTGCACCTTCGAGAATACCTCCCAGACCAGCTTCTCGTCCTCCTCCTCTTCCCTCTTTCGCTGCTCATCTTCTTCGCTCGGCTCCTCCTCCAATCCTATACGCGCAAGAAGCTCATCCGTGTCCCTCCCCACGCGCTCGTTTCGTGCATTACGCGCACGGATGTCTTGCAACGCGTCGAGAATGTCCATCTCCCGCTTAGAGTCAACTTGCCGGTTCTCCAACGCCTTCATGGGGTTGTTCTCCTCCTCCTCTAGCTTGGCAAGACGATCCTCCTCCTCCACAGCCTGCTCGTCTCTCCACGGTTCAAAGTTACGTGACGCTCCATGCTCTGCGGCGTAGTCCGTATTCTTCGGATCGGTCTTGAAGGTGATCTCCGCTGAGCATAACGTGCTACATGCGGAACATATGAGCTTTCACAAGGTCCTCCTTTATGTTAGCTTAAACGAGCACGCACCACTTGATGTAGAAACGGAAGATTTTGATGCCGTAGTACTCCTCGCCTTCGACTGTCTCTTTGCGGGCATTGAACTTCTTGCCTTTATAGATGTATTCGCCGCACGTGTTACATCTCCTGAACGTGCGTCAGAAAGACAGCGGAAAGACCAACGTAAGCGCGACGGACATTGAGAAAGGAGCCATGAGACGGACAACCTGCTGCGAGTTCTTCGCGCCCTTCCTCCTCGGAATGAGCGAGGGGTCGAAGTCCGGCGGGAAGTACTTGTTGAGGACTGTATATACATATCGTCAGCCAAACTCAGAACATGATGCACATTTCCCCAAACTCACCTTTACGCTCGGCCATAGTAAGCTAAAGATTAAGAATGTAGCGAGTGGTATGAGATACAGGCCGTGGTGGTCGAAGACAAAGGCGTGTGCAGCTCCGAGTCGGGCGCGGCGAGTGACCACGCATCGAGCCCGACTCTTCGACACGACCGCCAACTGCTATCGGCGTCGATTCTTCGAAGCTTAACCTCGTCGCTGCTGGCCGCCGGGATTTATCCAGTAATCATGGATTCAACCGAAATACCTACACCTGTCTCTCTCGGGGACGTCTCTTTCGAGGCATTGGTTGAAAAGCTCCTCAGGGTTCTGAATATCACGCAACGACCTCAAGGCTCCACGACGAACCAGGCCAAGCAAGAGCTTCTGAGAGCTGTATGCACCACATAGAGCCATACAATATAAAAGGCTGACGGGTGGGCGAAAGGTTGAAGATTTCCGAGACTCGTTGAGACAAGCCAAGAAAGTTGCCACGGAATTGCCTGGCGGAGAGCTACTCGTGGAAGAACAGGACGAAATCATCGTATTACTAGAGAGGATACGAAATCAGAAAAGGTCAGGCTATTGTGCTCTATGTAGTGGACCTGATAGAATGCTAAAGTTCATTGTAGACAGCAGCTTGAGGTATTCTCGCAGCGGGTGGCAACGCCGACGTCACGCTTTTTGGCCATGGACGTTGACTCAACCGCGTCCACCCCATCGTAACTGTCTATCTCAACGTCTCACCTCGTGCTAGGTGCGGTTGAAATCCGGTACAGGCCTGGTGACTGGGTACCAGTTCGGCCTGGGTCTGTCAGATAGGGGCGTCGAGGTATAAAGCATCATCTGCCCAACTCCCTGTCTTCTGTATCCTACCTCACACTACGTGCTTGGTTCATCCACCGTGCGCATCTCAGCGCCTCTTGTCGCTCGTTCTTATGCCCGCCTCTCGTTTCTACTGTGTTCTTCTTGCCGCCAACCTCATATCGGCACTCTCGACCGACGACGTTCTCTGGTCCAGCCCAGCTAGGGACTCGCTTTATCACTCTGGCGACACGCTCACTGCGGTATGGAGGCCAAGTCTGAATAAAGGAGGTGGATCTCCTTCATTCAGTATGTGTGACCAAACCGATCATTGCGGAGATGCTGTGTGGCCGGCTGTAAAGAGTTCAGGCGATGGATTCAAAGAGGCGTCCTTGTGAGTGTCGCCTTCTATCTGCCATTGCAGTCAATTTAATCACTTCACTGTAGCGTCGTCCCCAACATCACATCAGAGGCAACATATCATCTCCAAATGGAGGACGATTTTGGAAGTACATCAATCTCGCCTGAGTTCACGCTGAGTCGTGCGTCTCATCTATCCATCATGCTCGCAGATGTCCTGAAATCCCTGCAGCAGCTCTGCCCACCAAGAACCAGCCGGAACCGGAATCATCCCTTGTAGTGCCTGTGGACGAACCGGCGCAACTACCGCTCTCCGACCTCGCCTCGTCTAAGGTTATGCCTCAAGACGTGCCATCATCAGGCATGGAAGAATCAGACAAGGGCTTGAATCCATGGCTGCCCGTCCCAACTCGAGGATCACCCTCCACAATCGACGACACATCCCCTGGAATCTTTCCGACATTTGAACACCCCTGGTTCAACGGTGCCTCCGTCTTCCCGAAATTATCCGGCGATCCAGAACAACAACCGGATGAGCCTCGCGGTCATCTCAATACGCAATCTATGGACCCATCTTCACCCTCCGGTGGACCACCTGCCGTGATCGGTGCAGCTGCAATCGCGCCGCCCATGTCTCAAGTCCACTTTCCGCCTTCTTCGGATACAAGCCCTACCCCACCAGCACCTCAATCGCAACTTTCTGTTCAAACGCACACCACACCGCTGCCCGTCGCCGCCATCGCAGTACCTTTATCATTCGCAGCCGTCATCGGCATAGTTGCTTTCGCCGCGATCGCCTACAACAGGCGCAAGGTCCTGCGGAATGAAGCCAAGAGAGCCGCCGCAGTCACCGCCATCAATGGGAATATGAAGCTCTTGGAGGCTCGCAACACTTCCTTCTGGAGCCGTTCTTCCGTCTACTCATGTGGCCCTTCCACCCCCACTGGTGGTGCGGATCATGAGAAGATATCGGTCCTCGGCCGGCTGGCAGCGCGATGGGCCCCATCTGCACCTCCTCCCAACGTGCACGATGAAGACGCCACACAACAGCAAGACGACCAAGTTGGCGGCCTTTCAGCCCTACAATCTCAGAAGTTTGATGAGATTCCGCTCAGTCCCGCTATGCCACCACCGCTTCATATCCGCAACGACGCGACCGTGCACGATATGAGCAGGTTCACTACCAGCTCCATCAAGTCGGGCACCTCGATGGACAGCTCTCCAGCTGATATCAGGTCGGGAGGTCTTTTTGACTCCGTGTCGAGGGCTTTCAGTGCTCGCCATCAGTGAATCAGCTCGATACTATCATGTACACTCTCGTCGCGCCATATTATTCCTGTATACTATGACACATTATTGGTCGCTCCTGCGACACCTAAGATATATTTATGTGTCAAACGTGATCGAGAGCAGGTCGGATAGCGAAGACGACAACATAGCGCTACAACATATGGTATCCGCGTCGGTATGACGGCTGTAGCACAGAACGGAAATGCGGACGGCTTTCATACGTCGAACACGACCTCCGGCGCCCGAAAGGCCGTGTTCCCTGGCCACACGCGTACGGGTACCTCACATTCCACAAGTTCGACGCGCATCTCCTCCCATCCGACGGCTTCATCGTCGACATCGCCCCCCACGTCGCTGGCCTCATCGCGGGGGTCACTACCGTCCTCTTCGTCGCCATCGTGAAATCTACGCTCGACAGATGAGGTTGTCGGCGTGAACAGCGCCGATGCAATCCAGCTCGACCAACTTGACGTCGAATCCGTTGATGCGCGGGCCAAAGCGGCCGCTCCCGATGGTCGCCTGCACAACGGCGAGCGCAAAGGCACGTACGGTGTTCCCCACTCGCCGCTATCCATCGCGCGACGTACGCCACGAAGACTGGCGCCTCGAGGTGCAACACATACGAGCAGACAAACGCGCACGCGCCACTCGACGCCACCTGTGGCAACTGGTGACGTGTGAATCGTGAGTCCTGAACGAGCGCTGCCCCTGGGTGTATCGTCATCGAGCACAATCCGGAAAGCCGGTGCTGCGTCAGATGGGATATCGAGTGCAAATGAGCTGCGGTTCGTGCAGTCGAGCAGGGAGGCATGATGTTCGGCATGGACGCGACGCATGAGTTTTGCGTCGGAGGGACCAGTAGCAAGCTTGCCCGGTAGTGATTCATGCGATTCGAGGTAAGCGGAGAGCTGACGGTCATTGAATCAGTGAGAGAGGGTGTACGGCTGTGTATGCACGCACCTTCAGTACACGGGCCCGGCCTGACCGATCGTTGAGTTCCACGACGCCTTGGACCGTCTCTCCAAGACGCCATGCGGATTTCATGAAAGTCAGAACGCCCACTTTGACACCGTCTTTGTGCACATCGTAAGTGACACGCCGTGGTATGCGGGTCATGATCTCTACAGCTTCGCGACAACCACTCATGCCCTGGGCAGCTTCGCGATCTGGCTCGGCATCCGCCAAAGATCGCATCGGCGACAAGTCCGGTGAGAGTAGCTGCGCAGCGTATGAGCGCAGCCCTGACATCGAGCCAGCCTGTGAGAGCGGTAATGGCGCGGTACTGGGCGCTACAGTGACGGTCAACCCAATAGAAGAGAGCAAAGACAGAGAATAGACACCTTTGATGCGCGGATTCGCCTCCTTCTCAATCACTCTCGCGTTCACGGCGTTCTCAACGCGGCGCATAAGATCGAAGGGTGGTAACGTCTCCTCGACTGTATACGACTCAGTACGATAAACTTAGAGCCATAATGACGGAGGTCCATACCGGATACATGGTTATATAGCCGCACAGGCACCTTCATAACGCGACTGCTACTTCCTCCGGACAAAGCTCTACAAGCGCCGACAGTGAGCTGGTACGAAAACTGCACACCACGCCCCGTGTACGTCGGAGGTAGCCATTTTGGTAGGTCGACCGTGTAAGTCCCTACGCAGTCTTAGTGGGATACTCCTGAAAGTGACGTTGCGTCTCACAAGTCTTCGTTTCTCCCGGCTTGAGACGGATATCGACTCCAAGCATGGCGTTTGGCACCTCGAACATACTGAGAGGTGCGTTATCATCCAGTTCGTCCGTTTTTGGCAGCCCACCGACGCCTTGAACGCCCAGTCCAACGCCTTTGGATAAAGGCGGTGCGAGGTAGGATTGAGCAGTTAGGGATCGCGCCCGGATTCCGTTACGCGACATGTCATTATCGGTAGGAGAGGTCGGGGACGTAGGGGAGAGGAGCCCCCATAGTCCGCTGCTCAAGCTCGCTCGTCGACCGTGCTTGGGGCGCATGTCCGCTACTTGCGGGGACATTACGGCAATGTCCATACTCCCACCGCCCCGGACTCGTCTACGAATGCGCATTCGCCGCAAGGATTCGGCCCAGGCGTCCGTGGCCGTAGCTGGCGGGATCAATGCGAGCGTGCCGTTTAGGCTCACATACGCATAGAGGATGAGTTCACTTCCGTCGTCTGGTGGTGGGCCAACGATAGGGGAGCGTGGGAATGTAGAGGTGGCTGCTGTATGTGGCTGGTTTGGTAGGCCCCTTCCCAGAGAAGAATAGGCGCGGTTATGACCCGGTCTAGCGTTCCGTCCTTCTAGGAAGGAAGCTGTGCGGGGCGTGGTTGGCGGATCCACGTCAGTCGGTGGTCGGAGATGGTTGGATGTAAGATATTGGTAGGGCATGGGCGAAGGCATGGAGGACGGATCAGGCGAGTTTCCTGGACTGGGAAAGCGCGACGATCTGTGTGACGAGTTTGGGGACTCGGCGATTGAGTCGAGAGAGGCGTTGAAGCTGGAAGTGGATGCGGATGGCGTGGCGGAAGGCGTGGACTGCGCACTGGACGAAGGCTGGCTGCCGTCTATGGTCGAGACCTTTCGAGCGTGAGGATGAGTGGGCGGAACGGCGGTCGCTCGGGCGAGAGGCGAAGACACGCGGGGGGACTCTCTGAGTCCGCGGAGGACAGAGGTCTTGGCCCGAACGACCTCGACGGTCAGCTCGTTGACGATCCTGCCGCTGCGAATGTCCTTTCCGATGAACCCCCTTCGCCGTATTTCGCTCACATCCTCGACCTGGACCTTGGACGTCGACGCGGACGGGGGGCCCGAGAGAGAGTTCGAGGGCGTGTGTCGGATCTGGCCCATGCCGGGGCTGGTGGGAGGGTGCGCCATGGGGACCGAGCTCACAGAGTGCGTGCTCCGCTTGTGAGAGTGCCGGGCGGAGGCCAGTGAAGCAGAGTGCGAGCGGCCATGTGCCGTGTTCGGCGTCGCGAACGCGCCGTCGTACGCGGCACCGAGGCTGTTCGTGTTCGTGATCGCGACGGTCACAGTGAGCGGCTCGCCAGCGAAGAAGGCCGCTTGGGCAGGAGTTACCGATATGTGCAGAGCCGACGACCCAGTTGGCTCTCCGTTGGACATCGTGACGCTTCTGGCGATTCGAAAGCTCGTCACACGTCCCCAGTCTCGTGCATATACAGAGCAGTCGGCGCGCGAGGCCCTAGTGGTATTATAAGCGGGCCGTTGCAAGCGGAATAGATGGCGGGAGCTGGTAAAGTGGTTGAACCTAAACGCCGATGAAGTGACGTATATAGTACCTCGAACACGTTGCTAAAACACCTGCCAGTGCCAGACCAGCTTCCTCTCTACATCCATTGCGGCACCACATGTTCATCACATACAAGTACACCAACAAATACATTCTATCGCTTTTGGCTCAGGCATCCTCGGATGATTCGTCCGAGCTATTCGAGCTGAACTCATCGATTGAGCTCGACTCCGTATCCAAGCGTTGTGCTTCCTGCCACCCCCATTCGTGCCCGTCCCATTCAATCATCCCATCACCAACTTGTTCGGTCAGCTGGCGAACATATTCCGCCGCGACGTCGCACCGAAAAATCCGGATCTTCTTCAGCTTCCCAGAAGCTACCCGCTTGAGTATACCCTCGCGCAGACTGCGATCAAAACCGGGCATGTCTTCCTCTCGTTTCGTGATGCTGACCTCAGATATCCAGAGTATCCGCAGGAGAGGGAAATAGTCTGTGCTGTTCATAAAGGTTGAGAACGATAAGGATGCTCTCCGAATGAGGTCAAGCTCAATGACTTGGTTGAAGTCCAGGAAAAGATCAATCCAGTACGCAGGGGAAGAGAGATCCTCCAAGTCGCGGACCGTGAGCATCCTGCATGTTGATATCGCCGGCAGACGCAACAGGTCTCGGAATCGGCCATAGTTCGCAGAACCGTCGTCTTCACTCTGTGCGACTGTTATGCTTAGACCACCTTTGTGATAAATATCTCGTCCGATGCGGATGGTTCCCGCTTGCTCCGATGCAAGTAGTACCTGGGGATTCTGTATCCCTGCGTAGGTGAACCACGGGCCAGGAATGGAGACAGTGGCATGACCATAGACAACGTGACCGCCACGACGTGTGTCCATGAGGTCTTGTATGGTAGCAGCAATGTGCTTTACGCTGCGCACGGAGGCGCCAAGGCTGTCCCTCGAGACGATCGTAATCGACGCGTCCATATTGATGCGCACATTGTCCAGGAGCAGGCATGCATCATCCAGACAAGAGCTCCAGAGATCTAGGACGCGCATCCTCTCGAGGTCGATTCGAGGGTGCTCGATATCTATAATGACATCGGGCTTCGTTCCTATGACACAGTCGACGCGTATGATGAGGGTTTCAAGATGTGGCATGCACATGAGTGAGCTTCTCATTTCATCAAGGTCCGTCCATGCTTTCGAGCTCGACAAAGTGAGGAATGTGAGCTGAGCACGTAGGAGACAGGACCTCGTGGGCAATGCACACCCTTCCAGTGTAAGTCGGCGGAGGCGGGTAGGCACAGTCCCGCCAAGGATCGCCGCAGGTATCCTCAGAAGCTCGCGAGTCAACCCGTCGTGATCGTTCACGGCCACTATCTCCAACTCTTCGAGGTTTTGCATCGGACCTCGCCCGCAAGCTGGGAGGATATAGCTTTCGGTCTTCGCGTTTGCGATCACCACCGGGAGTTGTCCTGAGAGCGACATAGCGGCCAGTGATAGATGAAGCGTGCCGATACGAGAAAGATCGCGAAGTGCAAGTTCCGCGAGAGCTTCCGAGTGGAATGCCGCATCAAGGAAGACATCGAGGAGCGCTGGGGAGGAGCGGACAATAGCCTCCTCCGCCCATGCCAGGTTGGGAAAAGGCGAACGCGTCCAGAGCGCACGGCACTTCAGCGCAATGCCACGCCATCTCCGGCATACATGTGAGACAGATATCCAAGACGGTACTTTGCGCAGCAAAGTTAGGGTATGATGCCGCCCAGGCAGAAGAGCAAATATGGTATGCAGGAGCTCAGACGGTAGGAGTGTGGTATGATCATTAACATGCATCGATAAGCCTGGTTTGCATCCATCAGTCACATATACAATACTGGCTGCGTAGAGCGTACTCGCTCACCAGATGATGTTTCCGAGATGTTCCGCCTTCAATGTATGACGAGTCTACGGCTCGACGACTCGTTCTCAATTCACTCAGAGTTGTGAGCAGTAGGGCAAACGTCAGACTGATAATTATGCAGTCAGATTTCCCCTACGACGAGTCTCCGTTTTATTTCGAGCGTAGGAATAGCACTGACGAGATGGTGGATGTGCGCGGGAAACCTGTGGCAGGAACCCGCGCGCGATCATAACACGCGTTCGCGTTGGACTTGATCTTGCCCGCATCCACCATCCCCCTACAGACATTCCTCGTTCTCTTCATCTCCACGATTTGTCAAGTCAACAACATGGACTCCTCCATAGGAAAACTCGAACCGTTTCTCTTGATGGCCAAGTCCGCAAAAGGGGCCGCGGCCGCGAAGCTAGTGCAAGACGCCACCGCAGCTCCAGGCGTTTATGTATTCAGCGAGTTGCTGGAGCTACCATCCATTGCAGAGGTGGATCCTTCGCACTATCGCTACTCTCAATTGATGCCAACATCCGTAGCTCAAAAATAGCGAGACGCACAAGCAATTCTATAGTTTACTCGAACTCTTCGCGTATGGGACATACCCAGAGTACAAACGTGCGCATATACATAGGCACTCTTGTTGGCTGCATATCCTCACTATGTCGTGCAGAGAAGAAGGACTCACTACCTGCACTCAATGATGCACAGACAACGAAACTGAAGCATCTATCACTCGTCTCGTCCTCCATGCAGTCTAGGGTGCGTGAATTCGCGGAGCTGGCTCGCCTGATAATTGACATTCCCTCCCAGATACTTCCTTACGCACCGCTGCTCTCTTCGCTGGATCTACCCACCGTGCATGCACTCGAACAGTTGATCATCGACGCCATCTATTCGGAACTGCTCCGAGGTAAGCTGGATCAGAATCAGCAGCAATTCCAGGTCGAATACACAGTGGGTCGTGACGTTCCCAACGACGCGCTCGCGTCTCTACTCGCTTCGCTGGAGGATTGGTGTGTTTTTGCACACTTTGCAGTCGGCCTCGCTCACATCATTGCAGGTCTGCTACCACATCGTCTCTTCTGTCCACCCTTGATGCCAAGCTGAACGCGCTCTCTGCACAATCTGCTGCCGCGGCACGCGATGCAGAAGACCACGAGAACCTGTTGAACACCAGCCTCAGGGAGATCGCTGAGAAGCGTGAGAAGTCGCAGACCCAGCAGCGCGGGTCTGACCGCCCGCCACGCGGGATACTCAAGGAGAACGCCGGCTTTGGCCGGCGTGGTGGCGACGATGACATGGATGTTGACGAGTCCAGTACGTCCATAGGCGGTGGCGCTAAGGGCAAGAACCGGAAGTCCGTGTATGTTTGTTGTCCGATGTTGGGCCTTACTGACGACAGCCATCCAGAGCCTCTCAGGAGATTTCCAGCAAGTCTCGCACCAAGAGGAATCGCACATAAAAGAACGAATAGCCGTCTTCATCTCTAGCGCCCCAGCGTGGCTTTCGAACAGTCCATATTCTGCACGCCTCTCTTGCCGTGCACTCATGTATACTAGCCGGACAATTCCACATTCCACCTTGTTCCACTGCCAGAGGACTGAGCGGTCAGTATCAAAGGCTGTCATGATCAAGATGCGCCATGTACTGACGGGATCAGTTGAGACTGCGCCGACTGAGCCTCGCGGCATTTGTCCCACCAACGATTATCCCCGTCCCCCGACTAACGCTTTCCTGTTTGTTTGTATAGTACTTCGTTGTCTCTCATATCAATCCATGGATATGTCATATCAATCGAGCACCAAGTAACTGCGCGCATGGATCACGAGCAAGCATCATGTGACTGACCGAAGTAATTGGGTAGCCAGATCACCCCTGTCGTCGGTACTGACAACCGGCCGCTCTCGGGCTTCAAGATAGAACGTAGACCACTGATGCGCGCATTCGAAGGGCCACGAAGGGTGCCAGTTACATGAGATCCGGTGCCCATACTACATAAACGTCCAAGGGAGCTCAAAACCTTTGGATGGCGTGCACTCCTTCCAATGGTCTAGACCGAAGCTTTATAATAGCCTGATCATGTCTCCAAAATGTGACCTCTGTAAGGAGCCCGAGACCTGCGCCCGGATAATCCGCTAATGGCATGTGCTTCAGCCTTCAATTCCAAACGCGTCGCCATCCTTCTTGATCTCTTCTTGGTTATGTCGTGAGAGTGGGGTTCGTACTACTTGTCAGGGTTTATAGCCTCGCCCTGTTATATGTGCATATGGCCACCTCTGCTTAACAGCATCCCGACAACACCGCAATGCTTCCCATGCCGAGGCTAGTGTGGAGGTTGTGAGCTGGCTGCGAGCCTCGTGGCATTTGTCATAGCTGTCTCGTCCGCAAACGGACTTCCACCGATGATCCGGTCCAAACCCGGTGCCCCGAACAACGCGTCTGGTTTCTTGACAGTTCTTGACCACATACTTCTGCGTTGTTTCTGGCTTCACCGACTAATGCACTGCCCCAGTACAGCGCAAGGACACCGCGCATACGCGCTGATAGTGGCACGCCCGCTGAATCTCCGCTATATATATGACTCTTGACACCGCTTGCTCCCCTCAACCGCTTGTCTCCCTCTCATGTCTACTTCCTCACCAACTACTCGTGCGCGCATTCGGAGAGCTACGAAGGCCGACATTGAGGAGCTGTCTCACGTCCTAGCTCGTAGCTACGCGCGCGATCCCTTTGATAACTGGGTCAAGGGAGCCAAATTCATGCTGTCCAGCGCTAATACTAAGGACCCTCAAGAGGTCAAGGCCTTGGAACATATGCGCTACTTCCAATGGTCTCTTGCTCGCTTATTCTTGTTTTGTGGTCAGATCGATGTTGTTGTTGTACCCATCGAAGGACGGGAGAAGATTGTGGCTGTTACATGTTGGGTAGAGCCTGGCAAGACAGCAGACCCTAGCCCGCTCTCTTTACTCCGTATGCGGATTTTCAGAGTGTGGAGGGCGTGGGGGTTCAAACCGCTGAAGGTGAGTTCATTTCTACCGCTTGCACTGCGTATACTGATTGATACAAGCGAATGTTGAACGATTTCATACCGCGAACGGATAAAGTCAAGAAGGATGCCTTCCGAGCGCGCGGAAAGGAGCTGAAGGACGCGTGGTATCTTGGTATGGTTGCCACGGATCCGGACCACGAAGGCCGCGGTACGCATGCGTCTCGCCACGTACGCTGTATCGTCTCATTTTCGGCTAGGATACACATCAATGATGGTCAAGGCGCGATTCAAGAGCATCGGTTCCACGCCTATCCAACTTGAGGCCAGCAATGCGAAAGCCCGAGACATCTACGCACACTATGGTTTCCAGGCATGTTCAAGTAATCTGCGGCTCTTCTCAGAGACTTGCTAATCATTTTATATTCAGCTTGTCGAGCCGGTTCTGATGGGTGTAGGGAAGGTTGATTCAGACGGGGTGATTGCACACGGCGAGAAAGCCACTGGCGTCCCGACCTTTGTCATGATCAAGGTCTGTGCGACCTTCAAAGCGACTTCGCCCACTCGGCTAATTGTATGCAGTGGCACTGAGCATCCATTCCTACGAAACGGGCGATCGAAGTGACGGCCCTTTCCCATGATTGACTCGGTCGATCGAATGACGGGTTTTGCTTATCGTATACTGTAGTCAGTTACCTATAGATCGAATATTTAATGAATATTATCCACCCGACTTCCTGTGACTTGACTCTGGAGATACCTCGGCTGATGGTCCACATATGTCGTACAGAGCAGACCACCGACAGAGTATTTACTACTGAGGCGCCGGTGTCCCTAATTCGCCACATGATCGCGTCTAGACCGCGTCGCGGTTGAGAACCGCGAACGCGTCAAGCTGGACGGTAGTTGACAGAGAACGTTCACCATGGCACCCTTGCTTCGTTTTGCGCCATCTCCCACAGGCCCTCTACATCTAGGCGGACTAAGGACGGCTCTCATAAACCACTTATACGCAAGAAAGAGCGGAGGGAAATGGATTCTGCGCATCGAGGACACGGATGCTACGCGCACTGTCCCCGGCTCATTGGAGGGCATCAAGTCGGGACTGGCGTGGGCTGGACTGGACTACGACTATGGTGCGGCCGTTTTGCTCTTGCTCTTGCTCCTGCTCCCAACTGAAAATATCGTACAAGGCCCCGGTAGACCAGGCCCACACGGCCCTTACTTCCAAGCACGCTTCCGCTCCTCTCCTTTACCAACTACTATTCTAACGCCAGTCTAGTCAGAGCGTCTGGATCTCTACCAGCAGTACGCCAGAAAACTTCTTGAGGTGCGGCATATCTTTATGTGTACGGCACCTCCGCGTTAACATGCCCAACCAGAACGGTCACGGCTACAGATGCTTCTGCTCCCCCTCTCGACTAGCGGAAACGCGGGAACGTCTGGCGCGTTCTGGATCTAATGCATCATATGACAAGGCATGCCTCTCGCTCACGGAAGAAGAGTCTACCCGCCGCGCTCGTGCTGGCGAGAAGTTCGTGATCCGTCTCAACGTAGAGGGTCATAGTTACATCCGAGGTTATAGTCATTGAACCATTTGTTTGCAGGATTCCAATCTCCCCGAGCGACAATCCCCGGACGACGTAATCTTTGGGAAGCTTAAAGACGCACATTCGTCCTTGGCGACTGACCCCGTCCTACTCAAGTCAGATAAGTACCCGACGTACCATCTAGCTAACGTCGTAGATGACCATGAGATGGGCATCACTCATGTCATCCGGGGTGAGGTCAGCCATACATATAGTGTATCGTGTCATATGAGCTGACACCTGTTATGGGCAGGAATGGCTAGCGTCCCTCCCCATGCACCTTGATCTGTACGCGGTTCTCGGCCTCAAAGCGCCACAATTCGCGCATCTACCGCTACTACTGAATCCTGACGGCACGAAAATGTCAAAGAGACATGGAGATGTCCGCGTAGAGGATTACATCGTCAGTATCCAATACGGTCATCGATGGCATAACCTCATTCCAGCGCTAGAACCAAGGATGGGAGCCTGCAGCGATCGTGAATTGGCTTGCTTTGGCCGGTTGGGGGGTCTCACACGATCACGCTCATGCGGACATTGCTCATCGTAGCTACGACCCCTCACCCCACGCGCCCAATAGTACGGCCATATTCACACTATCGGAGTTGGTAAATGAGGTTAGTCTACTAGGATTCGTCTTTGCCTACTACTTTCTTATTTTCACAACAGTTTGATCTGACTGCGGTGACACATCGGCGCAACGTCCTTGATCCGTATAAGTTAGAGCGCTTCAATAAAACCCATCTCAGGATGCAGCCACTCTCTGAATTAGCCACGCGTGCCCGGAAGATTGTCTTAGAAGTGTTCCCAAAAAGGTACGTACTTCCTCAAACCCAGTATAAGATGCCGCCGCTCAGGGCTATACAGCCAGTATACAGAGCTACCATACCTCGAGAAGGTCGTGGAGGCACTATTACACAGACTTCCAACGTTACAGGAACTCCCAATTCAAGCCCCGTACTTCTTCACCGACCCACCCACGCCGTCCAAAACCCTCATGACCTCAGACAGCGCTGCTCACGCCCTCGAAGTCGCGGAGGCAGCGGTGAAGAGATTCTCTTGTATCGCAGATGACCATTGGGACCGCGATACCCTTGCGACAGTGCTAAAGGGCCTGTCGAGAGAAGAAAACCTAGGGAAATCGACTGTGGTCCTAACCGCGATCCGCATCGCTCTCACCGGCATGAAGGTACCCTCAACTGATTGTCGCTGCCTGACAATCGCTAATCAGAAATCAGAGTGGCCCTCCTGTTCCAGATACGATGTTTCTACTCGGTCGAGAGCGAACATTGAACATTCTGTCACGCGTGCAAGCTGCACTGCAGGATACTACAGATCACCATTCATAACGTAAAATGCTATAAAGCTATGGTATTGAGTACTCTATAATGACTGCTTGTAATGAACGAAACGAAAACAATGTGACAATGCGGTGCGAGAACTGATACAAATATTCACAATATTCGATACAATTACAGGGCGTTACATGGTCTCCCATCCGCCACTATCCACAGTACTTTCCAATCTCCGCGCGATGAGTGTCGGAATCCCATGACTTAGCCACGTCCTTCTAACCTCTTCCCACCTAGCTGGGTGCAGGAACTGCCGTCGACCACGCCTAGAGAGAGTAAGCCATAGAAGTATAGTCAATCAAACCCCACTCACCGCATGGACATATCCACCTCACCGTGCACGTCAAGATAGGGTGACTGGCCGAACGTGCCGTTGCCCGCGAAGAGATACAACAGGCTGCACTTCTTCACGAGGAAATACATTCCAATGACGCCCCCACACCTGGAGATTGCTATCAGGAACGAACCAACAGGAATATGGAGAAACATACTCGACAGCGTGCAAATTGCATTCTCCCCGATCTCCCAGGCCGCTATCATAATCTGTGCAGCAATGGCTCTGGAAGCAGACCGCAGTGCCGCAGATGAGACAGATTGCCGCCTCCGCCGGCACGGTCCCGCAGCGCTTGCACGTCAACGTCTTCTCTTGTTCGGCGAAAAGGCTGTCGAGTATAACGGGAAGGCGAGCAATGCGGTAGACAGTCGGGAGCTCAAGGGTTATACCGCAGTTACTAACTTGATTCCCTGGTGAGGGCGAATGTCCGTAATGACCACACCAACCGGACAGAATCGTCTGCAGCGTCTCTTGATTGGGTAGATCAGACAGCGGCGGTATACCGAGCAGGGTCAGAAGCCGAGAGTATTCGCATCCGCCAACGTCCCCCTGGACTGCAGGGAAGTCGGATGGCATGACGGAATGACAAAGAATGGCGGCGCGGCGAAGGAACGGTAGCGTGAAGTTGTACATGAGCTTCTCGACGCGAGCATCGCCGTAGGTGGAGAAGACGATCTCGCTGGCGTGCTCGATGATAGGCGAATGACGGACAACGGAAGTGAAGAACATGCGAAGGTCTCCAAAGAGATTCTCGTACGTGCGGGGGGTCGGACTTTGCACAGGCCACGAGCGTGACTTGTTGAGGACGTAGATAAGCCCGATGACTGTGCGCGCGAGACACGCGTAGTAGGTCAGTGTCAGCGCGTGACGCAACATCTCTGGGGCAACTGCGGCTGTTTCGACGAGGATGGTGAAGGGATCGCGCAGGAGCAAAGGGTATGACACGGGGTTCATCGATGAAAGGCTCCATTCGGGTAGAAGGCGTTTGATGATTGCTTGGCGCATGGCTTCCTTGCCCTCATCTGGCCGGTTCTTGAAAGCCATGGCAGACAGTGTAGATAGCACCGATACAAGACCTCGAATCATGCGAGCCTGCGACTCAGAGACGTTGTTGATGATGGCCGCGCCAGGCGATGGCGTTCCGCGTAAAGAGATCTCGAGGGACGCGATAGTATAGCCAACGGCGTCCTCAGGAAGGTACATTCCGGCACCGCGCTCGCCAGCCTCAGGCTCTGGCCTCGCGCGCAAGTGTCGGGATTGATTTGAGATTGAGCGAGCGATGCCCATGACGCTGTCAACCATCCTGTGCATATCTTGCTGATGCCATCGCGTGCTGTCGGTACGGGTGAAACCAATGTAGCCGGGATCTTCGGCACCCCAGAAAGCGAGCTCGCCCGTCCCACTACGCACTAGTAAAGACTCGAGTAGAGGATCGGCCTTGGACTTTAGGATGCTGATTCCCGCCGCACGCGTCCAGTCACTGAAAGGTAGCGTGTTGAGCTCAAGGTCTGGCGGGCGCACCAAGGGAAGGATGACGTTCCCCAAGCTTTTGCATAGTGGGCAGATGAACTCCTTCCGCTGAATGTTTTCCGGGTGATTACGTGTGGGTTGTGTACGATGCCGCACGCGAATGGACTGCTGGTAGACGCTGAAACAGTCTAGGTGCATGTAGTGACTGCATATGGAGCTGTGTAGGCCGAACTGGGTGTGGCCAGCCGGATGCGCCTCGAACGAGGTCGGCGGCTTGTCCTCCATTTCATCCGGGCGCGGCGGGAACGAGTGCGATGCCGAGGAGGGATCGCTTCTATCGAACGAATACGGAGCCTGGAGAACCTCGTTCACGACTGCGGTGCCATGATCGGGATATCTGCGAATGAAGCGGCTGGGCTGCACAAGACCTAGTGCTCCAAAAGGCTTACTGCCATTCAGCTCTTCCTGGCACACGATGCAAGTCCCGAAGGATGCTGGCGTATCGGTATCATCCATATTGTCGTCATCGTCGTCGCCCTCCTCAAAGTTCATCGAGAAGCTGGCTTGCTGAGCCTTCATCTGAGCGAGAATTTGCTGCTGCCGAGCGCGCGCTGCCTGCTTTTTGCTGTCCTCTGCGTCTGGACTCTCCTCAACCACCCGCCTACGTCGTGCCACGTCGTCTGGAACGTACGCAGCAAGCGTTCTTAGGACCCAATCACAGCGCGTACGGTAACCTTTGTAGACTTCGTGGTGCTCGAGAACACACAGCAACTCGATGACATTCTTGTCGCCCTCATATGCCTTCGTGGACGCAAGACGACTGGCCACATCTGGGCGCTCGACGAGGGCGAGCATGATAAGATGTATAGCCTGATCGAGGATGGCTTCTCCCGACGGTGGCGAGGTCCCAGACTCATCGGTAAGAGCGAAGATGTTGTAGATGGAATAGAAGATGATCTGCATGAGTACCTCGGACTCAAATGCTGAGGGTAACGACAGGAACGGGCCGCGAGTGATATGGAGCCGACGCGGGACGACAACATGGTCCGAATCGCCGAGCTTTTTGTAGTGGCTGCGTAATACGCCTTCGACCTCCTCACGTTTATTGCGCGAGTAATGGTAGAAGAACGGGTTGACCTCGTCGTACATCTCTGCTTTCAGCTCGTACGTTCCCGTATCCGCCGTGGATTCGGGTGGGCGGAAGTGGGCGACCTGCCTGAGTACGCGTTCGAAGCAGGGGTCGTCTACGAGACGCTCAGCGACTCGCTTAACGAGATCCGTGAATGTACAAGGACCGATGGCCAGAGCATGTACGATTTCCCGCCGTACAGCCAAGTCGATGGGGAGTCGTACCGCGTTGCCATACTCGCTGAGAATAGTGATGATGATGTATAGCATCTCCTCGACCATTCCAGGCAGCTGGGAGCCCTCGTACGCGGGATGCGCAGTACTCCCAGAAAAGAACTCGACGAGCTGGAAGCGGTCAAGAATACTGACGAGGACGAGGTCGGGGTCGAGGATGATCAAAGCCATTTGAATGACGTAGATGTCCTGATCGTAGCAAAGCTCGCGGAGCATGAAGTCGCGATAGTGCAGGAGCTGACCACGTATCGCAAAACCGTTCCGTACCCAGAGGCCGGTACGGATCTGCGCGACCATTGTGAGAACTGTAGCCAAACAGTCAGTATAGGGCAATGAATGACTCAAAGTGAAGGAGCATACCGCGCAATGGGAAATCAATGATCGTGAGCATCGCTCGCTCACTGGCGTTGGCTAATAAGATGTCCTTCACGCTATGAAGGCCCAAGGCATGCAACGATTCCTCACTGAGCAGGTCAATGTGCTTGAACATCTCCGCCAGAAGCCACTGCAGCGAATGGTGAAAGCTGACCCAGCCTTCGAGGACATTGAAGTTCACGGTAGTGTGGACCCTCTCGCCAAAGGCGACCTGGTGGAACGAGACCTCCTCGTATTTGGACTTGTCCAAGCGGTCCTCCGTGAGAGTACATGTAATGAGGATGTAATGCTCGATCGTCGAGATGGCGCGTGCAAGTTCAGCAGGCGTTGCGAGAGAGAAGGCCTCGCCGTAAACCTTGATGACGCGTGAGAGCGACAACGTGACGTTGAATACAGCAATCCAGCCATCCGTCTCGAACTCTACATGAGTGTCAATGGCACGCTTGTTGGGGCTGATTCCCATAAAGAGCTGACAGGTTTGCGCGAAGAGGGTGATGAATCTGTGGTCATGAGCTATAAGGTGCTGGACCGGTTCCCTGTGACAGAGATATCGCAAGTCGCTGAATACGGGCATGAAGCGCTTCGATTTGAAAGGGTCTGCCTCGACGTCGATGACAGCGGACGGCTTTGGAGGAAAGAGAATGCGCTTGTCGTGTATCTGATTCGTGAAGAAAGCAGAAATCATGGATAGGACGCGGCTGATCATGTCGTAGTGTTGGACGACGTGCAATGCGGCGGTGGGGTTCGTGAACAATTGCAATGCGAAGTACTTGATGGAGGTGTCAGCCTCTCGATCGACGAGTAGGTACGAGTCTATGATGCGAGGATATACTGAAGCAAAGTGCGAAGCTATTTCGTATCGGTTGCGTCAATACTGGCCAACCAACACGAGAAGCAACGCGATACTCACCCATCGTTAGCTTATGTTGGCGAGTTAAACCGATAATGGCACTGTAAGTCTCCTTTATGCAGACCCGAGGACGGCGCCATAGCTTGTGGTGATACAGAAAGAGCCAGTCGACACGAGCCGCGTCTACAAGCTCTTTCTGCAACGTAGAGACCTCAGGCAGGATGGTCGAGGGGCTCAAACGCCGTCGCGGCATAAATATCTCTTCGGCCACGATCTCCCTAAGGATGACAGCGTCCTGTCCGAGCCGACTCCGGGTCAGATCGAGCAACCACTCGATGATGATTGTGACAGCCTGTTCGCGGAATGTATCGTAAGCCCTGCGCACGGTCACTCCCAACTCGATCTTTGCTATGCGATTCGCAACGTCGAGTAGTCGTTGAACGTTCGGGCCCATCTCTACAACCTCGCGGCCAACCTCGTCCACCGTCTCGACCAAAGCGCGAGCATCCTCCCGGGGCCGTTTGAGGACATCAACGAACAGCTCTTCCGTCTCCGTGAACGAGTGTTTGTCGTCGTTCCAAACGACTACGCAATACTGCTCCTTCTGCATAGGGTCCCCCGTGGGTTGTAATCGAAGATCGGCTTCGCTTGGTGGTACAGAAGTATCGTCAGGAGAGTAGTCGAGGGTCTCAAGCATGAAGTCTAGTGCGTAGGCTACCGTCTTCGACATGGTCTCACGGAGCTCGGGAGGGATGGGAGCGCGATTCGGGTAGCCTTCAACTGGTGGGATCTCGCGTCCAAACAAGACATTCCGTCGGGGTTGTGAGGGCGTTGGGGGAGTAGAGTCGCCCAGAACAGCATGATTGGGACATGCGCTGTCCGCTTTCCACGCCTCGGGATCCCCGCAGTCGCAGGCGCCGCCGGCCTGTTGGGCGATGAAGAACCCGACATTGTGCCCGGTGTGATCTGTAGAGTGAAAGCACCGAGAGCATACGACGCAGGAGTCGTCCAGCGCGCAGTCCCTAGAGATGGCTGTGTCAGATTCTAGAGCATGGACGGCTTGGCACGCGACTGAAGGAAAGGGTCCATTGTGGATCCGCGATGGTTCATAGTGCCTTAGTCGAGGAACTCAATACTCACTTGCATCGGTAACAGCACTCTCCCTTCTTGAAGATCCGATTGCAGGACCTCCCCGGCATAGTCATCAGGTCATCGCCGCCCGCGCCGTTGAAGCGCTGAGCGATCTGGATCTCGCTGAGCATCTTGCCCGCTGGAAGGCTGGACATGGAGTTGGGCAGAAACAGATGCGAGAACGGTCCCCAGAATGCCTCATATAACTCTGCCAAAATCTCCGCCCGCACGTTGGGTGTGAACTGGTACTTGCGTGTGCCGGGCATGGTTTCTAGCGCCGAACGCAGGCGATTATCGGACGCACGCTCGCGTGGAGATGATGAGCCGAGGCCCTTGAATGGTAGAAATGAGGATAGCCCGGACATCGAGAAGATGGCGGTCAAAGGCAAGCGGGACGCTCAAGTCAGTGCGCACAGTCGGCCGAGTGCGCGCATGCGCCGAGTTTCTCAACTCTGCAATCGCCATCATCACTCTGATTCACGCGTCATGGCTAACGCGCCCTCAACATCACTCTCGGTTCTTGAGTCTCTAGCGGATCCTGCACCTAGATTAATAGATGCTGCCGTAATGGATTACTTTTTGATGGAGGCCGTGGAGACCCTCAAGCACTCCTCGGCTGTCGCTGGCGCCCGCGTCAAGAAAGCGGAGGACGAGATGATCAACGCTGGCTTGCTTCCCCCTCCGCCGCCACCGCCGCCACACTTGAAGAAAGGAAACTTGCGGGATTCTGTCGTTAGTAACGCTACAAATAAAACTCATGTAGATGAAGACGAAGAAGACTTGCGAGCGCGTCTGGAAGCTATCGGCCTCCATGTAGGGACAAGCATCACAGAAAGGTAAGAGATCGCAGTGTCTTTGTTCTCGTTCCTTCCGTCTAAACTTGTTCCTAGGCTTTGTCACGACCGTCCGTTATTCTCAGATACGTTGGACAACATCAAATTTATATGCAAAGACTTGTGGGTAGCATGCTGGGACAAGCAGGTGGACAACCTCCGGACGAATCACAGGGTAAGTTCGCCCACATTGCGACGAAGGTATCTTACTGAAAAATCGCGTAGGGCGTCTACGTTCTTCAAGACAATAGCTTCAAACCTGTTTCGCATATATCCTCCTGGGAGAGTAGGGCAGATGCGACTAGGAGAGCCAGGACGGTGAGCCCAGCCGATATTTCGACACGGCCCGGATGGACTGACCGCGCCGGATGTCCAGTACGTGGCTTTCCCTGCCGGTATAATCCGAGGGGCGCTATTGCGCTTGGGCCTCCAGGGTACCGTCGTTCCGGAGCTTAACCTACCACAATGTGAACCTACTGGTTGCGAATCGTCGGAATGTAGATTGAACTGTCGTTGCAGGTACCTTTCAGCTCAAGTTACCGAAGGGGACATAACACCATATGCATTTCGGGTATATCTTTGTACGACAATATCCTATGTTCGGTGCCTAGCGCAACTATGTTATCCTTGGCAAGTGGTCGATCGCTGTGAGTACAAGCGGAGGCGACGGCTTGCTGAGCCCGACGCGATCCTGCGAGCACGCCCCACGCGCGTCTGAATAATACGGCTAAGCGAGGCATATAAGCAGCACTGGGACAGCGGCGACTATGTATGAATAAAGACGATATTTATTAAGCTATGACCAAGCACCAGCCATACAACGCAGTCATTAATATGAGACTTCCATCAAAGAAAGCCGCCACCGCTTCCTGCACCAAATCTTGAGGACAAGTCCCTTGCGTCGTTAATAAGCTTCCTGCGGTCCTTCTCGTCCATGAGTCGCCCACCGGTAGCCATATCACGGGAGTGGTCCCATATCCCTGAAGGTTCATCGTCAGGACTCTTTTTCTTACGAGACTCTGCCAGCTCATGTGCGTCCACGAGTGAAGGCCCGCGATGTTGTTTCTGTGAAGTCTATGTGAGCACCATTATGCAATAGTGTTGAAAGTCAATGTACCGTATAATCCTCGACCTGTCGCGCCAGTTCCGCCTCTCGTCTCCTTCGTTTCCGCGCTTCTACTGCATTGTCACCATCTTCGACATCATCAGCATTCTCCACCCGCCGTCTCTTGCCCATAACCTCATCGGCCAGGCGTTGTTGACGTTCGGCTGGCGTCTCGGTCCACAACGTGTTATCGACCTTCTTTGGCGGTGCAGTCGAGCGGGAGAACTGGCGGGCCTTCCTCATCTTGGTGGGGTCCAAATCTATAGGCATGAGGTGAGGTCGAGTCGACATGTGTAGGACGAATGCCATACTGTTCAATAAGTCGGACTGGGATGGTGGAGCAAGCATCCATTCGTCGCGCTTTAAGGCCTTGGGTTTCGCCGCTTCCTGAGCAGGTGCATGAGTATGCCGCACTGAACGGACCCAATACCAGCTAAGAATAGCAAGACAACGGTGCGGATGGTAGTAACGTACCTCTATGGCCTTCTTCCTCCGCTCTTCTCTCTCCTGGAATTCTTTTACAGCATCGCGTTCACCATATACATGGCCTGCCGGTAAGGGCGCTGGTCCCACATCATCGTCGGAATCATCGTTCGCGTACGAAGTAGGCCCCAGTGCGGGGCCGAGCACGCGACGGGCGGGAGCAACAGGACGAGAAGCCGCAAGATCAGGCGGAAGGGCGGGCGCATAGTCATCCTCTTCGTCCTCTTCGGCGTCTTCAACGGGTACAGCCGGGCGAGATGGCCTAGCAGTAGCCGCAAGTAGCCGAGGCCTAACGGATGGAGAGATATGAGGCCCGATTGTCGCAACTATTTGTGGATCCGTGGACGGTCCAGGTTCAGGTGAGCCGGAACGTGACCTATGGGATTGCTGCAGATGTGCGGGCAAACTGGGACCAATTGATGCCATGGTGGTCGAAGACTGGGAGTCGAACTCTTCCCCAGAGCCCATATGCACTCAACGCGCCACTCGATTTCGCACATCGGTCACACGCTGGCTGTACGCTCGCGTCTTCTTGTCCACCAGCGTAGCGACGGATGGGGCGCCGCCCAGTCGTGATACCTTGATTTTGCAGGATGATGCATGATGCCGTAAAGAACATTCTTGAATGAATGACTCGAGGGACGGCTCCGTACTTCTAGATTATCGTGTGGCGAACGGCTTGCCACCGCCCACCATCTTCAGCAGTCTTCCAACTGAGCGACTTCACTCTAGCTCGGCTTCGTGTGCAATGTCTGCGTACGACTTCACCTCCGTTCCTATTGTGGGTATTGGAGCAGCCGCTCTCGAGGCGCTGGACGCGAAGCAGGTTACGTTCCTACGCGCTTTGCCCAAGGCTGAGTTGCATGCACACTTGAACGGCTGCATACCTCTAGCTGTTCTTCAAGAGCTAGCCCACGATTATGCTTCGGCAGACACGCCAGGGAGCGTCGCCGCGGGGATCACGCGACTGCAGGAAGGCGTCGTACTCGACAAGATCTCTGACTTCTTCGGACTGTTTCCTGCAATATATGCGCTGACTGCGACGCGGGACTCGCTCGCGCGGGCTACGCGTGGAGTCCTCACTCACTTCTTGGACGGGGCTCTGCCGCAGGCGGCGTATCTTGAACTTCGGACCACGCCTAAGACCACGGAACATATGGACAAGCGGGGCTATCTTGAGACTGTATTGGATGAGGTTGAAAAATACTCGTGTGATACGGTTGCTCTCATTGTGAGCTTGGATCGTCGCATGGACGAGGAGACTGCCCGTGAAGTAGTACAACTCGCTGCCCTACTGAAACAAGAAGGACGACGTATAGTCGGGGTGGATCTTTGTGGCGACCCTCACGTAGGCTGCAACGATTCCTTGATCATTGGATACTAAGATCCTTGCAGGCTGGCGACATGACGATTCTGCAAAAGTATTTCAGGGCAGCGAAGGATGCTGGTTTGGGTGTGACATTACATATCGCAGAGGTAGCCAAGATGTATAGTAATCCTTGTGCTTTCCAGCTGACCTCCCTTTGCAGACGCCCGAGAACAGTGAAGAAGACACGCATCAGTTGCTGGCCTGTGAGCCTCAACGCATTGGCCATGCCACTTTCTTGAACGAGACAGCGCGTCGTGTGGTCTGCGAGCGAAACATCTGTGTCGAGATTTGCCTGACTTCGAATGTCCTGTGCGCGTGCAAATATAGCGTTAGCGAAAGCACAGCTAATACCACAGTGCAGGTGCAAGACCGTTCCGACGTTACAAGATCACCACCTACGTCACTACCTGCAAGAGAATCATCCCGTAGCAATATGCGTACGTCCTATCTATCTATGATGCCACTGCCGGGGAGTGATTCACGCTTGGACAGACCGATGACACCCTTCCATTCCGCAACTCCCTGCTCGGGGAGTATGCGTTATTGTTGGCGCCGAAACCCTTCGGTTTGGGGCTGAGTGAAGACGAAGTTGCGCGCATCGCGCTGATGGGTATGGATAGTCGCTTCGCACGTACCATAGATCGTCTCATCTGAGAGAAAAAATCACGTGTGGTGCAGCGGTCCGTGCGCGCCTCCGTTCGGTATCATCTGGAGCGTTGGCTTTTGGGCTCTCTATCTCTTGTGCTCGGGCATGTACTGTCGCCAGTGAGGTCTTTACCGAGGCACAGTCTTTTGCTGATTGCAAATTACACATCCGAACACGTCTGTTGGCTCCGGCCTTCAGCAATTTTTGGCAAATCTCACGTCCTATCACTAGGATAGCCTCGCTTGGCTGGAGGAGTGCGGCGGATCAGTAGTCCATAATTACACCTGGGCTTGAAGCAATGTATATGCGTTCTATGATCTACTTGACTACTCGTAGCAATGTTCATACAGTGATAGCCTCGTGTGTTGTTCTCAACATGGAGCAAGGGAAAAAATGACGGTATTAGTATGCCTTCGGGTGTATCGATATCCGCCACTTGTCGCTTCTGCGTTACAGTAGGGACCACCGCCTCGAGCTGATAATCGAGCACCATCTCAATGGAACCGCAAGTTCACTCGAGTGGTGGCGGCGGATACTCCCTATTAATATTGTTGTCAGAGTCTTACCTCTGACCGTCGCTGCGGCGTCAATGCCATGTTTAGTCCCTGACCTCAATTGCGGATCAATGATCCAATGACAGCGCCCGACGTCACCGGTCCAGGTCTTCGAGTCTGCATGTCCTTCTACATACCTTTTCTCTTGTACACTTCGAGACAGATAACCGAGACACTGCCCGTAGTGCATAATGACGTTTTCGATCGTTCCGACAGCGGCAGCCGGATATATAGTTTCTGCTTTAGCTCCCCAGCAGTAGTACACTTCGGAGGTGTGATAGTCACCGGGATCAAACATCAGTTCCTCGAATGTTGATAATGCGAATCTATTGGCGGTGCTCGTGTCCGTGGTGCCACGTACACCGCATACAGAAGATACACGACATGGTCCCGCGATTCATGGGTGGTTCGAGTCGTTGTCCGGTCCCTCTCCGGGCCTCGTTGACATGATCACGGGCATAGAACAAGGTCACTCGAGAGTGCATATGGCTTTATCTCGAGTTCAGGTCATTGCAAAGCTGCACCATGCTATCTGAGATCTGATTTTTTTGTACTGCTATGGCGATCCTTGGCCTTTTCTCAATGCTTCGGAGGCCACGATGCAATGCATGGTCAAGGCACCCGTTGGACTCCCGTTGCTCGCCGTCGCCATCGTAGCCGGGCGCGTATCTTCTGACCTATCCAAGGACCGCCGGCATGGTCGCAATTGCCGAGAACCTATCTAAAGCACGTAAGCATAGACTGACGTTGCATCTTCCTCCGGTCCTTCCGGCCCAATGTCATGTTGACCTGGAGCAAACACTGACCCGGCCAACCCATGATGCATGAAGCTGTTGGCCCTCTTCTAGTGCGCTTGCGAAGCTGACGGGAACATGGGAGCTGTAGCGCGGATAGGCTGCTGCGACGCAACCAACAGCACGCGCCCAGTACAAGCGCACTTTTATCTGCGGAGTTCACGCTAGTGTACTCGCAGTTGGCTGATAAGGTCGTTAGTGACGCTAACTTGAATTAGCGCGTCTTGCGGGCGAATGAATCATCAGCAAAGCTTACAACTGATCAGTATGGCAGAACCGCTGTCCTGGCCTATGATGTTGCGTGTTGAAGGGTGCTTATAGCTGGGCATGTTGACAGGCCAGCTATAAAACGCTTGCCCTCAAGCGCGCTCACACACCCGCCTTTCCGCATCTCGTTTTGCGTGTACCTTTCCCAGCGTTCGTCATCCCGACTCTCTCAGCGGGTCGTCCACATGTTTATTTCGAGACTGACATGTATTATGCATCCGAAACAATTAGGACCGTATCCGAGAGTGAACGAACAGGTGAAAAACATGGTACACGCTGACAGAACCGGGCTGAGCGGAAAAGGTATGCAGGTGCGACGTACGAGTGCGTGGGCGCATGCGGAGTAGTAGGCAGAATGGGGAACCACGAGCGGCTATTTGGACGGGACTCGGGCCTACCACGGCGATTGTGGCGGTGCCTTGACGGGCGGGGTAAGAGTTGTCCAAAACCGGTGGACCAAGAGGGGGAGCGAGAGCATGAATGGTATAGGGGACGAGCTCGAGAGCGAAGCGAGTGACAGAGCGTAAGTGCGAAGGAAGGCGCAATGCCAGCAATAAGGATAGATGCAAGAAGAGCCAGTGAGCGAGCGGGTGCGAGCATGATGGTTTTGACCGGGGAGTATTTGTCCGGAACATGAGAAGAACGGCGAAGGAACCCATGCAAGAAATCCGGGAGCGGAACCGAGGTCGGAGGGCATGTTCACAACATGATTTCGCGTATCTTCGAAAGAGAAGGGCGTCAGTACTTCAGTTCTTGTTTTCCGAATTAGGAACCCCTTGTAACCGATCTAACGAGCGAGCACGCGCCACGCCGAGATCGGTCTTACGGTACAATGACCACTCACGTTTTTGCTGATTATTGAGCTGCGGACCCATGTGGGAAGCGCGTGTGCGACGTTCAGGCCGGGCGATTAACGAGTTGAGGTTGGTCGAATGAAGATGTTAGAAGGACATGACAACATAGCGATAAGTCAACGATGAACACTCAGAGAATCCAGAACGAAAGAAGAGGGGATGGGAGGAGGAGGTATCACGATAAGCGCAATGTACAAAATATATCCAGGTATGCCACAAACCACGCGCCGGAAGAAGAATAAAAACGATCACTCAGATCAACGCCGCGACCTCGAGATTGCGGCGAAGCACAATGCTGAATGACGAAAGGGCGAGTGACAGATCATTAAGCGTGTGTCACTTAACGGAGAGGCAAAGAGGAAGGGTGGGGTGGGGTGGGGTCGAAGGAAAGGGACTCACTCTGTGAGAGTTGATCAGCGACGAGTAGAATGCCAACAGTGTTACTGAGAAGCGCACCTTCAACAGCAGCCATGACCACGCGTAAAAGCGCGGTATCCGTCGCAGTAGTCGTGCTGTAGCAGTTCGCGTCAGCGACCCACAAGGAGTAGTCATCACACACTGTATGTATATTTCACGCTCCTTCGACCGACCAGCCTTTTGAGCAAGCCGTGCGAAACGTTTCTTGAAGTAGTCGCGACCGGCAGCAGCGTCCCCGGCATCGCCGTCGTAATCCTATGAGAGCGTCAATCAGCATCACATGTCGGAGCATTGTATAGAGCGGCGATGCCAACGCACTGGGAAAAAATTCTTGATGTCGGAGTGTTTGACCTTGTTCTCGAAGAGGTCATTCTTATTCAAGAAGAGAATCTACGCGCAATAGGTGAGCGACAGGGGGCCTACCCATAGTCGAGAGAAGGCGTACGATGGAAGTTTGCTTGAACCATTGTGAATGGCAGATAGAATCCCAGATCGTCATCGCGTCTTGCATTTGGTTCTGCCGTGCTAATTGAGAAGCGCTCGCGGAGTTATGTCGTGTAAACTTACCGCGTCTTTGTCTTCGACAAGGCATTGATCGTAACCGCTCAAAGAGACCAAGAACAAGATACTCGTTACATCCTGGAAACAGTGAATCCACTTTCGTCGCTCGCTCTTCTGCCCGCCGACGTCAACCATGAGCATCTCGTGGTCGCGGAGTTGGAATAGTGTTTCCGTGATGCCGATCGTTCTTGCGCGACAGTGGACGATGTCCTGTTCCGTCGGGACGTACGCGGGATCGAACAGGCGGTCAATGGCGCCAAAGAAGTAGGTCAGGCTGTGAACGGAACTGTTAATCATGGTCCGAGATGATGCGTATACTGACGCACTTCTCTGGCAAGGCGGCCTCGTTACCGCGCTCCCAAGCCTTCTGAACGCCAGAGTCTGTCCATAAGGACTGGAGAGGGTCAAAGTATTCCATGGGGAAGGGCTCGCCATCACGGAGGTCGACGGCGTTCTCGATCAACTCGACCAGATGCGCATTATCTGAAGAAACCTCGAGACCCATATCATCCATCGACTCGATCACATACTTCATCCCATGCGTCAAGTTATTGAAGATTAATTGGCGATAGGACTCGACTTCCTCGGGCTTGAAGGGAACGCGGTGGATCAGGCGCATTTGCTTCCGTCGCCACATGAGTCAGTGTGGTCTCACACTCGGCAGCTTCGCTTTGTTATGCGCACCTTCAATATCGTTGACTTGCCCGAATCCCCGGACCCAAGGAGGAGGACCTGGGTGCGGCGGTCAGCGCTTGGAATGTGTTGGCTGTGCGTCACGACGACGACGGACCTTGACCTGCGAGCCGAGCTTGATCTTGGCCTGTAAACAAGTAAAGGGGCGTCAACAGAATGCGCTTTTCGGGCGTGATGGGTTGGAGAAGACAAGCAGGACGTACCTCTTTGAGCTGTTTCTCCGCCTCCCTGTGCAAGCGCTTGTCCTCCTCGCTCACGTTCGCGTCCATGGCGGTCCCTTGAGACATACAGATGCCCATCTTGCTTGCGGGCGTGCGGCGGATATGGCAACAGGGAGAGGTAAAGATATGGTAGGTGCGCGGGAAGCGAAAGTGGGGCGAAGACTGACAGGAGGAGGCCGTGAGCGTGAGAGCAATGATACTGGAGGCCGTTGGGACGTACAGGCTGGCTCTCCGGTAGCGGCGGGAAAGGGGAAGGGGAGAAAGAAGGAGAAGATGGCGGTAGGAGGAGGGTTGCTCGTGAGCGCAGGAGCACAAGTCGCCGACGCCGTGATCACTTGGATTTCATGTTCAGACGCCCACGCCCGCGCTATCTCGCACGTACCCGCTCGGCCTTTCATTTCCCCTCCGCGCACGCCCCTGACGGACACAGCACTCTCCCTTTTCTTTTCGAACAAGATACGCCCACTTCTCGCCTCCTGGTCCCTCAACATCTCTCAGAGGTCCGTGAGTATGCAAGTGTCACCGACTCGCGTGTAAACGATCATTCATTTGCCGTCGCGACCAAGAGCAATCCCGGTCGCCGCCCGCAATCCCGACACGCCGTCCCGACGTGCCCACTGCGGGCATACACAGGCTCAATTACTACATGCTCGTACTTGACGCTCGCTCGACTACAGGTACAGTACGAGACCTTAGGGTCCGACATGGAGCGCGCTTTCAGAACTCGAAACAAGAGTTCGGCAGACGTCAGCACTCGACAGCCAAATTTCCGATTGACTTCGGTCCGAACCCCAGCACGAGGCGTTGCCATCTGTTCCCCAATTTCATTACCGTAAGACGATCGGATATCCTCTCACAAAAGTATGAGAAGCTCGTGCGACAAGACTAGAAGTCGCAAAGTCATTAGGCGTGGGGACGGACTCAGTTTGAGATGGTGGATCAGAAGGAGGGAGGGCAGCGAGAGCCGAGGAGCACGGAAAGGACCGAGATCTTCTCCCACGCATTTGACGCCAGGGCCAGCCAACTTTCGCCACTGGCACTTGCTGCTCTCATACTCTCATACTCTCCCGGATGGGTAAACACGCGCGCAAGAGGCAGCGCACGGACGATGTCGCACCCCCGCTCGGCTCAGAACTCGGGCTCGCCGACGAGGCCGGTAAAGACGACGAGGAGCGCCGGCTCGAGAGTCTGCTGTTCGGCAAGCCTTACATCCCTTGCGGAGAGGCGAAATCCGCGTTCAGCCAGGAGGAAGACGGCGTTGTGGGAGCAGAACTGGAGGCTATGCTGGACGCAGATGTACGCTCCCCAATCTCCGCACGCTCGACGTACTCGACTGACCCTCCTCCAGCTTTTCTTTCTCGACCACGGCGCCCCGGCTGCTGTGCCGACAGACGACCGGGCCGGGTCTGACGCCGAGAATGCTCTACCGACACCCGCACCTTCCGAACCTCCACAGCCTGCGCCTCTAGCCAAGCCCCGAAGGAAGGCTCCTGCGTGGGAGGATCCGGATGACGGTGCACTACAAGTCGATCTGGCAGCGACGACACGTTTGCGCAAATTGCGTGATGCGCCCTCTGAGGATGCTGTGGCCGGAAGGGAATACGAGCGTCGGTTGCGGAGGCAGTTTGAGAAGATTAACCCGACGCCTATCTGGGCTACCAACGCTCGGAAAAAGCGGAGGAGATCTGGTGCGGACGGACAGGGGGACGAGGTGGATACGGAGATGGACGCTTTGCTCTCGGGTTCTGGTGGAATCGTGGGGCAACCGGCCAGGAGAACGATCGAGCCGGGGACTCTTAACATCGAGAGATTGAGGGATGCGAACCAATCTGCGCCTGCGGAGGGCGAGGTCAAAGCGATCCAGTTCCACCCTTCACCTCAGGTTCCCCTACTCTTGACGGCAAGTGCGGACAGGAGGGTGCGGCTATACAACGTAAGGATGCCGTCTTGTATAGCTACATCTATAAGTCACTCATACTGCCTTAGGTTGACGGACACACAAATCCGCATCTACAAACGCTACATATACCCGATCTTCCAACATCTTCTGCTCACTTTCACCCTACTGGTTCTTCTATTCTCTTGACCGGCCCCAGACCATACTACTACTCGTATGATCTACAATCCGGGACAACCTTACGCTCCCCACGCGGTCTATGGGGCACGACCTTCTCGCGTTCTCATACAAATGCAGACGAGCTGAGTATGGAGATCGCAGCCTTCAACCCTTCAGGCGACGTCCTTGCAGTCGCGGGTCGGCGCGGTTACGTTCATCTTGTGGACTGGCGCGCAGGCTTGGGGCAAGTCGTGGCGAGCGTCAAGGGAAACACCACGGCAAAATCCATGTGGTGGTCGGGTAACCGACTCATGACGCTCGGCGAGGATTCGGAGGTATACCTCTGGGACGTTGGGGAGCGGAGATGCGCACGGAGATGGAAGGATGATGGAGGCTTCGGTGCCACCGTCCTAACAGGCGACAGGCCAAGCAGCTATCTCGCCGTAGGGTCAAAATCTGGCATCGTGAATGTATATGGTGGCGACGCCTTTAGTGCATCCGCCACCCAGCGTCCGAAACCGTTCAAAGCCATTTCTAACCTGACCACGGCCATCACCTCTGCAAAGTTCAATCACGATTCGCAGCTTCTCGCGCTCGCCAGCAACGCCAAAAAGGACCAGCTCCGACTAGTGAGTCTTTCTTTGGATCTAGACCTGACAAACACTAACAGTGCGTAGATCCATCTTCCATCCTTGACCGCGTTCTCCAACTGGCCGACGGCGGGCACTCCGCTCGGCCATGTCAGCTGCGTGGAGTTCTCTGCGAATAGCGAATATCTTGCAATGGGGAACGGCCGTGGACGTGTATTACTCTACCATCTTCGGGACTTCACTGTATCCTAGCTCGTCCGTTGCTTCGCATACGCCGCTACATCATTCATCATAATGGATGCAGTCCAGGTTAGAATAGTACAGAATAAAATCAAGTAGGGAACGGGAGGCCGGTGGATTCGAGAGCGCGCTCTACATGCCCATATTTGCGCTCAATCCAGCGCGCATACGCTTGTACGAGCCGAACGGGCCAACAGTGCCTTTTGGTCCACCCAGCATATGAGGCCCAGGAGGTCGACTGGCACGCAAAGTGGGCATGGCGCTCATCCGTCCATCCTCGCCCGCCATGCCCCGTTCACCCTCGCGTACGGGTCCCATCGCAGTATCCAGCGCACCGGGCGGAAATAGCTCGGCATCGTGTGCCTCCTCGACCTGTTCACCGAGGAGCCGGCGCAGCATCCTATTCTCGTCCTCCAATCGAGCGAGTTCGCATTCCCGCTCAAGAGCCCAATCCGCCCTCGCCACAGCATCCCATTCAGGGCTCTCTGCACCCGGCGCGGTCGTATCGGCAAGAAACTCCGCATACTCGTCCCCGACCGGCTGCTCCTCGTAGTCCTCGCCCTGCATCGCGCGTAACGTCTGCCGCAATAACTGAGATATCTGCGTGAGCGTATTCGACGTCGAACTTGATGCCGCCAGCGCCTCATTCAGCGCCTCATCCTCGCGCTCCAGTAGTTGCGACTCGTAATGCCGTATGAGCGATAGTTCATGCTCTTGTATCTCATGCTTCGATAGTTTGAGGCGCGTACACACAAAAAAGAGGTCGGCGGTAAGACGTACCGCCCGGTTGCGAAACTGGTCCATCAGCGTTTCCAATGTAGACTCGTACTCGCGGATTAGCGCATTCAGTTGCTTGTTGTCGTTCTGTAGGGCGACGTTCTCCGCCGCAATCGACACGTTCATCCGTTCGAGTTCATTATCATATTCCTCTATGGATAATCAGTCTCATCATGCATCGGGGAGGGATGCAGTGTACCCTTTGTCTTATCCAAATTGAATCTGCAGTAAATGTGTCAGTTCTTTACCTCCTCATGGGGAAGCAAAGGTTACTGTACGTTCTGAGATGCGGATTCGGACCCACCGTCGCAACACAAAGCCGGTCTGAGTATGGATGGCCTGCGTCTGCCGCGATGCATGAGAAAACATGCTGGCATCGAGACTTCGCCGCGCACCTTGATGTCACTTGCCTGCGAGTGCAGCTGAGCGGAGAATTGTCGATGCTGGTTTGTTTGCTCCATGAGCTCAGACAGCAGTGCCCATAGCCGCGCCGCGTCCGACGTGTCTCCATTTTCCATTCTTGCAGAAAGCACTTGGTATACTATCAAGACGTGTGGACAGCAGAGATGGGTTTGGGGGTTCGGCGAAGTGATGGTCAGAAGCAAGTGCCACGACGCTCACGGGGCGGCCTTTGAGCTCGCAAACCCTAACCTTCTGGAAAGCGTCGGGTGGCACACCCGACATACCATTACGAAATGGCGTTGATACGTCCGATTGGTTCAAGATTGAGTTTCGATTCACGCTACAATATGACAGTGCGGATACGATCCAGCATTGATGGGGAATACATGTACGCAGAAGGCTCAGTGGGAAAGCGGTACGATTGTGGCAAGAGGATTGGCGTTTACTGAGAGTTCTACGCAATAGGGCAATCGATACCTTATGGAGAGTACCGTCCGAGTAAGATAGTGTAGGTATCGGATATCTGGGGACCATCAGTGAACATTCGCCTTGGGAAAGGAAATGATGGACCTTTGTAGACACCGTCTCGCCATCTGGCAGAAAGCGGCAGATGATCGTGCTGACTTCAAACCATCGCTTCGCTTCATCAACAAGACCTACGCTACACCGATGTCAGGACGGACTCCGTTGTGGCAACCCCTCCGACAACTCACTGCAAGCACTCGAGGCCCTGCGTAGTGTCAGTAGCTTCCGCATTTTCCGTACGGTCAAACTCACCGTGTTATAGGACGTAGTCACAAGCCAGTGGCGCTCGTCAAGCGGATACACCTGAAAAGATGAGATAGCGTCCGTGGCTGGGCTATGTACAATGACGTGCCTCTCCTCGATCATCGCGCTCTTGGGAATGTTCACCGAGAACCGAGACGCCTTGTTCGATGTACGTTATAGTTCTGAGCCTGTCAGGAGTTGTATTCTTAGACAGCAGCATGGTGCATATGGCTCGGAGCCATCGAGCGAATTTGTGCACTGAGAGCGCTTGATGATCGAGACTAGCATGGAGGATGCTCTGTTCTGGTGTATTAGGTCTGATAGACGCGTGGAGATGGACAGGCGATACAGACCTCGAGCGCTGGAACCAATACTGTGCAGGATGATTGATTAGCACCATATATCATGTCCATAGAATCGCGCGAACCTGTCAGAGGGCAATCGCGAGCCGCCCAGAGAAGGTCAACAACCGCCTCTAGCGTATTGACAAGGTCATTTGGGAGGCCTGATATAGCCTAGAGGCGCAACTAAGGTCATACACTCGCTCGTTGGGGGAGAGACGGACCTCCAATATTTCCGGCACAATGTCCCACTTCTTTGCTAGAATCGCTACCTCGGCCTCGAAGACCAGAACGGCGCGGAGGCAGCGCAGTACTACGGCCGCATTCGCCTCGCCCAGCGGTGTGTCCTGAAGGACGGCTCTGATGACTTGTTCGCACGCACGAGTGCACTGGGAAAGTTCAGCGATGGACCCGGCTTCGTTGTGGAAAGCGTAACCCTAGCGTAAATGAGTACGTATAGTCTAGAAGATGCTCAAAACCCTTACAGGTAGCTGAGCACGATGGCGAATCGCGAAGACTGAAGAAACGCGCAATTGAGCAATTGCACTGATATCTATGATCGCACCCACCCCTGGCAGACGTGGCCGCGAATGACGAGAACACCATGGCCATATAGACTTCTTCGTCAACTTGTACTACGACCTCACGGTACGTTTCGATCAACTGTTGATCCCCCTTCATGAGCCTATCGACGATGAAGACAGACCCGACCAGCTACTCAGTTGACGTACCTGACCGGCGATATCGAATAGTGCAGGCACCTTTCTTTCAGCATCGTCCCATTCGGCACATCCTTGATTGGCGCAGTTGTATGCGGTGCGCCAGAGCCAAGATATGTCCTTGATTATCAGCGCGGCTCTCTTCTCATCCCGAGCTGTCTGAACAAGCTGTTGTGCTGATCTACATGAGATCAAGATGCAGCACGCGTGTCTATGGAGCTCACCGGTTTCGAAATGGCCGATGAGAGCTGCGACGTGCTTGTTTCTGGGCGGGCGGATGAAAGAGATTCAGGTGAATGGGTCGGTACAACAGATGGGCAGAACCCACCTGTCCGTGGAAATGGGCTCTGCCATAAGACGCAATACTAATCTGATCGTACACCGAATGAGAGCGACGGCCTCAGGTTCTGCCCGCAAGCTCTCTGCCTGCTTGAGCGATCGTAGCATCTCCTCCAGGACGGAGAGAAGCAACACTTTTAGATCCGATTCGTGCGCAAGGCGGATGGCCATTAGCAGCATGCTTCCCTCGTAGTCAGAGGCTTTAACCATATTGGTGACAGCTCGCTTGGCTAGTCAAGTCAGAGCGGGATGGATTCGCTCTCAAACCACGCAGACGTGCCTTCTTCTTCAGATCCTAAGATATACGTCAAAGTCCGGACCTCAGCCTCAAGAGTTGGTCATACGATATACCTTGACGGACAGCTGCGACCAGCAGCACATACTGCGTCAACGCACTGCCGAGATTACACCGCTGTGCAGTCATGGTCGCACGAGAGAAGTCATGGAGCTCTAGCAGACACAGCGCAGCTTTTCGATAACACTTGTCACTGCTTACATCTGCGATAGTCTGAAAGGCGCTATGAGTACCGATGAGATACCAATCAACAGCTTCAGACAGTCGTTTTGCGCGGTGGTGTTGATTAGCATGTTGCCAAAAGAGCTGGTTTCGGAAGCGTAAGCATGAGGTACCCAGAATTCCGTATGTAGAAAGCGCACCATCAAACAGGCGGTTGCCCCGGTCTTGGATAGTGCCAGATCTTGCTTAACGATTTCTACGAGTTAATGTGAGACGACGATATCAGTCGCGCAGATCACGAACGCACGGTCAAAGGATTGATGCAAGTCCGTCATCGCCGCTGTATGATCCTGAGCTTTGGAGCAATGAAATATCAAGGCCAGCAAAACTTGGTCCAGTATCGTCTCCGGGACGTCACGGAGGACCGCATACCGCTCTATGCAATGTGATAGTACAGAGGTCACAAGTTGGCTGAGGGATATGCCAATGAGAGCCCAATTTCAGTCATATGCTGACCTTACACTCACTGGCGTGGACGATCGAGGGCTTTCACCTCCTGAATGATTCTACGGCACGCGTAAATGATTATTTGCAGATGCAATACAATGACTGATACGGACCTAGCGACATTCCCTTCCGAGAAGACCATCGTGTCAACGATGGACCGAAAGGCTGTAACCGTATGAGCGATTACACCATTCTAACTGTAAGGATGGCGCCACACAGTATGATAATATATCATCGGCCGCCTCTCTCCTTTGAAGGACAGCGAGTAACCACCATCGTAGCTCCTGGTTCTCAGCGGATCCCTTTACATCATTGTCTCAACCCTATCAGTGATGGTGATGAGATGAACTCACAAGGTCCTCTGCATCCGTATGCCCAGATACCAATTCTTGGAGAGCTGTTTCTGCGCGAGATAGATGTGCTGGATTGTAGGTCGATGAGAGGAGGTATGCTCGAGCTACCACATACTATGTGTAAACAGCATCATGAGTGAAAGACCTGGCCGCACCTAGATTCCGAAGACAGGATCGCTGTGGTCTGGTCAGTGCTCCTTGACACGCTCATGGAATAACTTCACAACCTTAATCTCCGCCACACCTGCGAGCACCTCGCTTTCCACCACATCAATCAAACCAAACGCCTTCTGAAGCCACGATACTGCCTCGGCTGCACGGCTGTCTAACGATCGGCCTTGCCGGTCTTGATCAATCAGTAGGGATTTCCCCACTTCGAGTAGCTTCGACGCCACCATCGCGCGCTACATGCGAGTGGGTAAGGGCTTCAGCTATTGAATGAGCAAACGCACATCTTTCGAAGGTATATTGGCGAAACGCTCGTTCTCATTGGCTTGACGGGCCGGCTGAGAAACGCACCCGACTTGATAACATGCCGAACATACCAGTGAGAATCTGCAACATATAATTTGCCATGGCTTCGTTTCCTTCTTTCCAAGCCTATTACATTCTAAGGCGCCTTCAGTAGACCTCACAACGGTGCACTTACTGCCTCGAGTCTAGTACAATGATAGACGAGCGTTGCTTGGGCACGTTGTAGATTGAGTTCGCCTCCGGGGTCTTCCGCACTTCGGAGTAGCTCCTCGTACTGGATGCGATCCAAGATCGTTTATGATCAGGTTTTGTAGGACTGGAAAGAGGAGCCCGTTCACTACCTTGGCTGCCGACGCCAGAACGCCAGACGCGAGATCTGGTTGTCCCGCCTCTGGATCAAGGTAAGTGTCTCATAGCCAGGCATCTACATGAGTGAAAATAACGGCGTACCGGAAATCATGGACCCAGTCTTGCTCGCAAGTTGAAGCAGATGTATGAGACCTACTTACCGGTCTCAGGTACAAACAACGAGCTTCAAAGAGAATACATACCGTCGATGGCGGGTTTTGCTGGGAAGCCAACCTCAATTAAACGGAACCCAGATAATCTCACTGAGGTTCTCAGGTGTCAGGCTTCTTGCGTACCACAGGACCACCAAGGGCCCTACAAGTCCTCACATACATCTGGCGGTGAGGGGCAGTTTCTTGTCTTTAACCACGGGATGAACGGCGCTTGCAAGATTCCATAGATTGGTTCCTAGATGTATGTTAATGACCGAACGTTCTGCATGGCTCTGCGCTCACCCTCACGGTCCAGCGCATCGAGCGCGCGCGGGAGCCATGCTTTATCTCCCTTCGTTCTCTTATCGGCGAACTGCTCGATAAGTCGCAGAAGCTCCTCAATAGCATCAGATAGCAAGTTATCATCGAAGTTGTTCCCAGAACAGAGGTTTTTCACTGTGATGAGAACATCTATGACGACGACGAAGCATGAGCTGCACGATCGCGTTCATTATAATGAACCGCACCCTCTATATCCTCGAAGACCTGTTGCGCGCCAGTTGAGTCATCATATCTCCTTTTCGTCCCTGACATGTCCTACAGATGGGTTCTGGCAGGGAATGCGCGTGATGGATTGTGGGTGAGGGGAGATCGCGGTTACAGCTCAACCCCAACTCGCGTCGCGCGTGCAAACGCGTCAACGCGTCAACGCGTGACGTCACGCAGCGCTAATGCTCTACCAGGTCCACGTCGAACCGTGGAAACTTGAAAGTCCAGTTCGGTACTTCACAGCGACACTCACTAGTTCGCGATGTTGCCATCTATCACGCCGCCGGAGTCTCTTCAGGGTCTTCCTGAGGACCAAACAAATGCTGCCATACGCGTAAGCAAGCTGCATCTCTACCTGAAAACGCCAGCTCAGACGTGGATTCTCAAGGCCGCACAGAAAGACGGGTTATTTGCGGGGCTCACGTCTGCCCTCCTCGGATGTAAGTGAAGCCTCAAGTCACCCTTTTGACGACTTACGAATGTATACACAGCTATGCTTGCTACGCGCCTCCGTCTCCCTCGAAACCACATGATACTTTCAGCAGCAGGTAAGCAGAAGGCGCCCTGAGTTTCGCTATCTGTTTTCTGGTATGCAGATGTCTGATGTCCTCTAGCCACAGGTGTCGGTGCTGGATACTACTTTACTCAGGGCTTCGTTGCAGCCAATCTCTCCAAACTCCGCGCCGAAATAGCAGCTTCAAGGGCACGGGAGGAATCCACTAACAGCGAGTTTGTATCTCACGACACATGAACCATCTTGACAGCCTCCGCATCCGAGGTCGAGAACAGTCTGTTGGTTGAAAGCGGGATGTACAGCGTGATATCGATGTACTAGCTTAGAATGCTGATAGCTATGCGGATGCGCGGTGCACGCTTCTGTGCTCCACAGTGCGCTGTCATGGCGGAATGCGAGACCATCTCTGGGTCACCTCCGCGTCCTGGCTTCCTGTTGCGCGCGTGTATCTGTCTATATCTCAGACTTGTGCTGGAGATGCGTGCATGATGCGCCAAGTGGCATGATACTGTTCGCTAGCCAATAGCTCTGGTGAGCCTTCACTTGATAGGAACGTAGGGACTTACAAACTCGTGGCGTGTGGTCGTCAGGTCATTTTCATCCACGCTACAGCGACTAACCGAGCGGGTCGAGTGCTGAGTCATCACAACCTTCTTTTACCAAGCATGCACGCAGAGAAGTCGGCTCGCGTATCCAAGTCGAGGAACTTGCCTGAATGTCCAGATAGGATCAGAGTACTTGTTAAATCACGACCATCGCTGCTGCCTTGACTTATAACTACCAAACTGCAGGTTTGTCCTCGTGCGCGCAGCTCTTGGCCGGGTTCTTGTGAATCTCATCATCGGAGGGAATTGACGAGTGTATAGAGTATGCGTATGCAACTGGTAATTGATACATAGACGTGAGGTTATCGTATTGCAGGCGGGTCCAAATAGTCGGTGGAATATGATTGTGACTGCCGGGTCCGAATGTAGGGCGAGAACATGCGATGACGTGATGAGTCGAGAGGTTACTATGCTGAATAAGGACAATGCGACGAAGCCGAGGACAATGAATAGATGTCGTATCGTATGATGTAAGATGCTGGATTATGTGGTGAACATAGAGAATTGCCACATGTCAAGAAAAGCGAGGCCGTGCTCGTACTAAGGGCGACGGCCACGCGGCAGGTAATACCCTGACGATGACTGAGACGGGTAAGAGTAATAGTGGACTACTCCGGGAGGCCCTGCGTTGGCAAATGGCGCAGATGGTACGCTCGAGGATGCAAGGGGAGGTTGTGATGCGAATGGCGAGTTCGTCGCAGGTTCGGGACGAAAGGACGGCGTCGCTGAGCGGTGTATAGCGTCGTGGTACGTCCTTGACTGCAGCCATGCACTATCATGCGGATTCGGAAGGACAGGGGGTAACTGAGGTCTGCGCTCATGCGGACTAGCATGTGCGGATTGTATCGTGGTCGGTATTGGCTGATGCGCATACGCGAACTGTGGCGCAGGTAACGACGGTGGCTGATGAACGTGCAAGCGACCCTTGTGAGATCGTTTCTCGTCGGACAGGGGCGAACCGGCCAAGGAATAGTAGTACAAATGCTACCAAAAGCAATTAGCCAGAGCGTACTTGATCCCTGCATACTTCTTGTACTGACCTGTGGCACAGACGAAGGCTTAGTCGGGTCCATACGATACGCCGCTACGAGCGTCTGCGAAGGTGCTCCATTCATCTGCTGTACCGTAGGGGAAGTGCCCAGGGAGAGTCTCGAGAACTGTATGCCTTCGAGTGGTGACGGCGTCATTGGCGAAGGGCGCGATGTCACTTTTGGTATGTCCAGCGCCAGGCCAGGTCGCTTCGCTGGCCGCTGAAGGTCGAATGAAGCGGATGTTGGTGAGAATGCGTCTAGGGCAGTGCGTTTGCCGTGTATGCGCGAAGAAGTCTCCGCGTCAAGAGCCATACACATCGCGGGAGAGAATTGATGCGGCTGATGCACCATATTTTCGGTGGTATGTCGCACAGGCGAAGACGAGCGCGCACGAGCCGACATGGCGAGCTTCGTTGTATGCCGCTGATGATGAGACGGCGCAAGCGGCGCAGGGCGCGTGACGGTCACGGCGCGTGTTTGGCGACTACGACGGAAGAAGCGGCTGTCCTTCTCCTTCGAGAGAACCAATCCCTTGAGAAGGTTGACCCAGTTATCGTACGTTTGTTGGTCGACATAGAGCTCGTAGTCGATGCCGGCCAGGATTTCGCGCTCCATCTTGTTGATCTCCGCCAAGTCGATACCGGACACTTCAGACCAAGTCTTATTTGTGTACGTGTTACTGAATTTGTCGATTAGTAGAGAACACAACAGATACGAGTACAAGGCGCTTACTCATCAACGAACTTATTGGCCATCATGAGACCAGCGACTGCAACGCGAAACTCGCTGCCAGGGCTAGGCACTGTCGTGCAGTTGCGCGCTTTGAGGCGATATATGTAATGTAGGGAGAGAACGATCACAGACTGCGACAGTTGTGTGGTTTGCAGAAGCTTGTGCATGAAATTGGTGAAGATAGAGGACACGTTAAACTGCAAAAAAGCCGTATTTGCGCTACGGTGAGGGACATAGGATAGGTGGGGAGACGATTGCCGTGACGGGTCCGGGGATTCAGCCGCCTTGGAGAACCAGAGGTAGCAGATCATTTCACAGGTCTTCTCTGCTAGGGCGAATGAGGACCAAGGCTGAGCATCACGAAACCAGTCCGAGATCTCGTGAGCTTGCTCTGGTGGTGGTGAAGGCGGAGACGATGTTAATGTCCGCGACAAACCCGCTATAGGCAGCTGCGAGCGTGCAAGGGAGCGAGGAGTTTGTATTGGAGGCAAGAACGACGGCGGCGGTGCGACGGACGCGTCTGCCGCGTCATGCCGCGCAGAAGGAAACTGTGTGTACGAGCGAACTGTGGTTCCAAATGTTGAATGAGTTTCAAGTTGATCCAAAGTTGAGAAGGAAGGCGCGTCATAAGCCTGCTTACGCGCTGGTTGATGATGCACATCGAAGGACGCTATGGGCGGGAGAGTCATCGAGAGGCGGTCTGAACTGAAGTACGGCGAAATGGGCGGTGGCGCGTAGCGCACAAGTACCATGTCTGTGCGGAGCGGAGGAGAATGCGACAAAGGCAGAGTAGAAGGGGTTCAGCATAATCTAGGACATGGCGTTAAGTACGGTTGCGATTGTAGCGACGGTGGCCGATATGCCGGCTCTGGTATTGGTGTCGGTGTGGCAGACCTGTCTCTGACTTCGCCGGCTAATCGAGCCGCGCGCGCCTTGGATCCGTCTGGTCTCGCCGTCTCGGTTGCAGCGATCTTCGACGCAGCCGCAGGAGAAATTTGGTTCCAGATCTGTATACCTTTTTTTCGTCATCACCGCGCAGGGCAACCCTTTCTGGCACGTGCCGGGCAACCCCATAGCCTTGTAATTCGCTTATGTCAGCGGTCCTCAGACTGCTCGCCCGCCCTTCCCGACGTCCATCACGTACCCGAATACTGACGATGATAGGAGGAGCAGACATGCACTCGGTGCACCCACTGGGAACCTTTTGCTCAGATCTAAGAAAGGGGGATAGGAGAAATGGCTGCTAGGGATCCGTCGCGAAAGTCATGTGAGAGCGAGAACCAGAGGTTTTCGGAGGGTTGTACCATCAATTGAATACCGATAAGTGCCTTTTTCGTCTTCTTCCGCTGGCCATGTCAGCCGTCGATCTTCAGGAGAATCGCCCGCATGGGCAAGACGCCACGGAAGAACAGCCGGCAACCTGTCCAAATTCGTATGCAATCATGCTCATAACGAACTCCGCCTATGAGCAATTTCGGGCCTTCCCCAGCCCGACAGTGCCGGCAATTGGGCGCCCTACACGTGCGCCATCCCTCTGTCACATCTGCTCAAGATGCCCGCGATTGTACTGGTTTCAATTGTACTCGCAGCGCCAGCAGGACAAGGAGGTCGATCAGAATTGGAAGTCGGCCCAGTCATAGCTTCGGATTCGCGCGCGTCAACCCGTACTCAGCGCTCACCCTAACAAAGGACACCAGATGCACAACAACTGCATGCCTACCGACAGGATGGCTGGCAGGTACAAACGCTCGAAAATCCGACGTGAGCAGCCGCCCACGCCTACTTCCATATGAAGCTCGTTGCCCGCAGTTTCCTGCGCAAGAGGCGGTGTCTATCCCATCCCAAGGCGCACGCGGCGGGATCCGGAGGTTGCGGGCGCAGGACTCTGAGATGACGGCCGTGGGTATTAGAAAAGCACACGTAAACGTAGGGGTTGCGCACATCTATTCCACGTACTAATAGAGGCTGTATTTGTACGCAATGCGTCTGGCAGCGAAGCATCTTGTCGCGCACACTGACGACGGCGAGGTAAAGAGAGATAGGAACCCGACGCTGTTGCGTATATGCCAACGGTACCACCTTTGCATGGCACGGTGCCAAAGGGTTTGAGCCGTCAGATCCTGCGCGGAAGAAGCGCATCTCACCTCAAGTTCAGCGCTAGCGCTAACAGGTGTTAAGCTCAGTCAGGCATCGACGACGCAGTCGCGGCACTGTCAAACAGAACAGAACCCTCGTCGCGAGAAAGGCGAACTGACGGGTGCACGCTCCAAGCCTCACGCGACGATATGCGCGCGCGGGTTCATCTCACCAAACAAGCTTCGCGCTAAGCCTTTGTTCGCGCATGCAGTAGGAAGACTTTCTCCTTGAGCCCTTCTGACCAGAGGCCGGTGAGGCCTGAAGCTGAGGACCTGCTGAGGCCGCCCGGAGCCGACGAAGTCGGGCTAGGGTGCGCCGCATCCGCGCACGAGCGGGCGCTCTGCGGATGCCACCAGACTAACAAAAATCTTCAAGTTCCTAGCACGATGTCGATGAACCCTCATAGTCCCGATAAACTCAGGCGTAGCAACGATGAAGGTAAGACCACCAGAGCTCGTATGCTATACGGCCGCTGAAAGACCGCAAGCGCGCGGTTCTGATCATCCCTTCTAGGCCAGCAACAGAGCCAGTTGGAAGAACGGAACTACACAAATCCAAAGGCGGGCGTTCTCTTCCGCTTTCGGCACTTATGATATGAGCGTTTTGTCGCGATCACGGTGGTGATATTTCGGCCCTTCACAGGATATCTTTAGGCTGACATAAGTCCAACCGCTCGAGCTCACAGCGTGTGATAGAGGATGCGGATTCAAGGGTAATATCCGAGGCCGCGTGAGGGGTCTCGTTGGCAATCAGACTTCAAGTACGCAGAGACGCATCGGCTTGTATAAGCTTCTCTAGCTACTGAAGTACGGTATCGACGTCAGGATCGTGTACCTATTGATCTTCGGAGTTGACTTAGAGCGATTAACGGAGAGCAATGTAGCCAGGCCCAGGGGGGTGGCTCCGGCATCCCGAGAACAGCGATGGAAAGCCGCTATGTCGGATACATACGACCGTAATTTACCGGACCTGCTGCGCGTGTGGGTCCAGCTGCAGTATTCTGTAAAGCCAAAGTTCTACGAGGCACCAGGAGGATCGCTCCCCCTTGGCAGTTGCCGAAGGCCTGACGTGTGCCACGGGGTAGCGTCACTGTGCGAAAGGAACGTGGTTCTCTGCGGAGATGAGGAGTGTTTATGGTATAGATGGGCTGGAATTGCGTACCTGCATATCCCACCTGAGTAATGTTATAATTTGGCCGCTGACAATATATCTTCAAATTTGCTTGGACCGAGTCGTTTATCCTTCTGTGCGAGTCGGAAGACCCCCTGTACTCAGGCTACGGCATAGTGCCAACCTCAGGTCCTTCGAGCGAGAAACGGATCACAGAGGTATTGAAAAGAATATCATGCGAAAGAAGCCTCACGGCACGAGCACATCCAATGGAGTAGCCAGGAGATACCTTTGAGAGCGCGTGTATAGGCAGTGACGCTCTAAACCCGTTCGAATGTGAACCATGGCGGCAGTCTACTGTAGGGTGTCATCGCGACTCGCCTGACATCGGGCCTGTACAAGATAAAGGTGATCCCAGATTACGAAGTGAAGGGGGCGTTGAAACCCTCTGAGCTAACCCAAGTTACTGAACGAGAGCTCAAATGGTACACGGATGCGTAGTCTCAGTCATCCGGCAGCCACGGAACAAACCGAGCGAGTGCATGCACACGTACTCTGAGAAGCCACAACCTTCTGGTGGCATCACTGTACGAAAGCATTGAACTCTGTGGCTGGTTCGCTGCTGCTGGAGAGCTTGCGGACCGAAACACGGTTGACCATCATATCCGTGATTCGGTCGTGATCACGGCGAACTCGCGCTGGGAATGATAGCTCGGATAGGCGAGTCCAGCTGGAGCACTTCAACACGAGCCAACCATATCGAACTCAGTCCCTCCGGCCTTCCTATGTTGCACGCATCGCGAATGAACATGCAATCATCTTCATGTCCATGAACCTTCAATACGTGCGAGCGGTCAAGACGAAAGGCCATCTGGGAAAGGCGCTCCGGATAAAGCAGCGGCAGGTACAATTGCAATCTCCCCAGTTACCTCACGACGCGTGCGACAAAACAACCTCAAAGCCGCAAGAACATTTGGACAGTTTGAGATGATGTCATCAGAACCGCCATTATAGAGCGTCAGATGCAACGTAGTATACCCGCCGGCTGAACGCCGAAATGGAGAACGGCGGCCCAAAGGAGTTTGTCAAGCGAACGACCGCCGATGGCACGACTCAATTGAGTTGATTTTCTGCGAGGTGATGATGGCAGAGCAACAGCCGAGATCGTGGATGTCTGACTATCCAGCGCAGACGTTCCCTCATCCTTGCCGCAGAACATACGTCCTGCATCTAAACTGGATGTGAAAGATGGTGGTAGACGTCGGCAAGGCGCGAAGTCGGGAACAGGCCGATGACGCGGACAAGGCGCGTGAATGGGAGCGTGTGACTTGTACCCACAAACGTGCGTCTCGGTGGGCGTTGCCATCGTCGCATCGACCTCGACGTCCCGCTCGACCACGCCTCTCTCGAACGCGGGCACGCGCATTATATACTCCGCGTGCAGACTCTCGCTGTGCTCTCGTTCTTATACCCTCCTTTGCTTGACCGAAGAGCGTCACGATGACCATCAAATTCGGCTCTTTCGACTCGGTCTGCCAGACAGCCGCCCTCGTTCCCTGCCCGCTCATTGGCGGCGACCAAGGCATTGAGCCAACATGTTATAGTCGAAATGTGGAGATTGGCGGCTTCTTGTTCTTCCAGCCCTGTGCGTGCACATTCATACGGGATTCCTCGTTCGCGTACTGACACAGAGATACTCAGCAACTTTCTTCGTACACATTGTCGCCCTTGTCATGACCGCAATCATGGTCTACCATATACGAGGGAAATATACAGCAGTGGGTACGCCTGAAATGTTTGATCTCAGGGGTATATGGGGTCCGGATACTCACTTGTTCGTAGGTCGGAAGGAAATCCTGACTTTCTTCTACCTCTACGCCATCATCGAGCTCCTCGCCATCTTCCTCGACACCAACATCATACCCTCAGCAAACGAGGCATACGTCGTGCGTAGACCTTCGAATGCGTATCGATTGTTCCATTGGTGACGCATATCGCAGTGGTTTGCTGCAATATACACTGGATTAATAGCGGCGGCGTATGCGTGCCTTGTAATCAATGGCTTCGTTGGTTTCCAATTTGCTGAAGATGGGACGCCCATGTCTCTTTGGGTATGTTCTAGTTCAACACTATTCGGTACGATACTCATATGGAGGGCCAGTTCATGCGCATCGCATGCCTCATCGTCTGGGGTGTCGGCTTCTTCATAGCGATCGCGACGTTCAAAAGCTTTGCGGGACTCACGCCTCAGAAAGGAACAGCGCTTTGGATCGTCTACCTCCTTTGGCCGCTCATTTGCACCGCCGTCTACGTGATTTCGCAACTTATACTCGTTTTCCGCACGCTTGAGGACCGCTGGCCGATCGGTGATATCGTCTTCGGCGCCGGCGCATGGGCAGTCGCACAGATCTTGCTCTTCGCATTCTCAGTCACCATCTGTAACGCCATCAAGCACTACATCGATGGCATCTTCTTCTTCTCCCTCTGTATGTTGCTCAGCGTGATGATGGTTTACAAGTACTGGGATTCTATCACTGTACGTCTTCTTATCCTTTCAGCCGGACCAGAACGGCTCGCGTGGAGAGACGGAAGCTGACTACCTAAATCATCGTAGCGCGAAGATCTCGAGTTCTCTGTTGGTTCGAAGGCAGCGGCGTGGGAAGTCAAAGACCCGCTGCTTGCCGGTCAAGATTCGGATCCCTACATCGAGGACAGCTCGAGCGCGTATCACGGAGCACCCGCGAGCCTCGTCGGCGGTGTCTCGGGCCAACAGCTTTACCAGCAGAAGGGTTATGGACCCGGCCGCGGCTACCCGCCTCCTGGCCAAGGTTATTAGACGTTCATGGTTCTTCCCGCCCGGCTGGGAGGCGGCAGAGTGGGGCGAGGTCCGGCTAGGGCTGAGATGTTGCGTAGCCGGGACTTTCTGTGAACGGACCTGTATGGGCGTTCGATCGCACCTCACTCGCTTGCGCCTGATGTCGATTCCTTTGGATGTCCTGTCGTGTATCCGTCGTACCTTCATGTGCCATTCTTCTCATCCATCGCACGGACACAATTCTATAGTATACTGTAATGACAGCGAAGAAAAGACTGCGCAGTGTGAGGAACGCGGCACACGAGAAGTCATACTCAAACTTTTGGCCGGCCGAAGGTCGGAATGTGATTGCGAGAATGTTTCTAGTCATTCGATAGCTATGCTAGCATGGCGAGGTGCGTTGCAAGGGGATAGCATCGGGGGGAATATTTGGCGTCGGTAGGTGTACTAAGTAACGGCTGCGACTTGCGGAAGAAAGGTTGCGACAAAGGTAAGTAACAGGATATATGCAGGGAATTGCAGGTCATAGGCATGCATGCATGTATTGTATGATACATTACTGTGCGAGAGGAAGTGCGAGCAGTGCGAAGTCCCGAGGCGAGCCCGAAAACAGGGCTAGCGAGCGAAGGACATGAATGTAAAGTATGAGGGAGATAGGAAGGCTGTCTTTGTTTCATAGCGCCCAAATCTTGACCATGGCGTCGCGCCCTCCTGAAACGAGATAACGGTCCATGTAACGCAGACGTTCGACTGGGCGAACGTGACCATTCGTGGAGAGCGTGGAGTGTTGCATGGACGTCCTGTTGTAGATCTTGACGCCATTCTCGCCAGCGGCGGAGACGACCTTGCGGCTATCGAACTGCAGCCCCGTTACTCCATGATCGTATTTGATCGTCTCAAAGATGCCACCGCTCCGGAGATCCCAGATCTAGAAGAAGCAACTTCAGCATGAGCACGTACAGATAACATACACCCTGGACGCACCCTGACCGACTTGTCAAGACTACCGCTCGCGATGTGGATCTCATCGAACTGTAGGGCGGTCACGGGTCCTGTGTGTCCGAGCAAGGTTCTATGAGCTTGCCCAGTACGCACTGGTCGAATTCGCTTCAATGCGGTTTGCAAATGCACAAGGAAGGCCGAACGTACTGTCCCACATCCGCACAGCGCCATCACCGCTGCCACTGACCAATGCATAGCCCCAGAACTGTACCGACCCGATGAAATCTTGATATAGATCCCAGGTCCCATCCGCATACGGAGGCGTGGGCACAGCGAATGTGCCTGCAGCTGCGGTAGCACCCGAGAAGAGCGGGCCGCCAGCACCACCAGGCGCGGCGACGGCGGAATGTGACAATGCCCAGAGAAGATCCATAGTCATGACACATTGTCCCGTGTTCAGATCCCATTGACGGAGCGTTTTGTCCGAAGCGCCAGTCACCTAGAGCGGGTCAGTTAGTTAAAGAAGCGACGATTACATAGCATACCCGCACTTACAAGGGTGTCGTCGTCGAAGTACAAAGCAGTAACGGCTTTGCTGTGTCCGCCGAGTACCCGTACGCAGGGGCCGGTTGGTTCCTCGTGTTCTTCATCCCCGTGTGCACTCATCTTTCCATTGCGGATGCCGTTGGGTTTATCGACCACGACGCCTTCGCCATGTTCATCTTCCTCGGCAACATCCTCCAGATGCACCATCCCCCCTTCCCATTCGTCTTCTTCCACACGTCGAAGATCCCACAGACGAACGCTGCCGTCTTCGGCACCCGTCAGGCATACATGATCTTCAACCTGCATGGCCTTGACAGTCCCTGTATGTCCACGAAGACGTCCAATCTCCGTCCCGGTTAGAAGATCCCAGACGCGCGGCTGTGGCTCATCAGCCGTCGCCGTAACAAGGGTACCATACGGTTCTGAGAAGTCGAGCGCCGTCACGGGCGTGTTTCCCGCCTCGAGCGTCATAAACGCGACGCCAGGGGGCAAGTCGTCGTGTTCCGATGGCAAGAATGCGGGGCCCTTTCTTCGTCGAGAGCTCTGCATATGCGCAGAGGTCGACTTGCCCTTTCGAGTCCTAGACTCTTCCAGGTTTAGTTGCTCCCTGACCATCTCAACTGAAAGAGTCATGAGCGTCGAGACGTCTTACATACATTGGGTCGACGTACGTTCATCGTCGAGCTCCAGCTCGTCTTCTTGCAGTCTCAGCAAGTCGTCTTCTAATCTCTGTCGGATTGCGTCCAGCGCGGCGATCTTTCGCGAGACCTCGTCGATTTCACTGTTTATGAGACTCTGCGTCCAGTCAGCAAGCCATTTTCAGGATGAGATGTATTAAGGATTAAGAGGTATCCGTGTATATCAGCAGTCCGGCAGTGGTCCCAGAATTGAGATATGAGACGATCAAACACACTCACCCTGCGTACGTGCAAGTTCTCCTTGTCTCTACGGATCTCGTCTGTTTGCCTCTCCAACTCGTCCCTCCCGAAGACTTTGTTAGCCGCCAAGCTCTCCCTCCCTCGTTTCCTCCTGCCTTTTCTCCCGCGCTCTCTGTCGGGGCCAGAAGGAGCGACAAGCACGCCATCCTCCTCGTCCTCCTCGGCACCCTCGAGCATCAGACCACGTGCACCGGCGGCGAGCTTCTTGAGACCCAAGTGTGGGGTGTCGACGTTGCGGGTCTGGCGCCTGCGGGTCCTGCCCTTGTCCGCGGACGGGATGGTCGCCTGGAAACCGCGCAACAGGGACGGGGCGCCGGCCTGTGGCTCCGGCTCGTCCGGTATAGGCGCGCTCAACAGCTCGTCCGTGTCCTCGACTATTTGGAGCTCGCGTGAGGTCAGGCGCCTGCTTCCGAGTGCTATGCGCATCGGTGCGCGTCCGAGCGTGGCAAAGTCCATGTGCTGTTGCGCGGCGCCGACCGCCCCGCGCGACCTGGACGTGACGGTGGCGGCATGCGATATCATACGCGGCGTCATGATGACTGGGGCAACTAGGAGATGTAACAAATACTGTATAAGAGCATGCTCCCAGACTTGGACGGCTGGCTTACGGTCAGCAAAGATCTTGTTTGAGTCTGTCTTCCTATGCTGGAACGGCGCGAATATCTTAGTCACAGCATCGAACCTGCTCGAGGACGAGGAGGAAGAGCCAGAGCCCGAAGCACCAGCCGTTTCCGCATTCGTGTCTACGGGATCCGGCTTGGGTTTCGTAGGCTTAGAGGAGGGCATGATGGTCGCAAGAGCCCATGTTCTGACCGACCCAGCGCGTCACTTGCTCACGCGTCGTTGGTCCACACCACCCGTCGGACACTTTCGGAATCTCTGACTACAACCACGGCAACGTCGCAGCGCCGTCCGCCGTCCGTACCATTCTATATTTTATCACTCTACGCGTATTCCCAAGCATGGCCGATCGGGGCCACAATGTGCCTGACTAGGTGTGATACGCGCGAAGAGCTGTCGCCGAAGCGCCGAAGCGGCTATGAACGTCAGACTGCTGCACTAACGGATGTATAGAGGTAGATGCGAGGTACAGCAGAGCAGCAACACAGCTCAGCGCAATCATGCGCCTGTCATCTATCCCAAAGAGATCACTCTTCCGCCTTCCCAGACTTGCAGACCATGATGAGAATGGGAATGCTCGATGGCATACAGTGCATGTATTGCGAGAAGCCTAAGTGCATAGGTGCCGTGCCCAAATTTTGATGTGTACAAGTGCAGGCCAAGTGAGGGTAAGAGTGGGAGCATGATGGAGTGCGAACAGTAAGATAGCGAAAAACGTGAAGCAAATGTGGCAGGTTTACTTCTTCTTCGCTGCCTCCTCTTCGTCCTTCTGCAGAGCGAAATCACAGAGTTAGCCCGGTCAGGATGTGAAAGGTGGAATAAGCATACCTTCTGCTGGCGCTTCTTGCGGGCGCCCTCGTACCGCTGGTCGGCACGGGAAGTGCGGAGGGTCTTGTAAGCCTCGAAGCCCTTCTCCTCCTCGGTGATCTTGCGGGGCTCCTCCGCAACAAAGGCTGGGGGGAGAGCAAGGGGCTGGCGGGTCGTCTCGGCCTTGAGATCCTCGGCCTGCATGCCAGATCAGACTCAGATGCTGGCGCCGAAACGACAGAGGACGACGTACCGAGGAGTCGCCCTTCTTGGGCTTCTTCGAGTTGCGGGGGAAGACGATCAAACGCTCCTTGTATGCCTTCAGCCTCTCCACGTTGAGGTTCTTTCCCTCGACCGACAAGTTCCGCCTGCGGTGGTCAACGACGATGCCAACTCCACGCGCCTCCTTGCGGCCGATGCCGGCCTCCTTGAGCTCGGCAAGGGTGAAGCCGCGACCCTCGCGCAGCTTGATGTTGTAGCGGACAGTCTGGCCGCGGACAGCCGGGCGAAGCGGCTTCACGGGGCGAACGCCGAGCGATGCAGCCTTCTCCTTACGGGCGACACGGCGACGAAGCTTGCGACCGGGCTGGTCAAACCAGGTCTTGACCCGGCGCTGCCAGTCCTTGCGGAAGTGGTTGTCGTGAAGGACTAGAAAAGCTTCAGTATATTTACCAGGATCCAATTGCCACGTCTATGCACCGTTGTTCTTGCCGAAACCCATCGCTGATTCTGAATAAAGGGAGGAGGCAAAAGTCAGTCAGAGTCGAGTAGCAGTTTGCACGCCCAAGGCCCATCCGCCTCCCGATTCTCCAATCCATCATTTTCCAGCACTCCTTCCCCCTCCAGACCGATTCCGCGCAGCACCCAGACATTCAATAGATGGTACGCACAGTCTTGAGGCGAGGATGGGGTTGTCGACGTCGTTCGAGACGGTGAGGAGGCTTGGGCACTGCGAAATCGGCGCGCGCGCGTCGGGCCGGTGATTATTTGACGTAATTTCTGGACTTCGCGACCCCGTGACCCGTCCGAAAGCGCGTTTCATGCGTGTGCACTAGTCGTGGCGTTGACCAGGACCTTCACCCATTCTATAACCCATCATGTCGACCAAACAAGCTCCTACGCGTCAGGCCATCACCCTAAAGGGAAGCACTGCGCTTGTAACGGAATTCTTCAAGTATGCTGTCAACACGTATGCTGTCGCCTTTCTGGTATGCACATTACGCTCATTGCCACCACAGCATTCTGTTCCAGCGTGGAGTGTACCCATCAGACGACTTTCACATGGTTAAGAAGTACGGTCAGACCGTGCTAGTGACCCAGGATCTTGCGCTTGAGAATTACTTGGACAAGTACGTGCACACCACCAGTCCATCGTCCCGCGCATCTCATCTCGAACGCAGGATCCTGAAGCAAGTGCAGAGTACGTGCACAGAACAGATACGTTAGCTAGAGCTACTTTGACGTGGTGATCAGAGTGGCTTTTGACCGGCTCCGTCACACAACTCGTGGTTGCGATCATATCGAAAGATTCCCGCACGCCGCTTGAGCGCTGGGTTTTCGATATCCATCTCGTCGAAAAGCCGAGCACGGACGCCACCGGGTCAGTATCACCAACTATCGCGCCACATCTCATTTTCTGATAATCTTGCAGGGCTCCCGCGCCACCGAAGCCTGAAGCCGAGATTCAGGCTGAGATTCGTTCCATCCTGAAGCAGATCGTGTCTACGGTAACCTTCCTGCCGACGATGGATGAGCCGACGGTGTTCAACATCTTGACGTACACGAACGATTCCGCCGACGTGCCCGCGGACGAGTGGGTCGATACAGACCCTCTGGCGATCGAGGCTGGCAAGAGCCAGCAGGTCAAGTTGCGTAACTTTAGCACGGACGTCCATCGCATCGAAGCCATGGTTGCGTACCGCTACGAAGGGTAATCGTCAGGCCTATCACGTATCGCTGTTCTCGTGCTGTCATTGGACCGCGGCTTGCTCGGCGAAGGCTCGCCGCACGAATCGGCTTGCTCGGGTAGAGTGATTTCCCCGGAGACAATGATCAATAGCACCGTTGCCTCGTTCCCGTCTGTCTTGTTGTCCCCGCATGCTTTCTCGCCTCGCCTTGCACGCACTCTGTACTTACTTGAATATATCATACATCATTGCATGGATCACGGAAGGAAGAAGGCAGGAACGGGATGTCTAAGTAAAGAAAGGGACGATGATCAGCCGCTGCACGCGCGTCTTTTGCCATGGAGACGGGACAAGGGCGGGCGGTGGGACCGAGAGAGCGGGATCCAAGCGCTGTCGTTGGCCTCACGGTCTGCAGCGTCCCTCAAGTTGACCGCGCCCATCAGCCTGCTCCTTTCGTCTCGTCTCCCACTCGAGCCTGTCCTCTCCTTTGCTTCGTTTCTGTCTGGCCGGCCCCGGACTCGTCTCAATCTTTGCATTCCTTTCAATTCAGCACCAGTAAACCATGCAGGAATCTTGGGCTCGCCGCGAGCTGCTCTCGCCGCGTCGTTTGGTGCGTAGCAACCGATGCGAACAATACGGGCGCCTGTCCTCACAGCTCGCCAGATCTTCAACGTTCTCTTCTACGGCAGCCATCTTTTCTTCTTCGCCTACGGCTGGTACAGTCAGGTATGTAGCCATCAATACTTGTGATCGAGCGGCCGCCGCGAGTCCGCAGTCACAAGGTTGCTGTCGCAGGAGCTGACGAGTGGCACGGACAGGCCACCAACACCAAGCTCGCCGCTCTTAACGCTCTGACATGGTCCGTGTGGACGTCCCGCGGCGCCGGCCTGGTGCTCGCCTATGACGGTGGCCTTATCCTACTTCCCATGCGTAAATACATTTCACCCCTTTCGCTCAGACACGCGCGCTGAATAGGCAACTCCAGTCCGTAATGTCATCCGCTTCATCCGCCCAAAGGTCGCCGCTCTGTTCCCCGCCGACGAGAACATCTGGTTCCACCGCCAAGTCGCCTATCAGCTCGCATTCTGGGCCATGGTGCACACGACCGCCCACTACGTCAACTTCATCAACGTCGAGCGCACCCAAGTTCGCGAGCAGCTGGCACTCGACATTCACTACACCCAGCCGGGTGGCATCACCGGCCACTTCTTGCTCTTCATCATGCTGCTCATGTACACCACTGCCTACAACAAGGTCCGCCACCAGTGCTTCGAGGCCTTCTGGTACACGCACCACCTCGCCTTCTTCTTCTTCATCGGCCTTTACACGCACGCCACCGGATGCTTCGTCCGTGACTCGGTCAACCCCGATTATATCGCGACATTCCCGTTCTACTCGACCGAGCACTGCTTGGGTTACAACAGCTGGCGCTTCATCATCTGGCCCGGTATCATCTACTTCGGCGAGCGTGTATGGAGGGAGATCCGCGCGCGTCGTCCCACGCGTCTTTCGAAGCTTCTTGTTCACCCGAGCGGTGCCATGGAGTTGCGCATCGTCAAGCCCAGCTTCAAGTACGTCGCCGGTCAGTGGCTTTTCATCAATGTCCCGGACGTCTCGAAATACCAGTGGCATCCCGTGAGCATCTCTTCCCCGATCGGTCACACCCTTTTACTGACTCTGCATCCGTGCAGTTCACAATCACGTCTGCTCCGGAGGACCCCTACGTCTCCGTTCACATCCGCCAGGTCGGCGACTGGACACAAGGCCTCGGCGCTCGCGTCGGAGCCGGTCCCGATGTTGTCGCGCAACTCACCAAGGCGGCGATGAAAGGCATGGAGAAGGATGAGAAGGATGTCGATTACATGTCGACTCCCGGCCGTGGCGACTTCGTTGAGATCGACCCAAGCGCCAGCAGTGGTCTTCCCGCTGTTCGTATCGACGGACCGTACGGCGCGCCCGCTGAAGATGTCTTCAACGTTGAGGTTGCCGTGCTCGTCGGCGCTGGTATCGGTGTCACACCGTTCGCGTCCATCCTGAAGCACATTTGGTACCGTCAGCGCAGTGGCAACACTGGCTCCCTCCGCCGCGTCGAGTTCTTTTGGGTCTGCCGCGATGCACCGTCGTTTGGCTGGTTCCAGAGTCTGCTCCAGGAGGTTGAGGCCGCACAGGCGGACCCCAACTTCTTGCGCATCAATATCTACCTGACGCAGAAGATCGATGAGAACATGTTGTGGAACATCGCCGTCAACGACGCCGGATCTGCGTACGACCCGCTTACTCTTTTGCGCTCGCGTACACTGTTCGGGCGTCCAGACTGGAAGGGAATCTACTCGCGCCTCCGTATGGCTATCGAGTCCGGTCAATACCTCCCGGGCACCCAGTCTCAACTTCGCACCACTGTCGGCGTGCGTACCATATTCTTGCTTTCGAACGACTCGTACTTACCCTCGCCGTAGACCTACTTCTGTGGTCCGACGCCCATCGCCAAAGCGCTTAAGGTCGCCTGCGAAGAGAACACCAATGCTGCTATCAACTTTACTTTTGCCAAGGCATGTCGTCTGTACTCGCCCCGATCTGTGAACTGACTTAGCCTTGTTGCAGGAGCACTTCTGAGCGAGTCTCGATACCCTCTTTTCTGCTACGCATTTGAAATGCGCTGTTGTTCACCGCCCATGTAGCAAACACCCGCCGGACAGACCCATTGCTCGATGTAGTAGACTACAGACTCGTTTATGCGAGGATACATCTGCTATAACTGATTTGGAAGATAGTACCGGTCGATAATCTGTGGATGAAATAAGCCTCAGCTGGTTTCTGTTGACAGGGCGTCAGCTTGTTACTGTGAAGAAGCATGTTGAGGTTTGACGCTCAGAAAATATGAAGCTACCTATCCATGTTTGCGGACAGGGGCGCCGCGATTTGTCAGTCATCAGACACTCCGATGAAAGCTCGGTCTAATCATCCCCTTGCTCATTGCTGCTTCTATGTGGGGGGATCGGTAGACGGCTCATGGCATCTGAACCACCTCACAATATTCTCAATGAATTGAACTATATGATCAAATATATTGTGAGGCCTCCCCTTGCCGAGCACTGACGATGAACATGCAGGCATCTGTTCCTGCATACTCTTTTTGAGTCGATATAACCGATCGTACTTAGACGAAGTCGTAGGTCGGAGGCTCCATTCTGTAGGGCCCGAGCTAGCGGGCAGCGAAGAAGGGCTCGTTTCATTCAAGGCAATAACGGTGGACAGTAGTACTTGATTTTGATTACATTCGAGGTAATGTACGGGGACAGTTCCGGACTGTCAACATGAAACATAGTGTATGCTACAGCACTGTCTCAGAACTAAGAATAGGGTGTACGTGAAACCCGTTTATCTAAGAACTCCCTACGCTGATTCGCCACCTGGACGGGTCCGCGAAGATAGAGTGGCGACGTCTTGCGCCGCGTTGTGAAACTCAATCCCAAAGGGAAAAATAAAGATTGTGAGGATCCCTTCAGGCCCAGGTCCAGGTCATGCCCTCGAGAAGACCGACACTCTCGTCAGCGAGCTGAGTGAATGCGGAAGGCGAGACTGTGAGTAGCATCAGTAACAGCTACCTTCTGAGAATGTCGATTGTACGTACAGTCGAGCGACGTGAGCGAGCAGCCCTCGCAACGGTCGACAACCTCCACTGTGACGCTGTTGCCATTGTCTGGATGTAATGGTTAGGAAGGTGCCGGGCGCGTGAGAGAAGAGCCGTTCGTACAGGAAGCGGTGATCTTCTGGCCGCAGACGGGGTTCGAGTTGGTGTCATCGGTAGCACCGGGGTAGTTGTCGTACAGGTCCTTTGAGACGGCAACGATGTAGTCGGTGTCACTGTTGGTCCAGCCGCATGCGCCGAGACCGGTCGCATAGTAGGTGCCTTGACTGCTTGTCAGGACACAAACTACAAACATCTTCCTAGGTTACTCGCCGTCACCAGTGTTGGTACCCGAGAGATAGGTGGTCGTTGAGGTGGCAGCCGTAGTAGCCGATGTCGCGGTGGCAGTGACAGAGTGAGTCTTGCTCGAAGTCTTGGTGGCAGAAGACTTGGCGAGAGCAATGGCGGCGCTAGGCGTGCCGTGGTGCCATGGGCCGTGCTCGCTAGGGGGAGCGGCAAGGGCAGTGGCGGCCGTAGAGAAGGCAATAGTGATGAGCGTGAGGAACTGCATGACGACTGCGTGTAAGAGGAGAGCGAGAGTAAAGATTGGCTGGAGGCGAAGAGCCTGCGTGTAGAGAGAGAGGATGAGGGAGAGGATAAAGCAAGGAGCCTCGTTACTGAGAGTCGAGAAAATAGAGTAGGCCTTTATAATGTTCCCACTCCGTGCGCCGGCTCAGAGGGGATCGAGAGCGCTCGAACCCCAGCTGCGGCGACGGAAGGAGTAATCCCCTTACAAGGAAAGATCACGAAAGACCAGTTGATTCCGAGCCAAAGAGAGTGGAGGCCTAGAGCCGGCCTGTCAGTCTGCAGTAAGAATAACGGCGAGCTTTGCGCAGTACAGGCTTTGCTGCGGTGGAAAGGCCGTAAAAAGCTGGAGCTATTGACGAAGAAGGGACGACTGCGCCCGCGTTCGCGGGGAGGGCTTACATGCACTGCGCCCCTCGAAATATTCCCGCCTCCGCCCTTGGTGCGAGTAACGGCAATGCATGATTGGGCTATAGATACCCCTAACGATCTCACAGAGAAAATGCAGATCGCGCAAGGAGATGATTGCAACTTCCTGGTTACGTATATGAGTAGCTCATGACTGATTGCGAGTGCAAGGTGGTGCTGGCATGTAATATCAGCATGTCGGTAAAGAGTACTATTCGGACGAAGATGTGAGCCGCTGTCACAGGCAGTTCTTGAGCAGAAAGTGGCCACTTAATGACTTGATTCTGCATTCAATCAGGGGTATAGGCACATATGCGCAGATGAGATACGGGGTGGTAGTTGAGAGCAAGCTTGATGTCGGTGCCCACGCTTGAGCGTTCGGCGCGTCACGTAAGTAGGACGCGACGCGCTTGTTTAGAACGGCCATCTGTCTCTGGATGCACTCTGCTCTCTCATAGCATCTCACAGCTAGCTCGCGCGTACTCAACGAAATGTCGGCTGCGCCCACTCCTTCTGCTTCGTCTCCGGAGGCAACATCGCCTGCAGCAGCAGCTGGCCCTTCCGACGCGTCTAACATGTCCGCAATGGACAAGCTTGTGGTGGACTACTTGAAGTCTAGAGGACACGAATCTGCTGCTTCAGCTCTCAGCGATGCTCTTGGAGGTGGCCTGTCGACGTCAAATACCCTTTCTGCTGAGGAACTGGTCAAAAAGATGGCCGTGTTTGCCGCTTCGGAAAGCGGCGAAAACGCGTACAAGAGTTCTGCCAATATTCTGCAAGAACTCGTCGCGTCTGGGACAAGCTCGAACATCAAGAGCTTGATCATGACTATGGGGGACGGTGGTGCAGAGGACGCGTTATCATTGGACCCAGGAGACAAGCAGGAGGGCTTTCGGGACCTAGAGGCGTGGGTGGAGGGTTCACTGGACATGTATCGAGTGCGTGTAAATGTACTACCTACAACTGTGTCCATCCTTATATCATCAATATCAAGCCTGAATTCCGTCCAATCTTGTTCCCGGTATTCTGTCACTTCTACCTTGACCTCGTACATGGTGGGTTTAAGGATGCCGGTAAGTGAACATTCACCCTCTCGCAAGCTCATATTTACACTCTGCATGCAGCACAAAGGTTCTTTGAAACATTCTCAGGGTCAATATCTTCTCAACGTGACTCACTCAATTGGTTGACCGCGATCCGGCTCCCTCACCATGTACAAAGCGATCAGCATGCCCAGCTTTTCCGCAACCAGAAATACACCATCCAAATGAGCCATTCAGGGTTTGATCTCCTCATTGGGTGGTTGACGGAAGGCGTGGGTGGAGAGAGTGTCGGTGCTGGGGACGGATTCTCGGGGGAACAAGGGAAGAGGGGAAGGGCGGCTGTCATGCGTGTGGTGAACAACCACCTGAGTTTCAACGGTAACAGCGTGTTACTGCTCGCATACTCGGCATTAACTAATTCACGGCCCAGTATCATCTACAAGTGCCACAGCGGCCAATACGTCAGTGAACTCATGGGAGGAATCCAACGGCATCTTAACGCCTCTGATACCGCAAGTACCGGGTGGTACCGCAGTCACAGACCCTCGCGCGTTCAATACAGCTAGGGGAGAGCTCAAGCTTGGACCGCTCCCTATCTCGGAGGACCTCGTTACAGAAACCGAGAAGGCGTTGCGCGACACAGCCATGAATGATCGCGATCCTACCGCTCAACACGACGCCTTGAATGTGCGAAATGTAGGAGCGCCGGGTCTTGTAGACCCAGACATATCCGATCTCCCACCTCATCCCCCTACCTTCAAGACCTCTGATATCGCCAAACATGTCGCAAGAGTCCGTGATCAGCGCATGCGAATACGACTGGACCCGTCAGCGCTGCAATATGTGGACCCGAGTTCGCCCCAAGGCATGGCTGCAAGGTCACGAGCTCTTCCCAGCATCTGCGCATACACTCTACATGATGTGCCAGAAGGGTATGCCAGCGTTTGTCGACGTTTCACGCCTATACTCATTACGCCACAGGTCGCCTTGCGTCACATTCTCCCAGGATACATCGCTCATGGCTGCCGGATTTGAGGAGAGCTATGTTCGTCTATGGAACTTGAAGGGCGAATCCGTGAACGGCATGAAGAGTAACTTCGAAGTCAAGAGAGAATGTAAAACGATTTGCTTCATGTCATACGTCTTCACTCACGATATTCCGCAGCAATATCAGGCGGGAAGTTAAACGAGAAGAATGGTATGCCGACACGCAAACTCATCGGGCATAGTGGACCTGTTTACTCCGTCAACTTCGATCCAATGGGAGGTTCAGCGACACCTCCACGATATCTACTCTCCACCTCCGCCGATGCTACCGCGCGTCTTTGGTCTCTGGATACCATGACGAATGTTGTTGCCTACCGTGGACACCAGAATCCTGTCTGGGATGCGGATTGGAGTCCACTTGGTATCTAGTGAGGTGCCGCCATCGCGCTCTCTAATCAATCACTCATGTATTATAGCTTTGCAACAGCAAGTCGTGACCGCACGGCACGATTGTGGTCTACCGATCGTATCAACGCTCTGCGGATATATGCAGGGCATCTGAGCGATGTGGATGTGAGTTTTGACTCTCGTACATCCGCGCAGGGCCACCGCTAATGTCCTAACTCAGTGTGTACGCTTCCATCCCAATTCCTTGTACCTTGCGACCGGATCCAGCGACCACACTGCGCGTCTATGGGACGTGCAGAAAGGCTCATCTGTGCGGGTCTTCATTGGGCATCAGGGCGTCATCACCACCATGGCGTTCAGCCCAGACGGTCAATACCTAGCCACTGCCGGTCAGCCCATCACGAAATCTTGACTTTCATCGGATACTTATTCTGTCCTGTATAGGCGAGGATCTCGCGATCAACCTTTGGGACTTAGGTTCTGGAAAACGCATCAAAAAGATGACCGGACATGTGGCATCCATTTATTCGCTCGCGTTCAGCGGAGAGTCCTCGCTTCTTGTCAGTACCGGTGCAGACTGGACTGTTCGCTGCTGGGATGTCAAGAGTGCTGGTGGCATTCCAGACAAGCCCCACATGAATGGCCTGACTAACGGCGTCATGCGCAAGGAACACGGTAAAGAGCGGCAGCCAGAAAGCAAAGAAACGTGAGTCGTGCGGGTGACGCGAGATGTCCCGCGTGTATTGAACAGCCTTCTAGAGCGGATTTGGTCGCGACCTTCCCAACGAAGCGCACGCCCATGACGAAGGTTTATTTCACGCCGCGCAACTTATGCATGGTCGCGGGCCCGTATCAGCCACCGGGAGGAAAATGAGGGTTCACTGTAGAAGCGCGTCCGTCAATGCTGTATCCCTTGAAGCGACTCGATCTCATATATACGGCCCTACATATTGTGTACTTGATCTCCTTATCTTGCCACTACGTCTTATTCTACGTCGTGTACGTTCATTGTGGCCCAGAAGGGTGGTCTGAGAGTGAATTGCCTATTAAGACCACGTGCGGGGCTACAGCTCCCTGAGACGCGCTCGCGTCTAGCGCGCCTCTTTGCACACGACCATAACCATCACGAACGCGCAACCGATTCTGTTCCTACTGCCAGAAGCTTAGCTCGCTTACTGATATATCCGGTCTGTATACCTCGCACCGACGACTTAGTACTCCCGTGTTCTCAACGCTGCCACAACCCCCGCGCTCGTCGCATTGAACAGAGTCTGCCTGTCATGGATTCTGGAATGGACATCGACGGAGTCGATGGGACTCCTAAGGTCGAGGCCCAAGACGAACTCGTTGATGTCGAGTTCTCCAGACCGTCGTCGTCGTCGCAGAAACAGAAACAGAACGGGTTGCACTGTGCGTATTGCCTTCCGCCACTGCACTGCCATGACGCGTGCTAACCTTGCACGCCCCTGCGTTCCCTCTTGTTGCATACGCGTGTCGTCGTCTCCAACAGCCACCCTAAAAGACCTACCTGTGAAGGTGCACATTAGGAGACCGGAGCGTGACTCTTGGGTGTATGTAGGGAGAGCGGTGGTCAACTATGAGACAAGTGGCTCGTCCGGTCAAGTTGGTGAGTTGTGATTATATTGTAAGCACTTGTGCATGTAATTGAGTTCCTGTCACTTTACAGTGGTCCGCTCCGCTGCATCCGGCAAAATTCTAGTGCGATTTACAGAGGTACTCTCAAATCGCTCTGTTATCCGACACTTGGGGCTGAGGTTTATTGTAGATTAGCGAACTGCAGGCTGAGCGCCGGGGCAACTTTGTCGTCGTCGGCATAATCGATGGTGCCAAGGTCGTATCGTGGTCCTTGAATGTAGGATATTCTACCGTGATATTCCCCTCACGCTGTTGACAGACGTTTTCTAGGCGTTGAACAGTTCAGACACACTCAAGCTTTTGTCGTGTATTCAAGTCTGCTGCCATCCAAGCAAGCTTGCTGTGATAGACCCCAACGGTCATCACAAGCTGCAGAAGCGCGTCGAACGCCTGATAAAGGAGGATAGGCGCAAGCGCCACAAGCGGCGCAAGGAGGCTGACTCCATGGTCGAGGCGTTCAGCCGCACCACAATCGGCGCCGACCAGCAGCAACCTATAGACGTGCAGTAGGTCGTATAATGTGACGAATCAGTTGTACACTATCTCGTTCCACCCGCGCATATCCATCTCGTAGTCCCGTGCATGTCTCCCTCCCCTCATCGCCCGCTTGTATCCCCATCGCTTTCCCTGTGTGGTTGTCTCCTGGTTCGGCCCCGTCTGCACATCTATGCTTCCAGTTGTCAATCACTTGTTCTAACCTTTGCTGTCTCACATAATCATGACGGTTGCAGTGACGCTCGAAGCGGAGTTGGAAAGCAGGTGGTCAATAACTACCAGAGTTCGAATCGGGAAAGCGTGGAGAGTAGTAGAACAGTGTTCAGAGAATTTACTTGAGTCCGTATATGTAAGTGTGAAATGAGCGGGATGTTACTATGTGCAGCCTATAGCAAAACCATATAAATACAAGCACACCAAATGAATGGTATATAGTAGGGAGCAAACGAGCGTCAAGCTCACATAACCCACAGCTACCTCCTCTTCACATCGCCTGTGGGTGGACCACCAGACGATCCCTCCCCGCCATAATCGGGTAACCGGCGGCGTTCAGTATACTGAGGGGGAAGCTCGATGACCTCATCAGGCTCCTCCGTCAGCTCATCGGCAGCGTCCGTATGCATGATGAAGCGTGGTTGTGTTGCGCGTGTTGCGCCCGTCGCATTCGTCTTTGAACTTCGGCTCGTAGGGGCAAGAGATGCTGTCGGTCCGGCACTGTACGTCGATTCTCGTGATGGGCCATGGGCTTGCTGTGAAGCGTAGCTGTGCCTCGAAGATGCGAGCCCCGCTCCCGCTCCTCCTCCTGCTGCAACTCCTGCGCCCATTTCTCCGCCATGCGCCATGAGATCCGTCGCAGAATTAGGCGCAGAATGGCTCCAGTCGAAGGGTTCCGCGTTTGGTGCGCCGAGAGTGAACGGATCGGGTTCGTATCGGCGAGGAGTCGCGGCAAGCAAAGTGGGAGAGTCATAATCCCCTGCGAAATGCTCAGTATCTACTTTATAGGGATATAACGCTACTTACCTGCCATGTCCACCCGATTGCGCGCGTATCGTCGCTGTCCAGAATTGCGTTTCCAGCAAAAGAACCCAATGGCAGCCAAAGCACCCAAGCCGACGATCGAAGCAGCCACAATAGCACCGATTGTACCTCCGGAGACCTTGGCGGCATCGCTCGCAGCTTGAGTTGACGTAGATGACGCAGAAGAGGAGGCGAAGGTGGAGGAAGCAGTCGCGGTAGCAAAAGAGGTCGAGACGACGGTCGAGGACAAGTATTTGGATTGCAGGCAACTAGTCTCACCGGTCTGAGTTACAGTATAAAAATCTGAGTCTCCGCCGTTCCTTCCTGCCGCATCGTATAGCGTGATGACCAAGGTAGAGCCTGCTTGTATGTTGATAGACGGTATATTGAAGGTCGTCCCCGAAGCGAGAGTGTAGTTTTGGTAACTCCCTCCCGGCACAAGAGTCTATTTACAATTCATACGGAGATAGGTGTGACTGGATGGTTGAAACGTACCAGGATAGTGATGGGATATGATATAGCAGTGATTTGGGTGGGGTTTATGCTGTTAATTTGGAACGACCTGGTGTATGATCAGCGTTCTGGTCCGGCTCGAGCATCCAATCTGCTCACCTGCACTGAGCTGCCTGACTCTGCGTATCCCAAACCCATTGAGGCGATAACGTTGTATTACACGACGCGCCGCTGGCTGCCGCACCAGTGACAATCGTGGGACTGATGCCTCCCGTCGCGAACCCGGTCGCGTCGCTCATGACTGCAACGAATTTCGTGTTCTCGGGCAGAGGAAGTTGCGTGGAGAACGAGCCCTTTCCATTAGAAAATGAATCGGAGGAAATGGGCACTTGTAGTCCGGCCTCGAATGCCCCAAAGATGGAGAGCGTGAACGGCGCGGTGCCCCCTGCATAGGTCCGTCAGTCGCTGTCTCGAAGCAATGAATGGGTAGCGGACCTGCCCATGCCACCTCTAGGTTACCGCAAGACGTCGGCTCGTTTGTCGAGAAGCTGAAGCCATGCACCGGGCTGGGAAGCACCAGAGTAAATAGGAGTGGGACCACCCAATGCATGGTCGGAGAGGAACAGGGCAGGGGCTCTGTCCAATCAGCAGCCTGAGAGCCCTAAACGGGTGGGAGATGGCGGAGAGAGAGCAAGCCAGGCGCTTGCAGACAGAGGCACGGGCTGGTGGACGTTGAGGAGAAGACGCGATCGGCGTACGACAAGGAACCGCCTCTGGGCGCGCCGGAGCGTTCTGCAACAAGCCATGTGAACCGCTGCTTGACGTCGCCATTTCAATTACATAGAATTAGACTTCACACCGCCGTCTTTCCACACACACCCATGCATACCCCTCTCTACACTCTGTAACCTACATAGGGAAGAACACAATCGAGGACACTCTACAAATCAATATAATAATCGCGGCAGGCAACGTGTACGGGATCGGAACCAGATACTGTAACTAGTCTAGACCGTGCACAACAAATCAAAATTAAACAAGTCTTGGCCGGGGCTGTCCGGGCGTTCGTGATATCGCCATCTCATTCAAGGGTCTACCAGCGCCAAACCTTTCCCAGTAGCGACAAACCCGTACTGTGCTGTCGCTCCCGGCACTGAGGCAGGTTATCTGCATACCGAACCGACTCCAGACCTTCCGCGCGGGGGTTGTACGCTTCCGCGAAACCCGACGACCAGGTCGCGAAGCGCTGGCGGGCGCTCGGGCTTCGGCTGTACGCTTGTGGTGGGGTGCGCACTTCATCCGTGATAGCGTGCCTTGCCGTTGTCTTGAGCGATTGCTGTACTGATGTGGTGTAGATATGTATATTGGAGAGCTGGATGGGGTGCCCAATGTTTGTCGTCCGCACGCCGCCGTCTGCGCTGATTGGTAACACGTAGGGGTCGCCATGGTCGTAAAGGCAGCCGGGAGAAGGCGCCGTATCCAGCTGATCCGAATCCTGCCAATCGGAGGAGGTGTACATGTACAACTCCTCCTGCGCGCGTGTGGGCAGTCTGACAGCGCGCCTTCTTTTCGGCGCTAAGACACGGCCGTCTATGAACAACTCGCCAGAAGGAGGCAGCTCAGAGTATGGTTTGGGACTACCAGTAGCCATCCTTGGCGAGAGACTAAAGGGGAGCTTGAGTGAACAAGTCGGAGTCCACGTAGACCGGAGAGTACTGCCAGAGATTGTCCTCAGCGTGTCGATGGCCGACAAGAAAGGGGATGGCAGCGTCGTGGACGCCGTCGTACGGGCTGTAGAATGCACACTGCAGCCTTTACCCTCCAGCAGATGGACAGTGGATTCGCGCTCATCTGAACGAGAGAATAGGACGCTCCCCTTGAAGACTGTCGCGACTTGAGCAGGCGAGATCGTTCGATGCAAGTCGGTAACAGAGAGGCTTGAATGCGCTTGCGCAGTCTTCAAAGCCGCCACCATGAGCTCTTGATAGTATGTGCGGGAGGGAATATCTGCCGGTAAGACAACATGCGGTGTCGGAGGGTGGTGGATGACCGTATCAGGATCAGGTTCAGAGACATGCAATGCCCCAGAACCAGTTGGCAGGATGTCAGCTGCGGAAGATGATGAGGACAACGAGGAAAGAGAGTGCCATGTCGTGTTGCCTTCTTCCTGCCAAACTTGTATATCGCCGTGCTCCTGCAGAGTGTCGGAGACATTATCCACAGAAGCCGTCGAGTGATGTTCACAAGCCACAGTTCCAGAAGCGACCTCAAGAGCCAGAGAAGACAATAGTTCAAAGACAGCGATGGCGGACAAGTCGCCGACAGATCCGGAGTCCGTACTATGAGGCTGAGCCGGAACGGTCGGTCGCGCCTCTTTGAATAAGTTCTCCCTGCTGAATTGGTCCGTAAATTCCTTGATAACTCCAGCTAGATCGCGTGCGACGTCTGTTGTGCGGAGTCGCTCCTCTAGGTTCTTGCATTCCCGATTCCATTTCTGATGTAGAACGAGGGCATCCAGCCGGGACGAGAGTGTCATGACCGAAGTGCACATTTGCCGGGAGCGGTTCTGGCAAGAGGAGACTAAATCAGCTCGTCTAAATATACGTTAGTAGGGGCGTAGCTACATAATACAATGCACGTACTCTTGAAACCCATGACCCAGCTCGTCTTTCTGAGAGCGTTTGGGCGGCCGAACACCAGGTCGACCCGCTGACCGAGATTCAGATGAATCAGGTAGAACCACGATGGGCTTCTTGCGCCCGCCAGGCTTATGAGCTCGTAGAAGTAAACGACGGCGAGCGGGACTGCCGCGCTCCTGACTGGCAACCTCCGGAGTAGCTTGTGCATTGAGTGTAGGGGAGAGAAGCGTGTTTATAGCCGAGCTAGTGGAGCCACCGGATCCCTCGCGTTGAAGGATCTTCAGCGCACGCAGATCCCTCCTAGAGATATCCTGTGGCTTTGGTGGCGCTTTGACCATGGCGTGCTGGCGGTAGTGGAAGTTGCAAGCAAACCAATCGAACAGCGCTCTCGACTAACAACGCAACCACGATCACATGCGTGTGGGAATATGTTGCCACCCGACTGAATCCGGCTATCCAAAGAAACACCACGGTACGTGGCGAGAAACAAACAGCGCATACATCTGATCCGTGTAGTAAATATATTGCATAATATAGAGCAACTATCCATGAAAAGTGTGTTCATGATTGTGCCTAGTACTTCCTCTCAGACTTTCGCCATAACCCGCCTCGTCTCTTGCGGCGTGAAGCGCAGGATGATAGATAAAACACGGACAAGATTCGGCTGCATACAATGTCAGTCATGAAGAGCAGAAACAGTGTCCACGATAACCATACCCTCATCTCCTTGTGTTCTAGAAACTGCAGTATCACGTTCCGTAGGTATTCGAGGTTTACCTCCTCCTCGTTGTTCACAGAGCCCGCAGCGGACGGTGCTGGTGACGCTGTGCGTGACAGCGTTGTAGTGGAAGCGGCAGGCGAGCCAGGCGTCGTTCCGCCATTCGTACTTTCGCCGCGTTGTGCGAAGTACCCCACGCCTGGATTGCGCTGACGCTCGAGGAGAGCGGCAGATGCCTGTACCTTGCGCAGCTCCTCCTTCAAAGTCTACAGCCTATGAGCATCTGGATCGCATCGGTTGAAAAGAGCAAACCGTCACGAACCTTGTTGTTAGCACGCGCTTGACTCTCCTTTGCCTTCGTCTCCTCGAGTTGCTTTTCCATCGCGCTAATCTTCGTCGTCATACTCATAATCTGCGCCCTGGCATCATGTTCCGCATGCGCCTGCCGCTCGACTTGCCCCTCCATATCCTTCAGCCTCTCTCTGACCTCCTCCCTCTCGGCTTCTGCTTTCGCGATTCTCGCCTTGATTGCAGCTAGTGCGTCTTCGCCTGATTGGCGTCCGCGCGCACCTGCCTCAGCAACATTGCGCCAGCGTTCAGCTTCACGCTGCTTTTCAGCCAGCTTGCGAGCCCAGTCTGCTTCGCCCTCTTCCCTTTCTGCTTCGAGCTTCTCCATATGTTTTCTCAGCTCTGCAACGCGGGCATCAGCACGTGCTTCGGCCGCAGCTAGCAGGCGTGCGACATCCTCCGCTTGACTGACGGATGGCGAGCGATCCATGCCCGGCGCGGCACGTGGGTCGAGGGAGCGCCGGTGTGAATCGGATAACTCCTCTTGAAGAAGTGATATGCGCTCTGAATGTTCGCGTAATTGGAATGCAAGCTCTGTTGCGCGTGACTGCTGCGCCTCAAGCTCGGATGCGGATGATTCGGCCTCCGCTTGGCGGAGTTGAAGCTGTTCGAAGAGAGAGGCCTTCTCGGAGGATAGGTTTTGCACTGAGTGCTCGAGTCCAGAGATGCGCGTGTTCTTTGCCGCGAGGACTTGCTCGTGCGCAGACTGGAAAGCTTCAGTAAGCGAACGTAATGTTGAAGAGTATGGGCGTGCTTACCCTGATCGTGGCGAGATCAACCTCATATTGCGATCTCAGTGCCGCCATTTCTGCCCGAGCATGCTCTTTCGCTGCGGCAGCCTCCCTCTCGAGCTGATTCCTCAGGTTCGCCAGTGCCGAGTCCTTTTCCGCCTTGACCTGTGACAACAAAGCCACAACTCTCGCCCTCTCATCCCTCTCCCTCTCTTCAGCCTTCTTTTCCTCGGCCCTTGCCGCATCCCGGTCCTTCACCGCCTCGTCCCTCTCCTTGTTCGCTTTGAGAAGCTGGCCACGGACGGTCTTGAGCAGGCCGACGGCTTTGGTACGCTTTTCTTCCTCTTCTCTCGCGGTAGTTCTGGCTTTCTCGGCTTCGGCACGGGCAGCGGTCACTTCGGCCGAGCGCGCGGCAAGGTCGGCTTCCAGCTTTGAGTGTGTACTTGAAGAAGCGGCCACTAGAGCCTCGGCTTCAGATACCTGGGCGCGAAGGCGGTCAATCAGGTCCGTCTGGGAGCGGGCCTCCAGGCGATGAGTTTCGTGCAACTCTTCGAGTCGCTCATCTTGCCCTGCAAGGGCGGATTATTGGTGGCCATTTAGCAATGACGTAGATGATACATACGTGTCAGTTTGCCGCTAAGACGCCTGATCTCGTCCTGCGACATCTGTGCCCAATTGTAAGATTAGGTTGAACGATAATTCCCACTTTGAGATTCACCTCGACCTTCAGCTGGCAGTTTTGTAAGAAATCGCGGAGCGCAGCGGCATCCTGGATAGACTGTACGGACGTAAGCTCTTGAAGAACTTTGTCTGCTTCGCGTTTCTCCGTTTGCAAGCGCTTGAAAGAAGTGGATACATCTGCACATGATGAAGCATCAGGCTTCGGATATAAAACATAGGGATCTACCTGTAAATCGCTGTTCTACCTTGCGTAGACGCTCGCGGAGAGCGTCGATGTCATTGATCGGTGTAACAGAGCGTTCTGGTGTGGCGAGCGCAGATGCGGATTGTTCGACAGGCTCCATCGCTGTCTCAATTAAAGGACGATGCAGTTGTGCAGGTTCCTCGGAGGATTCGAGACTGGTAACTGGCCAGTCGTCGGCGGGAGGCGTCGCTGATGCTTCGTCCACCCCTGGCGATGTACCAGGCTCTGGCATAGCAATTTCCGATGATCGTACTGCCTCTGTATCTCCCGATAGAGCGGAAACTTCGGTCGTGAGAGCTGGATCCACATCCGTATGAGACGATGCCGGTTGAGTCGTAGTCCCTAAGGCGGTTATTGTCATTGGCTCAGTGGGAGCTATTACAAGAGAGTCCAGTGATGGGGATGAACTATCCGCCGGGGGAGAAGCAGGCAAAGGCACATCGTGCGCCTCTGGTGTGGGCATTGGTATAGGCGCGGATTCGGATGCAAGTAGCGGCGCAGGTGCAACGGGGGGTGTGGCGAGTGGATGGGGCAAGTCAAGAGTGATAGAAGTGGGTGCAGCGACTGTAGGTGGCGATAGTGGTAGTGGTATGCTCTCTGGTGAAGTGGCAGTAGCAGGCGCCCTGGGTTCTGGCGGCGCGGGCGACGGGGCCGGCGTCGAACTCTCGCTAGCTTCACCGACGACAAACTTGGCGCGAAGCCTGTCCTCGAGCGTGCGCTTGGGTCTCTCGGGAGTTCCCGGTGGATGGGCAGAGGAGGCGGAGGCGGGTGGAGGTGTCTGCCCGCGTGGAGGCGAGACAAGTGTCTTGCGGAGAGAGCTGAGCGGGTCGCCAAAAGGCAGTTCGACGCCGAGTCCGCTTCCGTTCGAGTCCGAGCGCTCGTGCTTACCCGCGCCCTCCACGAATGTACGCAGGCCGGAGAACATCGAGGAGCGGGTACAGCTTCTGTGCGGCGCGCCACTACTGCGCGTTCATTACTCGCCCTAGGTCTCACGCATGGCTCGGATTACAACTCTGCCTCTCACTTTCATCAGCAATGGACGTTGGTCCCCTTGATCGAAATAACAATAATGAATTGCTCCAAAGTTGCGATGGGCGGGGTTGGAATAGAGTCAGTTGAACCCGAACCGAGTCACGGCTCTATCGGCATTCACGCAATCCATCCTCTTCTTGCTCTCGACCGTCTCCGTGCTTTCAAGGTTGTATCTACGCGATGGGCCTATATCTACTCGACTATGGTGCAGGCAATGTACAAAGTCTGGCCAACACTCTCGCAAAGCTCGGGCACACCTTCACCTGGATCTCCTCGCCCGATGACTTTGACAAGGCCACGGTCAGCACTTCGCATATTCTCATCTGTCGCATCCCATGAACACTCGCAATCTAGTCACTTATCTTCCCCGGTGTCGGCGCCTTCCAAACCGCAATCGATCATTTGAACGCACGCGGCTTATTAGAACCCTTGCGTGCCTACATCGCTTCCGGTCGCCCGTACTTTGGTATCTGTATCGGCATGCAAGTCCTCTTCCAGTCCTCACTCGAAGCCGGAGCTTCCGTGAAAGGACTCGGGGTCGTCCCGCAAGCCATAGGCCGCTTCGATAATGCCGATAAAGCTGTACCGCACATGGGATGGAACGCGCTCAATTTGCTTGACGAACATCAACCGGCGGAAGGCATCACCCCGGGCTCGCACTTTTACTTTGTACATTCTTTCCGTGCGGCTTACGAGCCTGAAGCAAACCCAGAGGCGGCGTGCTTTACGCACAGTGTGACCCAGTATGGGCAGGAGGTGTTCGTAGCGTCTGTCCGCAAGGGCAACGTATTTGGATGTCAATTCCACCCCGAAAAGTCCGGCGCGGCGGGCCTGCGAATGCTCGCGGCTTGGCTCGCAGAACCCGAGTTTGCGCGCGCCAACGCACTACCCAATGTCCGTGGATCTTATACACCCAGAGCCACGCATGGCTTCACACGCAGAATTGTAGCGTGTATGGACGTCCGCGCGAATGACCAGGGAGATCTTGTCGTGACAAAAGGCGATCAGTACGACGTACGCGAGAAAGCGCCCACATCATCACTACAAACAAACGCCGCTGGAGCCGTTCGCAACCTCGGGAAGCCAGTGGCGCTTGCAGCGCGATATTATGCCGCGGGCGCCGACGAACTCGCTCTGCTCAATATCACCTCCTTCCGTCACTCGCCTCTGCGCGACCAACCCATGCTCTCCGTCGTCCGCGCTGCTGCAGAGACGGTATACGTCCCGCTCACGATCGGCGGTGGGATCAAGGATACCGTAGACCCGGATGGCACACCGCAACCTGCGCTCGAAGTCGCAGGTGCGTACTTCCGCGCCGGAGCGGACAAAGTCAGCATCGGATCGGAGGCGGTGTATGCTGTTGAGCGACTGAGGGGGAAGGGAATGGGCGATGGGACGAGCGCGATTGAGCAAATTGCCAGGGTATATGGGAGGCAGGCCGTTGTCGTCAGCGTGGACCCGAAGCGCGTATATGTCGGCTTGGACTATGATGGACCACGCATGGAGGAGATCGTGCGCGGAGAGGGCGCGGACGACGGCAAGGCGTGGTGGTATCAATGCACAGTAGCCGGAGGACGCGAAGCTCGCGATGTCTCAGTGCTCGAACTCGCGCGGGGGATCGAGGTTCTGGGTGCAGGCGAGATCCTGCTCAACAGCATAGACCGCGATGGCACAGGAGCTGGCTTTGATCTCGCGTTGGTCAAGCTCGTGAAAAACGCAGTTCGCATCCCTGTTGTAGCAAGCTCTGGCGCGGGCAAACCACAGCATTTCGTCGACGTCTTCCAAAAGACAGGCGTCGAAGCCGCACTGGCAGCTGGAATCTTCCATCGCGAAGAAGTTAAAATTGAGGACGTCAAGCGCGCGATGGTAGACGCTGGACTGAACACGCGCGTAGACATTGGTTGAATATTAGTCCATAGAATTGAAGCCCTGTGCCCACGAATGGTTGATTAGGGTTCGAAAGTATAGGTCATCATTACCAGGTTGGAAAAAGGGTTTGTACAGTACTATGTATGTACCGATGATAGTATACAAGTCCGCATATGGCCTCGTCAGCGCTCGCTTCGGGACTAAAGTCGATACATTTGAGCTAGGCACCCAGAGTCGCATTCTTTCAGGACCAGGATATCAAAAAGTCGCTCAAGAGACAGGGCATGGCAGAGAGAGAAGAGTACAGTACGCGAGAATGAGAATCTCAAGTGGGCTGGTCAGACTAGGAGGGGTGGCTAGAGAGGATGACGAGGCGGGCGGTACAGTGGGTACAGCACAGGAGAAATAGGAAAAGAAGGAAGGACGAAACGGCGTGTTACGGCCGAGGCGGTTGGGGAGAACATATAGGGGGACGGGAGCGCCACGGGGAAAGGCACACCCGCCGGTTGGGTGTGAGTGTAGTCCCGCGCGAGGATGATGCGGAAGGGGAAGGCAGGGACCATCGATGGGTCTATAGCGCCTGCGATAGGGCACACCAGAACCTCTGCGGGCGCAATCACGCAGATGCGGCGGTGAAGTCTGTTCACTTGCGGCCGACTACGCCGCGCATCCTGCGCATGATGCTACCCTTGCGCCCGACGCCACCTCCACCGCCATTCGGGTTAGAGCTGAAGTAGCCTTCCTCGCTGTGTCCCGAGCGAGGGGACAGGTCGGCCGGCGCGGCAGGCAAATCCTTCATCTTGGGGTCGTCAACGTATACGAAGCTATCTGGGCTAGTTGGACCCGGGCCGCGGGTCTGGCTCTGGGAGCGTCCGTATTGAGCGGGCTTCGTCCGCTGCGTGGGACGACCACCGAGTGAAGCACCTCTCTGTTCCGACTCGTCAAACGCAGCGGTGGGGCCGCCGGGTGCACCGACGGGCACATTCGGCGCGTCACGCATCTTGCGGATCCTTTGCATGAGTGACTTGTTCCGGCCTAGGCCGGCACCGCCGCTGGGTGAAGTTGGTGCGGCGAAGACCTCCTCCTGGGCAAGAGATTCATCGCCGAAGATCGGTGCTGGTGGCGGGATGGCTGTCGGGCGACGTTGGTTACGAGGACGGTCTTCGTGCGCGCGCTTGTGATCCCGGTCGCGGTCGCGGTCACGCTCACGGTTGATAGCGGAGTAGGTCGCGCGCTCTCCGCCGCCACCGGCCGAGAAGTCCTCAAACGGCTCGGGCTCGTGGATGCCCCATGCCTCGGCGATGGCGTCGACTTGCTTCTTGGGCGGGTCGACATGAGCGTGGTTCATGTAATCGGCGTTGGTGGGAGATGCAGCGGCGTAGGGACCATCGTGCGAGGGACGATCGAGCGCGTCTTCGCCCGTCCAGGCGTACATGGGCGCCTTTTGGCGCGTCTTGTTGCGGGAGGGGGCGGCGGCATCGAATGGCCCGTCGTGATGGAACACTGTGGCGTTAAACACGGTCAGAAATACTGAGGGGGACAACGTGAAGCGAACAGGACACTGACTGGGACCCACGCCCGAGAAGTCAAGGCGGTCGATGACATCTGCGTGCATGGACGGCTTCTTGGACTTGTGGTTCTTGGACTTTTCGCCCGACCGATGGGCCGAATCCTGAGCGGACATGGAGCGTTGGGCGGCGGGAGCTGGACGGCTTGCCGGCCTATTGTATTCGAGAATGAGCACGGTAGTCGGAATATCAAAAAAGGAAGACTGACGAGCCAGCCGACGTCTGGCTTCGAGCGGGGCGAGCACGCGAGGGCAAATCAGCTGAGCGGCCACTGCCATCACGGCCCTCTCTGGGCGTGGAGTACTTTGTCCCGCCGCTGCTCTTCGGCGGCGGCGGCGGCCCAGTCGGGTCCGCAAACGGGTTCCGCGCTACAGGAGGCGGCCGCGAGGCGGGCATCGCGGAGACGGGCATGGTGATGAGCGCAAGAGGAAAGGCGATAGGCGACTCGGTTGGTTAGGGTTGCCAAGTCAATATATCTATATCGTCGTCGCCAGGTATATATGGTTACAGCGAAAGATCGCGACAGACACAGAAGCTCGAAGCCTCGGCTCGACCTCCTTGTCGTCGTCGCAGAGCAGATGCCCAGGTGGCGGACAGAGGCAGACCAACGTCGACGTCCTCGCGCGCGGCGCTCACAATGACGCTCTCCGACAACCGTGAGCCGACAAACAGCCGCCACATGTTTACCACTCGGCCCGAGCCTCCGCACATAGCCGCTGCTAACAAGTCTGGCCTAAACACACAGCCAGGCTTTCTTCTCGATGTCTCTCTAGTCATGTCTACTGACCGATAGCCTGTACCCCTCCACGTACCTTGAGAAACACAAGAAACGCCTCAGAAGTTCATCTCACGATCGACGTTCGCACGTGCGAGCCTGCGGGCTAGACTGACCACGACCTCGGTCGACTCTTGTCTCTTGCGGCCTCAACGATGGGTGCCCCAGCAGCGACGGAGAAGCCCGTCCTCAGCAGAGAGGACATCACGAAGCGCATCCTGGCGGGAGAGACCATCTTCATTCTACGTGAACAAGTCATACGTGTACCTCCAAGCTGGCTCTCTAAGCATCCCGCCGGTGCGTTTGCGCATTCTGTGTTGATCATATACCGAACTAAAGAAGGTGATCAGGCGCCCTTCCCATCCTGCACTACGTAGGAAGAGACGCAAGTGACGAAGTCGAGGCTTTCCATGCCGGTCCTACGCTCAAAAAGTTGTACGCCTTCTCGATTGGCCGCATTCGTGTTGGCCCCGAAGGCTGGCAGACATTGCTCCCGCCTATCAATAACGGATGGGTCCGCAAGCCAGCTCCCGAGGGCGGTCTGTGCTGGACCCAGAACGCCCATGCGACGGACATCCGCGCCGAAGAAGATGGTGTCGAGCATGATGTCGATGCCCAGATTCTGCTCGTACAGAACGATGATCCCATTCTCTGCGGCGAAGGACCGTCCTCAGACATCCTCGAGCCTCCCCCGACTTCTCTTTCTGCGGCGACTCAGGCTGCGCACTCCAGAGCATACAAGGAGCTTCACCAACGTATCACTGACGCCGGTCTATACCAGTGCCGCTATTTCACTGGCTATGGGCCCGAGGTCCTACGCTATGCCTGCTTTGCGGCGACCTCATATGTCGCGTACCAGCACCGCTGGTGGTTCACCTCTGCTCTTGCACTGGGCGCGCTCTGGCATCAACTTGTATTCACGGTTCATGATCTTGGTCACATGGGTGTCACGCACAACTGGGTCATCGATAGGATAATATCTATCGCTCTGGCGGATTGGGTTGGAGGGCTTTCCATCGGCTGGTGGGTCCACGTACGTCTTCACTTAGACCCGAATCGAAGCATTGCACTGATAGCCTCCATAGAATCACAATGTTCATCACGGTACGTTACTGTACTCAACCAAGTCTCACGGCGCTTGCTGAACTCGACCGCAGTCGTCACCAACCATCCGTCCCAGTGTGTCTATTCCCGAACAGCATACGCGTCACTCTGATCTCATTGCGTCATAGTGACCCGGATATCCAGCATCTGCCCTTCTTCGCCATCTCACCGGACTTCCTGCACAGCATTTACTCCTCGTATTATGGCCGCACGCTGAAGTTCGATAAGTTAGCGGAGATCTTGATTCCCTTTCAGCATAAACTCTTCTACATCATCATGTCCCTCGCACGCTTCAATCTCTACCGGCTGTCGTACGAGTACCTATGGAAGACTCGGAACGACCCAGTTCGGGCCAGAGGCGGGCGCTGGGCTTGGTGGGGCGAATTCATCGGCTTGTTGTTCTGGTGGACATGGTACACTCGCGTATTGATCAACACCGGAAGTTGGGGAAATGCGTTCGTGTATCTACTTGTCAGCAATGTCGTGCCGAGCCCCCTCCATGTTCAGGTTAGTCGTATATCCATGGTTACGTGCAAAACGCTAAGGCGCATGGACACAGATCGTGCTCTCGCACTTCTCCATGTCGACGGCGGTTCTCGGCCCAGTTGAATCATTCCCGCATCGCCAACTCCGCACAACCTCGGATGTCATCTGCCACCCCTCTGTCGAATGGGTACATGGCGGTTTACAGCTTCAAGTGACGCATCATCTTTTCCCACGCCTCCCGCGTCACAATCTCAAAGAGGCGAGCGTACTCGTAAAGGACTTCGCACGTGAACAGGGTCTCACGTACGCCGAGTTTGGGTTCGTCGAAGGCAATAGCGATGTGATCGGTGTTCTGCGCGGAGTCGCCAACCAGGTCCGGATTATGACGATGGTAGCGGACTCTGAGATTGAGGAGGCGCTTAGTAAGGAGAAGCAGCATTAGAAACTAGAAAGGCGATCTCGTGGTGTAACACAGTGGATCATTAACCGCATCTTTACTAGAGTCCAGCTTAGATGCTTAGTGACGAATCATGAACTTCTCTTTCTGATAGAACCGCTGGGCTCGGACGAGAAGGACTCGCGACTCTGAGGCTCAGCTCATATTGTACTAGGCGTCGTTCCGATGGATAATGGCGACTCATTCACCGCCCGGTACACTGTTCTGCGTCGCCTATATCGATTCGATGTCTTACATCGGGGATATTACCCCTTCAATCATTACGTCGACTGCTCTTGAGAGGGTAGCAAACCTGCAAAGGAACGATGACGTTTCTCTGCTCACTTCGATCAAGGTCACCTGAGTCGACTTATGCTTCAACATTCCCAACGCGATTCCCCTACCACCTGAAGAAACTCTGGATGGGCACGGCAACTGGCCGCCACACCGACCGATCTCACGCTCATGATCAATCGGCCGCAGGATCTCGAACCCTTTCGGAGGCTAGCACGAGAGGGGAGCTAGCCGATGCTGATGTTACAGGGAGACGCTGAGGACATCATTGATGCTGAGAAGGATGTGCCGCTAGTCGAGGCTCAGTGGAAGGATTCACGGGTTGAGGTTCTGGAGGAAATTATCAGAATCGGACATGCCTCATTCTACGAGGATACTAGAGGCGTCATGAATGCCATTGAGGACTTCGTAAAGAGGGTGCAGTCTCGGACCAAAGAGAGTGTGTTGTAGATCTGTGTGTATGATAGTGGCAGACGTGTTTACCCCGAACCTCGACTCGGATGTCAATAATTCTGATTTGCTCTAACGAAACCATCAGCCGTTCATCCACATATAAAGGTGTCCCTCCATAGTACCACCCTCGTAGAACAATGCACAGAGTACTCTTGTCTGTATGGCAGTTGCTCCAGATGTCTGACGTCTGAGATCCGTAGATAGAACGGCGGTACATCCCGATAAGGCCATCGGTAACTCGCAACAACAGTGGCCGACATCGCGAGCACCTGGCGCCTCACAAGCTCCAGGCTGGGGCTGTTCATCTCGACGGATCGCCTCACACTAGTATTATGTTGCGCGCTGCAGTAGGGCCGGGGGGACACGGCAGGGAGAGAGGGAGAGAAGCCGCGAGCGCACGCGGCCCGTAGACGTTGACTACGCATAGCATTAGGGTTAGGGTTAGCCTAGACGCGCGTCGCGATCGCCTGAAGGGTCTTTCACACGCTTTCTCATGCAGCAACAACGATGTCGCGTGCTTCATGACGAACTCCCACACGAACTCGAAGGCTTGTGGGCGGGGCCGAGCACCAGTTCAACGTTCACTGCGTTCAAACGGCCGACCTTGACCTGGCATTGAAGCGTCTTCAGGAACCTGAGCCACTAATGAAAATCGTGCACAATGAGGTTGCCGCGCCGCGCTGTCGGCTCACCGGCCATCACCGCGCGCCGAGTTGCCGCTGACGGGCAATCCTCAATAACGCGCGTCGTCTCGATAACGACGCGGCAACCGTTAACGAGCCCGCTAACGAGCCCGTTAACGGCCCCTCCTTGTCGAACTTCGAGCGTCCTTATTCTGATGGTGCTGCAAGGGAAGATCCAAGACGTTAAAGCAGACTACAAGAGCCTTGCGCGTGAGCATAAGGCGCCGTGTCGGAAAGATGTCGAGGTTGACTCATCATCTTGGAGGCTGTTGGACCCCGCTTTTTTACTGTCCGAGAGAACAGAGAACGTCATGTACACATCGGCAGGTTTTCTGGCCGGCTTCTGACGATTTGGGGGCGGCAAAGCCACGACTCTTTGGGCTAGTATGTCAGCAGATCTCCAACGCGATGCCTTTCTCCCACTTACGAGTCTGCGTAATACGAGAGGATCTCATGCCCAGCTGAGACTGGCAGCACCCCCGCATCGAGATCGACTCAGAGAACACCGGGCCTACCTGATAAGTCAAAGGCTCAGTAGTCTCGCAAGGCGTTCGTCTTCGATGTCTTTTGTACGTACG